TTCGTTAATTACCTATTAATACGTACAGTTAACTGTATCACCACCTTGGTGATAACTAACAGGATAAGTATAAGGTATAAGGCTTAGCTATTAGATAGTCTAAGTAGCTAATAGGGGGACTACTAGTAGGTAGCCTGCTTAAGGCCCTAAGAGATTAGGAGTTAAGTGTAAGGCTTAGCTATTAAATAGTCTAAGTAGCTAATAGGGGGGCTACTAGTAAATAGCCTGCTTAAGGTCCTAAGGGCAGGACCTTAGAGGGGGGGGATTATATTAGGTGCCTAGAGCAGGGCCCTAGGGGGGCACTAAAGTAGGACTAGGACTAGATAAACTAGTTACTAAAAGAATAATAAAAGGGGAAAACTTTATAGAAGATAGGGGTTAGAGGAGGCATATTAGAATAATTATTATAATTAAACCCTAACTATGCCTATTACTGACTCCTTTACTTGATACTATCCCTGCCTCTGACACGTTTGTGATAGTCTTAGGGGCTCTGACTTCCTGAATGGAAAGAACACTTTGTTTCCTTGTATGACTAAATTAGACAGACTAACTGAGAATTAGTTAATTAACAGATGTTCATGGGATCTTGATATTGCGTCTTTTTCCCTATTTGAACATAGTGAAGATATGCTGAAAGTGCCAGCAACTCTTTTTGATCCCCTCTGCTCTTCTTGCCTTATTTACCTTTCATTCTTTCTGTGTGAAAGGTGAGTCTACTGCATTGCTCGCATATATTAACTTGTAGATATTATCTTGTAAAAGCTTTATCGCAGGGGACAAAGTAGCAAAAGATTTCGATTCTTAAAAAGTTTAAAGATATATAAATTTCATTTGTCAAACCTTGAATCGAGCCCCTTGTAGGCTTGTGATGTGTACTTAGTTTTCATTCATGGTCTTCACCTACTTTGTTGTGAGGTGTAGGTTGATGGGGATTTGTGTACTAATAGGTTAATAATCGCCCTTATTTATTCAATGATCGACCTGATCGTAAGACGAAAAGAACGAATGATCCGTTGTACACCACCAAGTATATAGTTTTTATGTTTGTTTGACGGCAATTCCAAATCCCCTAGATATGAACTGCCAAGACATGTGTCTACTCTAGTAATGTCTACATCTCTATATACTGCGCCACGGAATCAACAATGTGCCAATTTAAGGCGACATCCGGCCCTGGCTCTATCGCCAGTGTCCAAGGACGAGTTAGGGTAACAAATGTCTACTGATGAAGTGCTGAACTTGGTATAACAGTCCACCGCACATCGGCAGTTCCACGAGCTATGCCGAAAGCGCTGGCATAGCCTAGTGAGATCTCAGTGAGAGTTGGGGGCGCGAATGGATGCTTAGTTCGCGGGCCTTCTTTACAAATACAGAAGCTTTTACGCTATACAGGCCTGGTTTGCGCCTTCGACTACTCGGGAATTACATCAGCCCCTCAACCATTATGGTGTTAGTGATATGTGGTTTCAAACACCTCAACATCAAAATTATCTCATATCTCAAGGAGTTCGAGTTGAATTTTTACATATGGGACTTACAAGCGTCATATCAATGAAATATTTCTGGTTCACTCTTATGTTCATAGTACGTCGCCGACCTCTGGGGCTACTCCGTGAGCACGACGTGCGTGTTTGAGACGCGTAGAGAGCGCCCATGATGAACAGAATAGGCTGAATTTCTTACCTGCGTGCGGCATGGCCGCAAGCCGTAAGGGCTGGAATAGTCAACAGAACGGACGCTTATAGTGAAGGTCCAGGTCACCAAAATTACGTGCTGATTCTTCTCCACTAATCTTTATCAACTTTCAAGAAACTGAAGGCGTATGATAAAGAACAAATTAGAATTCGGTAGAGGAATGGCGAGTCAGGAATTTCCAGCAACATGGGCGGCCGCTGGTACGCACCCCGCCAGGGTTCTATATGCTTATCACAAGCCCACATACACCAACAGTATTAGATGGCACATTATGTTCCCACCAAGTATTTATTAAGAGTAAGTACTTTTAAATTTCAAGAAAATCACTCTGGAGATATAACTAAGAGGCTCAATAGTTCAGTAGAGGTATCCTTCCTCTGAGATATCAAGGAAAGCAACCCTTTTGTGGTCTTCTGAGTTATTCATTACGCTGAAACTTAGAACCCCGGTGGAGGGGCACTGATATTATCAACACAATCCTTACGTCTATAAGGCTAAGAAACGAAGCCAGGGGCACACTGGTTTTTGAGTGTAGACTCTTGGGAGATACATAGGACATTTCATCCGCTGGGTCAATATATGTAGTCTTGTTGTGACAACAGGATACAAAGATGGAGCAGTGTTACGACGACCGTCTGAATAAGAACAGCACAGTGCATTGTAGTCCCTCAAGTGATTCGGTAAGGCAAATAGTGGGATGGATAAGGAAGGTTGTGGTGCGCTAGATGATCCGCGCATTCCAACCAAGGGTCTTAATAGTCCGATGGCTTCGACGACACTAATGTACAATCTACTATACCAAATTCGCAGAGGAACTCCATATCATACAGTTGAACCGATTTTTGATTGGTTCAGTTGGTGATATATTTTCACCAGATGAGACTGGCACTACACCAGCGAGAGTAAGTCTTAGTTATATGTACACAATCTAAGAATTGGGAATCTTGTTGGATGAACTTCGTACATGCATGTACTCTCAAATGTGTGGGGGTGAATCAACATCTATTGGTGACTGAACGATCTAGTACTAACTCCTCGTCGTACGGACCGTTATATCTGTTCTATACTCACTGGGTCAGTTCGGATAGATACAATGTGTTCCCCTCATTGTCATTAACCAGGGGCCGAATATCCAGTCTGTGCTCTTCCGTACTGAATCATGAATATCCATGGGTGTCGTACGATCACGTGGTATTGATATTCCAACAGATCCGTCATATATATACATATACCCATAAGTGCCAATTAGTACATGTCTGTTACAGACTGTGCGACTGGGTTCGCCTAGGCCCAACTGTCGAGACGACGCTGAATCCTATGCGCCAAGACGAACTACGGCCAGATGGGATGCGACAAGAAGGCTTACTCTGGGTATAATGGGACAAGTGGCCGGGCAAGCCAACATCAGGAGGGGAAAAAAAAAGACGCATTTCAGCTGCCACTCGAGCATCGTTTCTGATCCAATCAACGTTGACATAGGAGATGGAAGCAAGCCTTTTTGAGGTCTTGGACAAGACGAGGACACGCTAGCGAATGCCAGCCCCGACAACGCACCCTCGTCTTGCTCCACTCTGCAAAAGCAAAAGGAAATGAAAAAGCGGCCGAGCACAGCCAGTATGTAGTCTGGACTGTAGGATCGAACACCTTTGCTGTTGGACCAAGGAAACTGGAACCTTGCGACCGACTTGCTGCTCCAACTAACAAGCTGCCGACCCCTTATCTTCCCCTGTCATATTAGTGCAGCCTCTTCTGTCACCCCGTTGTCCATCATCTTATGACCCTTGCATGCAAGCCCTGCCGATTAGGTCTGGACCTTGCACCCACCCCTCTTTATTGCCCTCTCCGCCTTAGGCAGTCAACCATACCAGGAAGAAGTTTGGTTGTTCTTGTAAAGACTGTAGGCAGCAGCTGCAGTCCTCAGTCATCCTTCGTAGAGGAGCGCCATAAGACCCAGTATTCGAATTTTCGGAACCAGGTCGAGGCCGCAACCTTCATCTTATACAGATGGCTCATGCAATAGACGACTCCACGCGTGGCCGAGCAAGAATGAACTCTTCCGCCTCACTTAAGCTTCGGGTTTTTCGTCTGTCCGTGGGCGGACGGACAGGAGAGCGCGGAGTGCCGAACCCGTCGGACAATGTGCGCGCACAAGGTAGCACCAAGTTACTTATAGGGAGTACGGTTAATTTGACATAGGCGATTTGCTATTTTGCCATATCTAACCGCTTTAAGCAAGAAACCCACTGCTACAGCCACATGTTAGGCCCACCCACAAAATCGTAATGTACAGTACAAGCCTGGCAAAACCTAAAGGCAAAAGATAGAGGTAAGAGATAGAGGCAAAAAATAGGCAAAAAACAAAAGGGATAGTCTTGGCCCATCCCGACCTGGAGCGCAGCGTAGGAAGCAGGGTGGGATAGACCATTCCAACCCTCCCCAGCAGAGCCGTTTTGTACCTTAGGGGAGGTAGTACTTATGTAAGCATGGGCCTGTTGTGGCTATGTGGCAAAGCTGCCAAAAGCGGTTAGATATGGCAAAATAGCAAATCGCCTATGTCAAATTAACCGTACTCACTTATACATTGTAGGAGTTAATGAAACTGAGTCATGCGAAGTCTGATTGGTCGCTTAAAACTCTTGAGATTGGCCAAGAACGACTTATGAACTCAAATCAGCGGGGAAAATTCAGAAATTGAGGATCTTGGTATCTCCATGTAAATGGTAAGGTGATGTTGTCGTTGTTGCGCAAGGCTGGCCGTCGTGAGGTCTCGCCATTACCGCCGCCAGGGCGGTTTTGGTGCGTAGGAAGGCTCTTGATTTCTTCCCCATTGCCCCGTTGCTAGACTGTGTTTTAAAGACGACGAACAACCGTCATCTCATCTCCCCAGCCACTGTGTCTGACGCTTGCTTTTTCTACCTTGCCATTTCCCAGCCGATCGATCTAGCCTGCTGCTGCCAAGCCGACTAGGCAGGGGTTTTTCTTTTCATGTGTTAGCGGTACTCCGTACAGCATCTGAAGGTCACCCCGTAAGTCTTGGCAATCAAAATGGGAGGAACCTGATGGAAGTTAGTTTAGACAAGCCCCTCATCGGCGCCTCTGAGGAAACGGGGGAACATGCAAACCGGACTTGGCAAAGCTCGACGGGATTTTATATGGGCGGTCGTGCCTTGCCGCGTTGGCTTACCTAGGATCCTTCCTCTCTCTATCCGCCAACAGTCAGTCTTACTCCAAGACACCGTCACTCGTTTTTGCATATACCAAAGTCATTCTTTACTACATAATAGTCATTCTTTCAGCTAACCATGCATTTCAAGACCGTTACCGCGTCGCTCCTCGTTGCCGGAGCGGTCGCTACTCCTTTCCGCCGCCAAACCTCGAACGAGACCTTCTGCGATGAAGGCCTTCCTGTCCCCGCGCCTAGCACTACCAAGCTTCACTTTCCCCCCTATCCTGTGAACACCACCGTACCTGGTGTCCCCTCGAACCCCGGTGGCTCATACCCAGGCTCTGCTTCGAAGCCCGGAAACGGTGGCTCATACCCAGGCTCTGGCTCTGGCTCCAAGCCGGGTCATGGCTCTGAATCTGTACCTGGTCCCAACACCGAATCTGACTCTCACGGCTCTTCTACCGACCCGAACTTCGGCTCTCGGCCTGGCTCCGGTTCCAACTCAGGCTCTAAGCCTAGCAAGGACAGCTCAGGATCTGATGCCAGTGCTCCGTTGCCTTCTAACCCCGCCCAGCCCCCTTCAGCTGGTGGCAATGTGCCCTCGTACCCAGGCAAGCCGGCTGCGGGCTCTTCCTACGTCCCCTTTCCTCTGAATACCACCGTTCCCACAACTGCTCCTGCTCCTTCTTTCACCACCATCCCCGGAGTCGCTCTTCCCACCGGACCCATCGCCATTCCCAGCACCACCGTGCCCGTCAGCAGCAATAACACCGCCACAACCGTTAGCTCTAGCTCCGCAGCCTCCAGTGCCACTGCACCGGCTACCATCATCCCTTACGGAGTTGCCATCTCTAGTTGTACTATTCCTGGCGACTTCGCCCTTACCTTTGACGACGGGCCTTTCACTTACACTGGTCACGTGCTTGACCTCCTCGCCGAGGCTGGTGCCAAGGCTACTTTCTTCCTCAACGGCAAAAACTTTGGCGACATCAACGACTTCCAAGATGTCGTCAAGCGTATGGATGCCGATGGCCACCAGATCGGCTCTCACACCTTCAGCCACGCTGATCTCGCCACCCTGGGCGATGCCGATATTATCCCTGAAATGACTTCCCTCGAGGATACTCTGATTAACATCGTCGGAAAGTACCCTACGTACATGCGCCCTCCTTACTTCAGCTGGAACGACAACACTTTGTCCATCCTCAAGGCTCTGGAGTACCACGTCATTCATGCCGATATTGACTCACTCGACTACGCCAACAACTCCCCTCTTGGCAACCTGACCAGTGTCGGTATCTTCGAGAAGGGTGTCGACGCCGGTGGGTCCATCGCTCTGGCCCACGATGTGAGTCGCATTGATCCTGAACAGTCCATATAAGCAAGCATTGCTGACTTTCCCAAAGGTTCACCAAAACACCGCCGAGTACCTCGTACCCGAGTTCCTGCGCATCATTAAGGAGAAGAACCTGAGAGCTGTCACCGTCGGTGAGTGCCTCGGCGACCCTAAGGCCAATTGGTACAAGACCAAGCGCACTTCAACTCCCACTGCCACCGCTTCCAAGATCACTGTCTCCATCACTAGCACCGCTACTCCTACCGGCGTGATCGGCCCTGGTGGTGCCTGTGGTGGCTCCGAGGGTTATGTCTGCGAGGCTGGTGCTTGCTGCAGTGAGTACGGATACTGCGGCTACTCCCAGGCCTACTGCGCCGCCGGCTGCCAGCCCCTTTTCGGTGTCTGCGGTGTTGCTGGCCCCGTTGCCTCCGGCGGCAGTGCTACTACTTCCAGCGCTCCCGCTGCCACTCCGACCGGCGGTGTGAGCACCGACGGTTCTTGCGGTGGCGCCAACGGCTTCACCTGTCCTGGCACCACTTGCTGCAGCGAGTATGGTTACTGCGGCGACACAACCGCCCATTGTGGTACTGGATGCCAGCCGCTTTTCGGTACCTGTGCCTGAAGTCTTGCTTGAGACGGATGGGCTATGCGGGAGATATTCATTATGTTGGCATGATGTGGTCTGGAACAAATTCCCTTCACATCTATAATTATTATGTAAAGATTCAATAGAGTGTATCTACTTCATCAGTGAATAGCATCTAAAGTCAACACAATAGCATACCCACATGACTGCTAATCAACTTACGGCATCTTGATGACGTCGTAAATTACGATTTGCCAAGGACTATTCCTATTTTTATTCTCTGAATTTGAAAAACGGAATTGGGCTTAGATACTCTACGGTGGCTCGGACTATGAATGAACCTGCCAAGATGGAGCCGGCTGTCTGGAATAATAAGCCCAGCTGAGAGCTATACTAGTGACTCGACAAGCGAATGGAGCCATCACAGTGCGATCTAAGAGACGATATCCACGTCCGAGCTGAGCTATTTCGAAGAGAACAACACGAGTGTTGTGAAGCGGTCCTGTTTTGCGTACCTCGAGAGTCGTAAGCGCGTCGTTGTGTATTGCTATATGCCTCGTCGTGAAATATAGATACCCTTCGACGTTGATACACTATCCCTCATCACACCCAAATATCACTTGTGCAGCGATTGAGGTTAATGACTAACTTGCTACGCGGGCCTGGCGTTTGGAGACAGGATGAAACGAGATATATCCAGGCCACCAGCGACGGAATCTCAATTACTGTCGGGATATTCAACTGTTCAATAGTGGAGCCGATCCATGGTCACGTGATTTACTATCACGTGACTCACCCTGGCGGCTCACTTACACCACCATAAATACCTACAGCAGCAACCTCTTCTTTTTTCCTTTATTATTATCTTTACCTAGCTACTAATAGTTAATTAATACTATTATAGCTATATTAATTATAATCCCTATAATACTAACACTAATTAGTAGTTAACTTTATAGTTACTACTATTATAGATTAGTAAGGATTATTAGAAAAGGCTATAATACTTTACTTACTATAGCAGCTTAAATTAAAGTATTAAAGTGCTACCTAGCCTAAAGATTATTAGTACCTAAGATCTTATAATACCTAGTAAATAACCCTTTAAGCCCTATATCTACTATATAATAACTACTATTACTACTATTAACTTTATTACTTTTAGAGAAGTCTTTTTTTTTATATACTACTTACTTACTAATAACTTTTATAGTATTTAGTATAATTATCTTCTTTTTATACCTAAGTTTCTTTAAGTTTTTTATTTTTTATTTTTTAACCTTCTTTTTCTTTAATTATTAAGATTTTTATCTTACTAAGTTTTTATCTTACTATAGTAGTAATAGCTTATATAAGATTATAAGTAAATAGACTTCTATAAGTTTTTATTTAAATAAGATCTTACTAATAGGACTAGCTATAAAGTAGTTAAGTAAGAACTACCTAAGTAATTTACTTTTAATATAGTATTTATAAATAAATAGCTTTTACTAACCTTACCTTTATATACTTCTAATATTATATTATTAGCTAAGTATAGCCTATAGTAATTATAACTTTTTTCCTTAACTAAATAGTTAGTAGCTAATTATTACCTTTAGTAAGTATACCTCTTTTTATTCTTTAAGTAAAGTAAAAAAGGTAGAGGTTACTTATATTACCTTAATTTACTTACTTTTTCTTATCTTTTAAATACCTATTAATAACTACATTATCCTTTTTACTTTCTCTTTTTTTTTAAGTAAGGTATAGTTATTAGTAACTAATATAACTTTTACTTAACTTTACTATCTTAATTAATTTAAGAAGACTACTTATTATTTACCCTTAAGTAAGGTATATAACCTTAACTCCTTACCCTTCTTCCTTTAAAAATCTTTAACTATAGTATCCTACTTACTAAAAAGTAAGGTCTATATATGTCTCCTCTTATTCTTTAAGTAAGATCTAGCGTAAGGCCTCCCTAGAGCTATCTCTTTACGTTACTAAAGCGTAAGGCCTCCCTAAAGCTATTTACTACTATCTATTTATTTATTATTTTATCTCTTTATTTACTTTATCTCTTACTTATACCTCCTTATATTATATTATTTATCTACTTATCTTATTATTATTTATACTAATAGTAGTAATTCCTCTAACGTATAGATTTACCTCTAACTCTATAGGCAAGAAGTAAGTGCTTATAATTAAGAGGTTAGTAAGGCTAATAGAGGGTAATAATAGTAGAGGAAAAACTAAGTAAAAGGTAAAGTAAACTACAGGCGCTAGCTAGAGTAAAGAAGTATATCTATCTATAGGATGTTAAGGATCTATATCTTATCCTAGAGAGTTAAAAGTGTATTTTATATAGAGACTTGTATTTTTTTTAAAATACACTACTTATAAGGCTTAACTTTAAGTAATAAATTATATAATTAATATATAGTATAGATCTAAGAATTATTATAAGGGTTTCTTAATATACTTTCTATTTTTAGTAACTATATACTAATATATTTAAGTAAATATAACTTATATTTGTATTATATTTTTCTCTAGACATAATACAATATATATTAGTGTATATACTAAAAGTAGACTTTTAAAAACTAGGATTTAAAAGCGGGGCTTTTACCTAAATAGGAAATAAAAATATAGTTAAATCTAGATTAATAATCTCAGCCTAATGTCTATTTTTATATAGTTTTCTATATACTATATAAGCTAATATATATATATATATCTTTTAGCTACACCTAAAAGTCCTTAACACTTATATTAAATTTATATTTTTTTTATTAACTCTCTGTCTTATCCTAAAGTGCAGCTAGCCCTTTATTATTATATAACTATAGGGTATAACTAATTTAGCTAATATTCCTAACAGCCTTACCTAAGTTAAGTAACGTAACGTCTTAAGCACTATTATTATACTTTAAATAATATAATATAGCTTTATATAGCTATATAGTTAACAGCTATAGAGATATACTACTAAAGACTTTAAAGAATAGTTACTTAATACCTTTAAAGGTACTACTTATAAAGCTATTATTAAATTTAGAGACTACTTAATACATAGGGGCATATAAGTATTAATAGTAAAGTTACTAACTATTACTAAATAAATCTACTATACCCTTAAGGCTAATAATCTAAAGGCGTAGACACTTAAGGATATTAAAAAAGGGAAAAAAAGGAGTAAGGATTTTTACTTAAAGATTAATAAACCTAACTTTATATAAGATATTATAGACCTACTACTAGAAATAATATTAATATAAGATTAACTAGGCCCCTCCTATATTATTACCCCCTTAGTATAAGTCGCTTAAGTCTAGGAAGGTTAATAAAGGCTTATTAATCTAGCCTTATTATATAATAACCTAAATTTTATTTTTTTACTATTTAAGTAGGGTAAGTAACATTTTACCTTTTACTTATTAGATATACTAGTTACTACTACCCTTTACTTTATAACTTTACAAGCTTACTAACCCTTATAAATTATACCCTAATAAGATAAAGTATAGTAGAGAGGTATATAAGTTACTTAAATTAAAGCTTATAATCTTTTATAACTACTATATAAAGGCTAGGATCTAGTAAGAGCACTTTATAAGCGCCTTCTTTATTATACTTAAAGGTAAGGCTATAAAGTACTATACTAACTATCTCTATAACTAGACTAACTTTATTACTATAGTTATATAGATAAGGGGTAATTTTAAGAATAAAGAGACTTTTTAGGCCTACCTTACTAAGCTATAAAGGACTAATTTAATAAGGACTATCTTAAATAATCTAGATAAAAGTAAGGCTAAATACCTAAAGTTACTTATTAAGAGAGTAACTACCCTTATAAGAATAGTTATAAGGATTAATACCTTATCTAACGTAGCCCTCTGTAACTAATTACTTAACTTCTGCTATAAGATAAAAGAATACTCCCTTACCTTTTTTAATCTATCTTTAATATTTACTAGTGTGTATAGCTAGCTTTAATTAGTAATTAGTAACGTAATATAATTTAAATAACTTATATATTAATACCTAACTAAAGAAGTAGATAATTAATACTAGACTAACTATACTTATAATAGCTAGTAAAGTTACTAGTAATTTAGCTAACGTAACTATAGCTATAGTAACTTTATACTATAGCGCCTTTTTAATAGTAATCTATAGTAATAAGTACCTCTTTTGCCCTTATTATTATTTATAAAGAAGTGCTATATATATAGTAAGCCTAACTATTAGTTAATAAAGTACTTAAAAAACAAAAGGTAATAAGCCTACTATAAGTATAAAGAGTAGTATCTAACAGACTTTTTACCTAAAGCCTTTAACTACTTTATAACTAACTTTAAGGGATATAAGCTATTTACTTTAGATAAAGAAGGTAACTATATAAAGAGTAATAAAGATAAAGAATTAGGCACTACGTTTTATATATTAATAACGTTCTTTAACTTATCTACTATTAATAGGCCTACTCTCTTTTTATTACTATATAACTAATCTATAACCTATTTTCTTATAAAGGATAACTCCTTACATAAGAATCTATATAATAATAAGCTACCTAACGTAGACGTCTTTACTTTTAATAAGTAATATTTATCTATCTTATTTTATAGTATTATACCTAACTCTAGTGTAGCTAAATATTTAATAGCTAGATATAAGTAGTATCTTACCCTTTACTACTAAATAAAAAGAAATCTAGCTATAGATAAGTTATAGACAGGTAAAGTAAAAATCTGCTTTAGTAGTAGTAACTACTTTAAATTATAAGGGGTAATTAACATACTAACCCCCTTTAGTATACTAACCTTCTATATAATACTATTAAACACCTTATTTCTACTTTACCTTATAAATATAAATTAGTATAGTATTAAATTTAATAACCTTACTAATAAGCTAATTTAAGGTAACACTATTATACCTACTGTCTATAAATAAGGCTATATATAAATACTACTTAATTAATATAAGTAAAGTATTACTTACTACTATCTTATAGATATTAAGTTATAGTAAATTTATTATTACTTTAGCTACCTATTAGTTAAAAGGCTTTATTACGTCCTCTAATAATTTAGTAATAAAGTTAAGATTATAGCCTTAGAGAAATTAACTAAGGTCTGCTACTACTACTAGATAAATATAAAGGCGCCTAGTTACTTTAAATTTACTTTATATAATAATAAATATAACTTTAACTATAAGATTATTATTAATATTATCTACCTTAATAGTAACTGCCTAGCCTTATATATAGTTAATACTATAATATCTTTCTAAGTAGCCTATTTACTTAAAAATATTACTATAGAGTATATATAGAAGGCACTTTAGATATACTAAATTAACGTCTACCTTAGCCTACTTAACTAGATTATTACTAATACTAGCCTAAACTTTTACGCTAGTAAATTTAAGTAGTTAGTAAGGTTACTTTATATTAATATTAAAGAAATACTAATTAAAGCCTATAATAGTATTAGTAAAGTTAAAAGATACTATATACCCCTCTAACGCGCGTATAATATTCTTTATAGTAAGGGCTATACACCTAAGGTTACCTTTTAGCTAGCTATTAAAGTAATTAATAATATAGCTAGCCTAAATAGCCTAGTACCTACACTACTAGTCTTTAGCGCCTACCTATAAATCTCTAACTTATTACTACTTTTACTAACCTTACTTAAAAGGGCTAAAGTAGTAAGAAAAGTAATAGAGGCTATTTACTAGATCTATATAAAAAAGTAAGTTAATAAGGTAGTAACTATATATAACAGCCTAGATACTACTATAATAGTAGCCTTTCTGCTTTAATCTATAGTCTATATCTAGTATAAGAAAAAGGGCTAGTAAGGCCCTTTTTACCTTATTACTAGTAATAGGACTACTTATACTATTAACCTCCCTTAAGGCCTATAAACTTTTTATTTAACTATTATTAAACTATACCTTAAAGATACCTATAATAAGTAATAACAGCTACTCTCTAAGGTAGGTAGGTAAGGTAATAAGAAGAATAATAATAATAGTATAGTAGCCTTATTACCTACTAACGTCCTTATGCCTACTAAAGAAATATATAATAATATTACTATTACTATACACCTATAGCTAAAGTAAAAAGCTAGCTACCTATAGAGGTATATTAATTTCTTTAATAAAACTAGCTTTACTATTAGGCCTACTACCTTCTTTACTACTATAAGTATAGCGTACGTCTTAATAAAGAAAGAAGCTAACTAACTGTTATTAATTAAACTATAAAAAAAAAGTATTATTACTACCTTAGGGAAGCCCTTTAAGTAAGTAACTACTACTAAGATTAAAAAGCTTATTACCTATAAGGTATTTTACTTTATTTAATATAATAAGAATAAGTATACTAAAGTATAAATATTTAAATTATAGATTATTAATAAAGTAAAAAGCTAAAATAAAAAACTATATAAGAAATCCTACCTAGTTATCTAAGGATACACTAATAATAGTAAAAAAGTAATTCTTACTTAGTTACCTATAATCTAGTAAGCTAGCTAGCGCCTTATTTTTACCCTTACCTTATCTCTTATCTATAATAATAATAATTTCTTACTTTAGTTATATAATATTACTTAGGCGTATATATAGTTAACTACCTTATTAAATTATATAATTCTTATACGCCTTTTATTATAGATATAAGACTTCTATTTAAAAGGCACTATTATATAAGTAGTAAAGCCGTTATATAGTATTATAGAGGTAGGCACTTACTAGTAGGTAATATATAGTTACTACTATAAAGAAAAGCTCTAGATAAAGACTTTAACCTTTAATCTATACCTACTAATTACTAATATAGAGAGCTTAGACTTTAGGATTATTAGTATATAAACTAATAATACTATTACTTTTTTAAATAAATCCTTCTCTGCCTATAAGGCTAATAAGCTTACTAAGGCTATATTTACTACTAAGGAGAAGTAAATCCTTACTATTAATAACCTACTTACCTTTAATAGTAGTATAGTATCTCTAACTACTAAAAGGAAGCTCTTTCTCTAATAAAAGGGCTAAGGTAAAAGACTTAAACTTATTAATAAAGAATCTCTATAAGCACTTAAGTAGTACGTTAAGTAATAGGCCTATAGTGCGTATATTATATTAGTCTACTAGCCTAAAGCGTACTTTAACTACTTTATTATAGTATAACACTAATTACCTAATATAAATAAGATTAAGGCACTTAACTATTATATTATATAGTAAATAAATAACCTTAACTATAGTCTGTTATTTTATTTACTTAACCTTAAATCTATAAAGCTTTTTATCTTTATAAATAGATTATTTATAAATAATAAGGACTTTACTTTATAGCTAGGATTTATTATTATTTTTACTAATAAGGCACCTATAAGTACTACTATAAGTAATAAATTTACTATAACTAGTAATATTATTTACTTTAGCTTAATAAAGTATAAGTAAGTTACTTAAAGTGTACTAGCCTTTAAGATCTATAGTATAGTTACTAGTACTAATATTACTTATATACTTAGTAGAACTATTATAATAATTACTAACTACCTTAAGCTACTATATATACTAATAATCCTTTATACTAACTTATACTTACTTTATAAGTGCTTTATTAAGCTTAGGACTATAAAAAAGAAAAGGCTTATAATTAATATTATAGCCTTTTAGTAGTTATATAAGTAATATAAGGTCTATAAGGTATAATAAATATAAGGTAATAATAATCTTACTAATAGATTTACTAAATTATTACCTAATAAGGCACTAAAATAACTAGTTAGAAATAAAATAGTTTAGATTAGTATAAAGAGATAAGTTTTTTAAGCTATATAATAGATTATATAAACAAAAAGTATTAAATACTTTTAGGCTTTTAATTTTTATTACGTTTTTAGGCTTTTTAGCTACTAGGCAGTATTTAGGCTATTTATAGTAATTTTCTTTTACTTTAGAAAGTTACTAGTGTTAGGATATTTAACTATTTAATAGTAAAGCTAATCTATAGTTACGTAATTTACTATTACGTAACTCACCCTAGCGGCTCACTTACACCACTATAAATACCCACAGCAGCAACCTCTTCTCTTTTCCTTCATCATTATCTTCACCCAGCTACTAATAGTTAATTAATACTATTGCGGCTACATTGATCGCGATCCCTGTGATACCAACAATTACAGTTAAGCATTTTGTCACAAAAACGACGCCGTCAATTGCGGGCAGCAATTAACGCCTAATATACCCTGCGACACATCTTGATCTATATTATGCGATCATTAGATGGCCCAGTATATTTACCTTATTTAAGGGAGGTAGCTTCTGAATCTTTCAAATATGGGCCAACCTGGCTGAAACGGCTCATAAAGAAAAGGCAGACGTAGATGCCACTCTTATCCTAAATATCAACGCGCGTATCTCGTCTATACCGACCTGATGCGAAAGAAACTTGCGTATATGTAGCTTACGGACATAATGCCTTGACTGAGCTAAATTATCTTTCTTGCCAGCGTCACATTGGCCTGGAGAATTGGACTCGACTATCTCTGCCATCACATAATTATGTGGCCGACTGAGGGAACCCAATGGGGGGGATTTCGCTTTCTGCACCATAAGCCGCGTTTTCAAGTGAATATTGACCCCGTAGTGAGAGCCAAATCCCATTAAAGCAGTTTTGGATCCCAGAAGTAAGAGAAATTATTTACACATAGACAAGCAACCCCTCAGTCGTTGAGTTTCATTCAGCGAGAAGTGGGTCGCTAGATAAGACGGTATTCGCGGGAAATGGTATCATCGATCGAATTTTCATCCTGACAACACCACCAATCACGAGTTGGAGTGCTCTCATCGAATTCCTGCCAACATTCAACAACGCTGGGTTTGACCAGAGCACTGATCACTATGGCAAGCCATCATGAAGGCTTAACCAACTTTGTCGCCTACCTGCAGAGGGGCGTCTGGGTTCCCCGCATTGGCCATTTTGATCTGGAGAGACAGACTATACAGCCCCTCAGCTTCGACTCTGGAACTCCTGTGGAAAATCTCTACCAAGTCATCGAAGCAGGTGCTGGCCGATGTATCGCTGCCGGGCCAGTGATATCTGTAAACGATGTCAAGCTGCTGCCACCGCTCTCTGCCCGGGATGTTCTCGCTGTTGGCAAGAACTACATGGAGCATGCCAAGGAGTTCAACAGTTCAGGCTATGACAGTTCTGACAAGGTTGACCGGCCCAGTCACCCCGTCATTTTCACCAAGCGTGCGACTTCCATTATTGCACACGGAGACGATATTTACCTTCACAGGGGCTTCACTGAAAGTGCAGATTACGAAGGAGAGATTGGTGTCATCATTGGGCAGGCTGGGTACCAGATACACGAGAATGATGCTTGGAACTATGTCTGGGGCTACACCATAATCAACGATGTGACAGCCAGGGAGAGACAGCGCGACCATAAGCAATTTTACATTGGGAAATCGCCAGATACTTTCTGTCCAATGGTAAGTATCATCGGAAACGAGATCTCATGATATGAAACTAACCAGGCTCAACCAGGGTCCGATTGCTGTAAAGAAGGAGGACTTGCCAGATGGGGGTCGATTTTTGAGATTACAAACCAGGGTCAACGGCGAGTTGCGCCAGGATGCGACAGTCCAAGATCTGATATTTTCCATACCTTGCCTTGTCAGTACACTGTCAGCTGGACAAACCCTGCAACCGGGCGACATCATTGCAACCGGCACAGTAGGCTTCAAAAAGAACCCCCCCATCTTTGGAACACTATGCAATGATGCTGATCACAAATCAAGCCCGCAGGTGTAGGAATCGGTCGGAGCCCTCCGGTATTTCTGAAAGTCGGTGACGAGGTCGCAATCACAGTGACTGGGCTTGGAACTCTGGCGAACAAAGTTGCCGGACAGTCCGAGGAAGACTATCCTAAGCCGCAATATGGACCTGGATCAATGTCAAACTTTCGACTCACAAATGGGGAAAAGTTAAGCCTCGGCCAAGCCAGCTTGAGCTCAAAGAACAAAAGTCTTGGATACCAGCGTTTAGGTACAGGGAAGGAAGCTGTAATCTTTGTCCATGGCCTAGGCGGCACCAAAGACTATTGGCTCCCACTCATCTCGACACTGTCGCTTCCTTGCTCAGTTTCTGCACACGTTTACGACATAGAGGGACATGGTATTGCTCCAACGCATCCTCTTCGGAAAATCACCATAGATACCCTAGCTGAAAGGCTGTTGGATGTCTTCGATTTGGCAGATGCGTCGGTTCGATTTCCAGCAACGTTGATAGCTCATTCTATGGGGTGTCTCGTGGCGATAAAGTTCGCACTCGCACATCCGAGTTTGGTCAAGAAGCTGGTACTTCTCGGCCCCCCACCATTGCCTATCCCGAAAAGCCAGGCAGAAGCTTGGGCCTATGAAGCAAATCAAGTGCGAAGCCATGGCATGGGCGGGATCACTGATCAAATCATATCGACGCAGCTTTCACATCATAGCCAGAGAACGAATCCTCTCGCCGTGGTCGCCACAAGGTTAAGTCTCCTGGGACAAGTTCCCGAGGGGTATGCAAAGGCGTGTTCAGCACTTGCTCAGTTCGACGGGTCTCTAGATTTGGAGGCCTTGACAACGGACACAGCTATCATCACTGGAAAGGACGATCCTGTCTCGCCACCCAAATTGGCCGAGGAGTATGCTCTCAGAATCAGCAACTCGCACTATACGGTGTTGGAGAACGTAGGACATTGGCACGTTTTTGAGGATGCAGAGGGGGTTGCAAAGAGCTTGAGGAACTTTTTGTAACCTTCATAGGTTTTTGGCGTAACAGAATGTTCTTTCTCAGAAAAGGTGAAGAAATGCGTTCGGGTTTATTAGTCCACACATAGGAAAATATATTTGACTCATATCTTCTAATACATTTCAAGCCTCATGACCGTAATTCTACTCAACTGTGTTGTTTCATGTAAGACTGCGGGGGCTATTCTGGCATCACTTCAACTTTCGGATCGAACCGTCTTCGCCAGTCGTGATTCTTGAGTCAACTCGCCTCAAGAATCAAGATGAGAAGTCGTGCCCAGGTGTTGCATGTGTACCGGTATCCCGCAAGGCCAGCATGCCGGATCCCGGTGAGGTTATGAAGATGCATGCGGATCCCGGAGGGGCTCGCATGCGAAGGCGGGCTTTGACCGGCTCCAAGCTCTACCGGACGCAGACGTTTCTGAGACTCTCCGTATATAACTGATACATTTGGTATACGTTGATAAACTGATGACTGATGAGGAGTTACGGAAAGAGGACGACGAAGCTAGTTGACAGCAAAATGCAATGCCTAGACCGGGGACCGGCTACGTGGCGGTACCACAGGCAAATAAATAGCCCTACTACGAGACCTGTTCCATAATGCGCGACAAAATAAACGAGCCCCCAAGCACATTTTCCTTGTGGAGCACTTTTGTCAGTAAAAATGCAGCAGTAATCGCGGCGATAGGCAATGCGGCGACTTTGGTGGTTCTGGCCAGCACGGAACCCTTGCCCTCCACACCCTCTTCGTCACCGTAAGGCCACTCGTGGGCAGACGAGAGGGTGCCGAAGCCCTTCAGGCTCAAGCCGCCGGTGATTAGATCGCTGTAGTAGTTGAGCCACAGGGGAGTCGGCATGAGGGGCATGATGTACTTGAACAGCAGGCGGTCCTTCAGGCTGTCCCAGGCGGACGCGCGCATGGCGTTCTGGCTCTTATTCACCATGTCCTCGACACGGCGGATGCGCTGGCGCTCGACGGCGGCGAACGCCTCGGTTAGCTCGGGCAGCGCCCAGGACGCGCCGCCGACGAGGCCCCCGTCCCGCAGGACGTTGACGAGCGAGGCGCACGACTCGATGCAGCTGTTGCCCCCCTGGCCGACGAGGGGATTGAACTTGTGCGCCGCGTCGCCGAGGATGATGATGCGCCCGTAGTGCCACCGCCGCATCACAAAGTGCGGCAGCGCCGTGACGCCGCTGTGCTTGAGGTTGTCCACGACGGCGCGGAAGCGTACCCCGTTGTCGGCGACGATTGCGTCGGCGCTGCGCGCGAGCTCGCGCCGCTTGTCCTCGTCGTCGAACCGCGGGATGTCGTCGATGGGGCACGATTGCTGCGACGCGGGCAGCGTCCAGAACCAGAAGACGAAGACCTCGGCGCCGGCCCCGCCCATGCAGGCGGCCAGGGTACCGTCGCCGCTCGCGCCAATGACGTCGCCAGGCGCAATGCCGGTCGTCGGCTTGGCCGTGCCGAAGATGCAGGCGTGCTCGCAGGGGACGGTGCCTCTGTCGCGCGCGGGGATGGCGGCCGAGTCGCCGTTGTCGTCGGCGTTCCTCCACATCTCCTTCCTGATGGTGCTGCGCACGCCGTCCGCGCCTACGACGATCTGGCCTTCAAACACAGATCCGTCCGTGGTATAGACCAGAGCACTCCCCTCCTGGGACTCCACCCGTTGCACCTTCTTGTTGAGGACTATCCTATCCTTGTCTTTCAAGTGCTCATACAACACGCACAGCAGGTCATGTCGTTCCATGATTACGCCCGGGTACCCGTGCCGTTTGAGCATGAGATCCTTCGAATAGCGGGTCATGATGCGCTTTCCAGAGGCGGCGTTCCGACAGATTGTTATCTCGGATGGTTGCGATTTGGCCAGAATGTCTTGGTAGCAGCCTAGCTGTTCGAGAATTCGCAGGCCGTTGGGCCAGAGGCCGATGCTGGCCCCGACGTTCGGAGTCACCGTGCCGTACGCCTCGAGAAGCACATAGTCGATGCCAATGTTCTGCAGCATCAGGGCCAAGGTGAGGCCCGTGATGCCACCGCCGACGATGACAATCTGGTGCTTTGCTTCATGGGTGGTGACCATGGCGCTGTGAAGCCCTGTCGAGCGAGGGGGTTGGTCCAAGATGACAATCAATAATTTATAAGCAGAAACGGTGCATGTCGATAAGATGGACTTTGCCGAGATTGGGGAACAGCAAGCTGCGAAGCTGTCTTTATATCCGGAGGGCGGCGATGTCGTGCAGTAGTTCGGTTCTGCCACACCGAAATCCGCAGATACAGTTACAATTGCAAAAGAATCTCAAGTCAGCAGACGCCGTTGTCAAGTCTACTGAAGGAAAGCGGCGGAAAAGGGACAATTCCAAAGGTCAGCCCATAAATCCAGTCGGCTTGGCTTCAGGAAGTTTGTGTGGTTTCCGCAGCGTGTTGTCGTGATAGCGTGCACAACAGTCCAGCGACCCACCGCGCAGGCTATCGAAAACTCCATATATATTGGCTGCTATGTCCGACACGGGACGAACACTCTGGTTTGGAGAGGGAAACGGTGTAGGGCGGGGGGGGTGTGGTGGGTAATCCCCGCAGCGGTTAGGTTATGTCCGCTCTGTTTGTCTCCGCCCTACCGTCCATCATAAGGTATGTTTGCTCCTCTGCATGAAAGTTTTACAAACATCAGATGACTGAAAACCCCCATCCCCCCGAATACTGGCTCGTTCCTACGTCATCGGGTCTTATAAGGAGAGCCGGACCGAAGCTTGCAGTACCGACAACGCTAGTAAGTAGTAGAGAAGGCCTGGGCGCCATCCATCTCTCTCATCCGCATGTTGACATGCTGGCTCGGATGAACACTTCTTCAGTGAATTCTGGCGTCGTCGACTGCCCCCTTAAGCCCAAGTCTGATACCGACTGAGGATCCCGTCCACGTACATTTGAACACCGGTCGGAGTAGAGGTGGAATAGTCGGACCAACGAACTGCCCTGTGAGAAGTTGGCAGTCGAACCCTGACTGTGATCGTACTGTATATGCAGAGTCGCTACAAGGGGGTGCATGCACTTTGGAGGTAGGCTTTTTTGATAGTGGTTGTAACAAAAAAAAAAAGTCAGTTTCCCTATTCGGACATTTGCTGAATGAGCTACTAAATGAATTCAGAGTCTGGATGAAACCTCACAGCGCTCATCTCTATAGGCGGACCGCCGATCGGAGTCTTTTAATACCGATCATTTCAGACTGCCATATTGTCACATTGTGTACGGTGTGTTTACCATGTCTACAGATGGAAGGTTCGGGGATGGCACTCAATTCGTGGTTATCGTCATTACGTGATCGGGGAACCATCTTGTCATGAGGCAAGATGGAACGAATGCAAAGGGAAATGCTATGGCACGCGCAGCATGAGGATTTTGTGAAACCTTTCCATGACGAATGCAGCGAATGAGATATAAGAAGCCGACGCATTGTGGGTATAAGTCAGGTGAACGAAGGAAGACTGACTATTGTCGTGAAAGATGAAGAGGGAATAAATCGTGATGCCCAAGTCAAAGTCAAGGGAAGATGCTGGGTGATGGCGATGCGTTACTATGGCTCTGTGCCGTCCGATGGTGACTTCTCCTCTGGCCCCGTCAATGACGACGGTTCTTCCTTCTTTTCGATTGTAGTTTGCGCCTGTGTCGTCGAAGCCGTCTTTGGGACCTGGGACTCGAGACTGCTTGCCTCCTTCGAAGGGGGGAAGTACCCCTCGGCGTTGACATCGGTACCCGAAGCGGGTTTCTGTTCGTACCGCGACACGCCCGTGAGCTTGTCCTGGTTCTTGGGGTCCGCTTCCTTCATCTCGGCAACGGGCGCCTTGGAGTCGAAGACGACGGCGACCTCATCGAGCGGGGTGGCCATCCCTTGCAGCGCAAGCTGGATCTTCTTCTTGGCCTCGATGCGGAAGTCCTGCGCGTCCTGGGGCGCGCCCTGGGAGCCATCAATGATCCTCCCCTCGCGACCCCGGTCGTCATTGATGTCCGTGCCGATCTCTGCCTCGCCCTTGAGAGCCTTGGACATCCGGGAGGCGACACCCTTGGGGTCGCTCTTCTGCGCGTCTTCGGCATCGCTTTTGCCGTCCGGCCTGGACGGGAGTCCTACTTGATCTGATTCTTCCAAAGGCTTCTCAGCGGGCTTATTGGTAGCATTCTTGTCGTCGTCCAGCTTTAGGGCGGTATCGACGCCCTCGGTGACCCTGCGGATCTCCTCCTCGAGGTCGGCCTCGCCCTCGTTCGCGGCCGATGCGAGCTGTCTCGCGGCCTCCTTCTCGCCGACGATGCTACGCCAAAGGTCCTCCAGCTCGTCGCCCCAGCCGAGCAGGGTGGCAAGCTTCCGTACTCCGGCATCGCAGGTACCCAGTTCGACGACGTCGTCGGCTCTCCGACCCATCTGCCCCACACGCTCCCTGTTCAGCAACAAACGAGGGATTCCAGACCGCGACGCCTCGGCCAGACCCGCAAAGGGGTAGACCGAGAGGCTAGTGCCCAGGACGATGATGAGGTCGGCCATGGCAGGCAGATGGGTGTTGTTCCGGAACGACTCCGGCAGGGCTTCGCCGAAGAAGACAATGTCCGGCTTCACAAGCCCGCCACAGGTGTCGCATTTGGGGACAACCTCGTCCTGAACGTGCTTCTGCATGCGGTCGGCGGGGAACACGGCGCCGCAATCGATGCAGCGCTGCGTGGCGAAACTGCCGTGGGCCTCGATAACCTTGTCGTCGGGGACGCCGGCACGCCTCTCGAGGCAGTCGATGTTCTGCGTGAAGTTCATCTGCAGCAGGCCCTTCTTGGCGAGCAGGGCGATGAAGGCGTGGGAGACTGTGGGGTAGAACTTACCCGGGTAGAGCTCCTTGGCGAGGTAGTAAAAGGGTTCGGGGTGCTTGCGGAAGTATGAAATGTCGAAGACGGCCTCAGCGTAAGGGAGGTTCAGGCGCGCGAGGTTGGCGTAGAGGCCAGTTCCAGGGGATCTGAAGTCGGGAACTGGATGCTGTTAGGCTCGGTCCGTCTCTCACAAGGGACAGAAGGAGATAAGGAGGGAGACGAACTGCCTGCGGCGGTGGAAATGCCGGCGCCAGTCATGACGGCAATCTTCTTGACCTTGCCGGACTTGATGTAATCGGCGACAGCTTCGAGGGTGCGCGCCTGCAGCGTCTTGGGCTGGACGCTCTCGTCCAGCATGGTGGACTCTTCGTTACCCATCTTCTCGCGCGGGCGGTTCGAGTTGGGCCGGCCCTGGGGGTGCTTGACGCGGCGTCGGCGGCCTATGATGGGCGAACTGGTGGTGGTGGAGTCGACGTGAGGGGTGATAGAGGGAGGTAAGACTGTTGATGCGCCAGTCGTTACTGGTGTGTGGTCTCGAGACGGAGTAGCAGAGAGATGTCCTCGCTAAGTGCAGTGTGATGTATGTCTAGGTAGGAATACTGTTGCCTACAGACAAAGAAGCAGGTGATGATGATGGAGTTGGGAGCAGCTAACCTGACTCTCTCTGCCTCGAGAGTCCTACCAGCCGGGAACTAAAAAACCAAAATAAATAAGGCGTTGGTCCACCACATTGTGTGTGTTACATCATGCTGCGACACCCCACCCCCGCCATCAGCGCCTTTGGAGCTCTTATCGCCGCCCTTATCGGGCCCGGGAATAATCAACCAGAGGTTTCTAGAGCGCTGGGGCTTCAGCGACTCTTCATTGGACAAATCGTCCCCTTTCTGTTACTCGACCCCGAGTCTGCCATCATCAAGGCGTCACATCGCATAGGCCGACAACTGAACATCAGTCAAAGGCAATATGCATTCGGGCTCGTGAGGAAGTGAAGCGGAGCGAGCTGCATAGATCAACACCGTTTGCGACTCGAACACCGAGATCCATCAAGACGATGTCTATCCGGCATGCAGTTGCATGATGGGACACTCATTCCACCAGCGTTACCCACCCATGTCCTCACTCCCTGCCTGTGACTGACAAAACTGCAAGATAGCGCTTTCTAATATCTATTATGGTGGGAGTCGCGTCAACTGAAACAGACAGCATTAAAAGGTGTCCCCCAAAGTACGAGATAATGTCCTGTACTTCCCCCCCCGCTGATTGGCACACGAGAATTCAAAAGAGCTTGTCTCCAGGCAAACGAAACAAAAAGACGAGCACGGTGCCACCAATCGACATCATCATCGCCGCCATATACGGCAGCCCAATCCACACACCTCCTGCCGCGTTTCCAGCCTTCAGCAAGCCGGAGATGATGGGCGCCGAAACGAGCATACTCATCTGCTCCATCCAGCTGATGGCTGTGTTGAGCGTGCCGATCGCATAAGGCTCCACGACGGCGTTGAGTACCGCTCGGCAGAGGTTGGCATAAGAGATGCCGAAGGAGAGGATGATGAGCGCTAGACTTGCGTCAGTCGGTAGGGCTCTGTCTAAGTAGTAGGGCTGCGGCGGGGAGAAATGAAAATGGATGCAGCAAAGGGGGACACACATACCGATAACGAAAAACCAGGGTGCGAATGCGACTGCAACCATGAAGCAGCCGAGAGACATGAGGATACCGGTCATTCGGACGAGCCAGAGGTCTCGGATAAGAGGATGCACGGCCGTACGCTTTGTGATATACCAGCTCGCCGCCGGGAGGATGGCAAGCAGCATGATGATGTGGGCGATTACCGCTACGGTCGAGACGAGGGTGGCCTATTTTTCCTCGCCGTTAGCATGAAGCTTTCTACCAGTACAGCGTCAAACATCTGAAGAGAGTGTGTATTCACCTTTGCCCAGGACCAACCAAACAAGTTATGGACGTACTGCGACATTATCTCATCCTTGACATACTTAACGATAAGCGTCAGGTTGAAGCCAGCCACCAGAGGAATCACCCTCCGGGAATTGATCAGAAATTTATAGACGTGGCCCATGTCGTTTTTGAACGCAAACATGCTTTGCTCCTTTACTGTATGTTTATCCTTCGTGCCATGCTCGGGCCGGTGGAGGGTCTGCTCGAACTCCTCATCAGCAGCGCGGCGCAACTCGAGCGTTTCGGGAATGAACGGCGGCAGACACGTCCCAATAACCGATAGAATGTTGCCAACTATGAGAGGCATCCAAGGGCTCTTGATTTGCAGATATGCACTGAGAGGGGCGACGAAGAGGTTTCCACCGAGAGCGACTGCTCCGATCCTGAAGTAAACCGTCGTCCTATGGAGCGTCAGTCCTGTTACCATCACGACGTGGGCGCTGGGCCACATGACCATACAGGTTTGAAACGGGGAGCATGTCGGAAACCATTGTCCAGACCATAGCCCCAACCATTCCTGTACCTCCGCCGATAAACTGGAACGCAGAACCAAACCACACGGTCCAGAGGGGCAAGACGTCGGGCCACAGGACTGGCATCGATTAGCAATGTTTCCGGGCAAGTGACGATGACGACCCACGCGGCTGCAGCCTCCACACGAACTCTAGCATGCTGCCCAACATGGCTAGTGATAAAACTGGACGGCGCCCATACTTATCGGCAATGACGCCGTAGGGGATAGCCGTGAGCAGTGCTGTGCTCATGATCAGCATGGTTCTATCAAGCAGAATCGAGGGTTTAGACGCACTCGGTATGCAGCTGAATGAGGTTTGCCAGCCCTTGATCATGGCGAGCTCTCCTTGGACCACTGCTGACTTGCAAACATCGTCGTGCCCGCTTTGTGAGATGATGTGGTCTGGATAGTGCTTGCGGCAGATGATCTCCTCCATCAGCTGGAACGACGGTGGGATCTGGAGATATGCACCGATCTCGATGATAATAACAAAGACCATTGCTAGACCGATGATCTTGACTTGATAAGCCCTCGGCGGCGCAACGGTAGACGGCAGATCGTGGGTCAGCAGCGGCGCATTCTCCTCGCGTCTCGTCCCTTCTACGTCAGGCACCATTTTGCAAACCTCTTTCAATTTTGGCGCTTGCAATTGGCAAGAGATCTGAAAACGCTACAGAGCATTTCCCCCCTGAAGCCTAAATAGAGAGAGAGGCTCAAAAATACTCATTGAGAAGGAGAGATTGCATACTTAGCACGGTCTCAACTTACGGAGATGAACTGGGGAGAGACATTTGTATCTTCACATTGCCTATATAATCATACGTCCCTGCAAACCTTCAAGACGAGCCGGCCAACCCTTGTGCCGACAGCCGTGCGCTGGCAAATGCGAGTCAACGCAGCGCCGTGAGTTAAACGCTGTGGACGATTCCTCCGCTCTTAGCTCTGCTTATCGCAATGTTGCAACGATATCCCCGGCCAGCTTGCTAATCGGCCATGGAATGAATGGGGTTGCCCCCGAGTTGTCGGGAATCCGAACCATATACGAAGCGTACAAATAATCATGCGTTTCTTACGCAGTGTTAGAGGCGACGCACCCCGTTGTATTCGGCATCACCTTGGCCACGACCCGGTATGCCGCACCATCTCGTCTTCGACGTCCCAGACACATGATCTAAGAAATCTTCTTCTCAAGATGTAAGGCTAAAAAGTAACCTTCGTCCCAGACAGCTACCGTCAACTCTCGTCAGATTCACAAACCACCCAGGCCACCCACTAGGTCTTTTTAAGAAGGCGGTCAACCTACCTACCCCACCGTTTCATCCTACGAACTATCCACCCACTCAGCAGCACGTGGTCAGTGCGGCTTGTGAATTTGACGAGAGTTGACGGTAGCCTCAGTACGGAGTAATCGGGTCCTGGGAGAAGAACCAACCAAAAGGGCGTTTATCCTAAATCTCCGACTGTATGCATGTCAGCGGCTAGTTATCGGCTATGGTCGCGCGTCGGATCCCAACAAGGGTGCCGAGTGGTTGGGAATTGGTATGCTAGCTTCAAAGCTTATTCGTGTTTGGCGCTAAGGCAAAGCACCCACTTTTCGGCACCCCCTGCATTTCGGCCACCTTTTCCCACCAAAAACAGCTAAAACTAGCTATTTATATCTTAGTACTCTTATAGATATTAAGTTCTAGGAAAATTAGTATAGATATATAGTATAAATAAGAAGTCTTAAAAAAAGTTTCTACTATTTTTATATAGTAGATATAGAGAAATAGTACTATATATATAGCTGTTAAGGTTTACTAGTAATTTACTAGTAAGTACTAATACTTTAAAATCTTTAATAACTTCTTTATTTATAAGCTAAAAATATAAAATAAAGAAGTTTTATATATTTTATACCTAGAAGAGTATATATATACTACTATATAAAAGATATTTATAGCTAATTATAAAGTTATTCGTAATATTAAATTTTACTGGTAAAATTTTCTTAGTAGTAAACTTATTTTCTTAATAACTAAGTATAAAAAATACTTAAAAAAATAAGAGCTTAGTATTTATAGCTATATTATTTTTAAGTAATTTATTATTATTTTACTATATATATAGCTCTTTTCTATTAGCTATATTCTTATATAGTATAAACTTTTAAAGGCTTTATATTATAAGTTTATATTAATAATAATCATATCTTATTAAGCTTATAGTAATAAGTAAATTTTCTAGACTTTATATAGAGAAAACTAGAATTATATATCTAATAGGTGTATAGATATAAGTAGCTGCTTTTAGCTGTTTTTGGTGGGAAAAGGTGGCCGAAATGCAGGGGGTGCCGAAAAGTGGGTGCTTTGCCTTATCACGCTGGCAGCTGTTCGATAAATGGCAGCGGCTCAAGCCGTCATCTTTGGCTGGTTTGGATCTGTATTTGTATGACTAAGCCAAGGGCCGCGGGGTAATGACCAGCGAACGCGCTGCGTATGCAACAGAGCCACCCCGCCAGTCCACTGCACTGACCTTCAACACAACGATAACGGAACGCCTCATCTCACAATGGCTGCAGTGACTAAGACCAGCCCTCTAGTGATACCCCCTCCATCTCTCTCATTATACAAGATGTATTTGAACTAATCAGTGAGTCATGAATAGTCCGATGACGAGGCTCGTTGGATCAAGCTCGTCAAGATCAACTACAAGGACCAGAACGGTCAGGCTCGCACCTGGGAATCCGCCGAGCGCCGTACGCGACCCAAGAACGGCGAGATCGACGGCGTCGGCATCGTCGCCATCCTCGAGAAGCCCACGGGGCCCGAGATTGTCTTGCAGAAGCAGTACCGGCCGCCCATCGACAAGGTCACCATCGAGGTCCCCGCGGGATTGGTCGACGAGGGCGAGACCGCTGAGGAGGCTGCCGTGCGCGAGCTCAAGGAGGAGACTGGTTACGTTGGGAAAGCGTCCGAGACGACGCCCATCATGTTCAATGGTGCGTTTTTTCCCTTTCCCATTTTCTCAGCTGATAGGTTTTGCTGCTGCCGCGCGGCTCTTGTGCTAACTCTGCGGCCATTCCCCATCTCCTAGACCCCGGCTTTTGCAACACGAACCTGCGCATGATCCACGTCACAATCGACACCTCTCTTCCTGAGAATCAAAACCCTAAAGCCGAGCTGGAAGAAGGCGAGTTCATCGAGGTCTTTACTGTGCCCCTGGCCAAGTTTTGGGACGAGTGTGTCCGCCTTGAGGCCGAGGGCTACGCAATCGACGCCCGCGTGGGGACCATAGCTGAAGGCATCGAGCTAGCCAAGAAATTCAAGCTGTAATGCCGCTTTGGTGTCTCAACCCCCCCAATCCTTTGCGGTTACCATGTCGTCCATTTCACAACTTGCCCTCGCGACGGAGACCCTCCCACAGGGCCAGCGCAGCAAGACATTTCGCATCCCTCGCGCCCTCGCGCCAGAGATCCTTCATGGCCACCAACTTCAGCGTGATCTTCTCGCCGTGATTCCGCAACCCCGTCAGCTTCCCGCTCCAGTCACTCAGCTGCCCGCGCGGGATCCTCTTCTCGTGACTGTACAGCGTGACGAACTCATCACACCCGCCCGCCGATGGATACATGGCCTCCGCCAGACCCTCGCCGGCCTCGTTGCCCGCTGATCTCCCTGCTCCGGCGAGCTCGCTGAGACAGGTGAGTTCCGACTCGTGGATATCCAGGCCCAGCTCCTCTTTGATCTCCTTGGCCGCCGCGCCCGCGAAGCTGCCGCTATCGTCGACCATGCCCGCGGGCAGCTCTACAAACGACAGGCTGCCGACGGGCACGCGCGGCTGGACGGTCAGAACAACGTAGCGCTCATCGCTATCGAGCGGCACGTCGTCAGGGATGAGCATGACGAGCATGCCCACGCTGGGGCCGCGGAGGAAGACGCTGGCCGGGAGTCCTTCCCCGGCCCCGTTCTTCACGTCGGCAGTGACTTTCAGGAAGCCGACGCGGCCGGAGCCGAACATATCGAACGCTTGGACGGTGACGGCGCGCAGCTGGTACGGGTCCGGGTGGAACGGGTGATGTTTGCTCTTGGCTTGCAGGTCCAGAGACCTAGTGAGGCCCTTGACCCAGTTCTGGTGGACATGTTAGTCAGTACCTAGAGAGTATCGTCTGAAGACGTCGTCTTACGTTGAATGGCTTGAAAGCCAGCAAATGATCTTCAGACAGTCCGTCAGGCAGCTTGACCTGCAGGCCGCTGTCCTTCAATGTGATGGTTGACATTGTGCGGGTGGTCAGGGAAGAGTGAGAAGGTGAGGGACACAATTGGAAAGCACGAGATTGCAAGCAGTAAAGTATCGGCTTCCGGGTAGTATTTGTAACCACTTGGCGGAACCAGAGCGTGGCGATTGTCATCTCTCTTTTTCTCATGAGACGCGCATGAAGTCAGTCAACCTCGTGGTAAACCTAGCGTGGATGTAAGTGCCAAAGTTCACGTCAGGCCAATGAGGTCGTTCGGTGGGGTTGCTTCCAGCAGGCAGGTAGGCACCAAAGCACCCAAGCGCGCTAAGCACCGTCTCAGGGCGACCCTGCTAAATAGACCTGCACTTCTGCCTAGGTACCTACCTAGCTAGGTAAAGAGGTACCTAGCGTCTTCAACAGAAAGTGCAGAAACACTGCTAGTGGCATCAACGTAAATGCCTTAGAATAAGTACTATTATTTCAATACTAAATCAAATCGTTAGGTATCCTTTTTTTCTCTGCCCAAATGTTGTATACAGTTAGTGTGCAATTGATGTGCTGCACACGCATCATCCCGCAATCAGTTGCCCCCGATTCCATAGAGTTTACAGCCGCTTCACAGCTGCTAGTCGTGCTGGAAGTTCATCCAAGCGCTGGCAACCTGCTAGTCCATTCATTCAAGAAAGTTTTTTATGTTTCCGCCAATGTTCTTCAAATCCAACAGAAACGTGTCGTGGCCAAAGAAACTCATCTCCTCGCTCAGCTCAAAGTGCGCAACATTCCTGTTGCCCGCGAGCTTCAGAGCCTCCGCCACTTCCCTCTGCTGCCAAGCCGGAAAGAGGATGTCGCTGGCCACTCCGATGACGAGAGCCGGAATATCTCTCAGGGGCGCCAGGCCTGCGATGAGGTCTTCGGGCGGCCTGGAAGACACTTCACTAGGCTGGTCCGAGGCACCGCCGTTGGACTCGGGCTGCTCCTCATATGGCTTCTCAGGGAGAGTGAGGCTGCAGGCTGCATCGTTGCGCGTAGGGCCGACTCCGGACTGCATGAGCTTCGCGCGCTCTGCTCTTCTCGCGCTGGCGGCCATCTGGTTTTCACGTCCCAGGTCAAACAGATCCATAGCCTTGCTGACATATAGCAGACTATTTGGGTCATACGTCAAACAAAACTTCTCACCCGCGTGATCCAGATATGTCTCGATCAAAAAGTCGGGGCATAGCGCAGGGGGCTTGCTGGGATCCGCCCTCCGCCTGCCAAAACGTTGCTCCCATTCCGGACCCGACCGGTATGTGACCGTCGCAATCTCGCGCGCCAGTTTCATGCCAGCGTGAGGCGGCACTCTGCCGTAATAAAAGCCTCGATTCCAATTGGGGTCCATCATCAACACCTGCCGTTGGGTATGGCGCATCGCGATACTGTACGGGTGACTTCTGGCGCAACCGCTAATAGACACGATTCTGCCAACGCGGTTGGGAAAGAGGACGCCAGCAGCTAGAGATTGCATGCCACCCATGCTGGATCCAACACTGGCATATAGTTTATCGACCCCTAACCCGTCAAGAAGGCGGAACTGTGCGCGCACCATGTCTTCCATGGTGAGAATTGGGAATCTGGTCGCATACCGCTGGCCGTCCGCAGGGTCGATGCTGCTCGGCCCCGTCGATCCGTAGCAGCCGCCGATGACGTTCGTGCAGATAACGTGGTATTTGTCGGTATCCAAGGCCAATCCTGGGCCGATGAACTTTTCCCACCAGCCAGGCTTGGGGTTACTCTCGGTAGAATGCGCATGTGATGAGGCCGAGAGGCCAGTGTGAAGCAGTATGACATTCGACCCGTCGGCATTCATCTTGCCCCAGTACTCGTATGCGATCTCGAATTCGGGTAGGACGCCGCCCCAGTCGAGCAACAAGGGGTCCTTGCAATGGTATGTTTCCGTCGCGCCGGCCGTGTAAGAGGGCTCGGGACCGCTCGACTCGTATCTTGCCTCGAGGGTCGCAGATCGGTTCTCCAATGCGTCCAGACACGGAAACGCCATAGCGGGGTTCGAGGCATCGCCTGGGCTGTTGGAAGCCTTGCGGGCCGGTTTCGAAGTGAATCGGCGGGCGTGTTGACGGCTGCCGAGATGTGTCGCTGCAGCGTTGTTGGGATTCCGATATGCGGAGGGAACCTGTACGCGCGAAACCGGGGCGCGGGCCTGGCGAAGGGCCACCGAGGCGAGTCTTTGACACTTCATGGCTGGAACTAACAATCACAGCTGTAAAAAAGGTCAAGATTGTCTCTCGGGGGGGCGCCTGTAACAGGAATATCTAGGCCGTCCCATCGGCAGCCGGTTTGTAAGCTGCCGGAGCTATAGCGGCAAAGGCCCCGTCGTCGGCTGTCGGTGGCTATCGATGGTGTAATTTCACGTGATGATGAGCGCTGTTTCTCTTATCGATAAACCAGAGGTATGTTATCAGGCTACCTATTTGGGTCTTGACTCTTCCAAGAACCCCACCATGGGTCGATCCACCTCCCCACTGACGTCAATTTAAAGACACACAGGTGGTACCTCCCGTCTATGTAGGTACTCACTTGTAGTCACAGGTGCGGATACTGACACGAAAAGGTACACATAAGCTCGGTGGCCCAGTCCTCCGTGCACCGACCCTGAACTAAATATTGCCCGATACCTGAACTGACGTCGCCTCCCACGCAACGATTGAGCAGCACTTTAAGATCCCTACGAACCAACTTCTCTTACCCCTCTTTCCACGCTATCAAACAGATAGCCAAGGTACCTACTTCACACACATGTCGCTTTTCTCGTCACTGCAACAATACGCCGGAACCTTTGCAGCGATCGCAGCCGGTACTATCATTGCCAAAGTCGTCGGCAACATGCAGTCCGACTTGCAGGATCCCGAACCTGACCAGGTGCCCCAAGAGCCAGGCAACTATAAGCCCACTCCCATCGATGTCGTTGTTGTTAGGATCATGCTGGAGAAGGCATCCAAGTTACCGCCGGAAATCATGGATATCATTATCGACGAAGCCGAATATTGGGCGCACTCGGAGGCCAGCATATCTACCGATCTTCGTGTCGTCGGCACTACATCCGAAGAGAACAAGCTTCTCCTGAGATGCCCACCGATCGGCTTCCGCGACTTCAAGAAAGTTGGTGCAGCGTTCAAGACCGCCCCTCTCCCACCCAAGTCGGGTGACGGGTCCCCCGTTACCGAGCCCCTCCGCAGTTTGACCCTGCTCGAACCCATGTCAAGCCCCACCGAGATGACCTCCGAGGCCCCGAGAGAGTACTTTACAGGATCGATGGAGCGACCGCCCATGCTGACCAACCCCGTCCGCAAGATCGTCTTCAAGATTCGAAGCAGAGACCAGGGCTGGGGCGGTGCCGTCGCCGACAAAGGAACCTACCGCGGATCCTGGTCGTGGTTTGAAGCGGGTCTGGAGAAGTTTGACAAGGATCGAAAATGTAAGCAAGAACCATACCCAAAGAGATTCGAAGGGGATACTGACGACCTAGGCGACGGTTCTTGCAAGGCGTCTGCCCAGGAATCCCAATCCGAGAACACATCCGACGGGGAAGAGCCGGCCCTTTGCACATGCGGCCTGCAGTCGATATACCCCCCCGTCGAACAGCTGCCCCATGGGCAACTCGCATACCACCATCACATGCACCCGCTCGAGAACCTCAAGATCCAAAACAACAAGACTGCGCATAGACCATTCCTGGACCACGAGGTCGTCTGGTCCTGGTCTGACGATATCCACCCCGATTCGCCCGAAGCCGACCAGCTGGTTGAAATGGGCCGCGGCAGGGGCACTGGAACTGGGAAGTTCGTGCGCAGTCTGAAGCTGGGCGATGTGATCACGGTATGGGGCAAGGCGCGGTTCGGTGGCTGGGCCAACCACATTCAGAGCGTCAAGGTCGAGATTTACTGGGCGGTATGAGGCTTAGGTTTTGGTGTGCTTGGTTTTTCTTCCGCTGAAAAGATTGCACAGCACTCCTCTAATGCGCTGTAAGAATGACGATTAAGCAACGATGGAAATGATGCATCAGTTAAATGGTTCAAAATCGGGCCGCCATAACCGTCCAAATCCCGGCTTGTGGTAAACCTGTTGTTAGGCTGTTTCGGGCGCAGTTACCTGACAGTCCGCAGCCTCGTACAAACGCATTTCGAACTGCCCGGATCAGCAATTTCCCTTATTCGCCATTCTGCAAATGGACCAAACCAGTAACTGCACCTTATCTTTCAAGGCTCGGAGGCTCTTACAGTTTAAAGCAGGCGCTTATCCTCCTTAAATCGTCCCTATGCCTACCTTTTTACACCTTATTGCAACTTCATAGTCAGATCCCCCAAGGACCTTGTCATCATATTCCCCAAACTAAGAGTACCTGGAGATCCGACAAATCACCTAGTTCGACAAGGTTCTCATTACGAAGCCCTTTTACGGTTTCTAGATGAGGAACCTGGAGGTCGCATCACAGACTCCAAAGAACCTTCACAATTACTTCACCTGAGCAACTTCTGCCTTAAGTACCTTTATGGGTCTATTTGTTTGTTTAGTCTGCCCTATCCGCCTGGTGATGTTGTCAGGGCAGCAGAAGAAGGCCTTCTAAGTACTTGCCAAGTCATGAAGTCCTAATATGGGGGTGAAGTCTGAATATGGAAGCATGGGCGAAGAATGCTTCACCTGCCGGAAGATTGGCGTGGAACGCTCAAGTCGGAACACTGGGCATCCCATCCTCATTGTTATCTTGGCTTCAACACTTCTATAAATCAGCCATTCACCATCGACTTTTCATGCAGCCACTTTAGTCTTAAGCCGCTATTAGAACTGTAAAGGGAAATTGTCTACCGTTACACACGTAGGTTGAAGATCTAGGAGGTTGCCGGAGTTGACTAGCCAGCATCCTTGGTTTAGCCTTTGACATTGCCAGTTATCGACAATAGGTCTAGCTGTAGCGATATTAACAAGAAATTAAAATAAAAGATAACAAGAGTTTGCGCTCTAAGAACCCTGCGCCACGTCTTCATAGGAACGAAGACCAGAAACCTTTAGATCTGTGCAGCCCTTGACAGAAACGCGAACTCGAGAGATTTAACAACTGGATGACTTCATCATCCCCAGGGTCCAGAACAGGATCCAAGGGATTGGCACCGCCAAAAAGGAGCGGACGTCTAAGTAGGGAAACGTAGAGCGCGAAAGGTCGAGCGCGGACTCTGGCATCTCGGAACCGGTGGTCGACGACGGGGGTTCGGGCGACACTAGGAACTGCCAAATCCGCGCCGTGCCGCGCTCGTTTGTTTCCGCATGCTCTCAGTATCCTCACAGATTCACACCACCACCCCCGTGACAATTCAATGCTTCTAGCATAAGACGTCTGCTCTCGTAAAGGCAGTAGATATTCGCTGGCATACCTGCTGTTGCTGAACATGCCGAGCCAGTGTCTTTAAGCATATTACTTCCATTCCCCAGGGTACTGGGTGGGTCATTGCCATTTTGCACGTCATCTTGTCGCTGTGACTTCGGGAAAGTATAGAGCTTGGGTAGCTTGCTTCTCTATATGGCATGGGAGAGCGTTCATAGTAGATTGTTGATGGAGATTGTTCCTTGTACGTCCTTGAGGTGGAAGGGGCAGCCAGCACTGGCTGCTGTTTCTGCCTCTCAGTCATGACCTCGAGTATCTTGTCGAGTGGCAGTCTGTGAACCGCATGCCTTTGCTCTGGGTTCAGGCTTCCCGTCATGTTGTGGAAACCAGGGTTGTCATTGATGTTCATGTCACCTCCGGCCGTCATCGGAGTATAGGTGTGTGATCTGACGGGGCCTGTGGGCGGGATGTTGTATGCGCCCTCATTCAAGATGACCTCAACGTGGTTAAACTTGGCCGCTGTATTGGGATATCATGGCGATGGTGGCAGAGTGCTGCAAGGATCTGTAGCCCGAAGTTAGGACTGCCGGCCCCAGCCAGCCCGCAACTGTTCTTGGCGGTCTTCCTTGCAATCTGTATCAGCTATCAGCCTTTCCGGGCTTCGCATTAGGGATAATAAACGGGATCTGTTAAACCAAAGATAGCGAACATAGACATCGCCTTTTTAGTTCTGTTCGATATGAGGGCAATTCCAACAGTTTGACCAAGAAACCGCACCACTTGGTCCTTTACATGGCTATGGGGGCTTAGACTACGATGCTTTTAACAACAACAAAAAACGGAAACCGGCATTTCAATTCGTACAGCTGTGCTGACTAGACGTGATTACTCAGATTGGTGCCCGAGTTGAAAAACCGGAGAGCGCGTGGCCAGGTTCGGGTATCCGTTAGCGGACGTGTGGATACCCGGGTACCCGTCGGCATTCCGAATCCTGATACCGGCGACCGGGTATCCCGGGAGAGTTGCTCGCAATGAGGTCCCGAGATTGACAAATGGCATTAAAGTTATGTACAAAACCGAAGCTTTTCGCTGAATTGTTCTGTTACGAACGCATGGAGAACTTTACAATCTTGATTAATATAACAAACAAAGCACTGACACGGAAGCACGGAGACGAAATTGAGCTAAGCATTTGAAAATGTCAACAAGATACTACTTTCCAAAATGAGGGCCATCCAAGTTCTAGGAAGCAAGACATCACCCGAGATATTCTTGAATCAATCTTTACCCAAGCCTGCACCTCAAAAATCGGGCATCTTGATACAAGTCACTGCCGCCGGTGTCACCGGCGACGAGATCCTCTGGCCCGAGCTTTACGAGACTCCCTCACGAATACCAGGGCACGAACTATCCGGGACGATATCCGAACTTGGCCCAGAGTATCGCGGATCTCTGGTAGTCGGACAGGAAGTCTTTGCCTTCACCGCGGCAGATCGCGGGCAATGCCACGCCGAGTACGCCATCTGCTCTGCAAACGAGGTTGCTCCCAAGCCTGCGTCCATCTCCCATCTCGAAGCGGCAGCGCTCCCGATCCCGCTTCTGACTGCATTCGAGGCAATCTTGGACCATGGAAAGGTCAGACCCGGCATAAGGGTTCTTGTCAGGGGAGCTTCCGGCGCGGTGGGCAGAATTGGTGTCCAGCTGGTCGCCCGGCTTGTCGAGAGCCATGCGATCGCCTTGGCTTCTCTCAAAAACCACGATGCTGTGCGGAATCTTGGCGCTGACGAGGTGATCGACTACGCCTCAACTAGCTGGGAATCAAAGGTCGATGCCGTGGATGTCGTCTTCGATACTGTCGGCGGAACAGTCCTGAAGAAATCTTGGCAGACTGTGAAAGAGGACGGGTTGATCGTCACTCTTGGAGACCCGCCTCCGCCCTGGGCATTCCAGGATTGTCGGCCTGACGAGGCTTCCAGTCGACCCAATGTGCGGTACAAATACTTCATCGTGGCTCCTAATGCCGAGCGGCTTCGTCAAGCTTCAGAAATGATCGATGCCGGCTCGCTCAGGCCTTTTATGGTGAAGTCATTCGGTTATGAAGAAGCACAGAACGCTTGGGCGTATGCAAGACAACGATGTCGAGAGAAGAAGGCTGTGATTTGTTTCTTGTAATTGATGACTACTTCAGGATTGGGCTCAAGAATATGAGATCTTAACACTAGAGGAATAGCTTTGTTCATAGCATATTACACCATATTTTCATTGGCATTGTATCTTGTTCGCGATGATAGATAGTCTATTGGCTTCTTTAGATACCTAGAAAAAGTCAAAAAATATAGCTATTAATATGACATTTTGTCTGTCCATTGTCCTTCAAGATTGATTAGTTGTCTTTTAGACAAGGCGCTACTGCTCATTGCCGATCCAGTCTGCAAATTGAGGACCAAGATCCTCAAGGCCGTACCATCCACAAACGTCGTCCATTGAGTCGAAGGTAGAAAACACGTCGCTTTCATTCGTTGGCAGCTCAGTCTGAGAGACAACCGCTCCCCGGCTCGCGGATAGACTCGGCGCGCTGCTCGACTTGGGGGTGTTGCTGTTGCTCGTCGCCTTGGAACCAACCTTCAACACATGTCGTGCAATGGTCTGGATCTCCTGCAAGTTTCTTGCTGTTCTCGGCCATATCTCGCCCAACGTCTTGAGGCAGCCAATCGACATCCGAATCTGGTCACGTGCGATGGACAACTCCTTACCTTTGAGTAAAAAGTTGCAAGCAGATAACAATGCCAGCGTCCCTTCACTGATCATACAGGTGACGAAAGGCGAGTGGTGAAATGGTCGGACCGGTAGCGCCAACAGGCGGATTTGTGCCTCCACTGATCGCAAGACTCTAACGGTATGGATGTTGATGAGTTCTGGTTTGGTAGTTTCCTCGGGTGGTTTTCTGGCGCAGCTAGAGACGTCCTCCACGGGGTTGAATCGAAGGTCCGACAGCGGCCTATGTAGTCCAATAGTCGCGCTACAAGACAGGCATCAAAACTTTACGTCCATTTAACTTGGTCAAGCAGAAGTCAAAAACAAAATTACTCACACGTTTATGACCAAGTGTGCCTGGAACAAGAGCTCGTCGATTTCTCCGGTTTTCGTCATGACCTGTTTGCGGTCTCGAGGTAGTAGAAGCGACCATCCGTCGATGACTGAGTCGGCATTCTGGATGATTTGCGTCGAGTCTTCTCTTCTGGCGACCTTGGGCGTTGTGGAAATTGCCAACGCCGCACATCTGACGGCAGTGATAAGGTAGGCGAATGAAGAGAATGAGGTGTCTTCGGGAGCGAATTCGCGGAAGTCAAAATCCTCGAGTGTTTTTGGCTCCGGGATTTCCTATACTCCGGTAAGTTCATACGTCATTCTGTCTAAGTGTCCTGTTGTAACTGACTCCGGATTCATACTCTGACTCTTCACATGGCAGCTCGACAGTGGCTTCGATATCCACAACCATAAAGTTCATGGTGCCCAAGGTTCCGGCGTAATATGCATCAATGATATATAGCTCCCACCACGTTCGTCTCCAGCTCTCGGTTAGAACAGGGTCGCCGCCTGCGTGAGTCCCTGCGAACTCTTGTTGAAACATCTCCATGTCAAGTGCCAGGCGGACAGCGCAGCCTATTTGCTCCTTGGCCTCAACTTTGTAGCCATACCAGAACAGCCCCATGGAGTACAATAGTCGGCACTGCACCATGACTGGGCATGCTTGGTTTGCTTGGGAGAAGGAGATTTCCACGTCATCTCTGAGCGGAATTGACCATTCTCGGGCAACGTAGATGTTTCCAACCAGGCGCATGACAGCAATGAGAGGTCTCAAACTGATCTGCCGGCTCGGGTCCTGACATGACCTTAAAAAGTGCCATCGAGGGACCAGAAACGGATGGAGGTTGTGGAAACTTTCGTAATAAGAGCTGATCAGAGGGTCACTGTCGACCATGTCAAGCTGTATTTGTGCAATGATGCTTGATACCGTCGGGGCAGGGTTGTCACACCCGAGGTTGGTGCCATCGAGTGAGCCCAGGCCATGGGTGAAGCTGTCGTTAGCAGGCCGGGATCCGGATTCCAGGGTCGGCTCGATGTTCACTCTGGATTGAGACCTGGAGCTATCTACTGATTTGTCGTTACTTGATGCCGCAAGCCGCTTGCGTCGCTCTGCGAGAGCGGCGCGATCCAGACCCCCCCGGCGCGATGGAGCATATTTGCATTCCGTAGAGGCACTGGCGCAACGGTTGCAGTGAGGTTTCTGCCCGTCACATTTCAAATGGCGTGAGCGACAAGGCAAACAAGCCAAGGGAGAGCGTGTAGCTCCGCCGTTCTGGTGTGATGAAACGCCGTTAGTATTCATGGTGGTTAACGGTAATCAACCGGTGAGCTTGTGATTAGGAAGGGTTCGGAATGTGTGGTGCGTCTGGTGCGGCGGGGGCCCGGGTATTCGGGGACCCGTTAGGCGCAAGCCGGGTATCCGCCTAGTGTAAGCCACGTTGGCGACACTTTGGCACTTGATTTTTCTAGCATACCCGTTGACGCCGGAAACCCGAGATGCCAGTCTCAAAGTGAAGGTAATACAACCTTATGTTGGTTCTTTCTTATGATTGAATATGACTTTGATGTCGGTGAAAAAAATACATAAATCCAGACAGGTGTCGCTCAAGATGTTCCGTCAATCCAAGATCACCACACTAATTGAGTCTGAAGTCCTCAACGCACAACACTTGCAACAGCTACAATATCACCTCTACATTAATATCGCATCAAAAACAAGGACAAATACCCATGTCTTCCACAATCGTAATTATTGGGGCCGGTTTCGCTGGTGTATGGAGCGCCCTCTCAGCGAAGCGTCTCCTTAACCTCAACAATCAAGGAGGGATCATCGACATCATCGTCATAGCGCCTGAGCCATATTTGGTTATGAGACCACGGCTCTATGAGCCAAATGCCTCTGGCTTCAAGCACCCTCTCGTGGCCCTTTTCGAAGCGGTCGGAGTACGATTTATCCAAGGTACCGCCGAAACCATAGACACTCAGGCACACATTGTCCACGTTAGGTACCCAGCGGGCGTCGAGTCTGCCGTACCTTTCGACCGTCTTATACTTGCGGCTGGAAGCTCTGTGGTAAGGCCACAAAGTGTCGACGGACTTCAGCAGCACGCCTTCGACATAGACTCGCTCGAGTCCGCCGCCAAGTTTGAAGCCCATCTCGAGGGTCTCCCTTCCCGTCCGTCTAGTCTTGCTCGCAACACAATTGTTGTTTGCGGTGCCGGATTCACTGGCATCGAGCTGGTAGCTGAGATTCCAAAACGCCTCAAGCACTTGACAAATCTGCGCATCATTCTGGTCGAGGGCGCAGACCAGATCGGTCCCGAGCTGGGGCCGGGGCCTCGTCCGGTTATCACCGAAGCCCTAGAAAGCCTCGCCATCGAAGTCAGGCTTGGATCTGCAGTTGCTGCTGTCGATTCTGAGAGCGTGACCCTTATATCGGGGGAGCGCATTGAAACGTTGACAGTCATTTGGACCGCCGGTGTGCGCGCGACGCCCCTGACCCACCAGATCCCTGGGGCCAAAGACAAGCTTTCACGTATCCACGTCGACCATCACCTCCGGTCATTGTCATCCGACCATGTTTTCGTTACAGGAGATGCGGCCTATGCCTCGGCTGATGATAAGGGTCATCATGCCTTGATGTCTTGCCAGCATGCCCTTCAACTCGGCCGGGTATCGGGATACAACGCCGCTGCGGACCTTATCAGCAAGCCTCTTCTGAAATACTCCCAAGAGGCGTACAGATGCTGCCTTGATCTTGGATCATGGGGTGCGGTGGTTACTGGAGGTTGGGAGAGAAAGGTAGACATGCAAGGGGATTCGGCCAAGCGGGTGAAAGGCTACATCAACCAGAAGCTTATTTACCCTCCTTCTGATGCTCAAGAAGCACTGGAAGCTGCGGACCCAGCAAGACCTGACTCTGACGAGTTGCTTAAGCAGGTCATTACTGTTGTTGGCTGATTTTCTCAGTGGGCACATGTATTGAAGGATTAGTTTTATAGCAAAGAGCAATCATTCTTTCCTCAATGGCCAACAATTCCCGCCCTATGTTGAGTATCGTTAAAATCACTGCAACCCTGCCGAGGATATTTCTATCCTGAGTCCAAAAGAGTCCAGCCCACCAGCCCCCCTTCGGCTTTCGAAGTCGGTTGTTCGCCATTTCAAACTCAAGCGGTATCAGCCTCCTCGTCTGCAATCTCATTGATTTGCTCGACAAACTTCTCAACCTCCGTGATGAAAGCCGAGTGCCCACCGGGGTTCCGAAGCACCCTCTTCAAGGATTTGATAGTCGAGGCAAGATACTCCTGTGTAGCGGGAGGTACCGTTCGGTCTTTCTCGCAAATGATATAATAAGCTGGGACAGTGAGAGTGTCCGCACCGAGAGGTGTAGGGCCCACCAATGCTTCCAGCGACTGGGGCAGCAAATCTGCCATGCACTTCTCTGCCATGCCGTCTTGCATATCGGGGCCGTAGAAAGCAGCCTTGGCTTTGGCATTTGCCGACATCAGCCCATCAGCCACATCGACGATGTCTACGCCCGGGGGAAGGACGCTCAGAGCGCTTTCGCCAGCCTTGGGGGGCACATTCGCTGCTATGAAGACAATAGTGCGAATACCGCCTTTCTGGCCACGGGAAGCTCTTTCGGGCACTGAGTAGCCCCGTGCCGCGATGATCACAGGGACGGCGCCGTAGGAGTGTGCGATGGCAAGAAACTCCTTTCCCTGGTCTAGGTAAGGCTTCAGTTCGACCTGGATATTGCGGGCGTCATCCTCTGCCGTGAGTTTGTTGTTGTATCCAACGCTGGGGTGCCGGACGGCAACGACGGGTGAGAAGCCAGACTCTTTAAGGCGGGCTTTGGCGAGGTCAAAGCAGGAGGGACGGTGGAATCCTCCGTGTATCAGGACGATTCCCAGAGACTCTCTAGGGGCTTCCGGTGGGGACATAGTTCTTGTTCTTAGTCGTCCCTTTCGGCAGAGATTGGATTCCGTGGCTTGGCTTGAGGCTTGAGAACTTCGTCGGTAATATGATCGGAAGTCGGCGAATAAAAGCTTTTCTAGTTAAACGATGCAAGATACCTGCACGGAAATATTGGGCAATATAGGCAGTTTTATATTCGTGGCCATGTTTCTTCACTAAGGCAGCCTATTTTTGAAGTGGATTGTGAGGTACGCTATTTATTTCTGTCAGCAACTATTGTGCCTCCTTCTGCATGCATGGGTACTCCAATTGCCAGATACCCAAGTTGTGGAGTTGAATTCACACGTAAGCGCGAGTTAGCAGGTACTGCCAGTTTAGACCCAATAGATAGCATCATATGACTGGCGTCGCTGACATACTTCTGTTACATTGCGGCTGACAACGGCTGCATTCCGTTTAGCTTCCTTTAGGGTCTTTCCAGGATGACGTTCATCGGGTATTACTTGTCACATAATTTAACACTTGTTAGAGATATTCGTTCTAGACCCCCATTAGCCCAGTTCACCCTGTAAACGAATGTCACATTACGTATAACCCGATAAGCAACACCTCTAACTTGCACCGGGTCTTACCAATTCCTTGACATGGTACAAAATACCTAATAACACAGAGCAACTGCCGAACCAGACTTCGCTTCAAGCATGGCGCGGAACGGCGTTGACAACCGTGTGGTAGGTGTCGTCCGTATGTCAGCGACGGCATCGGCCACAATGGGCGATGATGGCTGTATTGAACCTACCATCGAGGTGGTGATGGCAACTTAGTTTGATATTATTTGCGTATCACCATTCTTCTGCTCGCTTGTTACTATTGTGTGTTTCCATCTTGCCGCAAGCACAACGGCATCAGTCGGATTCTCAGCGTTCCGTTTTTTGTTTTTTGCCTCAATCAAGGGCTGCGGGCACAACCAAATCTACAATGGGCATAACTTGATCTTGTCTACATACCTCTTTTGGCACATCTTGACATTGCAACCAGTGTGCTCAAGATTTTAGGGGTTTCCCTACATACTAATTAAAGATAGTGACAACCTGATTCTTAATACCGGACGTCTTGCAAAGGTAGCAGTCTGTAAAGATCGGATGCCGAGTTGTTTGTGAACGTCAAGCACGCTGTGCAAGTCTACAGATCAACTCCCAACCTTGAGTTTGAATAATACACAGCAAGTGCAATGCCTAGGCATTAGCCCATGCGAGAACTAACAAGTGTCGCTAAGCCCAGCACTAGGTGGTGGAAACAATCCATTCACCGACATGATCACTGCCAGAGATTGTTTAATAATCAATGCGTGCGGCATGTAAACGCTAAAATATTTTGTGCGGATCCAACTTTGACAATGCCTTGCCACTTAAGTACCCGAGATGCCCAGTTGGAGAGCGCTATGAGGAAGAAATTGCTCTTCCGTCCGAGAGTTGCCCCGATAAGTCCGTGGAACGTTGTGCCAAAACCATTGACCTTTACTTTGCTTCGCGAACAGCTATTAACCTGCCTACATTCACCAGCCAATGATATGGGCGCTATCGGACTTAGTTGGAGTGTTAGTGCTGGAGACCGAACGGACATAACTAGCGCACCGGACTTGGGATCTGCGACAGGCTTTTTAATCCACTTCAGGGCATATGAACTTTTGCGCTACCATGTTGGGGAGTAATAGCTATGCCATTGTCGGCGCTGCACTGCCGCAGCCGCCCGCTTTTGCGGAGACTTGACGGGGGAGTATGATGTCGGGATCGGGCGGGATTAACGATTTCCTTATACGGCAAGTGATGCTTGTCAATGCATCGCCTTTGTACTCTGTATTGTGCATGTGATAGAAAGTATAAGAACAACGCCCCGGTTCAGGAAACAACATCTGCCAAGTTATGATCCATCCATTCACCCCTAATCTCTAACTGTCTACATCTTGCATTGCTAGTCATTCTTACACGTTCCTGACCATTTGCGTGCAACAATGGCATCAAAGTACAACAAGCTCTTGGGAAAGCATGTTCTCATAATCGGCGGTTCAACCGGAATTGGCTTCGCAATTGCAGAGGCCTCCATTGCCAGCGGTGCCAATGTCACCATCTCATCATCGTCACAAGACAAGCTCTTCCAGGCGGTTATATCTCTCCAATCATTTGTTCCGGCCTCTTCTCAACAGAAGATTCAAAGTTTCGCCGCCAATCTCTCCGACTCGGATGCAGAAGCCAATCTAGAGGCCGTATTCGAACAATCCGGCCCCGTCGACCATGTCGTATTCACGGCAGCAGACTCGCTCTCCCTCATGATGCTACAAGATATGACGCCCGAAAAGATTCTTGCTGCATGCCAGATGCGTCTTGTCGCCCCGTTGATGGCAGCGAAGGTTGCTGCAAGACACCTGGCCAAGAGCAGCGAGTCCTCTTTCACTATAACAAGCGGCAGCGCGGCCCATAAGTCAGCCCCGGGCTGGTCCGTCGTCTCTTACTTCGCAGCCGGCCTGCAGGGTATAGTAAAGCAACTGGCAGTTGAGCTTAAGCCCTTGAGAGTTAATGCTGTCGCACCTGGGTATGTCGATACAGGACTATGGGATGGCATGAAATCCGAGGAAAAGGAAGAAATGGTGAAGGGAATCGAAGCTTCGATGCCAACAGGTAAATTCGGTAGAGTTGAGGACGTTGCTGAGGCATATCTATGGCTGATGAAAGACCGAAATGTCACTGGGACCGTAGCAGCGACAGACAGTGGAATTATGATTGTTTAATTTTGTTGTTGAATATATGCCGGGCCGTGTCCTGAGAAACGCAGAGAGCACCTACTACCCCCCTCGGAGCCAATATAAAGGAGCATGTTTAGCGCTAGCTGTTCTGGAGGGTAAGCCTTCAGCCCAACGGAGCAATGCATCTTGTTATTTACCTTGAAGTGCTTAGTAGCGCCATAGTCAGTTATTGGCTTTAGTTGGAGAATCTATTTTCTCTTTTGAGAAAATATAGGACCAGATACCGAACAGTCCGCGGAAGAGACAGCCCTCGTGTGCTTAGATACAATGAGTACAGTGGGATGTACATATCGACTGCGTGCAGACTCGCAACACCCTTGTCGATTGTTCCGTATCATCTCTTGTCAGTAGCGTTACTCGCCTACACTCACGAAGTCATTGAAACGACAACTCATAATACGGCATAGATCAACAACGCCTATTATTGGCCTGGACACGCCAAATACTTTCAGCGTGTTGGCGCAGATTATTATCAAAATCCAGCCACGTAATTGCCATGGCTACAGCATGTTTGGTTTGGCTGTCTTTTGAAGGGTAATAGATCAAGGCGCATCTAACAAATGACGAGAACTCGATTAATAAGAGACAGCAACCTCCAGGCGTCGATACTGAAGAGCATGCCGTCTAGTGTATGTAACCCAGTCGTCCACTATCAAAGTTCTTTCTCCCTTGCTTGGCTTGCCATTGCCTCTTACTCTCAGCCCTCAGGCCACTGATCTCGCTAGCCCATCGGTGAACAAGCTGTGCACTACCCAGCGGGGCAGGGATATGGGCTCGAGGTTACTGGCCACTGGGTTTCCTTGGGAAGCTTCCCCCCCCCCCAAGATAGTGCCGACCAGACGCCAGAGCAGCGCGGTAAAAGGGGGGCAAGTAAGTCACGTTACTCACCGCTCAGCAGTATCGACTTCAACCTTGCTCAAGGTGGTGGGCAAGGGTGCTCCCAGCACCCCTACCTGAGATACAACTAATAACAACACCAACTACCACCACCACTTTGGTACACAATAGCAGAAATCAGGCTATATCACCAACACCTCCTTAGTCGACGTAAAGGTCTTCCGGAAAGAACTCAACAACGATACAAATATGTGGGGAGCTTTTAGAGGCACCAAGGAATAAAGATGCATCACAATCAGCAGGAGACATTGCGACAATGACTGAATGATGGGTCTATTGGTCATGATAGGTTGGAAGATTCCGGGGCAAATATTTATATGGTGAAGTATCGACTGAAGTGAGGAGTAAAAACGGGTATACAATAAGCATTCGGGCCTTGGTAAAAGAGAAGCGAGTTGGAAGCCGATGAGGTTTTGGTGTTGAGCCTTCTGTTACCATGGGTATTGTCTTGGCTGAAATGCATCTTGCTGCTGGATACAACTATTGATATGCTTTCTGTCAACAGATATCCTCTACCCTTGGCGTGTGTTAAACCACAAATGTTTTTCTTGCATCGATGTACCTACCCTCTATATGGTTTCACCGCAGCATTTCTAGCATCGCTCACGCAGGCCAACTACGTGGGCTGACGCTTGGGACGAAGACACCAACATCTCTGGTGCGTGCTGCCGCTGTTGGGGGCGCTGTCGGATTCCAACGGGTGAAATTCTGGACCCTTCTCCGGGTTAGACCAGACCGAGCATGTCCATACCATGACAGGTGCTGCTCGGGGTCGTGTTCTGCGTATCGAGAAAGTTGAGTATGCTGTCATCAACAGGCAACGCGCGATCAACCATACCTTTTGCACGCTTGCGGATGCAGTTCTGTATGACTGCAACAACGGCCAAAACCGATGCTATAGTGCCAAAGACGACACTGCAGATGACTTCTGTAGATAACGTGTCAGAACTCATAGTGGTTATAGCGTGTTTGAAGCTGAGTATGGTTGAGAGCGGTTGAATTTGTAGCGATGCAGACCAAGGCTAACATGTTATGTGTTTGACATGGCCAGCAACGGCTTTTATATATATGGTGAAGAAGGTACTGTAGCGATGTCGAGCGATACTGGAACAACTGAAAGAACCGGGGGCAGCAGCACTGCCAAGTCTCGACTAGTACGCACTCGGGTGACAAAAAAGACCGTCGTTTTTGAAGAATGTTATATTATGGCCCTATTGCTCTTAGATACTAGAAAATAGGTAAGATGTATACTTTTATACACTTTATAGCCTTTCTTGTCTCAGGGGGACTCACAAATGTAACTTTTTAACATGTAAAAAGCTGCATTGCGTATTACAGGAGCTGTAGTACTGGTGGTGAGGGTGGCTGTTGTGTAGAGGGAAACCAGCGGTCTTTTTTGTCACCCGAGTGTGTACCTACCTCCTGGGCCATCGTACCCACAGCTCTAGCCTGGAAGAAACGAGACGCATTACGGCATCTCAAAATGTCGACCAAGTTCGGGGGCTTCCCACGCCCCAGGGAAACCGCACTATCTAGCTCCTCTCAGGGGCAGCTAGAGTGCCGGCTCCAAACTCTTGTTACAGCAATAAGGATAACCCAAAGAAGAGTCGAAGAGAGGACCCATTAATAGCTCGAGGTCACTTCACAGTGCGTCACCGAAGACCCTATCTCCTAACTACCTACTGTAGCTTTTGATTGGCTGTCCTTATTGCTGTAACCCCTGATCCTTGCTAGTTAAGATTCCTCGAGATTCCTTTGCTTTTCATGAGCAACATTCCACACCACTTGTCCGCTGGCAGGACCCAGGAGGGGTCGACAGTTTGTAGGGGGGTATTAGAAGCTCCTGGGGTGAAATTGTAGGAGAGCCAGAGTTCTCAGGGGGGGTAGGTATTCCACATAAACTGGCATGTGAAGGGAATTTTACACAGTAGAGAAGACCTTCTGAAAAGGTAAAAAAAAAACCAAAAAACCCGGGAGCTTCCAATAAACCCCCTACAAACTGTACCCCCTCCTGGGTCAGAGTCTTGCCAAACCACAGCCGCTAGCCTGACACCTACTTGACTTTGACGTATCTTGATGGCCTTGAGCTAGTGCCAAAGGAGGCATCATCCAAGTTGCATTATCACAGCCTGTCTCCTGCCGTTACAACAGGCGCAGACAGAGTAAGCCAGTGCAATCAACGAACGCCGCAACGCCTGTCAGTGAGTCCAGACTTTGTACACATGACTATAGGGAGCCAGTGCTTTGGAGGCCAGTCCTGGGCGGCCGGAATACTGTCTCGCAGCGGCCACGCGGATGCTATGCCGGATACCATGCGTGTGGGTATGATTATCGCTGCCCCGTATCCGTACTTCGCTCCAGACTGAGCGACATTACTTTGCTCCAGACTGAACGACATTTTGAAGGAAAGCCTTGATGCCGGTCCGCTGGTGGCGTGCTTGGTGTCATGCGTGCTTGCTAGCCGGATGAGCTGGGCACAGGTTTCTGTTTACCGGAGGTCACTCCCTTCACCGCCCGGCGGCCTTGACCCCACCGGAGCCACTAACGCCGACCTCCCGACTCTGCCCTAAATTTCCAGCTCTCACTTCATCCCACTTTGGTCTCAAGCATCACGCCCGTTATCCACGCCTCAATTTAGACAAAATTTGACCTTCACATCAACCAGACGTACTCAATTGCGATGGCCGCTTCAAAGGGCCTTCCGCGCGACACGTTCGCAAAGCTCTCCCCCCACCCCTTTCTTCTCGCAAACCTTCAGCCTCCTGCACCCGCCAACGCCGCGAGAAGCAACGGCCGCGCGCCCAACGAAGCCCGCATTCCCAACATCAACACCTCTAGTTTGACCCATGCCAACGGCAGCGCCGTAGTCCGTACCGGCGACACCACCGTCATCTGTGGCGTGCGCGCCGAGACCATCCTCGCCTCCGACATCCCCAACTTCCGTACCGCCGCCAACACCGACGAGGCCAAATCCAGCTCCGAGCTGAAAGACTACGACCTGCTCGTCCCTAATATCGAGCTCGCCACCGGCTGCGCGCCGCAGTTCCTCCCAGGCGTGCCCCCCACAACCCTCGCCCAGACTATGAGCACGAGAGTGTACTCGCTGTTGCACTCTTCCAGACTCGTCGATCCCGAGGATCTGAGAATATGGTACACTCGTCCTGCAGAGGATGCTGAAGCCGAGGATGATGACGACAAGATGGACGACGGCGAGGAGAAGACCGAGGGCGAGAGGGTTATCATGGCATACTGGGTCCTTTACATAGATATCTTCTTCGTCTCCTTCGACGGCAACCCGTTCGACGTCGCCTGGGCCGCTATCCTTGCTGCTCTGCGAGATACAACCATCCCCATCGCCCGCTGGGACCCCGATCGCGAGATGATCATCTGCTCACGCGACGATCCCAAGCCCTTGACGCTGCACGGCTTCCCTGTCGCCTGCACGGCCGGCGTCTTCACAGGAAAGGAGACGGCGGATCGTCCCGCCGGTGGCAAGTTCTGGACATTGGTCGACCCTGACAGGTTGGAGGAGAGTCTCTGCGAGGAAGAGGTCACGGCGGTGGTAGACAGAAGCGAGGGAGAGACCAAGGTGCTGTCGATATCGAAGCACGGAGGCACGGTGCTGCAGCCGCCACTCATTCGGGAGTTCGTTGGCGTCGCAGAGCAGAGATGGGAGCAGTTTAGGAACGCCATGGCATGAAGATAATGATACCCACCAAGGAAGGAAAGACAAAATCCAAAATGTTTTTTGGGGGGGAAGAGTTGTTTCCTCTGGCATTTCTCTTTTTAGCACTGCAACCCAATCCCTGGATGGCGAACGGAGATCTCTTTCGTGAGCATTGGCCTGCCCGCCTTTGATTCATCGGGCCACACCTGGTGCAAAAGCGTGAGAAGATAGGCGCATACCTACATAAGCTCATCAACAACGATTCTCTTCTTTCAGACTGGCCAGCAGAGGCCTCACCCCTCACACAACATTGCGTAGCACATTGCAAAAACGAAACAGCCCACTTACAGCTTTCCTCGTCGACGATCCCTTCCTCGGGCAAGAAAACGAAGGCAAAAAAAGAAAAGAAGAAAAGATCAATTGCTTCCTAGCCATGGCCGCCATCAACGCTCGACTTGGAGAGGCTTCGAAGGAGGAGCTCTTCCAGATTCTGGTCGCCGTCTGCGGCCATGCGACTACCCGCACCCACGTCGAAGGCGTCCTCAATTACCTCGAGGAGAAGAAGAGCCAGGAGGCCGAAGCCGTCGCAACCCGGCGCAGCAGCCGCTCGTCCACCCGCGCGTCGTCCGAGGTCTCTCAGGGCTCGAGCCAAGCGGCCAAGACCGTCAAACGTACCATCAAGCTGTGCAGGATGTGCGAGAAGCCGTACGAGGAGAAGAAGAACCTGAGCAAATCATGCTCCTACCACACAGGTTGGTCACAGAGAATAACCCATCAAGTTGTTTTTGGTATTTCCGTTGGAATGAAGAAGTTCTGACAGAAGTCCCAACACCGATAGGTCATTTGTTGATTGAGTGCGAGAAGGACGGCCTCATCTGGTTCGATCTCTTGGAAGCGGCGGCCCACGAGTTCATAACCAATCCCAGCGCTCTGCGCATCCTCAGCTGCTGCAACGCCGAAAAGGATATGAGCAAAGGATGTGTGGTTGGCAAACATGTCGCTATGGCAGTAGAGCTACCGGACCAGAGTAAAGAGGACGGCATTGGAGAGCCCGACTCCGATAACTGATGGGGTTTTTGCAATGCGATGGAGAGATACGATAGTGATACCACAACGGCTTGTCGACAGCATGAACATATGGAGCCAATCGCTCATGGCCAGGCGGCGTTTGATACATGTTTACGGCTCAGCACTGCAAGAATAACGAGGGGCGAATGAGGTGAATATTGGGGGACCAGTACAGTCTGCTTGCTTCGCCTCGGGTTGAGAAAGACTTGGCTGGGTATAGAACCATTAGCTACGAGACACAGGTCGTTTGACGTGCTCTCGGAACAATCGGATCAGCTTAGCAAACAGGGTTTCATTGCATTTCCCAATCGAGAAACGGGGCACAGTTGCACAAATAGACAAGTCATAGTCATGTTGCTGCTGCTGCTGCTGCTGCTGCTTCGCGGTCAAGATATGTATTCCACAATTCGAGCCACCTTTTCAGACTTTATTCCAAGGCAGTAGATACTAGGGAAAGATTCCTTCTACCGCCCGGCGACGAGGAAGCCTAATGAAAGGCCCTCATGAGCCGCGAATCTACCGAATGTGACTCGCGGCTGGGTTACCGGGCGGATGGTGAAGAAAAGGAAAAGGTGAAAAAAGCGCCGCGCTTGGCGTGCGCTGAAATTTTTAGACGAAGCACGTACAGTGTCGGGTGCACAGTGCCCGTAGTGATGCTCGCACAAATTAGCTTCCGTTGTCCCCACCGTGGATCCGATCGTCAGTCTTTTCTCTTTTTCTAACCTCACCTTAGAGCTTCCTCACAAATTTTCTCCTCGGTTTCCTCCTCCTCCTGAACTCTCCTCCACCGCTATGGAATCGCTGGCCGAGCAGACGTGGGATGTCATACTCCACGGCACTGGCCTGCAGCAGTCGCTGCTAGCCTTGTAAGCGCTTTTTTCTACCCCTCCTCCTTGTCTTGCATCTTTGCACCTCTCCCTCGGCGTCCGGCATCGTTGTTTTCCCAGAAAAGCCTCGATCTGACTGACGCAGCTCTCGCCGGCCGTAAAAAGAGCGCTCTCGCGGTCCGGAAAGCAAATCCTGCATCTCGATCCCAATGAATATTACGGCGGTCCTGAAGCTGCCTTCGGTCTGCAGGAGGTCGAGGAATGGGCTGCCACGCACGCAGACGCTGACGACGTCGGCCCCGCGCGTGCTTTCTCGTCCGCGACCGTGAGCAAGCCTGAGGTCGCGGCCGGCTCTGGGCCTTCGCTCTCCTTTCCGAGAGCCTACTCCCTCGCCCTCGCGCCGCAGATCGTACACACCCGCTCCGAGCTGGTCAAACAGCTGGTGTCCTCGCGTGCGTTCCGGCAGATCGAATTCCTCGCCGTGGGGTCTTTCTTCATCTATACCCTACCCTCCAGCGGATCTGAAGACGGGAAAGCCACAATCGTGCCAATCCCCTCGAGCCGTGAGGCCGTCTTCTCGACTACTGCCATCTCCGCGAAGGCGAAGCGGTCGCTTATGAAGTTCTTGAAGTTTGTCTTGGACTACAACTCGGATGAGCAGCGAGATACATGGACTCCGCACGCCGACAAGCCTCTGTCGGAGTTCTTGGCCTCAGACTTTAAGCTGGATGATGCACTGCAGACCTACATCGTTACCCTGACGCTGAGCCTAGACGGGAGGATCTCAACCAAGGACGGCTTGGCGGCCATCCACAGGCACCTCTCGTCAATGGGTGCCTTTGGACCGGGCTTCGCGGCGGTGTATCCCAAATGGGGCGGTCTCTCTGAGATCGCGCAGGTTGGATGCCGCGCATGTGCCGTTGGCGGTGCAGTCTACATGCTGGGCACTGGTGTGAAAGCAATACGCCCACTTGACGTGCAGGAAGACGGCGCCCGCTTCGAGGTCGACTTGACCAGCGATATTACGGTGAAATCCCGTGCACTGGTTCGCGGCGCTGAAGGTTTCGCCTCTGACAGCCAGCGTGTGAGCAGAACGATAGCTGTCGTCAACTCGCCGCTTTCATTTCTCTTCGAGACTCGCGTCGAGGGAGCGCCCACGCCAGCCGTCGCTGTCATCGCCATCCCGGTAGGCTCCATCCAAGACGTCACCTTTCCATACCCCATCTACGTCTTTGCTCACTCGAGCGAGACGGGCGAATGCCCATCTGGACAGAGTAAGTTGCCATGTTTTCCTCATTCCCATGTCTCCCCCCCCCTGTACATGATGATTTCAGTAAAAATTCTTATCTACATTGTCTGAGCCTTGCTTTGACGACAATTCCTCTGACAAACTGATGTACACCCTTCTTCTCACACTTTGACTGGCATCATTCGTTGTTTTTCACATGACTGACTCTGTCATTGTTCCAGGCGTACTCTACTTCGTCACACCAAAGACTGCCAACTCGGCCGAAGCCTTGGAAAAGGCTTCGGCGTCCTTGTTGTCTGCTCTCGGCGATGGCGAGAGTCAACCGCAGGTCATCTACAAGGTGGCATACGAGCAAGCCAAGGCCGCTTCCTCCGCCTCTGCGGACGCCTCGGACGTTCTCCCAAGCCTACCGCTTGATCTTGCCTTTAGCGACGCCGCTCTGGAGCCGGTGCGGCAGGCCTGGGCGAAAGTCGCGGGCCCTGTTGCGGACGATCCCGACACTCAGTACATGAAGTTCGAGGACCGGGAGGGCGTTGGCGACGAGGATGACGTCTACGAGTAGTAGATGTTTTGGTAGCGTTTCACCTAGATAGATGTACGAAGTAATGAAGATGATGACTTTCCAATGGCAAGAAACCCGTTCTTTTTCAAACGAGAAGATGTCTTATTGTGAATGTAGCTAATCTGCAAGGTCTGTGGGGTAGCAAGTCTAACTAGGTGATCCCATCTTCCGGGAAATAGCAATTGTTGTCTTCTCAAATCCTTTCCCAGTCCATTCTCGAAGAAAGAAATCTCCCGCCCAATAACCTTCCAGAATTCGCTGTCTTGGAATCGCCGAATGTCAAACGCAGTCGCAATACCATGTCGCAGAGAGAAGAAAATCCACCCCGCAAATGCCAAAACGCTCTCTCACCCCCGCCTACCCTCTCCGGAAACCGCAAAGCAAAATACACCCAGGTTTTCTTTGACTGATAAATGCCGTCCGAGCGGAGATGCTCCTTCAAAAACACGGCGCTTCCTCTCACTCTTCTTGGTTTTCGAGATGCGCCGTCATATCGAGGCCGATCCGGATAGGGCCGAAAGGTTGCATGTTGTCGACCTGCTGCTCGACCGAGATGGCGTTCTTCGTCGCAAGTGAAAGAACGTGGTGGAAGGCCTGGGCCGCGACGACGTGGTTCTGCTTCGCCGGCTCGATGAGCTCCTCAAACTTGACCCAACGCCGATTCTCCTTGTCGTCTCCCAGCTTCACCTGGCCAGTCTTCTGGGCCTCCTCCTGTATCCATTGCAAGAACTCCTCGCTCGCGGTGTCCAGAGTGGACCGCATCCACTGCGAGTCGTTGTTGTCTTCCTGCTCGCCGTTGGCGGCGACACCTGCGGGGTTTGAGTCCTCCGGTCTCGGGTTCTGCGAGCCGTTCTTGTCAACGGAGCCTATGCCCCAGTCGCTTCCCGGTGCGCTATGGAGCAGCTCAAACGGAGGAATGCTGCTTCCGCGGATACTAGTAGACTTTTGGCGGTTGGCCTGCTCATGACGCCGCGCACTGTGGCTGATGACCGAAGAGGCGCGGCCCACTGACGGCGTCCGGTTCCAGGGCATCATAGAGGACGACTGGTGCTCATCCATGGGCTGCGCAGCCTCCATCCCCATCTCTGGCATTGTCTCTTCCCCAAACATCATGCCAAAGGCCCCTCCATCATCGTCCATAGAGCGACCTGGAAGTGGTGTCTCGTCAACTCGCGGGCGCACGTTGCGGCCTTCGCTTCCATCAGCCGCTTCGTCGAAAGCCTCGCTTGCTCTTCTGCGGCGTCCTTGGGGAGACGGCGTGTGTACGTCCTCTTGTTGCGCAATGAGTGGGCCGTAGATGATGTCACAAAGACCAGAGCCGGCGAAAATATCTGCAAGAGGGAAGTCGGTACCAGGAATGCCTGTGCTGCGGCCTATGCCTCCAATTCCCTGGCCGAGAGTGAAGAAGTACGCGTTACTTCGGGCTTGGCTTTGCGTGACCCCCTTCCGCTTACGGGTAACTCTTTCCGCATTTTCAACATACTGTTCTTGCCAACTCTTGAGGACAGTGCGTGAGATCGTAGTACCCTCGTTGTCAAGTCTCAGAACCCGTCGACGTTTCCTGGACGGAGCAGCTGCCTGATCACACTGATCTCCTTCGGGTGACTCGGGCAGTTGAAGGGCATCATCCTCTGCTTGGAAGATAGGGTCACTGCCCATCATAAGCACATCGCCTTCGGAATCATGAACAATCGGTTGCTGATTATGATTCGCTTCATTCTGGGTCAGCTCTTTGGCATCACCCATGTTGTGTTGTTCAAGGACTGGCAGCTCGAGCTCATCTTCATCCACAATGACAGCTCCATTTTCATCGATTTCCAGTTCCACGCCGCCGAAATTCTCAAGGTCATTCATCGCATTGAACGGGTCTGCATTCATGTCGAGTTCCAAATCCTCTCGGTTTCGGGGAAGGAACGTATTTAGTGCGGAAGAGGAGCGTGCAAATGGGGATGGCAACGGGTAGTTGAAAGCCTCAAAGGACTGGGAGATGTCGAGGTGCAGAACCGAATTTTCTCGACCTCCAGTGAAACTGATGGGATCAGGGAAGGGGCTTAGCTGCGACTGTGACTTATTCTTCTCTCCCGATGAGGAGCGGCTTCCGGGAATGAAGCACGGGTTACCGTCGTCGTCGATGATGAAATGCGGAATGACACTGGTAGGAATAAAGCTTGGGTCGTCGCCAAGTGTGATCTGCTCACGTCTATCTTCATAGTTAGCAAAACACCCGAGAACAGACCAAACGCGAAACTTACCTTGCTCTTCCAGCGTTTGGGACGGTCTCATTGTTGGCGATGAGTCGGAAGAAGGTCTTCATCAAGGTCTGCACCTTCTCGGCGTCATTGAGCATGTAATTACACTTCGATGAGTAGACTCGTGAGACGCCGAAGAGTAGGTTGCTCTGGAGACGTAAAGAGATGGGGGCTCCAGGCTCTATTATCTTCTCGCAAGCCTTTCGGATGTCTACCTCCTCGATTGCTTTTCGGGATATTTTGCGTTTGCCGCCGCCGCGTGGGCCAATGGTCGCAACAACCCTGGAGATGAACATGAGCGTTGCTCACTTTCAAGGAATGGACGCTCAACTTACCAGATAGTGGCAACGCCGAACTGGCGACTGTTGAGAACTGTTGAGATGTTAGAGATGCGCTAGATGGACGTGAGCTTTCAAAGGGGTCCGACGAACTCTCATGGCTGTAGAACATGGTGATTACTGCCAAAGAGACAAGCGCCGGCTTGGCCAGTTTCGATGCGGAGTGAAAACACTATACGACCGGGCAGGACAATTTGAGTGACTGAAGTGTTTTTGGAGGTGTCGAGTTGAGAGGGGTGGGATAAGGGTAAGGCGGGGTGGGAAGGAGCTTTCTCTGCCTGGTGCGTACGGCAGGTTGGAGGCGGAAGGTGTTTCCTAACTTAGCCCGCCCAAGGTTCGCCTCTTTCCAGTCCATCTTTCCTTTTCTTCGTTAGTTATTTCCTGGTCCCGGAGTTTCCAAGTTACTCAACTACGGATTCTGCCTGAGAAACTTGCTAAATCTGTCTTGAATACCCACATTGTGACGCGTTCATGGAGGACAATCTCTGTTTTGTAGGACATCATAAGTAACTAGTATATGAGAAACTTGATGCTCAACACTTTTTCGGTTCGTATAACTCCAGGTCAACTTCAATCAAAAACAATAACTACAATCTTCAACTAATGTTGATTGAGAATGCTAAGTCCACGCAAGCGATTTGTTGCATGCCCTTTGATGCACACAGCATCATGCAAAGAGATGAGGTGTAAAGCAACGAATGCTTCCACGTCTATTTAAGTGAGTGCATCCCGATACTGCGCAACTGTGTGGTCTATTACAATTACTCTCCACTCCATGTAACCCCATCTGTTGTTAAAGGGTACTATGATGGAGCGCCTTAGTAACTTGCAACATCGACTGTCTGGGGTCAATATTGAGATATTAGTAGTTTAGCAGTCATATAGATTGTGCTTGAGTATTTTTGGATCATAAAATTATTGAAACAATTACATAAGATTTCTGAAGGCAATTCCGTAAAGTATACTTGTTTATGTCCGTGGATACTTGGACGTATCACAGAACCTTATTGCTTACGAGACCGGGTGTAACATAATGGCATTAATAGCTCGAGGGTAAGTACTTCGAGGAGATTTAAAATATATCATCTGTGATGTTGATCATTTGGTATGGTGCTGTCTCAAGTGACTAAACATCCGCCTCAGCACCTGGACATAACGATTGAGGTCAAAGTCGGTCATGAAGCTGAGATAAGCAATCCCAAATGTTTCGACCCACAGTGCTCCCGGCGCACGGACCTACCAACCAGGGGGGCATGGGTGGGTACCTCCACGAAGCTAAGGATGCCCGGAGATCGGCAAGCCAGATATTCCGTCGTTGCTGGGTCACGGCCTTTTCGCATCAGAAAATCATCGCTAATGGCGCTGCTATGTGGAATGCCATCTGACACGGTCAAAGGTATTTCTTTGTCCCTTCCCGCTGCGCGCTAAAGGCATAACAGCACTTCGGCGGACACCACACATACGCTCTCTTTCTCGACTTTTTCTTTACTGCATCGTGCAAGAAATACAGTGCGATTGTGCGTGCCGTGTCCGGTAGAAACATCCCGAACAAGCTTCTCCTCGACCTTCACCCGACAGCTGGCTGTGTGTCCCCTCAAGGCAGCGGATTCCTAATACCAACGCCACAATGGCTCCTCTCATCCTCCACAACGTTCCCGACGAGGAACTATACATTGGCGATGATGGCATCAAGAGGCCCTACGCCATGGTTTTCCCACAGTACGTATTCTCCACGTCTCCTTTCCTGCGCGACTCGGAATCGAGGTCTATTCGCATCCATGCAGATGACACCCCCGCTGACCTCGACCTCTTTCTGTAGACAGGAAGGCCTTTCCGGTGCGAGAAACCGCCGTGGCGCCGCCGAGACAGGGTCCTTTGGCAAATCGACGCGCCGATCTCGTTCACGGACAGGGACCCCCGCCGGCCGCCGCGAGAACCCGACGGTAGCGGCCGCCGACAAGATCTTTGGCGATTGGATCTCCTCTCAAGCCATCAACAACAATAACAAAAACATAGCCGCCTCGACGAACACGGGCGCCGGCACGAACTCTGCCGGCACTGGCGCCGCTTCGCAGCGCAAGACCTCGGGCCTCGCTCAGGCACCCCTCCTGGCCTCCGCGGCCGACGACACGCCCGCGGCCGCCGAGCCCCGCGTCACTCGCCACGTTCCCACCGAGGTCATACTCCGCGGCTACCGGTCGCCATCGCAGCAGTACGCCGCCATCTCGCACTACGAGCAGCTCGCCGGGCTCATCTGCGAGGACTACCCTCGCGAGCCGCCCCTCGAGCAGCGCCGCTACAAGTCAGAGCTCCGCGACCCTGCCTTCACCCGCCGCAGAGGCCTTACCGGCGAAGAGCGCGCAAAGGTCAACCGCGCCGATGGAGGCGACCACTGGGTCAAGGTTACGTTCGAGTCGGCGGATGCTGCTGACGCCGCGGTCTACGCCAGCCCGCAGCGTGTGTTGGGCTACCTTGTCTACGCCGAGCCGTACCACGGTCACCCTCCCGCTCGCGACGAGCCCATCCCAGACGTCGACTCCCTCGTCGCTGCCAACGAGGACTACGGCCGCTCGCAGTCCGTCCCGGCAGGCAGCTTTGGCAACCACAGAACGCCGCGCGGCAAGCACCACCGCACAGCCAGCAAGAGCGGCGCTGGCAACCCCTTCTCCCTCCCCAACCAACGTTCCATGAGCGACCTCTCGCCGCCAACGTCTCTCACCTCCTCCAACACGATCGAGACGGCCACCATCTCCAACATGACCAGCTCGTCGGCGACCGTCACCGAGTCGCAGCCGGCCCAGATGCTGGTCGAGGACAGCCTGTTCTGCCGGCGCATCCCCACGGCGCGCAGGGCCAAGCTCCTCCCCGCCGAGCAGGCGCTGCTGCCGCAGCAGAGCTACACCCAACGTCTCGTCAACATGGTGCCCTTTCTCAAGTGGTTCAGCGGCTCCATGATCGGCAACGAGGTCCCGCGCACCGACAACGGCGACTTTGACTGGAACCGCGCCAGCCTGTACTGGAAGATCATCTGGTGGCTTGATGCGACCTTTGGGCTGTTTGGGGGCGAGATCCTGAGCGCCGACAAGGACGACTAAAAAAAGCTTGTAAACCGGGCATCTTGTCTCGTTTTCTAGTCAAGGGTTTTTTTTTCTGGGGATCGATTGGAAAAGGCGTTTGGAGGGAAAAGCTTTTTATTTCATTCTTATGTCCGTACGAATACCACACGCATACTACTTCATTTCTTCATAGACGGCGAGGGGAGGGCCGGCGGTTGTTTAAGATCAGACGCAGAAGAGAGCAAAGGAGAAAGAAAGGAAGGGGGGGGGGGGGGGGGTTCCTTTCATGAACGAATTGTAAGACTATGCAGCGCGAGCGCGCGTGAGCGCCGAGGGAGGGGAGAGTTTGTTGCGTCCCCCTCGTCCATAGAAACGCCTCTAAATTGGGGTGGGTATAACAAAGACTAATCATGAATTTTCGCCGCCGCCGCCGTTGCTGAAACCAAAAAGATCAAGAAAGACGACGAATAAGAAGAAGAAAACAAGAAGAGAGAAAGAAACAAGGAGAAACCAAAAACCAAAACACAAAGCTACGCGTCGTCTTCTTCTTCATTCACGCCCCACCGCCTCCCCAGCCTTCCCCTCTCCGCCGTCCCGTTCGCGGCGTCCGCGTCCTCAACGGCCGCGGTGTTGCCGGACTCGGCTCCGTGCCCCCCCTTTCCTCTGTGCTGCACTTCTTCCTCCCAGGGGCTCCTGTCGGTCTGCTCGTACGTCTCGGCCTCGTCTTCCTCGCGGAGCACGTCGTGCCGCGTCTCCTCGGCGGCCCTGTCGTCTCTCTGCGAGCCCTCGCCCAGCCCGACGCCCAGGCTGTCGAACGTGACGTCGGTAGCGTGCCGCCTGATAGGCTGGGGCGAGAAGGGCCGCACGCCCCTGGGCCTGTTGAAGTTGGTCTCGGAAAAGATGCTGTCCGCGTCGTTGTCATCCCCCAGCCCCGACGATGCGGTGGCGTTGGCGGCGGCGGCGGCGGCGGTGAGGCTCTGGTAACGGTCCGGGTCGCTCAGGAGGCTGTCGCCTCGGTGGTGGCCCCCGTGGCGTGTGACGTCGGACGCGGCGTCCGCGAGGATGCTCTTGGGCGGCAAGATGCTGAACAGCTTCGCGGACTCGGCCGACCCGCCGGAGCCAGCGCCGAGCCCGGGGTATTCGCCGACCTCGTCGCTGGCGAACAGGTCGGCGCCCTTCTCCAGCAGCTCGTCCAGCCCTCCGCCAGACCAGCCCTTCCTCGCCAGCGACTCGAAAATGTCGACCTCGGCGCGGACAAGGCTGCACGAGGCCTCGAGGATGCGCCCGCTCGTGTCCTGGCTCTCGCGCAGTAGGGTCCTGGCATGGTCCCCGTGTAGCGACGTCAGGCCGTCGAGCTTGGTCGTCAGGTCGACGAGGTGGGCCCTGAAGCTGCCGACGTCGCGCCTGCGCTGCTTGTGGAGCTTCAGCCCCTCCTTCTCGAGCCGCCTGATCTCGAGGTTCCGGGCCTTGACCTCGCGTAGGTAGGCCTCCTCCTCGTCCTCAACGCGCTGGCGCCACTTGTCGAGCTCATGCAACAGGGGCACCTCGAAGTCGCGGTAGACGGTCTCGGAGAGGATCTGCTGGTGGTTCGCGACGAGGTGGTGGACGCCCGAAGCGGACAGGAGCAGGTCGGCGGTGCAAGCGCCCTTGGCGCCGGCGGTGAAGCTGGCGGAGAGGGCGGCGCCGGTCTGGGAGGCGGACGAGAGGGACTCGGCGCGGGCCTCCTTGAGCCGGGCGCAGGACTCGAGGGCGGAGCCGAAGGCGGAGGCGGCGTTGGATAGCGAGGCGAGAGCGAGGCGGTAGGACTTTGCGGTCTGGATGAGGTCGGAGTAGGCGGCCTGGGAGAGCTCGAGGTCGGACTTGGTGAGGACGGCATGGAGGGGCCGCGGGGGCGGCGGGAGCGGGAGGTGGTAGGAGGAGAGCGGGTTCGCGGTCGAGGCGAGAGAGTAGACTGGCGACGAGGGGACGGGGGGCAGCTGGGAGGGCGTCGGGGTGGAGGGCCGGTCGCCGCCGGGCGTGGTTACGGTCTCCATTGCTTCGGATGTCGGCGTTCTGTTTCGTTTTTCGTCCTTTTGAAGCAAGATGAAAAGAAAAGAAAGAAAAGAAAAAAAGATGTCGCAGTGGTCGGGATGTGCCCTCAAAAGCTTGTTTATGGGGAGGGGGGGCAACACACTGCGGGGAGGTGGATGTGGTTGTTGGTTCTGCTCGATGTGTTGCTACACCGGGCGGAGCGTTTGTTTTGTTTACCGTGATATGTGCGCCAGACCGATCGGTATCATCTCTGCCCAGGAGAGTGACAAAATGAAGAAAAAGAGGGAATAAGAAATGCGTGACCTGCGTACCGAACCTCAGAGGGGGAGGGAAAGTGAGATGGAGAGAAGAGGAAGAAGAAAAAAAAAAGGGAAAACGGTGGTCGGCGATGCTTTGGCGCAGAGTTGCGGCTTTGCTGCAGATGCGAGCTGCAGCTTGGGAAGGTTCCGGATGGCCACGGGCGGAAAGATTGGGCTTCGGGCTAGCTTGCACCTTGTCATGGGCCGGGGGAGAGGGGGGTCATCAAGGGGCCCATGGCACTGGAAGGCCTTGTGATTCGGGGAGGCGACTACGGATGACCCTCCCAGCTGCATCCGGATGGACCTCCTAAGTGGGAGCTACAGCACCTTCAGCAAGATAAGACCCTGGGCCAGGCAGCCACCCACAGCGCTAGCGGCGCTGAACAACAGTAGTATTAGGTAAGCAGTGTGGGAGGAGCACGCAAGGACATGCCATCGATTGAGATGTTGCTCGATGCTTCCATACCTATTCAGAGGTGACATACAATACCTGATACGAGGACTGCCGCTTATATATTTTCTTAATTAGATTGGACTCGCAAGTCACTTTCGGAGTCTCTCACCACGGATGATAATTTCTAATGAAACACTGCTAGTGTTGCGTAAAACTACGATTGATATTTCTCTTTGGGGCGCACAGTAATCCTCTACCGACTACACGGCACGTCTCGAGCGGAAAGCGACGTGGCTTCATGCTGATTGCTTGCAACAGCTGCTGGCTTAAGCATGCCCTTTATGGATGCCTTTTCGCCTGCTCGTCATGCGAAACTCGTATTCGAGAAATGACCCTCCCATTCTCGTCTGTCCAGGACTCCCAGCATCAGACCATCTTCTCCTGCGTGACGTTGGAACATTGACCGCGCCAGCCCGATCTCACTTCTGAGTCGGCGGCAGTCTCTCCCGCAGAAAAGCCTCAACTTCGTCCAGCTCCTCGGGGCATGCGGCGTGAGGCATGCCGCTAGGATCCAAGAATCAGCACGCGTTGCCATCGAACCCCAACCATAAGGGGGTTGGATACAAAGAAGAAAAGGAGGAGGGGGGGAGACGGATCAGAACTCACGGGTAAATCTTCCTCGTAACCTTGTAGCCGAGCTTGGTCAGCGCCTCGGCGCTCAGCGCGCCGAGCTCATGGCGGACGAGGGGGTCGGCATCGCCGTGACCCAGGAAGAGAGGCGTGTCCTGGTTCGGCTTGTCGGCGGGCACGAGGCCGGCGAACTTGTTGCTGAGCGGCAGCCAGCACGACAGGCCGACGATGCCGGCGATGCGATGCGGGCACGTCAGGCCGGCGAAGATGGACAAGGCGCCGCCCTGGCTGAAGCCGCCGAGGACGATGCGGTCGGCGGGGATGCCCGCGTCGACCTCGGCCTGGATGAGGGACCGGAAGTACTGGGCCGAGGCAAGGATGCCGGGCTCGTCCTCGGACTCGCGGAGGCCCTCGACGGTGCCGTCGAGCTTTTTCTGGGGCAGGGTCAGCGGGGACGACGACGACAACGACGACGACGCCGCCGATAACTCTTGCTGACGGCGGTGACGGTCAAAGATCGTGTTGCGACTTACAATGTCGAACCAGCCCGGCATGCGCATGCCCCAGTTCTATTGAGAGTTGTCAGCGTCCGCGTGATAGGAATTCGGTCGGTGCTCTCGTTATTTGCATGTATGCCTTGGAGGGGGGGGGTGGGGGGCGAGGTGAGACAGAACGGGGTGAAGGGACGGGTTGGGGCGAGGTTAGACTCACGCAGGTGATGGGGATCTGGGGCGCGTGAGGCAGGACGAACTTGACCTCGTCAAGCCTCTGCCTCCGCCTCCAGTTCTCGACGGCGCTCGCCCAGCCGTTGCCGGTGTCGCCGAGGCCGTGGGCGAAGATGACGGTGGCCGTGTGCTTGCCGGCGGCCGGGAACACGAGCGGGGCCGATCGGGCGAGAGACGACGACATGGCTGTGGAGAGCGGGAGAGATCCGGCGGCGGGGAGGAGTGCAGCGTCCGCGACGGCGGCGACGGGGGGCGGATGTGAGGCAGGATTGTCCGAGTGCAGCAGCGGATCTTGGTGCTGGCCGTCGGCGGCGGTGAGCGATGCGAGGTTATTTACGACGACGAAAAAGAGGCTTGTGACACAGCTCCGCGGGATGAGCATTGGAATTGGATGCGAATTGGATGAATTGACGGGGCGAGATGGATGCCAGGGGAAGCGTAGCGAAAGCTCGGACGGCGGGGCACCGGGAGTCGGGAGCCGAGTTGAGGACTTTTGTCTACGTGGTGTAATTTTTCCTTCTTTCTTTTCTCTCTTTCACCCCTGCCGATGGGGTGGGGAGGGGGGCTGGAGATCTGGACCGGGCTCGGTACCGTGCCGTTGTTCAGCCTGGCTTCTCGTCTGATCAAATCGTCCTCCCTTTTTCGGACGGAAAGAGTTAATAGAAGATCACTATTATCGATCAGGATTGGAACGGAAAGAGGACGATGTCCTTGGATGTACGAGCAGGCCTCGGCGACCCTTGTCGAATTGCACTGTAAGACAGTGGATATGGCGATACCTACCCAGGTAGATATATTTGGGACTCGAGAGGGAATAGGCGGCTATTATGCAAAGTGTACTGTTCCTCCATTTCAACTCCATATGTGTCACTCGTCCTTAACTGCATCTCAGCTCCCATCAAGCGTCTAGAATCGGCGTGTCTTTGTTTACGGCATACGGCATCAGCCTCGCCGGACCTGGGTCTTTACATGCATCCATGCATCCAACCGTATTGGGGGGGGGGGGGGGCGGAAACAGGCCGCATAGTCTGCCTTCAACGCCGAAATGCACTAGTGAGGGGTCCCGTCCTTCTATCTGTGTCCCGACCTCCCGCTAAGCGATCCTCTCGTCACCCAAGATATTTACCTACCTTATAAGTACTTGGTCCCACGCGTGAGGGTCATGAAATCAAGAGGAGAACGAACACTAAGCTTACCGCTGACCTGCACGAGCAATGACACCAGGACCAGATCCGTACTGCTTACAGGCGCGCGAAATTGTACTCTCTGTCTATGAATCGGCTTCTGGACCATGAGCTAAACGACTCGAGGCCGGTTTCCGTTTCACCGCTATGTTGCATAGATAAACTGCAGACCGGAACCATGTAATGGATGTTGCACTTGGTATCCTGTCTAGCAAACAGCCTTTCATGATTCCATTAGGAGCGGCAATTTCCCATGCGGGTTCTGTCCCGAGGAGGCCTCCCCTCCACACGATCCAGAAACTCCTGGTCGTCTATCAGATTCGGGACCACGGCGGCGAGCCAGCGACTTACTTACATGGCCTGATGTTCGCTAAGGTGATACCTTACGTTATATGGGACGCAGTGGACCCTGCCGCGCGCGACGAAAAGCAGCCACCCATCGTGCCATCGCCCGCCGCCATCCGGCCCCTCCGCCTGCTCCGCGCCGATACCCCGAACCCCAGCCATCGGCTCTGGGCAGTCCTCAAATTCTTCGCATTCGCCCACGTCCTCGCCCTCATAAAACAAACCAGATCGCCGGGCACCAGGCCCTTTCACCTGAAGACTCGAGCGTCAGCACACCCAGCTTTTTCCACTATGCCGCGCCTCACCCCTCTGTTCCTCCTCTCCCTTTTGGTCGCCCTCACGGCGTACCTGGTCTCGCCCACCCTACGATCGTTCCTCGAGACGGCCAGCGCGGCCATTGCGAACCACACATCTCATAGCCCAGAGTCGGCCACAGTGAAGAGACCCAGGATGCCCGTCTACTTCTTCTCCCACGGCGGCGTAAGTATATCTCGTCCCCCCTTCCTCCCTCGACCCATCTCCTCCGCAATGCCTCAGACACCAAAACTGTGCTCTCCAGCCCGACGTCATGCACAACACGTCCCACCCGGTCTTCCCGGTCCTCCAGCCCATCGGCGCCGAAATCACCTCCCTCCGCCCCGCCGCCGTCGTCGTCTTCTCCGCGCATTGGCAGTCCCCCGTCCCGGCCTCCGTCCTCGTCAACGCCGCCCCCTCCGCCCCCCTCATCTACGACTTCTCCGGCTTTCCCCCGCACTACTACGCCGCCACCTACCCGAATGTCGGCTCCCCGGCCCTCGCCGCCCGCGTCTGTGCCCTCCTCGTCGCCGACGGCGAAATCTCCTGCTCCCGCACGCACCGCGGCCTCGACCACGGCGTTTGGGCCGGCTTCCACGTCGCCTTCCACCCCGACGAGAACCCCCTCCGCGTCCCCCTCGTCCAGGTCTCCCTCCTTCGCGGCGAGGACCCGGACGCCCATTACCGCCTCGGCCGCGCCGTCTCCGCCCTCCGCGACGAGGGCGTCGTCGTCATTGCCGCCGGCATGTCCGTGCACAATCTCCATCACATGGGCAGCGGGCCCGAGCCGTTGCCCTACGCTGTCAGCTTCGACGATGCCCTCAAAGAGGCGGCCGAGGCCGGCGCTCACGAAAGGCAGCGAAAGATGTCTCAACTGTGTAGGCGACCCGATGCCAGACAGGCCCATCCGTGGATGGACCATCTCATGCCCGTTCATGTTGCCGCCGGCGCCGCAGGGGACGACCTCGGCAGGCAGCTGTGGACTATGAAGGAGGGCAGCTTCGCCTGGGCCCAGTACAGATTCGGGTCCGGTCCCAAAACTTGACATGTACTGATTAAAAAGAAACTACGCCGCCAATCTAAGAACAGCGTGAATTAATAATGAACTTTGTGCGGCACATACATAACATCAAGACCGCACAGCTCACTACACTTCCTCCGAACGACAGCTATCTCCGCATGATCCATGTCTGAGGCGATAAGTATACGTGCGTCATGTATTATTAGGGGCCCGACCACGTCTGTTCCGTTAACTCCATGCTTCTCTATGGTATTCCTCGCCTTTTTGACATAACTCATACGTCAAACCCGTCGGCGTTACTGCGTAAAAAGCATTCTGCAAGCAGAAACAACCGATTTCCGGCACAGGAGTTGATCATCAGTCTCAAAGAAACACTGTTGGCTCATTACCCATGATAGAGACCTGGCGTCTGCTGCTCAAGAAGCCTTCGAGCATCTGCTTGCCTTCTCCCGTCTGAGGCTTCTTGTCTTGCTGGTTTATTGCATCGGGTCTGTCCGCAATATCATAATCGCTGGAGTCCCACAAGCGGTGGCGCATGGGACCGTCCTTCCTCCTGGGAGACCTCCCCTTTGGACCATTTGAATTTTCTTTGGTCTGTAAGGGACCAAATTGTTTCTTAAACGCCTTTGTAAGTCTAGGGCTAGATGCCGACGACTGGATTTCACTGTCTCCTCCACTGCGCCCAAACCTTGTGATAGGAGATCGGCTTTTTGGTCTTGGAGAAACCTCGGCTGACAGGAGTTTCGGCATTGTGTCGAAGCTGCGCATTTTTGAAGCCCCGCTGTTCCCCAACTTTATGGGAGCATTGTTCCGAGAAGACTGAGGTCGTATTAGGGGCATTGAAGGAGTTGTACGCAACGAGCTCCGTGGCGGAACTGTTAGAGGACCGTATACGCCACGAAGATGCTTGGTAACGCGCCCATCTGACCTGGGAGCTGCGTTCTCATCTCTGCTAGACGTCATAAAGACTGGTGTCTTGGTGCCAATCTCAACTCGACTGGCAGACGATGCTTGGCGAGGGTTGTGGCTCATCGTCCTGAGCGGCGTCTGTACTCTGGTTGTTTTAGGACATGTCGGCTTATACGACATTGGAGACGGCGAATCTTCAATTTCTGCGTTCTCGCGCACATGACCGAAGTTTCTAGGCATGCTTGGTTTCGAGTATCGAACTTCAGTCAAAGCCTGGGCCCTGGCGTTGACTAGATTGGCATCAGTCTTTGATGCGTTAGCGGAGAGCCACGTCTTCCACTCCACTGAGCTTGCATTTGATACTGTTCGATCAATTGGTGTTGTGGGCGTGTATGTCAGAGGCTCAAGTTGTGTGCCTCGGGCAATAGTAGTGTTATGTTGAGAAGTTGTAAGAGCTCTTCTATCGGAACTGTGCTCGATGGCAGCGTCCGCATATACGCCAGTAAAAGAGGCTGGTTCGAGAAGCACAGGACTCGCTCGATGACTGGCGTGTCGGGGCGGAATAGCCGGCCCTGCTGGCTTATTGTTGAGCTGCGGTGTGGTTCGTGACGAGCGGAGTTCATCGGAGTATATACTCTCAGAGTAGGCAAGACGTGGATCCTCCTCAGATAGACTTGGGCGACGCCTTGTAGGAATCAGCTCAAGATTGAGGCTCGAAATTGTTGGTGAACGTAGCTCGGCCGATGCTTGGTTGCTTTCCTTGATTGATGCTTGCAATGCCTTACGGTAAGGACTTTTTGTCCGAAATAATTGACACGTTGGACTGCCAAAGAAGGCAGAACTGCGGGTTGACAAGGTCCTCGGGGCCAACGTGATGTCCTCGCTGTGCCTGGTGGATGACCTTGAGGGTGGGGACCCATGTCCATCACTAGCAACAGGTCTTGGATGGGCTCTCTGAGAAGCGAGGGTCGCCTCCGATTCAGATCGTTGGCGATCGTGAGCCGCGCTACTCAACAATGATTTTGCTTCATTCGGAAGAGAGTTGGTGGTTACGATACCAAAACCTATTTGTGCCGCCTCCCCCGAATTGTCTTGAAATACGTCGTCATCTTGTAAGACACATCTGATAGTCGGCGGCTTCTGTTTCGCAACTTCTTTGATGCTCTGTTCGTTGTAGGATTTTGGGAGTTGGTTTGATCCATGCCTTTTCAAGTCCCAGTCCCAGCCACCACTGTGTTGCAGTCCGTTCTTCTTCTGCTGGTCCTGTTTTGTATCGCGGAAGCGGTCGATGAGTGCCGGATAGGTCCTGGATTTGTCCATTGAGGTCTCAGAGCGGGCTAGGTTTTCCGAGGGAGACAGCGATGGTGGTGACAACTCGTAAGGATTGCGGTCGCCTATGCCTGGTCGCCTAAAAGAGGAGGACGAGTAGTGGGGACCATTCTCTTTGATGACGGATAGCCGTTGTTTATCACGCTCGCCACCCCGCATACTTTGACTGTCGAGGGTACACGTTTCCGAGCTTGTCCAACTGGTCACACGCGACTTTTCATTTGACACGTTTCTCTCGCTCCCGATGCTCTCTATGCTTCCTTGGCGGGAACGAAGCCTGCGGGATGAGCATGCGTCGTGCAATGAAGGTACACAAGAGGGGACCTGTGAGATGGAGCACTCATCCGTTAGAACTGGATCGATGATATCCATATATGGATCATCTTGCTCGGACTCCATGCCGTCTTCGTTTCCAACATTTACTGCCTCGTTTTCATTTGCTACAGAAGCCGGTTTGTCTTTCTTGCTGCGCCCGAATATCTCCTTGAGCTTCGATTTTAGGCTATTGGAAACTTTCCGTGCCTTCTTCCGCAGTGAGGCGTCCTTGCTGACGGTTAGGGGGTTTGCAGTATCCGCCAGATGGGCATCGGAACCGAACTCTCTCATGGATTTGCGGAGACCTAGGGTACTCTGGCTCTTCTTTGTTCGTGGGAAGAATATAGACGATCGTGGCTTCAGTTTTTGCTGGTCTTCAATGTTTCTGCGGAAAGTCTCTTCGGCATCATGGACCGCCAAATCGTTGAGTTTTCGACTGCTTGTTCGAGCAACACTCGCGGTGCCTCGCAACTTTAGGAAGCTGGCTGATTTCGGTGCGCGTAGTCCCATCGACTCTGTTGGAGATTTGTTCTCCTTCATATCTTGCACGAACTGTGGCTGTAACGAGGACTCTCTGTTCACTTGCTTCGAAGAATCGTTGAAGTAGTATGTGGTCGCTGGAGTGTGGTTCAACGGGGAAAACATCGATCGGGACTTGCGTAGGTGTCGATACGATGCTGGAGGAGGCGCGCACTCGTCCGCTGGTCCAAATGAGTCGACTGGTGGCAATGAATTAACGTAGTTGGTGGTATAAGTGCTCACGGAAGAGCGTCCGACCTTGCCAGACGACTGGGTCTGGGTTCGATTTCCAACATCCTTGAGTATGTTTCGACGTCGAATGGTGTCTGCGTCCGAGGAGGCGTCGTTATCCTTACTTTGAAGCCTCTTTGAGCGAGAGCCTTGCCTAACGAAGCGGACGCTTTGCTGGCGACGTATACCATTCTCTTCGAAGTCATGCTGGAAACGGTCGTCACCCGTTGGGTCCTCTGGCCAGGATTCCATACGGCCAGAGCGGCTGTGGTTGCGGGAAAGCCAAGGTCTTATTTCTGGGTCGGAAGCAAGGCCTACGCGGCAGAAGGATAAGGTAGCAGCAATATGAGCGTCTCTTTCGGCAATGACTGGATCAATATGCTCCAACCTTTGGACAGCAGAGCGAAAGGAGGCTGTGGACTTGCTTCGAGTCAGCGTCGACCCCGACTTAGTACTGTTGCGTCGCCGCATAGAGGTGCAAGGGATGGTAGAGAGGCTTTAGGCGAGAGGAACAAGACCGACTTTGCGGCTACCTAGTTATAAAGTAGGGTGGCTAGAGAGATTCAACTGAAGCTGGTGGTGGTCTACTTCCGAGATTCGGGCTAGTGCTAACCAAAAGCAAGCTGTGGGAGCTCGAAGAAGTGCCGCGTAGATTGTAGAATGATGAGCTGTGAAGGACGAGATGGATGACACGGAGGATGAGGAAGGTGGCCACGCTTTAGCAGAGCCACGAGGAAAAGAGCAGCCGCCGTTGAGGTCCATGATCGCTCCTTCTCGGGGGCCGTGTGAACTCTGCAAGATGGGGAACGGAAGGCACGCCGGGACCGAGGGAAGGCAGTAAGCAGAAGGATCCATAATCAATCCCTGATTTGAGCAGGTATGAGGTGGCGTCGGCATGATCCAGCTATTCTTATTTGTTCCTTGATGGGAGAGGAACGCATTCCAGCTGCAGAAGGGTAAACCGACTTCGAGATTGAGGATCACCCGTGTATTTGAAACACGATGTCTCGACCAAAGGTAGCTTCAACTGAAGTAACGGAGGTGCTACATAGCGGAATCGTCGCTAAGTTTTGATAACAGCTCCTCCTAGACAATCCGATCAGTATCACCCATCGGTCAGTAGGATGCATGACGGGCTTACTCATGACAGGCGGCAGAGTTTGGCTTACCGGCATCGCAGCCCATCAGGGCGCTTAGATAGGGTTCACCTAAGTAGTTGCTGAGCCATACGAATAAACATTCCTAGTCGTCACGTCCAGCATCATTGAATACGGGTGCGTGCACCTTTCAAGTAGTAATAAATAAGGAGACTTAGTTTGTTGTGCTATGAGATCTGTATGTAGCTATAAAGCGATGCGTCCATCCCAACCAATCCATCCAGCGGTAACCCTATGCGTACAGTGCCATTGAACCAAGAGAAAAAGGAAAAATAAAGGCCCTTTGTCGCTTTGACAGCGACGCTTACAAGGAGGTCTCCCTGAGGAACTCCTTCAGCTCCTCATCGACGAGGTTGTGGATCTTCTTGGCAAGCTTCTCAGCCTTAGTGCCAATATTCTTGGCGCCCTTGACAACCTTGCCGGAAAGAACCTCAAAGTCCTCCTCGATGGCCTTCTCGAGGTCATCAATGGTGGCCTCCTTGGTCTCCTGCTTGACAGTGTAGCTGCCAGCCTCAATGATGGCAGAGTAGTTGCTGCAGCCACCGCCGTTCCAGGCGAGGACGTTGGGGGTGTCTCTGGGGATGTCGGCCAGGGCGCCAACAGTGCCGACCGAGATGAGAGCCTTCTTGAGCTTCTGGGGGGTGATAGGAGCAACCGAGTACTCGGAGTCAGTGGAGGGCTGGAGAGAAAGGTAGTAGGCCAAGAGGCCGCAGATGTGCGGGGAGGCCATGGAAGTGCCGGAGATAGTGTTGACGGCGTACTTGCTGCCGATCCAGGTGGACTTAATGTTGGTGCCAGGGGCGAAGATGTCGGTGCACTTTCCGTAGTTGGAGAAGTAAGAGCGGCGGTCGCCGAGCTCAGTAGCACCGACGGTGACGGCCTTCTCGGCGGCAGCGGGGGAGTAGTTGCAAGCATCAGCATTGTCGTTACCGGCAGCAACGGCAAAGTGAATACCGGCGTCGACAGCAGCGTTCACAACGGCATCGAGAGCCTGGGTCTTGCCACCACCAAGTGACATGTTGGCGACGGAGCCCTTGAAACCCTTGCGCTTGCCGTCCTTGGCAGCCTTAACTTGCTCGATGTGAGAAGTAGCAGCCCACTCAACGCCCTTGACAACGTCGCTCATGGTACCGGAGCCGTTGGAGCGGAGAACCTTGACAGCGTAGACGTTGGCCTTCTTGGCGACACCGTACTTCTTACCAGCGATGGTACCCGAGCAGTGAGTGCCGTGACCGTTGCCATCGACGTCCTGGTCACCAGAAGGAATGGTCTTGCCCCACTTGGCACGACCCTCGAAGTCGACGTGGTCAACGTTGGTGCCGGTGTCGATCACGTAGGCGTCGACACCTTCACCAGCATCTTCGGCATAGAGGTACTTGTCGTAGGTACCGAAGCCCAGGGACTTGCGGTGGGACACACGAGCTAGACCCCAGGGGGCAAGCTTCTCAAGCTCGCCGTCGCAGGTGTCTTCAGCCTCAGCACCCTGAGACTTGACGGGAACCTGCGTGTGGACAACGGAGTCGACCTCGATGAATTCAACCTGCAGAATGATGTGTCAGCAAGCAGTTTGGCCAAGGTATGACTGTAACTAGTCGGGCGGGTCGATCCAAGTCCGACGGCATCAAAAAGCCTAGGACCAGCTGTGCCGCGCACTGAGCTTAGATTGATGGGTTTGATGTTGTGGACATCAAAGTGTAGAATCAAGGGTCGAACTTACGTCAGAGTGCCTCCGAATCTTCTCGATGGTGGCCTCGTCGAAGTGACCGGCGTAACCCAAGAAGTCGTTGCCGATCTTGTAGGTGTGCTTCAGGCCGTGGAAGACATTGTCAACCAGGGGCTCCTGGCCACGCTTGCGCAGCTCAAGACGCTCGTCCTGGGATGAAGAGTGAATCTGCTGGACCCAATTGTGGTGGTCTTCAGCATCAGTGTCCGAGACGTGCTTCTTGAACTTGATAATGTACGAGTTCGGGACAGCCTCGGCATTGGTGGAAGAAATGACGGGAGCGGCGCCGTCGTGGATGGTCTCAATGGAAAGAGAAGGAGTGGCGCTGGCGACAGCAGCAAGGCCGGCCACGGCACCGATGAAGCCTCTCATGATGGGCGGTGATGTGGTTGTGTGAAAGGTCTACCGGAGACGCGCGTTACGATAACAGGAAGAAGGAGATTGAAGCTGCCGAAGTCGCCAGGGAAGGACGAATACTCGATGGAGTTGAAGGGTGGATGATGCCGATGAAGGAGGGGGAGGGATGGGGGAGAGATGGAGCAGGAGAACAAGCGATGGGGGCTCCGGAGGGCGGGAGGGAGCATATATAAAGGGAAGGAAGGCAACGGCGGTTGCGTGCGCACAGCTCTTGGTGAGGTATCCGCAGCGTACCCGTATCGGCCTTAGGATGATTGCGCCGCCCCAGTGTGACGCAGCCAACAAGATAAGAGCCGGCGGGTGGCTGACGTCGCCGAAACCGGCCTAGCGCCCCCTATGGATGGGTAAGAGAGCCAATGGAATGACTCGATAGGGTTTCCTCGGCAATGCGATAAGAGGGGGTCACGTTTGGGGATTCCCTGGGCTGCTGGGTACGTACCATGGAGGTGTGTGTCACCGTGTGCGTAGGTACCTTGCCTGGCGACCCCCGCCGAGCTGTGCCAGGCACCATGTTCGATACAGGCAGCTGCTTGCTTGAGCTTTATGCTATCTAGGTAGGTACACGTCGTATAGTAGTGCAGTACCTCTTCCACCGGACGCTACCTCCCTCCCTACCTACCTACCTAGGTATGTGAGCTTTCCAAGAACTCTGTTCCCAGGCACAGAACAGAACCAATCCGGCTGTGTTTCTGATGGGAGCTCCATCCGTCAAGCTTCGTCGAGATGCCGTGTTTGTAGCTGTTCAATTTCCCACTCCAACAGCACTCTTTGGGAACCACGGTCAAGTAGCAAACAGAACACCCCCATGGAATTCAGAGTCACAGCAGAGCAGTTGACGTCATCCCCAAGCCTTCCATGAACTGAGGCCGAAACGAAGGCAATCAATCAGTCACAGAGTGCAGAGTGGACATTGTACTCCGTACCTACCTTGCCACGCTCGCCTGCCCCTTTCATCGCAGCCTCCTAATATTCCTCGAAACCATGGTCAGCTACCTACATCAACGAGTCATTTTTGTTTCCAGGGAACTCGTCGATTTCAACCGCTGACAGCCTTATCTACGTGTATCCATCCGTCCAAATCAATGAGGCAACGGAGGTAACTGACGGACGGCACAGGTGACAGCCTACCCATACATCCAGTGGCCGATTCCGCGCCTGGTCCTCCAACATGGGAAAGTCAATCCCATGTACCGCACTATCAGCATTCCTTACGCATTCTTCACCCAATTGTCTCAACCGAGCAATAGCTTCCCCTCCAACCCACCTGATATCCACACAGTCCGCATATCCCGCATAGCGCTGCATGCGATAACGCGTAATGGACGATTTGGAGCGGAGAGCGAGGCAGATCTATCCGGAGGACCCTGAAGCTTCACGGGTGCTGCCATCCCGTCTTATCTCGACACTCGAAGCTTTTGCCGTTTCGTTGGGATCTGCTATCGACCATTCGTAGGGGACACAGCACATGTCGTGTGCTGGCAGTTGTGCCTCGTCTTCTTGACTGTCTTCTTCGTCACTTTGTGGTTGCCTGCACCTTTAACCTCGGACGGACCGGCTTGCATTGGCCTCGCTGCGACTTGCTCAGTGATGATACGATTAATTGTAATGAGGTGTCCAACAACACAGGATCTTCTACAGTACACAGAAGACCCGCCAAGGATTAAATCCAAGGCGAAAGGGAGGACAGGCCCCCCAGAGCCACCGGACGCCTGGAGTTTCGTCGGTCTCAATCACTCTTACGAGGTGAAGCTGACGCGCTATCTGTCAGGTGGTGCAATGCTGGAGCTTATCCCCCAGGGTACCTTTGCTGCCGCCCTGCTCTGCCCTGTCATCCCGTTGCTCAAGCTCCGACTGGAACGGGTTTAAGAGCTGTCCGAACTGGAACCTTGGTGGCGGGGAGGAGACGAGGCCCACAGCAACGCTACGCTGATCAGAGCTACCTAGCCTAGTACGCCTGACCCACAGGTCAGATGAGGACGCCTCCGTGTGGTGCCTGGCACGTGCCTCACTTCCCTCACTTCCCTGCCTTCCCGTCATCGGGGGCAGTCTGGCGTTGGAGCTGCCTGAGAAACAGGAGGTGTGTTCAAGCCAGGCCAGCCGGAGGCGATTGGCCAGCCGTCAGCTAGCCAGACTGTCAGCCAGAGCTTGGTACGCGGAGCTGCCAGTCAGCCGCCAGCCGCCCGATTCATCCAGGTTCTCGAATACTCAAATGGGGACTGACGGGGGCAGACGTCGAGGCCGCATGCCAGCAAGAGAAGGGCTCGTCCGAGTGCTGTCAAAGTGTTTTCCGGGCCAGGGACGTCTCTGTAGCAAAAACCTTAGGCTAAGAGCTTGCGAGTCGGGTTGTCAGTGCTAAAGGTTGCAGCCCAGCACGCTATCTATACCGTGCTGTCCGAAAAGGCCATGATCGGGCCTTCCACGCCACCTCGATATGGATCCATATGAAGCGGTGCAGCAATAACGACGACAGCCTCGTCAATCGACGAACGCATTTGCCGCTGTCGTTGCAAGACCGAGGTACTTAACCCAAGGACAGAATGGGTCTCGGGTCTCGGTGTCTGGGAAGGCCCAGACTGAAACCGCCCTATTACCGCCCAAGCTTATTCCTAGATGCAGCAACGTTCCGGAGGAATACCCAGCAGCGCGAGCCCATAGTCGCTTAAGCGGTCACCACCGGTCAACGGGGATATGACACATGGGCAGTCGGCCAATCCTTTGTTTGTTGCCATGGTGTTTGTCATGGCTCGCGTTTAAGGCCGGTCACTGACTCAACGCAAATGGAAAGACCGATAGGTCTTCACCGACTGATTCGTGTTTATGTGTTTCTAGCTTTGGTTGGTGGGTTTCATGCATCAATGAGGGGAGGGTGTTTCCCTCCAACACAGACACTCACCTGAGTACATATATGTACAGTTGCTTCGCCACCCACGCAAAACAGAGAAACACGCTCGCGTAAGCTCTGCACTCGGGGTCGAGCCGACGCCCGGAGAGCCGGACAATGGTGTACCAATACGGTACATGCAAGTATCTAGAGTCTGTATGCGAGCTCAGATGGGATGAAGCGTGCGCGCATGTTTCAATGGGCTCCACTCGGGTTATCCATGTTGACTTTGAGTACCGGAAGCTATCCGTATCTCGGCCCATCCTCGCTGCTCAACGTCTGTTTGTCTGTCGTGTCTGAGTGGGCAGCTCGATACCGTATCTTATCTGTCTGCCGCAGCTAGGACAAGAGTCCCCTCCCTCTCGACTTGGTGAGGGAGGGGGGATGTCACTGCAGATAATGCTAGATGTATGCATGCGTTTGCTACTCAGAACAACATAAATTGATTGCCAATCTATCAATGAAGTAGCATCTTGCCTCGCATGTGACACGAGTGTACGCTGGCCATTCCCTATTGCCTCAAGCCAAGGTATGATCCGCGTGATATGAGAGGTTCCATGGATAGAATGGGGGAAGCGTGTATCAGTATCGTCTCCGTGAAATGCGACCAGAACCATCAGAACTGAGCGCCCAAGGCACCGTTCACATACCTAACGATACACCTACCCAGTAAGGTCGGTCGGTTGGCAGTTTATGCAGACCTCCTCCAGCGTATTGAATATCAGACCAGTACCTGCGGGGCGAACTGATCCATTTGGAAACACAAGTGCTATGCTAACCTCCGTACGATGTACTCCGTACATCCACATCTGGAGCAGGTTTATGGAGGAGCCGAGCGTCGCAGTATGGGCCGCAGCAACGCCACCATTCCTACCCCACTATTTCACAAAACGGCCGGCGTGTCTGACGCTCTTGCCTGTCTTTCTGCAAGACGAGGCAGCCATTGAAACCCGTTCAAGCCACACCTCCACTGCTCAAGGCTGACACTTGCAACAGTTGCAGCTCCCGCTACAATCTCCGTGATAACGCGTGTTAGGGTGGCTATTGGCAGCTATTCCGGAGTATACCAACATTTTCAAAAACCGCTTCTTTTGCATCGCCACGATACATCATCACCCCTCCTTATATATAAAAAAATCAAAGAGGGGAAATCCCCTCTTTTCACGCCCCATTCTTGCCCGAGCTGCGAGCTGCCGTCCCACCACGCGCCGCATCTCACTTTCGATGCCGACCAGTTTTGACCGCTGCCTGGACCCTCGGTGGGTTCTGGGACTGAAGCTTTTGGAATGAAGGAGCTGCTACAATAGCAAGAAACAGCATCATGTCAACTCTCCACGTATCGAGGCGTTATCGATCCTCCACCTCGGCGTCGTCCAGATCAAACAGTGCTGCCAACTCGAAAGCTCTCGAAATCCTGCGCGGCCTACTCGACACTCTCGCTGCTGGCACAACCAGACGCACCAACAATGGCTATCCCGAATTTCCCGTTCTCCTCAAGGGCTTGCGCCAAATCCGACAGCATATTGCCGCCCCCGAACCGCCGAGTCCGCCCCAAGATGATTTTAGACACTTGCACGGCTTTCACCGTCTCCTCGATGTGCTGCGATCCTTTTCCGGCTTTTATAACCCCCAGCGCCGGACAAAAGAAGAGAAGGAGGGGCTGTTCGGGCTGCTAGAAGCCGTGCTGGATGTCTTCGCCGCCGCCTTCTTGGGCCATCCTGGGAACAAGCGCTACTTCCGTCACAGAGTAGAAGGCGGCGGATGGGAGGCTCTTGAACAGACCATCGCCAGCGTCGGGTTAGGCGGAAGTGACTCCGACTTATGGACCAACTGCCAATTGTTTGGAAAGCTCTTGGCGTTCTCGCTGGGCGACAACAACGTTGATGCCCTTTGCCGGTCCCTTGCCTCACACCAGGAGACAAACATTCAGGAAACCACAACGGACCCGAAAGAAGCCCCCGAAGGCGGCGAAGAGCAGCCAGAAACACCGAACACTCCACAAACAAGGGATATTGCCCAGGAGGTGCGCAACCTCGTACACAAAAAGGCCGTTTTCCGGAACCCAGAGATCCTACGGGCTGTCGTAGGGTTCTGGGAATCTATCCCAAGAGGGCAAGATATGCCGGCAAACTCCTGCTCGATGGCAGTCCTGGAGATCATGTCGAGCGTCGTTTCAATCTCCACGTTCAATCTCGCCGCTCTCCATGCTACCGGCGTACTATCGCGTTTGCTCTGTGTTCTGTTCGATCCCGCTCCAAAACTCGACCAGGCTGAGAAAGACAAGTTGCTCATCATCTGCAAGAAGCTTATGTACCTAGGCTTCAATCAGCCAGCAGACACCCAGTTCCTGCTCGCAAGTACATCACCCGAGGCTTCCGAATTCAGCCTGGAGATGACCTCGACATACAGTGGTCCTCCGTTCTTCCAATTCGATCTTTCGTTACACGGTCATTCCTCCATCGAACTGCCGACGCTTGGCCGGCCATTCCCTCCCAACTCATCTCCAGGATACACTTTCACGGCGTGGGTCCGCGTGGATCGATTTGACCCCAACTCTCACACTACCCTTTTTGGCGTTTTCGATGAGACTCAGACCTGCTTCCTCTTGATGTATCTTGAACGGGATACTCGCAACTTCATCCTACAGACCTCCGTCACATCCAGCCGACCTAGCGTCAGGTTCAAGGGCATATCATTCAAAGACAAACAGTGGTACCACATTGCCCTAGTTCACAGACGGCCCAAGACAATGACTGCCAGCAAAGCCTCGCTATACGTCAACGGAGAGTTTGTGGAGCAGATTAAGTGTGCCTACCCTTCGTCGCCACCTTTCGCAAACGGCAGCACTGAAAGTTTTGCGTCTTTTACATCCACCAACGCCAAGCCGCACCCCGTCCAAGCATTCTTAGGAACACCGAGGGACCTGTCCAATCAGCTTGGACCCGGCCTGGTATTCTCCAAATGGTCTCTGGCCTCTGCGCATCTTTTCGAGGATGCTCTGAGTGACGATTTTCTTGCCGTCCACTATGGCCTCTCCCCGAGGTATCAAGGCAATTTTCAGGATAGCCTGGGTGGCTTTCAGACATATGAAGCTTCAGCAAGCCTGGGCCTGAGAAACGAAGTTTTCTACCCGGGGAGAGATGAGCATTCGGACATTATTAGAGCAATCAGGGACAAGGCAGGCAGCCTCCTGCCTGAGCAGAAGATCCTGCTAAGCATTCTTCCATCAGGCGTCTTTCGAGAGGATGGTGCTTACCAAGACACTCAGCTCTACCGTGCTTTGCCCCGGCCTGCTGCAACGAGTCTCACTCAGATGACACACAGAAGTGGCTCGGCAATTGCCATCAATGCTGCACTGCCATGCCTGCTGGACGCGTTGGCGCGCTCTCATGGGGTAGCTATCCTGACCGGTAATCCTGTGGTCGTCATGCCCTCTTACTTTGACGATAACTTCTGGCGCCTTGCTGGCTTCACTCCCCTAGCTCTCAAGATTGTCGAGAGAGCAACCTCGGTAGAGGAAACAGTCCGTGCTGTTGAGATGACATTTCTCTGCATTAAGAAGAGCTGGAGGAACAGTGAAGCCATGGAGCGCGACAACGGTTATGCCATTTTAGGCATGCTCCTGAGAGCAAAGCTGGGATATACCGTCAACTTGAGTGCTGATAATGTTAACCTACGATTGCCGATCACAAGTGAAGAGAGGGACAAACTAAGCTTTCAACTTCTCAGCCTTGTCCTTGATTTTGTGGGATACAATCATGCTGAACCTCTAGAGTCCTTCATTGTCAATCCTCTGGCCTATCGCATCCTGCTGATCGACTTTGATACTTGGAGACGATCTGCTCCCATCACTCAGGGGCTCTACTACAAGCAGTTTGTAACCTTCTCTGTTAAGAGCAAGTATCACCAGTTCAACAGCAGACGGTTAATGCGCATGAGTAAGTGCACTTGTAGACAAAGCCTTGGCGTTACTGACACTCACAGGAATCGTCAAACGACTACTTGATGCCATGAAAGCAGAGTCAATTTCAGAAGAAGTACTTCCGCACTTCATGACGGCTTTGGAACATCTAGTGAAATGCAACTATACAGCCGAGGTGCATAGGTCTCTCGCTCTGTTCATTACTTATGCCTACCATTCACCGACAGCCTCTTTGGTCAGGACCCCTAAACCTATATCTGCGATCGCCAGAACCCCTGCTTCTGGCTTTGCAAGGCGAGCCACCTTCGATTCCAGCACCCCCCCGAATGCGTCCTCCTCAAGAATCCTCACCAAGAAGCAACTTGGTGCAAAGATCTTGGGAATGTATTCAACTCTTCTCTGTGAAGAGGGCAATCTGGCCAATATCCGCAAGTTTGCAAGGACAGTGACAAACAAGGTGAGACCACCGTCTGACGAAAACCAACTATTTTTATTGAGTGTAGACCAGTGGCTACTGTACCTTTTGGCCAATGACGACCCCGAAACGGTGGTGTACGGCAGCAAGATCCTAGCAAGACTTCTCATCACCCACGGCTCAGCCTACACAGCCAAGTTCTCCGGGAAAACTGGCGGCTTCACCATCATGGCCCATCGACTCAAACGCTGGTGGTATGTCCCTTCGCTGTGGCCTATATGCTTCAGCATCCTTTTCGGATTTGACGTGGCCAATCTCGACCTGGATCGCGACTTTGAGTTATCAAGCTTGTTAGAAACATTCGGCAAGGCAAGAGTCCTCTACCCAGAATGTCTTCAAGTTTTGACGTCAATGCTACAACATGGGTTGAAGGACGTTATGAGGAGCCAGGAGGATCCAAACTCGCCTCAAAAGCCGCGCAGCCTCTTTGCAAGCGGCTTCGAAGGGCTAGATACACGGCCCCGGGCCAAGTCAATGGATACTAGAGGCATCGATGCGAGAGGTAGGTCATGTTACTCACATACTATGATGAGTGCGCTGACATACGTATCAGTGGCAGATGGTGCCCAGCATGAGGTCGGAAATACGTTAGATCACGCGCCTATGCTCGTTGCCGTCGTTCGATTTCTATCAGATTTGCACTCTCGCTCCGCCGACTTCAGAGACTTTGCCTTGACATCCGAGTACGTCAGGTACCTACTATGGGCCTGTTACCCCATCATCGTTAGCACTGATGCCGTCACCCCAGACACCGAGCTTAACTCACGAGACTCGGCGCTCACATTTGAAGGCGGAGACGTGATGATCCGTCCCCTTGCCGGCTCTCAGCCTGGTCCCATCATTCGCACGACGAGCACGGATGCGGTTGCTACATTGGCTGGAACCCCCCGCGGCACCCCTCTCCGGAAGGCATCTGGTTTTGTGATGCTCACTAATCAAACATCTCCCCAAGCCCCCAGTGCAGCACGCTTTGCCCCGGTCATGTCACCAAAGAAGAAGGTCGAATCGCAACAGCCTAGCAGCGCAGCCCTTGATGGCCTAGTAGAGTTGGTCATTAGTGTATTCATTGACCAGGTCTTCACGCGAAAGGAGTTCCCTGGCTTCGGACTGTTCCTGAAGATCCCACCTGGGTTCCAAGAGCACCAGGCTTACTTCGAATCCTTTGTCCTCAGGAAGACACTCCAACAACTTGGGAATCACGTTCAGTCGAATCAGGGGGTTCTGTGTGAGCCAAAGGTTCTCACCAATATGGGCAGATTAGCCGCACACGTTACGGACGCCATCTTCGAAGGCTGGTTTATCAATGGTACGGAGCCAATGCTAGAATTCGCTGGTATGGTACTTGAATACCTACAGCGGCCCGAAGTCTCTACCTTGAAGAGCGTCCGTCTCTGTAGTCAAGCAGTGGCCACGACACGTCAAAGCTTCCTCAAGCTGCTTCTGCTTCGGTTCTCTGAGCTGGATGATCCCGACACACCAGACTCCAGTGCAAAGGCTTTTATGAGCAACATCCTATACTGGCAGGCCCCTATATTAGACTCTCTCTCGGACGAGGAGGAGTACATGAAGCTTTTCTGGTACCAACTTTACACGAAACTTGTGGACTCCCGAGTAGCCATCAGGTCTGCCACGGCTACCATCATGCGCATTATGCTTGTGCAAAAGCCACAAGAGTCGAAGGTGTTGTTCCGCCAAAACGTGGCGACAGACCAACAACGGTTGACGAATGAATTCGTTGTTAAACTCACCGAGGTTGATGATGAAGCGTTTCTTGAATGGGTGGACCGGCATCGTGCGTCGCTCGATGCCTTCTTCTTTGTCGGGATCTCCAAGATCTGGGAAGAATTTGTGGCTGCCGAAAACCAGCGAACTGTTGATTCGGCTAAGTTCCGATTGGCGAAGCGCAGAGACCGACTAAAAGCGTGGCAAATGGAAGCACTCAGTATTGATCATGTTCTTCTGCGGCATGACATGGCCAACGGTGCTTGGATGAAGAGCATCTTCACAAGCGAGCACTTCAAGCACCAACGCTTGACTCAGGACCAGCAAGATGATATGGCCTTTCTAGCTGCTGCATTCGTCAAGATGGACAATGACCTGCGGCGTCCGGGGGCCGTGTTCAGCGAGCAGACACAGCTCAAGTGGAAGCTCGACCGTACGGAGGGGCGCAACCGAATGCGTCTGAGGCTTCTACCCGACTACTCCAACAAACATAGCGACTACCAGCCAAAGAGGAGAGCAGGGGAGTCTATGAACCCGTCTGCCCTCAAGGTGAACACCGACATGGTAGCCGCCCAGATCGCACCATCGCCAATCAAGGCACCCACACCGGCATCGTCCCGTATAAAGGCCATCCCTAGCCTTGATGGCGAGGCAGAGGTCTCCGACATGCCAGCCGAGACGGACCAGGAAGATGAGGCAAACGAGTCCGGCGTCGGTGCCGAAGAGGATTTCGAGCTAGTCGACGACCCAAACGACGCCAACGAGGGCGACGATGGGTTCGAAGATAAAAATCGCAAGGTCATGCGACGACTTGAGCAGGGTGACCAAGTCCAGGCGGTGTACAACATCTCACGAATCGTCGGTTTGGAGGGCTGCGAAGGTATCCTTATCATTGGAAAAGATGCCTTGTACATCATGGACAACGTCTTCCAATGCGCTTCTGGCGAGATCGTCAACGCGTGGCAAGCTCCCCCCGAGGAAAGAGATCCCTTCTCAGAGATAATTACGGATGCCAAAACCACTGAGCAACGCCAGAGCTCAAGTCGCAGCGAGCAGGAGTCGAGGAGTTGGCGGTGGCACGACGTTATCAGTATCTCTAAGAGACGTTTCTTGTTCCGGGACGTTGCTGTTGAAATCTTCTTCACAGATGGACGCAGCTACTTACTGACGTCCATCAACCCGGCACTGAGAGACGAGGTCTTTGGCAAGCTGATGAATAAGGCGCCACACACCAACGCTGCTAGCTCACTACCGAACCCCGAAGATGCTTGGCGTCTCGAAGCCCTAAAGGTCTCTGAGGAGATGCCCCAAGGCTTTGGTTCCAAGTTTGGAAGCATCTTCAATTCAACTCCTTGGAACCCCGCCATGAAGAAGTGGCAGAAAGGGGAGATGTCCAACTTTCACTATCTCATGCTCGTCAACACGATGGCCGGCCGGACGTTCAACGATTTGACACAATATCCCGTCTTCCCGTGGGTCCTCGCAGACTACACAAGTGAAGAGTTGAATCTGAACGACCCCGCTTCCTTTCGCGATCTCTCGAAGCCGATGGGCGCTCAGACGGCAAGCCGTGTTTCAGGCTTCAAGGAGTCCTACAACGCTCTGTCTGAGATAGGGGAGACTCCTTTCCACTACGGCACTCACTACTCTTCGGCTATGATTGTTTCCTCGTACCTCATCCGCCTCCCACCTTTCGTTCAGTCATACATTCTCCTGCAGGGCGGATCGTTCGACCACGCTGACCGTCTTTTCCAGTCCATCCCTCATGCGTGGCAGTCTGCTTCTTGCGACAACAAGGCAGACATCAGGGAGTTGATACCAGAGTTCTTTTGTCTTCCAGAGTTCCTCACCAACATTAACCAGTACAACTTTGGCAACCGTGAGAGCACAGGGGCGAGGGTTAACAATGTCGTCCTGCCTCCCTGGGCCAAGGGAGACCCCAAGATCTTCATTGCCAAGCACCGCGAGGCACTTGAGAGTCCGTACGTCAGCCAGCATCTGCACAACTGGATCGATCTGGTATTCGGGTTCAAGCAAAGAGGCGATGCCGCCGTTGACAGCCTCAACGTCTTTCACCATCTCTCGTATAGAGGCGCCACCGACCTGGACAACATCAGCGATCCGCAGGAGAGACGCATCACCGCGGGTGTCATCCATAACTTTGGTCAAACGCCACACCAAGTCTTTACACGACCCCACCCCGCTCGTGAGCATGCGTCTTGCCCGATCCGACGATTGGACACGTCCGTCTATGCTCTTACCAGGCTATCGCATCCATTGCTAGGCAAGTCTTTTTGGCCTCTCATGTCTGCTAAAGCTAACCAACGAAACAGAATCTCACGAGAGGGTGGCTTCTCTGATTTACTCGCCGAAGATCGATAGGCTCATATGCGCCTCGCCATTCCGTCTGAATGTCGCCCCCTATGACAAGTTCCTCGAATGGGGCTACGCGGACAACAGTGTCCGTTTCTTCTTCAGCGACAACCGGAAGGTAAGGAAGCCCGACACAGCTCTTGGTGGGATCTTGGCTAAGAAGCAGAAGCCCGCGGGACTCTTCGAGAATCTTCATATTGGGCAGTTGTCTTGCGCTACCTTTGCTGATTCCAAGACGCTGATCACGGCTGGAGAGGACTGCGTTATATCCGTCTACGCGGTGCAGACTGCCCCCGGCAAAGTGGTGGACCTGCTCCCCCGTTCGTCACTCTTTGGCCATCGCGCCCCTGTGACGAACATCGCAGTGTCCAAGTCCTTCAGCACATTCGTGTCAGTGTCGACTGACGGCCAAGCCTTTGTTTGGGACCTCAATCGTCTCGAGTTTATTCGGAAGCTGCCGCTTTCGCGAGCCGTCGAATGCGCCCGCATCAACGATGTTTCTGGCGAGATCATGCTTGGGTCTGGCCCAAACGTCGTTCTCTACACCATCAATGGCACGGTTATACTGGACCAGAATGTCTGCACCGAGCCAGATGACTACGTGCACTCTTGTTCCTTCTACGAAGGCGCCGGTAACGAGTGGCTCGAAAACTACCTTATCTTCACTGGTCACAAGAGGGGACGCGTGAACGTATGGAAGAAGTGCGTCAAGAACGGCAAGTGGGTGTTGGAGTTGCTTAGGCGGTTGGACCACGTCGATCCGCGCTCGGAAGTGGGGGCCAACTACGACGCCGGCGTGACTTGCATCGCGCCTATGCCGCAGTGTGTTTACACCGGCGATGACGATGGGCGAGTGGTAAGCAGTCCCTGACCCGGTATTTGTGGAAGGCAATGGCTAATTTCGTTTCCTAGTATGAGTGGAATCTTGTCCAACGTGACAGATAGAGTCTGCACGGCGCCAAAGGTTGGGCAGGGGGTGGTGGTAGCAATCGCTTGCGGGCGAGTATTTAAGGGGAGCGAGGCGTCTATGGTGACTTCGTCAATCTCGAGCATAGCGGATCGATATCCTTCCAGGCTAGCATAGAATCGGCGTACTCCTTGATAACTCTCAACCACGATCGTTCAAGATGCATTGCGCGTACTCCAAGTGAATTGGCGGGGCTTGGCATGAGAAGTAGTGTACAGCGTAATCCTTGCTCTCGGTCTTTCCTGGGGAACCACCCCGCGAGCTACAGTTCCGATTCGGTAGCTTATCCAGAGCCCCAGTCCTCCCGTGCTTGCCGTCTGAAGCTCAAACGCCACCGTATTTACAAAGCACCCTTGCTTAATTTTTGTCCACTTCCATGTCAGAAGGTTCGACTGTGATCATTTGTCATCGTAGCCTGACAGCTGCTTCCTGGGCCCGGCAGGGACTGCACATGAATGTTAACCTCCCCTTGCGCCCTCTGCAGTGTAGAACGACTCACCAGGGTACGTCACGGGGATTGGCGGTGCGTTGTAGTCGCCGAGAAAGTCCCTGATGGGAGGGACGACGGCAAGCTGGACGGGGCCAAGGGCGGCGATGACGACGGACCAGAAGTAGGCGGGCTTCTCGCGGGAGGCCCAGCGGCAGTATCGAAGGGGCCCGGCCCAGAATCGGGGAGTCGCGGCGGAAGACATTTCGAGGTGCTGTGCGAAGGGGAGGAGTCAATCAGCGAGTCCGCAGGCGGGAGATAATGAGCGCGCGGGGATTACGTACTCAATTGACCGTGTCAGATGTCGTCAAGTGATTGTTGCGGTAGCTTAGCTGGGGGCAGGACCGATTCCACGATACCGAAGCTCAGAATGGAGTCGTCGCGGGAACCTCAAGATCGGATAAACTTGATCGGATTAACCGCTTCTGGTCTCTGCACCCCTTGACCCACCGCTCCCCCCGCCGTGCCAGGAAGCTCCTGCCGTACCGGGGATTCTCCGACACTGGCCTGGGCAACGGCTACGTATCCCCAAGCTTCAAGACACATGCACCGGATCCCAAAAGCGTAGCCAAGCTCGCAGCGCCAGCCAGCTACGCCAAAACGCAACGCACCACCCGAGCTGTGCGGTCGACTTTCACCACCACTACCACCACCACCACCACCCCCCTCACCACAGAAATTTGGGATCATCCTTCAGGCTGCTTCTACCTTTCACAGCCTGTGAATTTTAGCAACCATGCGGTCGCTTCTTTCACTCTGCTTGCTCTTCCTGGCTGCCACTGTGCACGCTGTTAGTGTCGCCGGCAGTCGGCTCCTGGCGATCCTGGACGACGTTTCTGAGAAGGAGGGCTACTCCAAGTTTCTGGGAGATCTAGAAAGTAAGTGGTAGCTCTAAGAACTTGAATTGAAGCGTTCTCGGGGAAACAATTGCGTGCGCGGGGACACCATTCGCTGACCAATTGATCGAATAGGCCGGGGATTCAGCATCACCTACGAGACGCCCAAGAGCGAGTCTCTGAAGCTGTTCAAGCTCGGCGAGCGAGAGTATGACCATCTTCTTCTCTTTCCCTCCAAGGTTAAGGGTACGTTACTCCTACCACCTCATCTATATTGACTGAAACTTACAAGCCATGACAGGTCTCGGCCCCAACCTGACTCCCAACATCCTCGTCCAGTTCATCAACGCCAAGGGCAACATCCTGCTTGCCCTCTCCTCCAACGCGACCGTCCCTACCTCAATCGTGAGCCTCCTAGCCGAGATCGACATCGCCCTCCCCGCAGACCGCACCGGCCTCGTGGTCGACCACTTCAACTACGACACAATCAGCGCCGCCGAGCAGCACGATGTCCTCGCTATCCCCGCCCCCAAGTCGTCGCGCGCCGGCGTGAAGGACTTCTTCTATGAGGACGGCCAGGTCATTGCCTTTCCTAGCGGCGTCGGCCACGTGCTCGGCTCTGGACCGCTCCTCACCCCGATCTTGCGCGCCCCCAAGACGGCCTACAGCTATAACCCCAAGGAACAGGCCGTGGTAGTCGATGCCAACGAGCTCTTTGCTGCCGGTGAGCAGCTCGGCCTCGTGTCCGCCTTCCAGGCGCGCAACAGCGCCCGCTTCACCGTCGTTGGATCCGCCGAGTTGCTGAGCGACAAGTGGTTCGACGCCAAGATCAAGTCGGCGGCCACGGGCAAGGAGGTCGTGACGTGGAACCGTGAGTTCGCCAAGAGGATTGCGGGCTGGACTTTCCACGAGATTGGTGTCCTGAGGGTGAACGATATTGAGCACCACCTCAACGAGGCTGCCAACGAGACCAACCCCGAGATCTACCGCGTCAAGAACGATGTGGTAAGTTTGGCCCACACAGCTCTGCGACGGCGATAGCTAACCCTGATAGACCTACACCATTTCCCTTTCCGAATACTCTTGGGACAAGTGGACACCCTTCACTGTACCGAAGGACGACGCTCTCCAACTCGAGTTCAGCATGCTTTCCCCCTTCCACCGCCTCCCGCTCTCGCCCAAGGCCAGCACCGCTGACGCCTCCACTTACACCGCCTCCTTCGTCCTCCCCGACCAGCACGGTATCTTCAACTTCAAGATCAATTACAAGCGCCCCTTCTTGACCAACGTCGAGGAGAAGAACACAGTTTCTGTCCGCCACATGGCCCACGACGAGTGGCCCCGCTCCTATGTCATTTCCGGTGCGTGGCCTTGGTTGACTGGCATCTTCGCCACCGTCACCGGCTTCGTTCTCTTCTCGGCCATGTGGATGTACAGCGCGCCCACAAGCACCGCGACTGCGACCAAAAAGACACAGTAAGCGACGAAATTGGGGGGGTGGAGTGGGATTCGGGTTGCGAAATGCAGATACCGAAGCGAAGAGAGACCACAAATGGTTGCTGTGACTTATGAAACTGGGATAGATGGAGAGTGAGAGAGAGAGAGGAAGCAAAAGAACGAGACCTGGAATCGGCTCTGGGATCCGCGGAGGCTTGTAACTGTATTGTACATCTGGCATGGGATGCCCCGTTGGGTTGAGGCCAAAAGCTTAGATATCAAATGACTTTTACGTTCTAGAGTGGTTCGCCAGTGGTTTTGGTATTCTGAGCATAGCCAAGTCTCTTGACCAACAGCCAGTCTGTAAAGGTGAGTGCACCCCGAGATCGAAATCACAAGAAGGAGTATGTCATTGCAGCAACAGGTTGCCGAATAGGGTGGGCTTCATTAATAATTTAGTATTTAAGTATTACAATTTTGGGCATAATTTGCGACATAAGAAAGACAATTTGACCAATCTTTTAGGGTCCTTGGTGCCGTTCTCCTGCCGGAACTCTTTCCACCTTTTGAGAACCGGGTAAAGATCGTGGGGTGAATTATAAGAGAGCATTCATTCTGGATATCTCGTGTGGGATGTTTTGACATAAGAAAATGGATCAATCTGGTGCTGTACGTTTAACCGCCGGGGACCACGATATTGGCGGAATCTACACAGCGTGCTCCGTCGTTCTGACTGCTCACTGGGGCGTCGGCGACCCTCTTGATGGCCACGGAGCCGTCGACGGAGATACGCCAGACCTGGCCGGAGTTGTTCTCGAAGGCGAAGAGGAAGCCGTCGGTGGTCGCGTAGGAGGCGCCCCAGAAGGCCGCGGTCGAGCCGCTCGTCGTGGGCGTGTTCGTCAGATTACCGAGCTCGCGCACGACGGTGAAGACGCGGGTGACGCGGTTGAAGCGCAGGAGGAAGGAGGAGAAGTTCTTGACGCCGACGGACCACAGGTCGCCGCCGCCGGTTCCGGGGACGTAGGTCCAGTCGCCGATGGTGTAGCCGCCGGTGCCGGCGAGGAGCCCGCTGCTGACCAGGGTGCCGTAGCCGGCCGTGCCGGGGTTGACGTTGTACTGGTAATAGTCGGCGCCGCCCGTCGAGGCCCAGTACTGGCCGTTCTCGTCGATGTCGCCCGAGTTGAACAGTGAGCCGGCCGTGCTCGAGAACTTGTTGATGGTGACGACGTCCTGCGTGGCGCCGTTGCCGAGGATGCGGATCAACTTGAAGTCGTATGGCGTGGTGCTGGCCTGGCTCACGGCGTAGATGTAGTCCTCCCTGGCGTTGTAGCCCATGGCGTTGATGGTGCGAGACGAGTCGCCGCCGACGTTGTCCTTGATCAGGGTGCGGTTGCCGGACGCCAGGTCAAGCGAGTAGAGCGTGCGGGACTGGATGAGGAAGCCGGTCGTGGGGCAGGAGAAGGCGGGTCCGCGCGTGGCCGAGGCAACGACGCGGGATGACGTGCTGCTGCTGCTGCTGCTGCTCCTGCTACTGCTACTGCTGGAGGTGGAGGTGGTGGTTGTAGATGTTCGCGACGAAGAAGATGATGAGCTAGATGTTGAGCTAGGTGTCGAGCTGGACGATGAGCTTAACGATGAGCTGCTTGAAGAGCTACTGGATGAGACCAAAGAAGCGGCATTGACTACGACGCTAGTGGTAGAGCCAAGCGAGGATGTCGTGCTTGTCGAGGTTAGAAGAGAGGAGGTGCTGGAGAAGCTGGAAGACGTCGATGAAGACGACGAGCTCGACGAAGATGAGCTGGAAGAGGACGAGGAAGACCTCGTGAGAGTAGAGAAAGTAGAACCTCCAGATGTAGTCAGCAGTGTATTTGCTGCAATACTGACGGCGGTGCTTGTAGAGGAGCTGGACAATGTTGGTGAACTCGAGGTAGTTTGCGACGTCGATCCACCACCACTACTACTGTGGCTCGAAGACGCCGACGAGGAGGTCGACGAAATGGAGATCGAAGGTGAAGTAGGAGAAGCAGATGGCGAAACGGTGCTGATGGAGGAGAGAAGACTCGCAGCATTGACCACGACGCTAACGGACGACGAGCTACTTGAAGAACTACTTGACGATGCTGACGTCGAAGTAGGAGAAATCGAGGTCGAAGTAAGTGATGTGGCTGAAGGAGAAGGTGACAGAGTGCTACTAGATGAGAGTAACGTAGCGGGGTTAACCGTGACGCTGGTGGGCGATAAGCTACTGGAAGAGCTGATCGACGAGCTGCTTGATGAAGTAGAAGATGTTGACGTTGAGGAGATGGAAGGTGAAATAGTGCTACTAGACGAGAGTAATGTCGCGGGGTTAACTGCAACGCTTGTAGGCGATGAGCTACTAGAAGAGCTAACCGAAGAGCTGCTCGACGATGCTGACGTCGAAGTAGGAGCAATCGAGGTCGAAGTAAGTGATGTGGTTGAAGGAGAAGGTGACAGAGTGCTACTAAATGAGAGTAACGTAGCGGGGTTAACCGTGACGCTGGTAGGCGATACGCTACTAGAAGAGCTGATCGACGAGCTGCTTGACAAGGTGGAAGAGGTCGAAGTAGACGGTGAAATGGAGCTACTAGACGAGGCCAAGATGGCAGGGTTTTCTGAGATGCTGGCAGACGATGAGCTACTTGAAGAGGTGCTTGACGATGCCGGCGTCGAGGAAACGATGGAGCTGCTTGAAGAAGCAGAAGACGACGCTTCCGCACTGGATCCCTGGCTAGTCAACGTGCTAGTTGATGCTGATAACAAAGTAGGGTCGGCCGTTGTGCTCGCCAACGTTGTTGTCGGTGTCTGTACGTATACGGTACCGGGCTGGGTGCCACTTGGCTGGACAATAGAGACGGTCGTCGAGCCTGTCGGTACGTTTGCCGTGTCTGTGTAAGGGCCGACGACAGTAACAAATAACGCCCGTCTGCCCACGACGATGGTGCCAGGCGACGTGCCGCTGGGGGAAATCGTCGTGATTGTGGTACTATCAGCCGCATCGCTTGCCGTTAGGAAGATGGTTGTCATGACGTACGAGGGCTCGGGGGCGGGAGCAGCTATGATGAGAGGCTGGGTGGCCGAGGTGGCCGAGGGTTCAGTAAGCGTGCTGGTGCTGGTGTCCTGGACCGAGGAAGTGACGGATAGGGCTGCCTGGGTAGCAATGATGAAGGTACCTGGCGCGGTGCCCGACGGCGCCACCGTCGATATCGCAGTCGGTCCTGTGATTGGGACGCTTCCCTGGTAGTCTACCATAGAGGTAACATAACGAGCTGCCACGATGATAGTTCCTGGACTGGTGCCCACAGGAAGAATGGTCGAGATTGCCGTCGGCTGCAGTATTGTGTCGGAGCCGGTGTACACGACTGTGGAAGTCACATAGGAAGCATCCGGGCTCGCCACGATGTAAGTGCCTGGCATGGTTCCGCTTGGTGTAACCGTAGAGATAGTCGTCTCGCCAGTGAGCGCCTCTGTACCAGTATACACAACTCGTGAAATGGCATAAACAGGGGCTGGCGTAGCCACGATGATTGTGCCTGGAGTTGTACCGACTGGCGGCACTGTTGAGATTGGCGAGGCACTCAAGAGTGTTTCAGTGCCACTGTAAAGCACCTCCGAGGTGACGTACGAAGCAGGAGTTGCGACGATATAAGTGCCTGGAGCAGTCCCGCTAGGCGCAACTGTTGTCAAAGTTGTTGGTTCAGTAAGAACCTCTGTACCACTGTACAATACTTCTGAAGTTACATAACGAGGGGCCGGAGTGGCTATTATGACTGTTCCTGGAGTTGTACCAACTGGCGGCACAGTTGATATTGGTGAGGCACTCAAGAGTGTTCCTGTACCACTGTAAAGCACCTCCGAGGTGACGTACGAAGCAGGAGTTGCGACGATATAAGTGCCTGGAGCAGTCCCGCTAGGCGCAACTGTTGTCAAAGTTGTTGGTTCAGTAAGAACCTCTGTACCACTGTACAATACTTCTGAAGTTACATAACGAGGGGCCGGAGTGGCTATTATGACTGTTCCTGGAGTTGTACCAACTGGCGGCACAGTCAATATTGGTGAGGCACTCAAGAGTGTTCCTGTACCACTATAAAGTACTTCAGAGGTGACATACGAGGCCGGAGCTGCGACAATATAAGTTCCAGGAGCACTTCCACTGGGTAAAACAGTTGATATAGTCGTTGGATCACCGAGTGACTCTGTGCCGCTGTAAAAGACTTGCGAAGTGACGTAACGAGGTGCTGGTGTGGCCACAATGATTGTACCTGGAATTGTGCCGTCTGGTGGCACCGTCGAGATCGGTGAAGCACTCAAGAGTGTTCCGGTGCCGCTGTAGAAGACTTCTGAGGTGATATACGAAGCAGGGAGAGCCACGATGACAGTACCAGGAGCGGTGCCGCTTGGTGGAATGGTTGAGACTGCAGCTGGCGCCGTGAAACCCGGGTCCGTCCCAGTGTAAACCACCGAAGATGTGACATAGACTGCGGGACTGGCTACGATGAACGTCCCTGGAACAGTGCCGCTGGGAAGAATCGTAGAGATGACGGTTGGAGCAGTGAGGGCGGTATCCGTTCCAGCGTATAATATGTTAGAAGTGACGAACACGGCGGGGTTAACAACGACAAAAGTGCCGGGCGCAGTGCCGCTGGGTGGGATTGTAGAAACCACTGTAGGCGTTGAGACGGCTCCGTCTGCACCGGTGTAGAACACATCCGAAGTCACATAGACGGCGGCCGGAGTGGCAACGATCAGGGTTCCAGGGGCGGTGCCGCTCGGAGGTACTGTAGCGATGGTGCTGGGGCCGGTCAAGACAGCCGTGCCACTGTACAAAACCTCCGAAGTCACGAAACGGGGTGCTGCAGTCCCGATGACTATCGTTCCAGGGGCGGTGCCACTCGGAGCAATATTAGAGAGCGTAGTTGGCTCAGACAAAGGCTCGGTTCCGGTGTATAGCACTATCGAGGTCACATAGGAGGTCGCTGCCGAAGCAGGGGTGGCAACTACCACAGTACCTGGGACTATGCCACTGGCAGGGACCGTAGTCAGAGTAGTCGGTCCCGTAATTTGATCTGTTCCGCTGTATAGGACAGTAGTAGTAACAAAGGAGGTGACAATCGAGGCAGCGGTAGCGACAACCACAGTGCCAGGAGCTGTGCCGCTAGGGAGAACTGTGGTCAGAATAGTTGGCTCTGTGATTTGATCCGTTCCGCTATACGGGACAGTAGTAGTAACGTAAGAGGTGACAACTGAAGCAGGTGTAGCGATAATCACGGTGCCTGGGACTGTACCACTCGCGCGAACGGTAGTCAATGTTGTTGGCTCTATGATTCGCTCTGCTCCGCTATACAGAACAGTGGTGGTAATGTAAGAGGTGGCGATTGAAGCAGCAGTAGCGATAACTACGGTTCCTGGGACTGTACCGCTGGCGGTGACTGTGGTTAATGTTGTTGGTTCTGTAATTTGCTCTGTTCCGCTATACAGGACAGTAGTAGTAACGTAAGAGGTGACAACTGAAGCAGGCGTAGCAATAACCACAGTTCCTGGGACTGTACCGCTAGCAGGAACTGTTGTCAGAGTAGTTGGTTCTGTGATTTGCTCTGTTCCACTGTATATGATAGTGGTAGTAACGTAGGAAGTGACGGCAGGGGTGCCAAAAACCACAGTTCCCGCGATAGTGCCGCTGGGAGGGATGGTAGTAAGAGGTGTTGGGCCTGTGATTGGGACGCTTCCATCATACAATACTGTGGTGAAGACGTAGGATGTAGCAACGGAGGCGGGTGTGGCAATAATGATGGTTCCAGTGACCGAGCCGCTGGGCAGGATGGTGGTCAATATAGTCGGTTCTGTGATCACTTCGCTGCCAGTGAACAACACTGTCGAAGTAACATATGCCGGGAGAACCGACGGAGGCGTTCCGATGAAGACCGTGCCAGGGACAGTACCGCTTGGAGGGATTGTCGTGAGGGGAGTTGGGCCTGTGATGAAGCTCTGAGTGTACAGCAATGTTGTAGTGACATAGGATGATGAGAAATCCGAGCTTGATGTGGAGACTTCTGTTGTTGAACTGCTGGATTCCAGGGCTGACGAATCACTGGTCGATGTTGTGGAGCTCGAGGAACTGTCCGAGCTTGACGTAGGAGCCTCCGAAGTGAAAGTTGAAGTCTCGGGTGTTGTAGTTGATGATTGAGAAGAAGGGGTTGCGATGACAACAGTTCCAGGAGTGGTGCCCACAGGGGCAATAGTTGAAATAGCCACCGGCCCAGTAATAGGCGCAATCCCTTGGTAGGCGACCGTCGTGGTGACAAATGAGGGCTCAGCATCCGAGGTAGATGTGCTTGGGACAGGGGTAGCTATTATGACTGTGCCTGGGATGCTGCCACTTGCCAATATCGTCGATAGGGTAGTTGGGCCAGCAATCGGGTTGCTTCCGGTGTACGGTATAGTCGTTGTCACATACGACGTAAGAGGCTCATCCGAGCTGGACGCAAGAACGGCGAAGATGATTGTGCCGGGAACGACCCCACTTGGAGGCACCGTTGACACTGGGGTCGGGCCGCTGATAGGGTCGGTTCCTGTATACAAAATAGTCGTCGTCACATATGATGCGGGCATATTGGAACTGCTGACGGATACCGGTGTAGCAATCACGACGGTCCCTGGAATGGATCCGCTGGGGGCTACCGTAGTCAGAGTAGTGGCTTCGGTGATGGGATCGCTGCCCGAGTATGGGATAGTCGTTGTAACGTAAGAGGAAGAAAAGCTTGAGATGGATGCTGGGGTCGCAAAGATCACCGTTCCGGGTATCGACCCAACCGGGGCGATGGTTGATAGGGGGATCACGCCGGTTATTGCGTCAGTTCCAGAGTATGGCACGGTGGTTGAGACGTAGGATGCGGCCACAACCGAAGCAGGGGTCGCTAACACCACGGTTCCCGGGATGGAACCAGACGCCAGCACGGTCGTGAGAGCAGTCGGACCCGTCAAAGAGTCGCTACCCGAGTACAGTACCGTGGTTGTGACATACGAGGTGGCGGCATCAGATACCGGAGTAGCAATCACGACAATGGCTGGATCCAAACCGCTGGGTGCAATTGTTGTCAGAATGGTGGGACCCGTGAGCGTTTCGATGCCAGTGTAAGGAATTGTTGTTGAGATAAAAGAACCCGCTTCGACTGATGCGGGAGTGGCCACCAATATCGTACCGGGCGTAGTGCCAACCGGAGGTATGGTACTGATGATCGTTGCCTCAGATATGGCGTCGCTTCCAGTGTACAAAACGGTCGAAGTGATGAAGTTCAGGTTTGCCAACAAGGCCGGCGTGGCGATCACAACAGTACCAGGGGCACTCCCCACAGGTTCAATTGTGGTTACTGGGATGGGACCGGTGATTGTTCCACTTCCCGTGTATAGGATAGTTGACGTGACGAATGAAGCAGCTGCCACAGAGGCCTGAGTTGCGAATACAATCGTTCCTGGTGCTGTACCGCTGGGTGGGAAACTTGTGATGAAAGTTGGCTCAGTGATGGTATCACTGCCAGTATAGGCGATAGTAGTGGTGATGAAGGAAGCATCGGGACTTGAAGATAGCGGCGTGGCAATGACGACAGTGCCCGGTTCTCCACCAGTTGGCAGAATGGTCGTCAATGTCGAAGTGCCTGTCAACAACTCGCTGCCGGTGAAGGGTATCGTGGTAGTTACAAAAGAGAGAGATATCTCTGAGGCTGCAGTTACGTAAATAACGGTACCTGGCTGTGTTCCACTAGGGGCGATGGTCGTCAAGGCCGAAGGGCCCGTCAAAGACCCGCTGCCGGTGAATGGGATCGTGGTCGTCACAAACGAGGCGGGGCTCTGAGGGGCTTGGGTGGCAAAGACCACGATCCCTGGCTGTGTTCCGCTTGGTTGAATCGTAGACACCGGGATGGCGTTGCTCAAGGTCTCGGTTCCGGTGTACGCTATTGTCGTAGAAACAAAAGAGGCAAAAAGCGGCGTCCCAATGATCACTGTGCCTGGTTGAGTACCGGAGGGGGGTACTGTTGAGAGAGGCGTAGGTCCGGTGAGAGTCTCACTACCGGCGTAGAGTACTGTAGTAGTCACAAAAGAGGCGAAGAGCGGCGTCCCAATGATCACTGTGCCTGGTTGAGTACCGGAGGGGAGTACTGTTGAGAGAGGCGTAGGTCCGGTGAGAGTCTCACTACCGGTGTAGAGTACTGTAGTAGTCATGAAAGAGGCATAGTCGTCGGAACTTATCGAACTCGCGAAGGTGGAGGATTCCGACTCGCTTGAAGACACACTTGAAGTTGAAAGGGGAATTTCAGAAGTCAAACTGCCCGACGTCGTTGTTTCTTCAGTTGTCGTACTGCTGCTAGAGGTAAGGAGCAGTGTGCTTGTATCAGATGTAAAAGAGGAGGCCGATAACTCGGAGGAAACAGCGGAACTGCTTGAGGAAGCAGAAGTAGGCTCGATGCTCGAATCGCTGGAGGTACTGGAAGTCTCAATTATTGAAGAGCTAGTCGATGTCGGCAGCAATGTGTCGATCTCAGCAGTGGAAGTGGTGGATGAGAAGACTTCTGATGACACCGATGAAGATACAGAAGCGGCGATGATCGGTGTGCTGGATGCCGTTTCCACATCCGATGAAACCGACGTAGAGGATGTCGATTCTGTGGTTGATGAGCTCGACGTGGAATTCACGTCGCTAGCTGCCTCGCTGCTTGTCTCGCTACTTGCTGACGCCGTGTCACTGGATGCGTCTGTTGTAGAAGCGGTTGAACCCGTTGTCGTTGGAGGGTCAGCGTAAATGACTGTTCCCAGAGCGGTGCCGCTGGGAGGAATGGTGGCCACAACAATTGGAGCAGTGATGATCGAATTGCCTGTGTAAGGGACTCTTGCCACCGCATAGCGGGCGGCGACAATGATAGTGCCGGGAGCTCCACCAACCGGGGCCACCGTAGAAATTGCCGTAGGGACATCGAACGAGTCGGAGCCGGTGTAAATCGACGTAGAAGTGGCATAGAATGACGCAGGAACGGCCAGGATGACAGTACCAGGCACGGAATCGCTTGGCTGAACGGTACTCACAGGGATGGGCTCTGAGATCGAAGAGGGACCAGAGTATATGATCTGTGATGTGACGAAGAGGGCCGGGCTGGCCACGATGAATGTGCCTGGCGTGCTTCCGGAGGGTTGAACTGTGGACAAAGTCGAAAGCCCAGTTAAAGAGCCGGAGCCGGTGTATGGTATCCGCAAGGTCACATATGAAGCAGGATTTGCTACAACATACACGCCAGGCGAGCTTCCTGTGGGCAATATTGTAGAGACAGTGGTAGGAGCAGTCACCAAGATGTCGAAAACCTCTGATGTAATGTACGGGGCTGACGTGATCCCTGAAGTCTCAACAGATGTCGTGCTCGGATCAAAGGAGGTAGTCTGGATAGCACTTGTCGAGCTATCGGAGCTCGCTGAAACGGGTTCCACGGATGTTGTGCTAATTAGAGAAGTTACAGTATCTCCAGTGGAGCTGATAGTCTCCGAAGAAGAATTGGCTGTTTCTGTAGACGATGATGAACTTGTGATGCCTGTAGATGAGCTAGATGTCCCTGTGGTACTGGCCTCGGAGCTGCTAGCTACGACGCTGCTGCTATCAATGCTGCTTTCAGTGCTGCTAGTCGGAGTGTTGCTAGTTGCAGTGCTGGTACTGCTGCTGTTATCGATGCTGCTCCCAATGCTGGTCTCGGCACTGCTGCTATCAGTACTACTAGTAATGGTGCTACTGCTCTCAATACTGCTCGCGGTGCTGCTGCTAGATTCACTACTACTGGTAGTACCGGTCTCGCTGCTTGCCGTGGAACTGCTACTAATAGCTGTGCTGCTGCTGCTGCTGCTGCTGACGTCCTCATTGCTGCTTGTGGACTCTGAGAGGGTGGTGGAAGTGGATTCCGCTGAGGATATGGAGGAAGAGGCGGTCAGGAGAGAAGCGAAAGCCGTCGTGGCTGCCTCAGAGCTAGTACTACTACTTGTGGTAGTACTATCTACGTCCGTGCTACTACTGGCACTACTTGTAGTTGATTGAGTACTATCACTAGCCTCAGAGCTGGGGACTGTAGCTGAAGAAGTCAACGAGACTGTCGAAGACCCATTCGAGATTGTTTCGCTGGAAGATGTTGTGTCTGTATCGGATGAAACTGTGGAAGCAGTAGAAGAGACGAGGGAAGGAGGAACCGCAAACACGATAAGCCCAGGCTCTGTGCCGGTAGGCTGAACCGTGGTCACTATCGTAGGGCTCGGCACCGAAGAAATCACAGTTGTGGTAATGTACAGAGCTCGGCCTAATGGCGAGCCTATGACGACCATTGCAGGCTGTGTTCCACTTGCCGCCAAGGTAGTGATTGTGACTAGCCCGGTCACCTCGGTTCCGGTAGGGCTGTACGGGATAGTTGTTGTGATGAGAGACTCGGAGGACACTGGCGTGCCGACGACGACAATTCCAGGTTCTGTTCCTGAAGGCTGGATGGTTGATAGAGGGACAGGTGCCGTCTGGCCATTTTCTGTCGGTGTAAAAGGAATTGTCCTGGTCGCAAATCTTGCGGCAAAGATGATGGTTCCCCGATTGCTCCCACTAGGGCTGATTGTGCTGATGGCAACAGGTGCAGTCAATATCTCCGTTCCAGTGAAAGGCACTTGTAGAGTATCGTAATTATCTGATCCCGATGAGGCGGCCGTGGAAGAAGCTTCATTTGAACTTGAGTCTGAGTCGACAGCCGTGATTGAAGAGGAAGTCCCTGCTGAGGAAGTCGACTCAGCAAGGCTCGTGGACCCAATAGACGTAGCATCCTCGTTTGTAGTGAGTAAAAGCGACGCAGAAATAGAATATGTAGCTGAAACGGAAGCAGTTGACGAGTCGCTTGAACTTGAAGTGCTAGACAGCGTGGCGAGGATGTTGGCTGCAATGGAATCTGAGCTTGCCTCAGACGAAGTGTTTACTCCCGAAGTGGTTGAGTCGGATGAAGCAATAGTACTCGTAGCCGCCAGGCCCGTCGTGGAAATGGATTCAATTGAACTGCTTGATTGTATTGTTGCAGTAGTTTCGGGAGTAGTGGTAGAAGCTGAGGTGCTGAGCTCTGACGAGGGTACGGAGGTGGTATCGGGCGAACTGACACTTGATGAAAGACTGAGAGAGGTTGAAGAGTCAGCTTCCGATGAAGTGCTACTATTCTCCGTCGAGCTAGAAGAATCTGTGAATGTTGACAAACTACTGGGGTTTGTTGAAGAGCTGAAATCAGAGGTTGTGCTGAGGGAAGACGAGATACCGGACTCGGTGAAAGTGATTGAGGCAGTCGAGAAGCTAGTTTCGCTCAAACTGCTAAGATCGGTGGAGCTAGAAGTATACAGGGATGTCGTGCTAGGATCCAAAGAGAAGCTTGACTCGGATGTAGACGTATCAGTGGAGGCCAAGATTTGATCCGTTGAAGTATTGAGGATTGTGCTAGTACTATCGGTAGTCGAAGTCACGGAAGTAGAGACTGAATTTTCGGAAGCCAGCAGAACGGTCGGCGTTGAAGACTCTGCTGATGAAGTAGTTGAAGCATCTGTGCTACCTGCCGAAGTGGAAGAAATAGTCGAAGAATCCACAGTTGATGAAGATGTGACCTGTTCAGTAGATGTACTTGAGGTAATTGAGAAACTAGAGGCATCGACAATGAGAATAGTCTCAGAAGTTGAGAGACTAGGTGATGAACTTGGGACAGAAGATTGGGTAGCAGCTTCCGTGGATAATGAAGTATCAGAAGAAGTGGTCGCACTAGGAGATGTTACAGACGTGCTCTGAGTTACCAGATCTGTGCTGGACACGAGTGAAGCAAGCTCAACCGAGCTTGAGAATGCTGTTGAAGTAAGTTCTGACAAGCTGAAGGTAGATGTGCTCAACTCAGATGTTTCGGTCTGCGTGCTCGAGTTGATTGAACTCTGGTCGCTAGTTACTGATGATGATGTACTCTGCGAAGACACGCTCGGTGAAGAGACACTGGTTTCCGTGGAAACCAACCCGGAAATTGTCTCAGAGCTACTTGAAGCGGATATTGACGTTCCTGAAATGGTCGTATCTTGTGATGTTGTTTCTGCCGTCGAACTGGAGAGTGAGAACGAGATAGAGCCTTCTGATTGGATCTGAGAGGACGAGGATGTTGAGCTGAGTAAGCTTGCTATGTTTATGGTAAGTGAAGAGGAAGTGAAGCTTTCAGACGAGCTTGAAGCGGTCGAAGGACCCGAGATTGTCGTTTCAGCTGAAGTGACTGCTGGTTCAGTGGTGCTCGTTGACGTAGCTGTAATTAACTGTGAGGAAGAAGCACTTGCATCTGTTGAAGAGGGTGCTGAGGACAGAGCCGTCTGCGTAGTGGAGGAATCTGAGAAGGTAGGGGTCAAGGAGTTGCCCGACAATGACTCCGAAGCCGACGGAGATGCGACATTGGTGGAAGTCGGTGTAGAGATAGTTGAAACAGAAATGAGAGATGCATCCAATGGTGGCAGCAAGCTTGTAGAGCCTGACAAAGAGGTCAAAGTCGATGAGCTGCTGGATTCCGCTGAAGATAGCGATTCTGAAGATGAGAAAATCTCTAATGCGGTTGAAGTCGGGCTGGAGATGATGGAGACTGAGGTAGTTGAGCCAGATATGGACGATGATTCAAGCGATGGCAGCAAACTTGAAGAGTCCGATGAGATCAGTGACAATGGCAGTACCAGAGAGCTTGATGGCGTCGGGTTTGCTGACAGGTCTGATGACGAAGAGAAAACCGAATTTTCCGAGGAAACGGTTGAATCTAACGAGCTTGATATGACAGCAGAAATCGACAAAATTGTAGACGTAGACGTTATGGAACTATCTGAGGAACCTATTGATTTAGACGGCTCCCCAGGGCTTGAAGTCGAGCCGCCGGAAGACGTAGGAGTTCCAGACGATGCCTCGGATTCTATAGTGCTTGAAGAGCTCGAAAGGACTAAACCCAGCAGTGGAGGTTGGCTTGAACTGGTTGACAATGGCGAGACTGACGGTTCTATAGAGCTAGAAGTAGAGGCCTGGATTGACAGAGCATTTAGCGAGGTAGAGAGTGTCAATGCGTCAGAGAAGCTCGACGAGCTCGATGATGTCAATGAACCCAAAGAGCTGAGGGTTTCTGTCGAGGATGAAACACCCAATGAACTAGATAAGCTTGACTCTGCCGAAGGTGTCAAAGAAGTTGATAGAACTGGTGAGCTGGTATCCAAAGAGAGACTCGAAGATGTAGGAGAGATTGAGGAGCTTGAGGATTCCTCGACACTTGCGAAAGACTGCTGTGCTACAATGATTGTACCAGGCAGACTGCCTGATGGGAAGATAGTTGAGATAGGTCGCGGCGTCGTGAGGAATTCGGTTCCGGAATATGGTACCGTAGACGTGACAAAAAGGTCAGGCCGTGCCAAAATAATCGTGCCAGGAGCTGTCCCGCTGGGCTGTATTGTAGTTATGGGAATAGTCCCAGTGATGGTGCTGGGTCCCGAGTAAATGACTAACGATGTAACAAATGGCAACGCCGAAGCCACAGGTTGTGCAACAATGTATGTGCCTGGTGTTGTCCCAACCGGAGCGATCGATGACAGGGTCAGCGCCTGGGAGAGACTCTCGGTTCCAGTGTATGAGACGGTAGAAGTAACAAAAAGCCCCGGTTGCGCGACGATGATAGTTCCGGGTGATGTTCCAACTGGTGGGATAGTCGACACAGGAATCGGCGCGGTAATGGGAGGCGTGCCTGTATAGATGACCTGCGACGTAACGTACGCAGGCGGCTCAGCAACAATTATCGTTCCCGGGCCGGTACCAACAGGCAAAGCGGTGAAAATGGCAGTTGGAGCGGTCAACCGGTCTGTACCAGTGTAGGTCACTGTTAATGTGACAAACGAGGGAGGTTGAGCCACAACAATGGTGCCTGGTGCATCACCCACGGGCTCGATTGTCGAGATTGGAGTTGGAGCAGTCAAAATGTCGGTCCCTGTGTAAACCACATTTGACGTGGCGTATGCCACAGGCCGGGCAACTATTATGGTTCCGGGAATGGTGCCATTTGGTGAGATTGTCAGAATTGGAATTGGGCTCGTCAGTACTTCTGTGCCGGTGTACAGAATCTCTGAAGTAACGAAAGGCGCTTGCAGCAACGGTGGCGGTGACGGTGCCAGTTGCGAGACACCTGGTTGAATTCCCACAAACGGAAACGTGAACGCGGGAACAGGCGAAGACAAGGGCTCGCTGCTAGTACCAGCCTCTGGTGAAGTAACGAATGAGATAGAAGAGGCCTGGGAGCTTTGTGAGAATAGTGCGGCAGTTGTGACTTGCGGTTGAGCAATAACTATTGTCCCAGGGGCTGTGCCAGACGGAGGAATCACGGATATAATCGTCGGGGCCGTCAAAACTTCAGTGCCAGTATAAACAACCTGTGAGGTGACGAAAGAGTTCAAAAGCGGCTGGGAGCTGTCCAGGGTAGGGACGACGCTTGGAGACTGCAAGTTGATGTTTGGCGATGCTACAGCAGCACCAGAGGCCGGCCGAGCGATGATTATTGTGCCCGGAGTCGTCCCTACGGGCAAAATCGTCGACACAGGAGTGGGAACTGTGAGAGACTCGGTCCCAGAGTAGACAATTTCTGAGGTAACGAACGAAGCAGTCGATATCGGCTGAGCAATGATGACCGTTCCAGGCAATGTTCCAGATGGAGGAACAATAGAGATGGTGGAGGGGCCTGTCAACACTGCATTGCCTGTGTATACAATCTGACTAGTGACAAACGTTCCAGAAGGCTGTGCCGACTGATTTGCTGGTCCAGGCGGGGCTGCAATGATGATTCCTGGAGTATTACTCGAGGGCAAGACTGTGGAAACAATGGTGGACGTTGTCGGCTGGTCCGTTCCTGGAACGATGTTTGTTGGCGTGGCAAAGGAACCAGGGCGAGCTATTATGATGGTTCCAGGGATGGTGCCAGAAGGGGCAATCGTAGATACCGTAATTGGCTCTGTGACTCCCTCTGTGGCCCCGGTGTATTGTATCTCTGAAGTGACAAATCGGAGAGGATTCCCGATCACAACGGTACCGGGCTCCGTGCCACTGGTCACAATCGTGGTCAGGATTACTTTGCCTGTGACAATAGACGCGGCAGGACTGGTGAGAGCAACAGCGGAGGTGCTAAGGGCAGCCGGCTGACCTACGATAACCGCGAGTGGAGTGTCACTTGAGGGGATCGGCAAGATGGTGCTTGAGCTGGTGACGCCGGGGATATTGGCCTCAGAAGTGACACTGGCGACAGGGCGCGCCACAATGAACGTACCCGACACAGTGCCGGAAGGTGGAATCGTCGAGAGCGTGGTTGGACCGTTGATTCCCGTCAGGAACACCTCGGATGTTTGGTAGTTTGGCGGCTGAGCGATAATTATGACCCCGGATTGTGTCCCGCTCGGCGGCACTATAGTAACCGTGCTCGGGGCCGTGATTTGTGGACTTGCCGGGTCTGTGTAGAACACCTCGGACGTCACGTATTGGGGCGGCCGAGCAACGATCACAATACCGGGCTGCGTCCCGTTGGGAGGTATCGTAGAAACAATTCTCGGTGCTGTGACTTGTTGACCTGACAGTTCGGTGTAAACGATCTCAGAGGTGACATATTGGGGCGGCCTGGCAACAATCACGACCCCGGGTTGCGTCCCGTTGGGAGGTATCGTAGAAACAATTCTCGGTGCTGTGACTTGTTGACCTGACAGTTCGGTGTAAACGATCTCAGAGGTGACATATTGGGGCGGCCTGGCAACAATCACGACCCCGGGTTGCGTCCCGCTCGGCGGCACTATAGTAACCGTGCTTGGGGCCGTGATTTGTGGGCCTGCCGGATCTGTGTAGAAGACGTCGGACGTCACGTATTGGAACGGCCGAGCCACAATGACGGTCCCGGGCTCGGTTCCGCTGGGGGGTATCGTGGAAACAATACTTGGAGTCGTGATTCGAGGATCGGCCAACTCTGTCAAAGTGATTTCCGAGGTGACATATTGACCAGGTCGAGCCACGATCACGGTCCCAGGTACACCTCCGCTAGGGGGGATTGTGGTGATCGGGGAAGGCGTTGTGAGCTGCCCAACTGGCCCAGTGTACTGAACTTCGGAAGTGACGTATGAAGCCGGTACGGCAAATATAACTGTTCCGGGGTTCGATGCCGAAGGTTGAACGGTGAAAATAGGGACGGGGCCTGTGAGAGACCTGGTGCCGGTGTAAACGACTTGTGAAGTAACAAACAAATCTGTGATTCCGACAATGTATGTCCCGGGCGCCGTGCCACTAGGTTGAACAGTAGAAAGTGTGGACTGATCTGAGCTTATGGCGGTGCCGCTGTACAATACCGTCGAAGTAACGAACGATTGCACTAGGGCAGCTGGAGAACCTGCAGTTGCCACAGGGCCCGCTGAGCCAGGTGAACTTTCTGCAGGGGAGTTAGTTTGTGGGCTTGGTCGCTGTAATGCCACGTTTATCCTCCCTGGTCTTGCAGCGACTGGAGAACCTGTAGATCTGGTAGTGGGTGACGTCGTCAAAACTCTTGTTTCCGAGTTGACAACGGTCGATATCTGAAAACTGCTGGGTACTCCTATTATGACGGTCCCTGGAGCAGTTCCCTGAGGCTGCACCAGCGTCAGAGTGGTGGGTCCTTCTGCCGGAGAAGTACCAGACAACTGAACATATGATGTTATGAACGGACGAAGGCCAGCCACGACTACGGTTCCTTGTCTGTTTCCGCTGGGGGGGATGACGGTTACTGTATTGGATTCGGTGAAAGAACCTATCTCGGTGAACTCGACAGTTGAAGTTACGAAGGCCGTGGGGTCTGCAACGTAGATTATTCCTGGCTCTGTTCCAGTGGGGGGAACGATGGCGATCGTGGTCGGAGTCGGAAGTGTAGCAGAGCCAGTATATGGGACAGTTGAAGTAACAAACTCAGCCGGTCTTGCCACGATCAGGGTCCCTGGCGTTGTACCAGTTGGCTGGACTATTGAAATAGTGGTCGGTTGTTGGATAGATGTGCCCAGGTACGTCACATAAGATGTCACATACGAAGGGCCGACCGGGGTCGCCGAAGGTACTGCCACTACCACAAGGCCAGGCTGGTCGTTTTCTGGTGGAACCACAGCAATGGTTGTCACCTGGGTCAAAGGCTCTGTTCCCACGTACGGCACAGTCGTGCGTACGAAGGATCGGGGATCCGCGACTATGATTGTGCCGAGCGCTGAGTTGCTTGGGGGGATGATTGACAACGTAGTCGGCTCTGTTATAGGAGTCGATCCAGTGTAAGGAATAACCTGGGTGACGAATACCACCGGCAATCCTCCCACTGTCGGAGAAGGACCGATGAAAACTGTTCCTGGCGAAGTACCGCTTGGAAGGATACTCGTCAAAGTGACGAGCTGTACGTCATCGTACGCGACCACGGTCACAGTGACATAGGAAACCGGAACTGCAGAAGTGATGAACGAGCCTGATCCAGCTCCAGCAGGCGGTGTGAGACGGGGAAGACCGATGATGACAGTCCCTGCCTCGGTACCACTGGGAGAGATGACGTTAAGCGTTGAAGGCCCGTTGATGGCATTGGACCCCGTGTATAGAACAATCGAGGTGAAGAACGGTGTCGCAGCCTCTTTTTGATAGCTAGCCGGCAAAGCCACAAGAATGTCATCGGGCCTGGAGCTTTCTGGCGCAATCGTAGAGAGTGCCGTAGGGCCGACGATGGCATCACTAGCTGTATAGGTTACCAGCTGTGTTCGATATACTTCGGAGACGATAGTGAGGGCTTGCGGTGCCTCTGCAATGATGACTGTGCCGGCAACTGTTCCACTTGGCCTTATCACAGAGACTGTTGTTTGGCTCGTGATTGCAACACTCCCGGTGTAAGATACGTATGAAGCGACATAACTTGCTAGAGGGCTGCCCACAATGACCCTGCCAAGACCCGAGCCGCTGGGAGGAATTACTGAAATAACGGTTGGGGCGGTCAGGACCTCCGTGCCGGTAAGTGTCACCGTCTCAGTTATGAAGGAAGACGAAGGCAAAGCAATGACGAGGGCCCCCGGAAGAGTCCCATCAAAAGGTCGATCCAAGATCGTGAGTGCTGTTGTAATCGTCTCAGTGCCTGTGTATGGAATTATCGACGTCAACCGAGGCGGAGGAACGCCAGACAGAGGGACTGCAAGCACGACAACGCCAGCCCCGGTACCAGTTGGTTGGATGACCGATATCACAGTCGGAGTCGTCAAGGCGGCTGTTCCGGTGTACGCGACGGTGGAAATATCGTACGAAAGGTTTGGCAAAGGCGTCGTAGCGACGGCAACGATAAACGTGCCGGGAACGAGTCCATTGTCAGGGATGGTCGAAATCGTCGTTCGTGCTGCGGTCAATACTTCGGTCCCACTGTAAGCTACTTCGGCAGTGCGAAAAAGTCTCGGGTCCGGAACAGCAATGACTACTGTACCGCGAGATGCAGCGGCAGCATCAGGCGTAGGATTTATCAACCGAATCGTCCGGGGATCCGAAATGATATTCCTTGTGAGAAAGCTTGTGGAGTCGACGTAGGTTGGAACAGGCTCGGGGCTGACCGTCGCAGTACCCGTCCGCGATATCGTGAAGTACGACGGCGGGACCTCCACCACAAGTGTTCCTGGTGCGGTTCCTGAAGGTGGTATGATATCCACAGTCGTCGGGCCGGCTATGATACCTGTGCCAGTGTAAACACCATTATTTTGAGTTACGTACCCAGCAAAATCCCCAGCAGAAATCCTGTCCAGTACTTGAAGACCTATTGATAGTCCAGCCGACGTCGTGGTCGGCAATGCCTCGCAGCTAGAGGTATACGATGTCGAAACCGCAATGTAGGCCACGTAGCTGACAACATATTCGAGGGAGTAACAAACGCAGGCATCGGTCCTGTTATTGTTGAGTGCGTCGATGCACGACTGTGCTGCACTTTTACCCCCGAGCAGCAACGAGGCCAAAATGAGCTTCCACGGCTCCGGCATTGCTAACACTAGCTTTCATGGGCCGGAAATATGTGTACTGGATGCAACTAATGGTCCAGGGAAGCCAATCGAGAAAAGCAGAACGAGGCTCTGCCCTCTTTTCACGAGTAGCCTAAACACTGTTGTACATAATGGAATATCAAATAAGCATCGTAGTAAAAAGAACCCGAAGAAGAGTTGGAGAGATTACTAGTTTTGGGAATTTTGAAATGGGATTCGCACACTTGCCACCCTACCTTCACTCAAAGGACCACGTGAGAGTCTAGATAAGTCGCCGGTCATCTAGACCAAAACGACATGATCGTTTTCCATCACCGAGTCCCTCTCCGTCCACACCTCCGCATGCAGATATGCATCGTGCGGTTGTTTCCATGGCAAACAGAATAATGGCATAGGGGCCCATACTGTACGGCTTGTAAACCCCAAGAATGCTTCCAAACCGATCATCTTTTTCTTTGGGGGGGGGGGGGGGGGGGGATCTTCCAGCCAGAGAGGTCTCACTCGCCTCATCCAATTTGATGACGCGTTGTATTGTGTACACTCCTAAGGGTCTTTGTGGCCCGACGGGCAACAAAGCGAATTCCGGGAATGGTGACAACGAAAGACATGGATCCGAACCCTCGTTCCATGTGAACTGATGGTTTCCGGCGAAAGGTAAGCTAGCCGTGCGGACGTCGACCTGCCATGCCGACGCCACCATGCCGACGCCACCATGCCGACGCTTAGGGCTGAGCAACAAACTACACTCCGGATGCGAGCAATACATTGCAGCTTAACCTACGCGGCAATCCTCGCGAGCATTACCCGCGATGCGGATGTGGGTTGGTCTTCGGCCTTAGCAGCCATGGTCGATTTCACCAACGCCCGTCAAGACTTATAGATCTACTAACTATGCGTCAACTGGGGTATGCGAATTCATCTTACCGTCCCGCCAAGCCGCGCGCTAGTGCTGCGTGCCTGTTTTCAGTGCACGATGCATCGGCACTAAAGAGTTAGACGAGGTATTACAGTCGGCAATCAGGTGTCTTGGATCACCAGTTCCCAACGCAGTTGGCCGGGAGACATGACTTTGTTCAATATTACAGATACCAACCACGAGTGTGTGGCCGTGCAATCCGTCAACCAGGCCCAGGGATCGTAACCAAAGACAAACATCAGTGATGTTGGCTTGAATCTCTACCCTTCGATTCCATGCCCCCTCTTCGATCCTTTCGTTATATTCGTCATTACCATTCACCGTATTTTCTATGTTGGTCCAGAGTTCCAAGACAACGGAAAAAGAGAGAGCTCTACGGATACATTGCAAAAAATAAGTATAATACTACATTGAATGGAAGAGTGAGTATAAGGATTCACCCGCATGCGTCCTTGAAAAGCTGTAAGATCCAGGCGTAATTGGAATGAAAGCAAGAATTGCCAAGTAAGAGCTTGTAATAGGTTTCAAGCATCTAGAATTTCATTGCTTCAGTTTACCAAAGTACCCCTGGCCAATTGTGCACTCCTCTTGCCAGTCTGGGTTCATTTCACCCACCCATCCTTGGATCCTTACACTAACCCTGACCCCTCACCCATTGTCTTAGTTGGCAGAAGCCTCGAATTGCGAATAAATTGACGTAGTGCAATCGAAGCCTTGGACTCAGGCTTCGCTTAGGGACTTCTTGGCTGAATTCCCAACGGGCCTCAGGATGACCGACACATTGACACTCGAGTCCTCCTAGACAGTGGCAACAGCAATTCTCGCTCGTTATCTTGCCTTGGCCACAGCGACCCGAGCTGCAATCAGCCGAGTCCTTAATGACGCCTTCGTTCACAAGAACTGAGGGTAGAAAAATAGCTTCTGTCAGTAGGGAGCACCGGATATACCTGTTTTCTTTTATTTGATCTTGATTCGTACACGACTCAAGACCAATCGGAACCGTCTTCGTCCCTTTGAACTCCAAAAGTGGATAATCAAATACCCCCAACTGGTTTTATTTTATTGCGCCATGAAAACGGTTGTCCTGTACCAGGTTGCTTGCCCTTTCGATACTCAGACATCGCTGTCATCATCGGACGATGGCTAAGACAGACACTGGCACATCATCTCCCAACCACTATGTGTTATCTCTGAAGAGACTAACAACTTCTTTGGCTGAGATCAACATTCAAAGTCATCCATAAACTAAGTCAATGTGAAGGTTGAGCACCTGGAAGCCTGCGCGGTATCGTGCTCTTAGGCTAAGAAACCTCTCATCATGGTACTCGGTATCTCACTCTATTGCGTCTTATTACTGCGGCTACATATCATGGCGTGCCTGTGCAACTCTGCGAGGGGCCACGATGGTTATACAGGCGTATCTTTGTCTCCCAAGCAGCCGGGTTGCCGAGGGTCGTGCCGCCGGCAGCTTGGTATGAAGACCTGCGTCTCTGGGTTTAGCCACCTGGGCATTCAATCGACGCCCGCCGGTATTGTCTCACCCTGTACCGAAGAAAGGATCTGCAGAGCCCATAAAAACTCGGACATTGGGGGTTGATACGTGGGATGCACGAGAGGATCATATCCGATGACAAGCCTTCTATCTTGGCCTTAGCCCTGCGCCACACCACATTCCGCCCTCGAGGCTCTCTCCTTAACCAACTAATTGGAGACACCGTCTCATATATTCTCTTTGTGAGAAAATTGCGCAGTGTAGCCAAGACCACCACCTAATTGGACGCAACCGTCAAGCTAAGATGCGTGAGTGCACTGGTCAGCGTTGACTGAGATAAATGTGAACTTTCCGTGTGTTGATCCTCTATTTTCTTTTCACGAGCTGCCACTAATTGGTTATGGAGTCGGAATTCAGGCTCGCTTCATAATCAGATGCCTGGTGGATATTAAGATCTATGGATGACGCGAAAGAGAAGAGGCCATCTGCAAATAAGCAGGGATGGCACCCGATACCATGAGCACTGGAACCCCGTCCAAGACACTGTTCTTCTTCTGTATAATCCACATTCATGGCACCCAGTTAGGGCGATATACCAACGTAATGATATATACCGCCCTCTTTTGAGCGTTCTGCAGCACGTCAAACCAGACTCATATCTCCGATCAGAGTGCTTCCTGGAAAAACAGATCATATATTTGAGAAGACCGTTTTTATTATGGGAAATCTCAAACCGGTTCTATAGCATGGGACCGCTGAGGGTTTCATGGTGCACGTCGATTTATATCTTGGATTTCTGGCATTTCCGTCTTGTCTGGGTCATTACGCCCGACCCACCTATTGGTTTCTTCCTCCTTCTTTTTTGACTGCTGCAAGTTAATTGTTAACTATTGGTCTCGCTAGGGGCACCTTACCTTCAAGTTGCCGTGCATAACGCTGGGAAGTGGGTGTGCTCGAGTCGACATCAGCGCTATACATACCAAGAGGAGCTAGTGCCATTTGTGTTTTGATAATGTACCTCCAATCTGACTATATGGCTAAATTCTCCTGGTTGAGCTAGGTGGCTTGGTTAGCACAAAAGGCCTTACCTTCGTAGTCAGCTTCGAAGATGGGCTGTGATTTGATGATGGTACAATTAGTGAAGAAAAACCTCTTCGTATGAACTTTTGATTTATCCGTCTGGATGAATTCGCCTTGTATGTCCCAGAAAAGCAGGTGCGCAAGTTTTGCACATGAGAATGCCCAGAACAGGCAGTCTCTCCATGATGAAAGCCAAGGTCAGCAACATAGAATAATGGGTATATGGCGACTTAGCTTGGCGCCCGCTTCCTTCGCCTCTTGGCTTCACGCCACCCCTCCTCTGGATGCATAAACCTTCCACCGCCAAGGGAGCAGCTTGAAGACCTTCCTATTCGCGAACGGACTCGGGCTATTGATCCTGCCGGTCCACGTCCCGCAATAGGGTGGCTGATGTAATATAGTCAGCTTGTTATCAAAAAGGATTTTCTTGTCTGCTTGGCTCTGAGCGCCTTGACCATTCAATTTTCAGTCTCAATTGTAATAAACATATGTTATCCACATTGATCCAAAGTATGATTATCCACCCGGTCGTGGAAGTTTCCTCGGTTTGTAATATTGCGACGTAGCCTTGGAGCCCAAAATAAAGCTGAGGGTGCAGGCATATCCAAAGATAATCTCACTGAGCTGCAGTCACATATAACTCAGTATGACCGCAATTCTCCGTATGAACCATCGTTAACCAACAGTAAAATTGACTTCACCTCTCTCAACCAAGTTATTCATACATTGAGTCACCAAAGATCCACGACAGCAGCTGGCGTCAAATTCGTGCTCTCCCGAACAGCGATATGTCTGGTCTCAAATATTTCTCTTACGAGGAGTACGGCGTCACATTGCGTAAAGAGATGCACTACAGTCAAGCTGTACGTGTAGGTGAAAATATCGAAATCTCTGGCCAGGGTAAGTCAAAGCGATCTCTCTGTTATGGGAGTGTGTGCCAACAGGTCATATGACCGTTGGAAACCCAAGAAATTACATTTGGCTTTACGTAGCTAACTGAACCAACAGGGGGCTGGGATCCGAAAACGGGAGATATTACGGACGATCTTTTAAAAGAAATCGATCAAGCCTTTGAGAATGTTGACTTAACGCTCAAAGACGCCGGTGGCAAGGGTTGGTCTCAGGTCTTTCGCATACGACTCTACGCTGTAGACGAAGCATGGACTCAAGAGGGTATAGGAAGAATGGTCGATAACATCAAGAAGTGGACGCCTAATCATGCACCGATACTGACTGGTGTTGGGGTCACGAAACTTGGGCAGCCTGGTATGCGCGTTGAAGTGGAGGTCTCGGCCTATGACCCTTGTGAGCCCAGTAAGACAAGTGAGACAAAATAAGATGCCCAAGCAACCGGATGTTTGGGGGACACGGACACTGAGTCAGCCTCAAGGACATATACAAATACAAACACTGCTGTCTGGGGAACTCTGAGTACTCATCGGTGATGATGCCCCTTGCCAGCTTTGCTGAGATTTCTTGCGTCACATTCTGAGTGCAATGTACTGGGCATTGAAGTGCGAACACCGAAGTATCAAAATTACGTCGAAATTTACGGCACAATGGATTGAACAGTTGAATTTGCAATGAGATGCCTAATTACTTTTCGAACCGAGAGGCTCTACGCGGGTTGATTGTGTCGTATAATATCACAGCATATTCTAACTAGAGAGACTGTGGACCATTGTTACCTACTAATACCCGTTGACGGCTTCTTATCTCATACACACTACGTAGCAAACAATTTCTACATGAGCGTTTGTCCGGAATTTACCTTCTCCTTTGCCAATACCATACAGCAATTGCAGTGACAGCAACCGCAGACGAAGTAAGAATACCAATTGTCTTCTTAATCGCTGGCGACACAACCATCTCTGCAGCGACGTGGAAGTCAGCCATGGCGTTTATGCGCGGGTAGGGTTCGTCGGGCACATCTAGCTTCAAGAACGTGCAGATTTCCTCCCAGCCAAAGCCTTTTTCCAGGTTCAGGACCAACAGGCGTTCAGGAGGAACAAGCGTCTTGACATTCTCCATGCTGGTTTCCACAAATCAGTTCCCTGGTCAATTCGATACAATCTCGACGGGACTTGAAGAACGTGAGGTACTTACTACTGAACGTAGCTCTTTGCTAGTGCATCCTTGAAGCCAGGTTCACTCGGCTCCAGTCCATCAGACCATCTGTGAGTCATGGCTCTGAAAAGCGCCGTGAGTTCCCAGATGAAACTGTCAAAGTACCTTGCGACCGACAAAGGCGGTTTTGCAAGCTTTGTGTGGTAAGCACCGAGGGATCCAGCAATGGACTTGGCCCAGGACTCTGGGGTACGCTCTGTCAAGATAAATTTAACATCGGGATCTTCTAGGTATGCTTTTATGATGTTGGGACACAGGTAGCATGGACTTTCGACAATGCACTCCTTGAGGTTAGCTAAAAGCTGCCTAGAACCTTCGTCCTGCGTATTGCGAGCTTACATCGTATCCTGCAAAGAGCTTGTCGAACTCATTGCGACCGAAGGGCTTGTCGGTGTCATTGGCAATGATGGCTTCTTGAAGGGTTCTCATCTGCTGAAACCCGTACGGCAGCAATTCTGAAATGTGGAACGGGGTGTAACCAAGCGTTTTCAACGCCTGCCATAGTCCAAGAGTTCCGGTACTAGAAACAAAAGAATGAGCTGTGTGCTATCAAAACTCGATGTTGCAATAGTGGTTACCGGCTAGGACCAAGTCCAATGACTTTTATCGAACGCGCCTCCGAGGGAGCGGGAAGCTTATCGACAGCTCGAGACATTTTGAGATCTCTCTTGGTATGAGAGCTTGTCAAGCTTGTCTGTTGCAACGTTCCTAATAATCCAAAAGGCCTGTGCTATTTCCCCTTTCCACCCCGACGGCCCAAATACCTGAGTTTTAACCTATTCAATTGCAAGTGCCAATTTAGCATGCTCCCTGTGAAAGCCTCGCACCATGACTCGCCGTGTTTGTTGAATCATGTATGTGGGCTCCTAATGTCCGGGATAATGAGGTAATTATTATCGCTCCGCTGGCCGCAGACGCTGACAGTGAAGGACGTATCCAAAGCGGTAGTCTTGGTTACCGGTATTTTCACGGCCCCCTTCTGGTATTTTCACAGCCCACCCGCCACTACCGCCACAATACACCCAAATAACACATTCCATCACCCTAGCATAACCAACTAACCCAGACCCTAGCCTAGACCCTAACCACTAACCCTACGCATCTTTTATATATACTTTGAAAGATGCGTAGGGTTAGTGGTTAGGATGGTTAGGGTCTGGGTTAGTTGGTTATGTTAGGGTGATGGAATGGAATATAGTATTCCTGACGAGACTAACTAAGATAGGAAAGAGACTAGCCTAGATGGGCTTAGAGGGCCGTGAAAGTACCAAAAGGGGACCGTGAAAATACCTGTAACCGTACTCTTGAGACTGCACAGGTACACAATAATACATTCAACACAGTCAGAAAAACAGAGTATCAGCCTTATACCTGATATTCACACAATAGAAATTCTTAGGAAACACGATGCCATAGAATCATTGGCGCTCTCTTAACCATACAGATGGTGGTTTGATGGAACGGGCACAACATGCAGTGCGAACTCTAATGGGCAAGCGTAGAAAGTATTACCGGGAGATAACGCTGTTCATAGCAACACTATCTCCCTTCGAAAAGGGACTGACGCTGACACATCAACGCAAGTCCACGAATCAGAAGCTCTGAATCTTGTACCAATCAATAAGCTCATAATATCCGTTAAGTGTAATTGTTGCTCCAAATCAAGATACGATTCTGGCTAAACACGCCAGAGTGTTTGTTCATCCAATCGCCAAACCCAGCAGATCGTCCCAACGCTTGCCCAACCTTACCGCTTGTCAACGCAATGCATCTCTCAACATGGGACGGATCAGCCGCGATTACAGCAGACCGCAAACATCTGAAATTTCTCCTCCACTGCTTCTCCGCGACGGGTCATGTTTTGCCTATGCAAGCAGTGGCTAGAGAACTGGTCGAGCGTGGGCACGAAGTCGTTTGGACGACCATAGCACCTCAGGAAGCCCGAGTTGTCGCTTCCGGCGCGAAGTTCTTCCCTGCGGAGGAGGTGATCAAAGTCGATGCCAACATGGACGGCGCGGACCCAAAAGACATGGCCGAGACAGCTGAAATCATGTTTGGCGGCCGGGTCACGGCCCAAGTTGCTGACATCCGGCGTGTGCTCAAAGTATTCAAACCCGACTTCGTCCTCAACGATGCGCTGCCCCAGGGTGTTGCTGCACTTTTCGAGCTGGACGAGATTCCTCACTATGCCACCCTCGGGGTTGTGCCTTTGTATCTTCCAGACATCGGACCGGAGCCCATCGAGCATGCTGCGCAATCTCCACTGGGGTTGCTTTTAAGTCAACCACAGCTGTCACTGCCCACGATCAACTCGGAAAGACAGAAGCTTGGGCTACCTGCACTCAAAGTAACGGACGCGTTTTCATACAGTCCATTTTTGCACATACAGGCGTCCTGTCCTTCTTTAGAATTTCAGGAGGGCCCCGAGCCTGTACTTCCGCAGGCACAGTATGTCGGACCATTGGTCACGCGTGTTGCGGGTGCCAACCTCGGTGTGCCGACATGGTGGGACGATGTTGTTAACGCAACCTCTGTCATTGGGATCACGCAAGGCACCTTTGCCATGAATCCCACATCGCTCATCATCCCCGCCATCCAGGCGCTTCAGGGGGACAAGAGACATCTGTTGGTTGTGCCCTCGAAACTTGCAGACGAAATCCGAGAAAAGATTAGTGTCGAAGACAACGTCCGCATTGCAGAATGGGTCCCGTACGACATGCTACTTCCGCGGTGTCGCCTCCTCGTTACAAATGGAGGCTACGGAAGTGTCACCCAAGCACTTTCGCATGGCGTCCCGCTCGTCTGCGCTGGTACTTCCGAAGACAAGAAAGATACTGCCGCGAGGGTAACTTGGGTTGGCGCGGGCATTGATCTCAAGACCGACACACCTTCGGTAAATCAGGTTCGCGATGCTGTCCATAGAGTGCTCGAGGAAAACACCTTCGCAAAAAATGCTGCCAAGGTCGGAAAAGAACTTAACTCCCAGGGTGGTGCGAAGAAAGCGTGCGACTTGTTGGAAAAAGCCGCGTTAGAGCTTGGTGCAGCAACTGCTAGTGCATGATGCAGTTGCATTGGTGAGCAACGCGAATGGCGATGGCGAAGGGTTATCTTGACTATAGATTTACAAATAGACATCAGCTTCACACAAATAAACCTTGTCATAGGTGAATTTTCTGTTGGAGCATCCAGTTAAAATATCTCATGACGGTACAACACTGTTGGTATCACAGGGATCGCGATCGTAAAGCAGTAATAGTTCGATTGACTACTAGTTGCTTGTTGAGATGGATTGAAAAAGAAGAAGAAGTTGTTGCCGCGGATATTCGTGGTGGTGTAAGTGAGCCGCCGAGGTGAGTCACGTGATGGTAAATCACGTGACCATGGATCGGCTCCACCATTGAACAGTTGAATATCCCGACAAACACACTATGCATTGGGAATGCTTTATCAAAGGGACAAAGATTAACTAGATTGGATACTCGGATCTCGGGTATGATTCGTTGCACGCTGAGTCCGGACTGATTCAAGGCGTATGAGCCCAGTACATAAGGCTCGTACAACAGTCAATACTTTGAAGTTGGAAAGGATATTCACAGTAGGAACAGTTCGATCCACCCCTACCTTTTGATTAAATACATGTACAGAGCCTATTCAACAGGTTCATTTATTAAAGAACATATTGATTTGCTTCATCTAGGTTAATTCGGGTTGGGGTGCTACTACGTGGCGAACATCAATGCCATAGTGGTGAGAAAGTCTAAACTCAAAGTCTGAAACTCAAAGTCTAAAACTCAAAATCGACTTCACAATCTGTTCCTCTTAAATTGATTAATTCGGATTTAATATTCATTATAGTCCTACTTTCCCAATCCTAACTATCACAGAATGAGGGCTAATTGCTCTCGTATCCAAGCGCCATGAAATTTTATTCTTATTCCAGGTGTGATAAGATATAACGGAAACTTGATACCATCCGGTGGCCTAATATCCTTTCACGATTTCACGCCCTGAATTCTGTCTTTCTCGCAGTCGAAAGACTGAGGGCTGAGGTACGTCACCACCCTCAAATGCCCCTTATGCAAGGCACATCCAACGTAGTAGTGACTGCCACAGCGTGACTCGAGGGTCTTGCTTCCACTATAAATGCGTGAGTCCATGCTTTGTCACTTAGTGATCAAGGAATAATACTCACAAGATGTCTTTCAGAGCCTGCTCATAGTTGTCCATCATCGAGTCCGTGCGGCGGGAGGAGAAAAACTGACGGAGGCGAGCGAGAACATCGACATCGTTCTTACTGAAGTAGTTGGGGGAAATGTAGACCTTTGGTGAGATTTCCCTTCCGTTTCCAAGAGTGTAATAGAAGCCAGGGCTGGCTCGGCCTGGGGCATCCGCAGGCAGGATGTCAGGCGCATCGGCGAGGAATGTTCGCCAGAAGTCTTTGAGGTCATCAATGGCTTCCCCAGACATGTCGAGTCGTCCGCCAAGGGTGATGCAGTCCATCATATAATTGAATGTGGTATGCTTTGCTCGGACGTAGACTTTGATGCGGGCATCTTTGGGAGCGAGACAGTCAATGGCCAAAATGCCTGTTTCGAAGTCGTACTTCTTTGTGCCCTCTCTCAGAAACTCAAAAAGGGGTTCGGCACTTAGGGACTGGAATTGTTCGGCGGGCAGGTTGCGAATTGACTGTTCTACCAACTCAAGGTTTGTGATGCCAAGCTCTTCAGCCTTCAGGCCGGGGTAAATGTAAATCTTCATGACCGGGCCGCTCTTCTCGATGTCGAGTGCCACCACGGTTCCGGCTTTTGGTGTCGTCTCTTCTATGAAGCGATCTACCGTCTTCGTCCGGTTGCCGCGAGGGAGAATCTGGTCCGTGAAGTGATTGTACCAGTCAAGGTCGAGGCCGGGGACCATGTTCTGCTGCTGAAGCTTGAAAATCCAGTCGTTTGTTGCGTACTGATTCAAGGGATCTAGATCTGTGCCTGCGTGAAGACCAATGGGCTCAAAGGAGTATCGAATCACGGCGCGATTATCGCAGCCCCACTCCCAGCTGAAGTCGATGGGGGTCGAGTCTGGTGTTCCGGGACTTTTCCATCTCCTTACATTGCCCTGAGAGTCTGGGGAAGGGCCAAGCTCAGGGGCGACAAAAAGAGAGTAAAAGTTGAGTTCGCGGTATTGTTCTGACGTGCTGTATCCGGCGTACTTGAGGAGCTTTGAAAACATCATTCCCGTTTTATCCCACCAGAATTGGGAGTCATCGTCCCTGAATCGCAAAATGGAATTCAGATAATCCCAAGGTTCGTATGACATGATCATCTCACCCATCTTGGCGGTTTTTGATGTGTATACCAGTGTACGATTGTTAGTGTCTAAGATTTGAAGACAGAAATGCAAAGCTGCTGCGGAGTGGGAAGGACTACCAGGGCCATTGTAGACATGCCGAAGGCAAGCCGATACTATATGGCACGCTCCGACAGAACCCTCGACGACCCATCGATCGACCCTATCTTGTCTTTCTTACTCTTTGGTGTAACCGACGATTACTTGACAATTCATTGGCTAGTCCAATGCGGAGGTCAAGGAGCCGGTGCCGTCACCCGTGGGATAACATGGTCGACATTCCGTACAGCCGCCGCGCTACACATTATCTCCACTCATCCATGATTCTTATCCCTTATTTCACACTGAGTCAAGCCGTGATAGAACCTGATTTCAGTGGTGACCCACCGTTCGCGGCCCAATCGCCGGAGCATGGAATTTCAGGGTTATGGCTCGTGTAATATGCACAGCCGTCTTACAACGGCAGGCATTCTCGGTCCACTTTCTGCCGGTCAAATAAACGCACTTTGGCTCCAGCATCAATTGTCTCTTACTGGTTACCAAATACTGCACGAAGTGACAAAGCATGCCAAGTTGAGGAGATTCTGGCACTACGCAAAAGAGCTACAACCAGTTCTTGACTCAAGTAACTCATTTAACTCAACTAGCGCCAAAAGAAAATACTATTCCCACTAATTGGAATTTGTATCGTCCCGCTCACGATGTCTTGGCACATATTGATTCATATGCAGCAGCTAGCATCGCGGCCGTCGTTTGCATCTTGTCTTCCTAATCTACAAGCAGGCTGCAGCTCCGACACGCAATAATGTCTGAGCTTTTGATATCCCCATCAGAAGCCCACCGGACGGGTTCAGCAGTTACTGAAATTAACTAGCAGGCTCGACGAGTCAGGCCGCCTCCACGCTTACCCCAGAAGCCCAGATGAATAGGCGCTAGCCTATCAATAAAAGGAAGTTCATAAACGCCAGGCCCATCCGTCCCAGTGATTCGGCACAAGGCAACCTTTGCGGTGGGTTAATTGGATGAAAGCGTGACCGATGATTAGTCACAGCTAACTCAATGACATGTGGTTCCTAACAGGGAAACTCCCATCTGACTCGTGAATCACGCCCGAGAGACCCGACAACGGCGATTTGCGTCACATCAGTGAAGGAGACCTTCGTCTGGGAATGTTATCGCGTCGAGTCTACGTCTCGTGGTAGTTGCTTACCCCTGCGTTGATCCTGTGGTGCCAACACGACGTTTGGTTCATTGCGCCAAGTGTTTCCTCCAAACACCTTCTCAAGTGTAGTCTGCGCAGCGAGGGTCTTTCATCATGCTTGGCTGGTCATCATGTCGATTATTGTATCCGTCGTATTTCTGGTACGCTCAACACAGGACCTGTTACGAAAAAACGCTGATTTGAATTGCATTATAGGCAGTCTTAGGGGTCATAGCTAAGGGCGTGTACAATGCTTTCTTGCATCCCCTTCGTCGCTACCCTGGCCCAAAGCTTGCCGGACTTAGCCGTGCTTATTACCTTTTCTTCGATGTCCGAGGCGTGAGCCACTGGAAGGTCAAGGACTGGCATGAGAAGTACGGCGAAGTTGTCCGTATTGCACCTGGCGAACTGTCCTACGCTTCCGGCCAAGCTTGGCAGCATATCTATGGTATGTCTTCTGGCACTGCGGACTGTTAGATTGCTTACCCATGGTAATACAGGTTTCCCCAATAAGGATGGACTCGGGAACTTTGAGAAAGATGCGCAATGGTGGAACAAGAACGTCAACGGCGTCGAAAACATCCTGACCGCAGACCATGCGGGCCACAAGCGCATGCGCCAGCTCCAAAACCCAGCCTTCTCAGACAAAGCCTTGAAGGCGCAGGAGTCTGTCATTACCGGCTACATTAAGCTTCTCGTCCAAAAGCTCCATGAGCAGGCGTCCAGCTCCCCAAATTCCATCGTCGACATGAACTCGTGGTACAACTTCACTACTTTTGACATCATCGGAGACCTCGCGTTCGGCGAGCCTTTCTATTGCCTCCGGGATGCCAAATGGCATTGGTGGCTGCATGCTGTCTTCGACATCTTCCAGGCGGGCACTTACTTGCGAGCTGCCCGCCGGTTCCCCTCGCCCCTGTTTGAGATGCTTCTGCTCCTTATTCCGCGTCGCCTGATCAAGACTAGAGTTGCCCAGTTCAATTTTGGAGTCGAGCGTGTGAACCGAAGACTCGAGCAAAAGAATGACCGCCCCGACTTCAGTAAGTCCCTGGCCCCTCTAACCGCCGAAGTCCAATCTCATGCTGACCTTCCAGTGTCCTACATACTCCAAGGCAGCGATGAGAAAGCCATGTCGGTCGAAGAGATGTACACCGCGGCTCAGGTTCTCATCGTTGCTGGTAGTGAAACAACGGCAACCGGTCTAACCGCCGCTACCTACCTGCTTTGCGAAAATCCTCACACTCTGGAAAAGCTCGCCGTTGAGATCCGTGGCACGTTTAAGAACGAAGATGACATTACCATCCAGAGCACTGCCGGACTGAGCTATCTTAACGCCGTTGTCGAGGAAGCCCTTCGGCTTGGCCCTCCCGGTCCCGGGACATTTCCCCGCGTGGTTCCTGATGGCGGAAGAACAGTCTGTGGGCAATTCGTGCCTGCTGGATACTCTGTCGGGGTCCATCACCTCTCTGTCAACCGCTCACCGGTAAACTTCCGTGCACATGACGAGTTCCACCCCGAGAGATGGCTTGGCGACCCGAAGTTCGAATCCGACAAGAAGTCCGCGGCTCAGCCCTTCTCCTTTGGGCCAAGAAACTGTATTGGAAAGAAGTAAGTTGAGCGTCAAGGCTAACTCTCTTGAAAGTTTTCTGACCATCATTTAGCTTGGCTTATGCTGAAATCCGCACAATCCTTGCTCGTGTCGTATGGAACTTTGATATGAAGTTGCATCCAGACAGCGCAGGGTGGCTTGGTAGGCAGAAGATGTATACCACTTGGCATAAGACCGAGATGAAGGTCTTTCTATCTGCAAGGGAAAGGTGAGATTTCATGTGGCATAGCAAGAACTAAGTGTATTGAAAAAGGGATAAATAGCCTAGTTGTGTCTTTCCCCATGTTGCCTCACCCTCTGGGACATTTTCAGGCCCACGCAATACATAAACCATTTCGTCACAAGTTAGAGCACACAGCAGGGTATGTATAGATTTAGGTCTAGAAGCCTTACTTAAATATAAGTAGAGGTAACAATAGTAAGGTCCTAATATAGGCATTATATTTGAGACACTATATAATATACCACCTAATAGTGCTATTATATACAGTGGAAATATATAAAGCTACTATACTATATTTCCTAATCTATATACCTTTCTATTTCACAGAATAGCTAGGAGAGGAAAAGTTTATAATGTCTACAACTTTGTTTCTAAAATGTTGGTATTACAGGGGATCGCGATCGTGAAGCAGTAATAGTGTCAATTCTACTATTAGTTGCTTGTGTAGATGATGATGAAGAGCAAGAAGAGGTTGTTGCCGCGGATATTCGTGGTGGTGTAAGTGAGCCGGCGAGGTGAGTCACGTGAAATGGGTCACGTGTCTCCGGATCGGTTCCACCATCGGCCGGTCGAATATCCCGACATAAAAAGCTTTGGTCTAGTAAAACATCATCCTATAGCGCAGCCGCATTATGGCAGACTCTAATTCATTGGGCTTGAAGCCCGGATAGCCGTGCAGAGTACTTATCGTTTTCAGTGGTCATAAGAGCCGTTTAGTCTAACATAGACCAATGACTCGGCCGTAGTCTCTCCAGCGTTAGCAAAACCCAAATGTCTTTAACATGACGTATCAGAGAACACCAGTAGGCAGGTACAGCTAGTGCTTCCAGCCCCGACCGGCTCAACAGACTGACGTACTCCTTTGGTACTTTAAGAGACCATTGCTATACCGTGCTGTGCCAACGACATAGCAAGGGTTCCTTCCGTTTTTCGCTGATAGACGAACATAAACTATAAGTTCTTAATGGCTCCCGCGCATGCGGCCTTGAAGTACCAATCAGGTCACTCTGGTGGAAGGCCCGCGCAGCCCTTTACACTCATCGCCGGTTTCACAGTTATATGATGTCTATCAGAGGAATCAGTATCACAGAGCCGACGAATTCCGCTGAACAACAAGGGACACATGAATCACTCATATTTATTTGTCTTACAGCATCGCTGCCCAGCGGTCGTTACGCCCCGGGTGTAGGGAATGAAAATTAATATCCGTTCCATCACTTGAACTTGCAAAAGGGGGTATAATTCCAGCCGCGCCAGACTGGTGAATAGATGCAAAAGGATGGACGATCAGGGAATCGAACCCTGGACCTACCGCATGCTAAGCGGTCATTATACCACTAAACCAATCGCCCATTTGGTATGATCTAGCCCGGACTTGAACCGGAGACCTTCAGTGTGCAGTGAGGATATCGTGAAATGTCCTCGAGCTGTTAGACTGACGTGATAACCAACTACACCACCAGACCATGTTACTGTTGAGCAACGCTGGTGGAAAGTGGCTCTAGTCTGTGTGGAATCATGCAGCCGAGATGCGCAAACCCTGGTGGAGTTGCAAGCCTGCATATGGGAACTCGGTGCGGGGAGATCCGTGAATCCACAATTGCCGGGTCGGCATGCGCAGATGCAACTGCAATCGGCCAGGCCTGAGTTGCCGAAGTTCACGATATCAAGTGTGTATCAAGCGCAAAGTCGTCCGTAGCTCTGTCTAAACATGGGAGCTCTCAAGGGAGATGTCCAAAATAGAATGCTCCAGCAGCGGCAGACAGCTAGCCAATGTGGAATTCCGTGACTGATTACCTAATAAGGCCTGAGAGAAAGCCATGTGGAGCCCGTCGGTCTTAGCGCTCTTTATCACCGCAGCACCACTTTGGGAGCTAGTGAACTTTCGAACCTTACATATCGTACCATCGCAAAGCTCGCTCATAGGTGTTCCTCATGTCCGACGGTTTAGCAAACGAGGCCACATCTCTCCTTCCATTTCAAAGCACGCACCCCGAGGCAATTGAAGAAGGAGAGACAATGAGCAGCCAGGTCTTTTGGAGAGTCGGAGCCATCTTCGGCGCCACCGCCGTCGGTCTCGGAGCCTTCGGGGCCCATGGCCTGAAGAACCGCATCTCTGATCCCGCCAAGATTGCAAGCTGGACGACTGCCGCTCACTATCAGGTACGTTCGGGCACCGTGATCAAACTTCCATGTGGGCGACGCCTCTGGGGTAAGGTCATCTCAGCTGACCAGGGATTCAGCTCGTCCATTCCGTTGCTCTGCTTATCGCCCGCTCGAACCCTGTCGCCTCCGGCCTCTTCACCATCGGCATGACCATGTTTAGCGGCAGCATCTACGCCCTCATCCTCAACCCTGATCTCAAGTTCCTCGGTCCCGTCACTCCAATTGGAGGTCTCTCCCTCATAGCCGGTTGGCTCGCCCTAGCCTTCACCAAGGGACGCGTGGGATTCCGCATCTGACTTCCTCGGTCTGCCTAGCTGAGCGCAAGTCTCATGGATTACTCATATCTGTACTATAGATCCACACGGCTATGGCCGTCATGGTTGAATGAATCTCCCCCCTTCTAAACACGTAACACATGATACGGCAGGCATATTCCGTGTGCTTACTCTTTTCTTTTCAACACGCTGAGCTGGTGGCGGGGTCTACTCCCATCATGGTTATAATCGTTCCTAACTCGCTGCCCTTGTTCATGTCATCCCTGTAATTCAATCAGCCCTTGTCCCATTCCTGCTGTTGTTCTTTCTTGTCGTAGCTGCACGCGTCTTCGAATGAATCATATAAGGCAGAAATGCTGATTTGGGGGAGGCAGGGTGCTGGACAAGAAGAGAGCACACATGACGAACAATGGGTCATCCTCACATATATCGAAGGCTCGTTAGTCGCCGTGAGAGGAAAGGCGTTTCGGAAGGGCGGATTAAAATAGCTCAGCATCCGTCCGCTGGTCAGCGCAAGTCGGCTGCGAGATCCATTAAGGAATTTGCCCGGATGTGCGGCTCGTCCGTTGTTCATGCGCCTCGGATAATGGGTCTCCTGGTGTAGACGGCACCGTAAGCTTACTTGAGCCTGGCGCTCCGGGGGCCGCACGTGTGTCATTGTCAGCCCTACTCGGGGATTGGAAAGGCTACTGGCAGACTAGCTGCGGGAATTCGAACCTCATCAGGGAAACGCATCTGACAAATTGCAGCTTCCTTCATCTGATTCGTTACCCCGGGGTCGTGGTAGGGTCAGCTCTACCCTGGGCTTATAAATCAACCCTGTCAGCCCTCGACTAAGTCTTCAGAGCAACAACTCGGATGAAGGAAGCTCAACTCTGTCAGATGAGATTCCCTAATGAGACTCGAACCCCTGCAGCTAGTTTGCAACTAGCCTTTCTAAACTTTCTCAACCCCGGGCGCAGCGTAAAACCGGCAACGGCTTTTCAACACCTCCATTCATGTGTCTTTGGAAAGATGGAAAAGGTGGGTTGGTCTCATCTGACTTATCAGGTAACGCACAGGATACAATTTGGGGAGAGGCGTCACATCAGTGTCAAGGTGGGAACCTTTACAAAATACCTCGCGGGTGCTGAGGAATAATTCGGCGGACTCTCGTGTATAAAACCATCGTCTTTCCTCAACTTGGAAGGACAAATTCGTGGCATTAACTCTACCTTTCAACCTCACTACATTCTCACTAGCTATACAACCAGAAGCAATCATGACGGACCATCACTCTCCGCGCCCCAAGACCATGCGAGCCGTGTTTTGGGAAGGTAAGCCTTTTGATGTGACTGTGAAGGTCGACATCCCGCTGCCGCGCATCAAGGCTCCCGAAGACGCTATCGTCCGCATCACTACTTCGACCATCTGCGGCTCAGACTTACATATTTACCACGGCGTCCTATCCAGCACAGAGGTTCCTTATCCCATCGGCCACGAAGCCATAGGCATTGTCGAAGAGATAGGCAACGCTGTCGATAACCTTCAGGTGGGCGATCGTGTGGTTATCTGGGCCGAGAGCCAGGATGGCGATATCAACACCGACAACCGTATCTCGGCGGATTTTACCGCGTTCGGTTTTGGAAAGGACTTTGGTGACCTCGGGGGGCTCCAGGGTAAGTTTCCACCAACCCTGTGTTTTCTTACTTGGACTGTGGCTATCTATACAACATGATACTGACTTGCTCTACAGCCGAGTATGTCCGCGTACCCTTCGCAGACAACACCCTCATCAAGATCCCCAAGAAGCTGGCCGACAAGGAGTGGCTCTTCCTCAGCGACATCTTCACCACCGCGTGGGAGGGCCTCAACTGGTCGGGTTTTCAGCCTGGCGACTCTGTCGCCGTCTTTGGTGCAGGGCCGGTCGGCCTCCTATGCGCTTACAGTGCCATCATCCGTGGCGCCAGCGTCGTCTACTCCATCGACCACATCCCCCAGCGCCTCGCTAAAGCTGCCAGCATCGGCGCCGTGCCCATCAACTTCACAAAGGGCGGCTCCGCGTCGGAGCAGATTCTGGCCCTCCAGCCAGGAGGCGTCAACCGCTGCGTTGACTGCTGCGGGGAGGAGTGCATCAACACGGAGCTGAAGCCTCAACAGGACTTCATCATCCGCGAGGCCATCGCCATCACCTCCGCCGGCGGAGGTATCGGCGTCCCGGGCGTCTACTGGGCGCAGCAAAAGAGCGCCGGTGCGCCGAACGCTGACAAGATAAAGAGGAACATCAGCTTCCCCATCTCAGACTTCTGGACCAAGAGCCTCGCGATACGGGCCGGCATCGTGGATGGCAGAAACACGTTTGCTCCGCTGGTGAAATTAATTGAGAGCGGACAAGCCAGGCCGGGCTTCATCGTGACGGCCGAGTTTGACCTCAAGGACGCGCCCAAGGCTTACAAGAGGTTCGACGAGAAGCATGAAGTCAAAGTCCTCTTCCGCGGGGCCGGCAGAGAGGGCAGGGATGACTACGACTGGAACGAGTGGAAGGAACACGGGGAGGCGGACCAGGAACGGGCCGTCGAGCAGTAGGCACACACAATTCCGCAGTTGGGGGAATTCTGCTATCCAAGTTTCAGGCTTAATGGACGGACTAAGAGGGCGAGGTTTCACTAAGTTTCACGGATACTCATAAACGTGGGGTACGTACAAGGGGGAAGGAAACTCAGCGCTGTCGCTTCGTGAACCGGTCCGAGACTACCTTTTGTGTTTTCATAAAACTCATCAATTTATATACTATATAAACTCATGGAAACGTAGGCTTCTGCTCGGCGCTCTTGACATCCGTCAAGTACGAAACACGATCCCTGCAGTAAAACTCAACAGCTGGCTTGCCGTCCAAGCTTGCCTTCCCGTCGTCCAACCCGCCTGCCTTGATGCAGGTGACGTCCGGCATGAAGTCCAACTCGGTATACAAACTGGAGCCGCAGTTGCTGCAGAAGAAGTGTCTGTTGTTCTTGCCCGAGGCTCCGGTGATGTCGTAGAACTTGGGCTCGCCTTGGGTTCCCCGTCAGAATTGAGATGGCATGCCGAAAGAAGTGTAACGTACCCTGAGTCACCTTGAAAGAAGCGCGGGGAACCACGGCGTTGGAGGTGAAGGCAGAGCCACTCCACTGCGTCAAGGTAAGCCCTCTGCTCGGCCCAGGTCGGAATCACACATACCTTTTGGCAATCTGTGCAATGACACAGTGCAGTGACTTGGGCGTTGTCTCGATGCAATCGTCAGTACGGCATAACTGTGGGAGTGCCAAGCACAGTCAAACATACCACTCTCATACTTGACCGCCTTGCACATACAGCTTCCTCTGAGGCCCATCTTGTGACGTGTAATTGCGAATTGAAGAGTGAGTGGTTGTTATTTTACTGGGGGGGGGGGGGGGGGGGGGTTGCTGGAATTCTTTAGGAGGGGTTCAGGAATCAAACAGGTGGTGAAGTTAAACTTCATTCCAGAAGTTTATATATGCTTGAGACTTTCGGCTAGTACTCAGCCGTCGCAACGAAGGAGCTGCCCCTCTCTATCCAACTTCATCATGATACATACCACCGGAGATGGAGTCGGTGCGGGGGCCGCACTGATCCGTTTGTCTTCCCCTCGCGGATCGAGCTAGTATGCAAGCGAATCATAGCTTCAAACGTCATAGTCAATAACCTTGCTTACATATCATCATGGATTCTGTTGTCACTCAAAGGGCGTAAACCGGCTGCAACATTCAATTGTTATCCTCTTGACGAGTATTGTCTTGTCAGCAATTCTGATCAATAACAAGTGGCGAATGGGTCGTTGTCAAGATGCCTACACTAGCGTCTGGTCACTAGCAGGCCTTAACCCACGGATGTCAAAGGTCCGACTCCGATACGGCAACGATTATATTTGGAAGGGCCCCCTCAATGGCACAACTTTTCCAATAAGACTGACTACTGTTGGTATCACAGGTCGATCGATCGAGTAAGAGCAATAGCTGTTTACTTACTATCTTTCTCTCTCGGGTTCATTGAAGAAGAGAAAAACAAGGAAGAAAGTTGCAGCTGCCTTAGATACCCATGGTGTAAGTGAACTGCCGAGGAGGGTGTGCATTCACGTGACCTTGGATCGTATAATGTAGTCCTCGTGCAAGATTATCAGAATCTGACGGTTTGAGCGTTCGTGGTTCTATCACTACATAAAGCACCAGTTTCGACTGATTTACCAGGCAGGAAGTGACTGTTCAAATACTATCATACTGTACTAGACTTGAAGTATTGGGAACGGAGACAAAATTACAATGATAACGGCCTCATCAGAGCCTAATGCTGGAGAAGAAGCAACACGCTTCGCTTTCGCTGCAGGCATTCTATCAAGATTTGTCAACTATCTTATCCTCTTGCACCATACCTCCGAGGAGAGCAATAGTTGTCACACCTTTCTTCTGGACTCAAGTCCTGACCCTTCCCTGTCCAGTGCAATCAGCAACCTGGAAAAGGTAGATAGGGATGGAAGATAAGAATGATGAAATCAGCACCCACATTGCATCCCTGTTAGGGTAAACTCTCCCGCGGAAGACACTGTGGCACTTATATATTCTGTGAATGATTCGGCAGTTCTTATAAATGGAACTGATCTTTAAGAAAGAAAGAAGACGAAAGAAAAGGTCGGGGCTTGGGTGTAAGCAGTGATTCACAGAAGAAGCATCGGACTAGTTTGTGCTCTTTCCAAAGACAGTCCAAATTGCTGCTCTTTCCTTCCATCAAAGGGATATTAAAAAACCGAGCTCAGAGTCAAAATTTACTCCTTCTGCTGCTACACAATGAGCTGTTATCGCTTGTTCACGTGGACTGTACTTGCACCTATCAGTCTGGAATTTTAAATTTAATTTTTTCAATTTCACTAAACTATCCCTCTCTCCTTCGTCTATTGTTCCGTTTCTTCAAATCCATCCATCTTGTCATTCAGTGGCCGCCTAACAGAGTATTCAGTTGGCGTCCATTCTATCCTTTCCATTCTTTTTCTCATCATCCCTCCAAGTTGTCAAGACATCCTCCTCGGCTTCCAAACCATCCACCTAGTTTATCTCCATATTGCTTGCATCTCCATTCGCTTTACGAGCTTTACGCGACCTTTTACATCTTCTCGACCTCCCCTCCTCCACAGAGCATTCTGCCCACGGCAAAAGAAGGCATGGAGACCAATGATTCCATGCGAGCGATAGCGCGCAACCTTGCGTCGATGAGTCTCTCGAAAGCCAAAAGCATCTACGAAAACCCAAAAGTTCGTTGCGTCTTGGGCGTCAACGGGACTTTCTATGGCTACCGTGACGACCTCACGGCGAACTTGGATCAATCCATCGATTTTGCAACGACCTTCACATACATGGACGGACCTTCCATCTCTCCCGAGATCCGCATCGACCTCGAGGGTACCGAAAAGCGAGGCACTAGCATCATGACGTACACTATCGCTCGGCTTACCATCCCAATCAATGCACTACGAGGAGATTCCAGCGTTGCCAAGGCAGGCAAGATACGACTTACAGACAAGGAAATCGGCCATCCTGTGCTCTTTTTGTCGGTTTCGCTCAAGCACGTTTTTGTTTCCAAGTACAAGAGACCCATTTCTCCAACGCTAGTCAAACGCTCGGGCACGTGGATAAAGTGCCTTGTTGGAACTGGCGAAGCTGATCTCTCCGTTGTCCTTGAAACTCGCGGCGTCGGCGACAGCTTCGCAGACTTGATGACCCGGAATTATCCGACCGAAGACGTCAGGATTGTGGATGCTGGCCTCGACTGCGTCTTCCAAAACCAACCCATGGGATACAAGCAGTTAGATTGGTTCACCATCAACCCCAGCCTCATGTCCCCGCCCGGCAATCCCATCCCCGAGACTATGGTCTTCCACGATGACAGGACTCGCATGATCCGGCTCCAGGCTTCATCTCGCGAGGAATATGATCTCGAAGCCACCAAGGCGACGCTGCTTGCAGAGTCCGCACACCCGTGCATTCTCCTTCCCGACTTATCATCTGTTTAGGAAGCAGGTGGCGATACACAGAACGGAATCAAGCCCGACGCCTCATACGAACGGTACCTGGTGGTGGCGTCAATGGCAAGGAACCAGAAGAATCTTCTTCCCGATATTGGATCATCATGTGCTCTCACCTTCGACGACACCATAAAGATGGTTCACCGCCTGCCTACGTCGCTCTACCCGACAGGCGGCCGATCCTGTCTCCAAATTGCCGTCGAGTACCTCGCGAACAAGTGGCTCGAGGCAGAGGCTGAGATTGAGACCGCCGTGGAGAACGGAGGACTCGACCCCGAGCTTGAGAAGGCTCGGGTGATGCAGATCAAGTATACCATGATCACTCAAGCACTGGACTTTATCGAGCTGAAAAGCCCCCAAGAGCATTCTTCTCATGACGTCGCGCTCATCATCCACCAAGCCTGCCAGTCGCGGAAAGGTCATGCCATGATGCTCGAGCTGACGCGTAGGCTGGAGCACTTCGATCCGGAATTGCGAGTCGATTTACTGGTAGAAGAAGCTAATGCAATGAAGTGGAAAGCAGTTCGCGCGACTCCACCCACCGACGCGTCCTCCGGTTACATCTACTTCATCGCCTGGGTGCCTCGGGAGGAAGAATGGCCATCAGATGACGAAGCTCCTCCAATCAAGGTTGACATCCCCGTCCCTCACGGTTTCGAACAAATGAAGAATATAGGGTCTTTGATCAACACGGCGGAGAAGAAATTTAGGGTCCGAGTCCATTACAAGCCAAACCCGGCGACCACCCAGATGGAAATGGGCTCTGTCTGCCTCGCAACATCCGCCGAGTCAGGAACCGACCTGGCCGCCCGCTGGGCGTACGCCCAGAAATTTGACCCGGCCTCCATCCCCAAAGACTCCGCTGTGCGCACCGTCAACTTCCACGAGCGCTTTCCCGCCGTTGGCCGCCTCGCCTTCCGCGAGGACGAGAAACCCCAGCAAAGCCTGTTCCAGAAACTCCGTGCCGTCCCTGCAGGCATCGCAATGTACACTGGTGGTCCTGGGTCTGGCAAGACGACGTTCGCTGCTCGCATTGCCGCTGCTGTCGCCGAGGGAGGGGACAAGGCGATGTGGACCATCCACAGCAACGAACTTTGCGACGACGCTGTTAGGTCCCTGAAGGAACAGAATGTCAAAAAGCCGGATGGCAGGAGCATGAGTATCGGCCGTCTTCCCACATGGATAACTATGAAGAAGGCCCTCTGTCAAGTCGCTCACACCGCCGCAAAGCATCGTGAAGCTTCCAGACGTAAACGAAATGGCCCCTCGGCTGGCCGCACCGTCGCCTCCCACATCGGCATATTCCTATCGCGCCTGAGCCAAGGTCTTCATGACCGCACTATCAAAATTGTGCCAGGTTCTGTTACGGAAAGGGCCATTGCCATTGCACGGGCCAATGAGCCGCATTTCGCGAAGTTCTGGATGTCTGAGCCTGGATCTCCAGAGTGGGAGGCTGGCTGTGCACATATCATAAGTGTGGCCGTGGACGATTTCGACATCCTCGTCGGGACGCCTTTTGCCGCCGGACAACTTGGCCGCAGGGCCGCCACCACGCTCGTCAGGCCAACACCATCTTGGAAGCCATGGGAGCCTGCTCTTCTTATTATTGACGAAGCCGGTCGCATCCCCGAAGCCCAATGGTGGATCCCCCTTTCCGTTTTCCCTGACGCCTGCGTCCTCACCATGGGGGACACCCGCCAGTTCAAACCCCTAGCTATGAGCGTCAGCGAAGACAGACACCGCGAGAAATTCCAGACTAGTCGTCACCTTACCGACGTTCTCAACTGGCGCTGTGTATTCGGCGTCCAGCGGACTGTCTCGCTCCTGCACCGCGCTGAGAGCAACAGCCAGATCCTGGGCAACCTCTCCAGCAACCGCCGCAACCGCGGAGACATTGCCAACTGGGCCAAGAAGCATATATACCCTGGCGAAATGCGCATAATCTACCCACTGGCGGAAGATCGCTCGGCTCAGATATACCTCCATTTCATGAAGTGGGTCTTTCCCAAGGACGCCATCAATTCCAATTCGGTAGCCGTCGACGTGCGCTACACGGAGTCGTGCAAGCACAACCTGAGCTCCGTCAACCCGGGGAACCGCAACTTTGCATGGTGGATCGTCTATATGGCGTTCCAGTACAAGCTCCCGAACCTCAGAACCAAGGGCCAGCTTGCCGACATCATGATCGTGACGCCGTACAGCGCCCAGCACGGCGGCTATAAGGATGAGGTCATCGAGATGGGAGAGTCTGGCATCATCAAGAGCAAGATCACCATCCGGACCATCGACAACGCCATGAGTGCCGAGGCGGACCTTGTGATATTCGACTCTGTCCGCACGTCGGGCGGCATCGGCTTCTTGGAAGACCAAGAGCGCATGGCCGTTGCCGCGACCCGAGCCCGCGGCGGCGCCATCACGTTCTTCAATAGTGACAACATCAAGACGAAGCAAACGCGCGGCGACTCGCTGGACAATCCGTTCGCTTCCTACGTCCTCTCTCACAAGACACTTTTAAGGTCGAAGCAAGCGTGGTCTCGCCGTTGCGTGGTATGTGACGGGCCACATCACGAGCGGTTCTGTATGCCAGGTAGACCAGCTGTAGACAGATACGAAAAACGGGGAGATGAGGAGATGAAGGCTGCGGCTGGTGCCGCTTCGCCTTTGGTGGATTAGAGAAGATTTGTGATTGGGGGTTCAGTTGGATGATGCATTTGGAGGATGTTGGGATATTTGGCATCATTGCAGGGGTTTCTCACAGTATTGGGTCTACTCAACCAGCGAGCAGTCATGAAGAGCCAGTATCAATGAAAAGCGAGAGTGCTGTCGCCACTTGAGCTGCCCTGCTCCTGGCCAAGCATGCAATACATGTTGTTACCAAGCCGTTTCCATGTGCTGTCTTCTCGATTGTAAGATGGTGGCTTTCGATAACTCGCTGCCTGCTGCTTGAGGAACAACCGAGCAGAGCATTTGATAGCAACAGAAATTTGATGCAAGACTGCTTCACAATTTTTCAATTTTTTTGTTTCATCTCCAGCAGGACCTTGGTCGACCGAGGGAGAACAGGATGGTCACCGTAACACTGGTGCAGAGTTCGTTCGACGAGGACAAGGCATTTGAGCATGAATTGTCATCATATTCGCATATTCCCTACATCCTAGCAACAAGGGTGGCCGGCCCATGAAAGCCGCCAAAGGATGAAGCGGGTTCGGGCCACTATCAGACGAAGGGCCGGAGCGAACGGCATGAGCGAGTAACGACGGGGGGATTGTTTGCCGGCGGCTTTGCGAGAGACCCGCGCTTGAAATTTGGCGGGTATTTCGATTGTTTGCGCCTCTTGGCGGTTGGTGACGAGGAGTGATGTGCACGCATCTGCATCTGCATCTGCATCTGGGAGCCATCTTCTGTTGTGGGAAGTAGAAGCCAATATGGACCGTGCGATGGCAGGCATTGATCCCAAGAGATGTCGTTTGCTAGCCGGCGGAGAGGGGGGGGGTATGTATGAAGTCCCTGGGCCGAGCGGCGAACATGAGGTCTCTTTCAGGTGAATGGACGAGGGTCCAGGGTCCAGGGGATTTCTCATCACATCTCGACCAAGGGTGCCATTGGCGGCTGGCGGTTCTGGGCGGTGGGTTCGGGTTGAGTTTGCTCCCGCCCGTTTGGGATGCATGGCAAGCCTGGTCGTCCGGATTCGGACGGGGAGGGAGCCATGCCAACGACTGACTGGATGTGCTCGACTCGACGGGGGTATGCCAACATCCAACGATGATCCCATGTACACTAGCATCGATAGCGTGTGGTGGTCGACAGGGACTCGACAAGAAACCGGCGAACGAAGGCGAGCTTCCGCGGCTAGATCAGAGGGCCGAGAGCCTGGCCGTGGCCGTGGGCGGCGGCGGCGGCGGCGGCCAGTTCACGTAGGTCTCAAGTCTGGCCGAGCGACTCAGATTTCTTTCAGGCTACACAAAAGTGCGTTGCAGAATCCAGGAACCGGTAGGTGGGGGAGGAGTGCCTACCTAGATGTGCAGTATTATGTCTCAAGCAGACGGAGGGAAACCGGTAAAGTTCGGTCTGCCTGCCGATCCAAGATTGTTGGCATTGGATGACAGGCCGCATGCAAAGCTTCAGAGAAAAACAGGCTCACTGCCACCTCATGCACACTACCTCCTACGATAGGTACCCCAGGCACCAAGATAAATAAGACGCAGCAGTGTCTGGAGACAGAGGAAATAGCGAGCGACAGAAAAACTTCAGGAGGTAAGAGCTCCTCTTGTCTGGACTTTCCTCTATCAGTCTCAGTGCCTGGAATAGAGGAAGCAGCGGGGTGGCGGGTGGCTGGTCCTGGCGTCGGTACGTATCGTCAAGGATGCTAGCGCGGGCGGCCCTGGACGCACAGACACGCATAGTGGGGGGCCATTCGATGCTTCCGGCCAATGGAAAAGACCAAATTACCGCCCGTCATGACCAGGGACCAACGGGGAAGCAACCCCACTGGCACTTTCCCTCACCGAAGACTGCGAATCACACTTCCCCGCCCGGGGTTCCTCTCCCACCCCTTCCGTCTTCGTCGACTGCCCAAGCCCACCCAGATTTGCCTTCGTAGGTATATTCCCTCTTCACCGGCTAAGTACACTGCAGTCTACGGATACACTACAATCTTTCAACCACATCTCCTGCCTGTCACATCGACATCGCCCGCTGTCATTCGACCACCCCCGATATGCACCTGTCCCGCCATGTGTGCCGGCCCACGCAGCTTCTGCAGCACCTCGTCTGCCAGTTGTTGGTCAATTCCATAATGATGGTTCCAGCAGCAGTGGCCAGGTCCATGGGATGGTCTGAGGTCCCATCTCCCACCCTTCTCCAATGAAAGTTGGTACAACAGGCACTGAAAACCACCCTGGCCTTTCTTGTTATTTACTCGAATCATCCCAGTAGCAAACCAGCTTGCAGAGGACGCCTAAGCATGGGCAACATCATGAGCAACGTCAACGTCCGGGCCTCTATGATGCCACGCCCGCAATCCCACTTGTTAGACCGACATCTCCGGCTACACAGGCTTCGTCGAATGACGTTATCTTGTGCCGTTTTTGCCGTCTCCCGCCAGCTTTGAAGCACACCACGACTGAAGCTTGACTGCGTCTCCTGGAACAAAACAGCATCGACATTGACAACAGCAGTGCCCGACTCCGCCCAGCTCATCTCCCGCTGATCGCATCGCATTTATGATTCCGGGACCAACGCATCCATCCCGCCTCTGATCCCTGGTCACCATCCTCGCCGGCGGTCGGTCTGCCGACCACACACGGCGGTACCTTTGCCCAGGAGCCTGCAGCGTGCAGCGTTGTCCTGCATGGCACCCACACTTCTAGCGCCTGCGCATCAGCCTGCGGTTATGTGACATCCCCCAGCGGGGAACGACCAAAATCGTGGCCAGCCAATATTAAAGTACGGTCAGCCGCTGGGCCTGTTGCCCTTCACGTTCTACCATCCGAGCCAAAGAAGTCCCTCGTCCCTCTTCCCGTCTTTGATTGCTCAACCCCATAGCGGCCGCAGCCAGTTGACCCCTCCCACATGGCTTTTTCGCCGCATTAATACCCATTCCATACACCCTCAAGTGCCACCACACTCCTGGTTGAATGCCCGTCTCGACCGAGCCAGTCAGCAGCAGTGTGACGGAACCATCGACACCTCATCACGCAAACTACACACCCCTAAGGATCGAGCCACTAGGACCTCTTCACCTCGGAGCGTCTCCGATCTTACATCCATATATCCCCTCGGACCACCTCAAGCCCGCGGATTGGCACGCGCCTCTCCATCTTGTTTCCCTGTCTCTCGTTACGCTGCCTTAGCATCGCCTGCCTGTCCTGCTCGTGGCCCCGCCTCGGAGAGACCTGGCATTCCTTCAAACTTATTTATCCCGTTGCTGTCGAGGACTTCTCCACAAAGCGAACCGACTCGGCTGTGGACGAGCTCCCATACTAAGACCAAGCGGCCGAACGAAGCGCTACGACTGCATGACATTGACCGCCTCTCATAATCGACATATCGCAACCCATTCCGTATGTCGACATAATCTGCGGCTCTCTGCGCGCAGTCGCTTCTTCATCGCGCAGCTTGACTCTATCCTCAATCTTTCGTAACCATGGCCACTCGCATCCGCGACATGGCAGACACTGCCGGCAGGACGGCAGTACAGCTGGCCAAGCGCATCGCCATCACTCCCAAGCCTGATAGCCCGCCTGGCTTGATAGAGGCTTTGACCTTGGATCCGTGGGCTAAGTCTGGCAAGTATGGATTGGGATGGACCTACTTCGCTCTGGCTCTCATGGGAACAGTCCTCCTCGTGCGAATGTGGCATTTCTGGCAGGACAAGATCCGGCAAGCCATCTACAAGCAAGAAGTGGAGGAATACTATGCCAATTTGTACAACACCGACCCCGATTACGCCCACGCGGTACACACTGGACAGGCACAACATTTCTTCCCCGACTCCGATGGACTCGGAGAGAAGCAATTCAAGCCCAGAGCTCACTTCTCTTCTGTTGGTTTCGTCAACGACACACTGGCCCTCTTCCGATGGATGTTTTACCGACCCATCCCTGATTTGGCTTGGGGTAGTCACCGATTCACCTTCTCATCGCTGGCTGTCATAACTTGCGGCCTCGTCGCCCTGGCGTTTGTGGCACTCTATTGCTTCCTTCAACAACCGCTTTATTGGCAGAGCATTCAGTTCGGCTCCCCGCCCGTTGCTATTCGAGCTGGCATGATCGCCGTTGCTCTTACCCCCTGGATCATTGTGACGAGCATGAAGGCGAACGTCCTGTCCATGCTTATTGGTATCGGGCCTGAGCGTCTCAATGTCTTTCATCGATGGGCAGGCTACCTTTGCCTTTTCCTGTCCCTGGTCCATATGATCCCTTTCTACATTCAGCCAGTATGGGACGATGGTGGCATGGACGTCTTCTCGCGCCTCTTCCCCGGCGGAAGTGGCGTCATCTACGGCACCGGCATTGCATGTCTTGTCCCTCTTGTGTGGCTCTGCGTCGCATCTCTACCGTTCATCCGCCGCATCGCTTACGAGCTCTTTGTCATGCTCCACGTGCCTGTCGGCATGGCCTACGTTGGGCTCTTGTTCTGGCACACCAAGAACTATCTGGCGTCTTGGAACTATCTCTGGGCAACAGTCGGCATCTGGGCGTTCTGCTATTTTATCCGTCTGTTCAACCTCAATTGGACGAGGCCGTGGCGGTTGAGCTTCATGGTTGGTGATGAAGCCGCCATCAGCCTCCTTGCCGAAAACGCCATAAAAGTCACCATCCCAACTCAGATGCGGTGGCGGCCCGGCCAATATGTCTACCTGCGCATGCCAGGCGTGTCATTCTTTGACAATCACCCTTTCACCATCTCATCGCTCTGCAGCGACGATTTTCCTTCGGAGTACGGCGAGCAATACCGAGACTGCATTTTGGTCTTCAAGCCTTACGGTGGCTTCACCCGCAAGGTCCTCGACATGGCCATCGAGAAGGGACCATTCCACACCTACCGTGCCTTCTTGGATGGACCCTACGGGGGTATGCGCAGAGACCTTGCCGCCTTTGACACTTGCATTTTGATCGCAGGCGGAAGCGGCATCACGGCCTTGATGTCGCAATTACTTAATTTAATCAAGCGTATGCGTGATGGGAAGGCCATCACAAGGAAGGTGGTCGTGGTCTGGTCGCTCAAGAAACTTGAGGCTATGGATTGGTTCCGCGAAGAGCTTCGGATTTGCCGTGAATCTGCCCCTCCAGAGAGTGTCACTTGCAAGTTCTTCGTCACTTCAGCTGTCCGGAACCGGGGCATGGCAATCGAAGGTGCAGATCGCGGTGCCCCTCGAGCCTTGAGTCATCTTTTTCATGACAAGCTGGATGGTTTTGTTGCAGGCATCGCGTCGAAGCGCAACTCCGCGCTGATTCAGTCTGTGGCACAAGGCGACGTAGACCGCGAACAAGAGTTGCGTGCCGAGCAAGAGGATAGAATCACGGCGCTACCACAGCAAAAGTATCTGCAGCCTCACCAGTACCCTCCCCCTCCCCCGGGGCCGCCACCCTCAAGTCGGTACTCGGCCCATGAGCAGTCATTGCGGAATCTTGAGGGCCGCGATTATGATGATGAGGATAGAGACGCGAAAAAGCGCGAGTTCCACTTTCCTCCGATCAACACCAAAGGCGAGGTGCCACATTTCAACTATGCTCCGGCATCGCCTCGGAAGGTGCCAGAAACCAGTCCGCAGGACTCGGATGTCCCTGTACGGCCACCTGAATTAGCACATTTAAGGACTACCAACCTCCCTGGAGCCGGCCAACCTCGTCCGACCAGCACATTTGGCCCGCCCTCAGGCTTCGACTTTGGCTTCCCCGAGACCCCAACCGAGTTCCAAAAGAGTCTGATGCGCTTCGCTTTCCCCGTACCGCATCAGATCGATGGCGGTTGGTCTGTCGAATATGGCCGACCAGACCTAGGCTACATGCTCAAGGAGTGGGCGACTGGAGGCGCCGATGGAAGAGGAATCCTTGGCCGTCGGACGGCCGTGTTTGTGTGCGGACCCCCCGCCATGCGCGTTGGTGTCGCGAATACTGTCGCGCGCCTGCAAGCGGCGATTTGGGGCGACGACATGTTGGAGGAGATTTATCTACATACTGAGAACTACGCCCTTTGAGGCATGAACGAGGGCCTGTATTTGTAATGACTGGATGGAAATACCTGGCGTTCGATACCACGGGTGATGGTTGTTGCTTTTTAATGAAGAAATTCCATAATATCGAGCATTTCTGGCAGAGCTTTCCATGACTTCGTCGCTTTTTCCCCGCGTCATCATCTGAAAAGGGGGTGGGTCCGCATATACTCAAGTTAGGTTTTCAAGACCGCAGGAGTCTCTTCTGGTAGACCAAGGAGGTGACAGGATCACCCCATCTTCTTCTCCATATTCTATCAAAGTTCGAATCACTGACAAGAACAGCATACTTATCGCCACTTCGGTCCCAACCCAAGTCTTGCATTATCTTAATGGGCCTCTGCCAAGACGGTCTTTGGCCATAGAAACGCGGAAGTGCGAGCCATCGTACGTGTAAAGCGACATGCTGAGACCCGGCGAAGGGTCTGATTACAAACCATCAATTAGTTGATGCTCTAGGTGTGTTGAAAAGATACTTTATTCTGCTGCTCACCTTGGACACTGCGGTACTCAGTGGTAGTATCTCCAGTACGGGTGGTGTTCCATCTGCCCGTCCTCTTCATAATCGATCACGACACCTTGGGGTGGCTTCCCAAACTCCCGGTTCCGACGCCGGTTCTCCCTGATGTTGGCGACGGTCACGAAAGCGGCGCCGACGGCGGTCCAGCAGGTGGCGCCTAATAGCGTCCAGAACCCCTTCCTGTAGGCTGGCGCGTCGGTCAACGGGAAAAGGTAGCCCGTGGCTATGCCCATGGTGCTTCCGAACGACTGGTACAACCCGGAGGCGATGCCCTTCTTGATATCGCCGCAACAGTTACTCGTGATGTTGCCGACGGTGAGCGTCACGCCGGACAGGATGCCCGAGGTGATCAGGAAGGTGGCGCCGTACCGAGCGGCCGCCGCCGTGTGCGGCAGGACGGCGAGCAGGAGGTCCCCGACAGCGGCTACGGCGGAGGTGGTCACCAGAAGGCCCGAACAGGACCCGAGTCGGTCGCTGGCGTAGCCGACGACGAAGACCATGACAACGGCGACGCAGTAAGGCGGCGCCGTCATGAGCTGGGCGCGGACGTGGTCGTAGCCGAACGTGGAGACGATGAGGGGCGTGAAGGTGGCGATGGTGTACGTTTGGAGCACCTGGCTCATGAATATGGAGATGTTGAGCCACATCCGCCAGTCGCGGAGCTGGCGCCAGGTGTACCGCCAGTTGACCCGGCCGTGGGTGCGGTTCCCGTCCCGCATCATGCACCAGGTGGCGACGTCGCGCTCCCGCGGGGTGAGCCATCGGGTGTTGTGCGGGCGGTCAGGGAGGACCCAGATGCATAGGACGCCGAAAGCGATGGTGATGAGGCCCTCGATGAGGAAGAGGGCCTGCCAGTGCTTGACGCGCGGGTTGGGTATGTTGGCGACCCCGTACGAGACCCAGCCGCCGAACGCGCCGGCGAGGGGCGTCGCTGCAAGGTAGATGCTGATCCGACGTCCCCATTCCTGGTTACAAGTCAGTTTTTGGTCTGGAAAGTCATATGGGGTGGTATAACGCACCGCTCGGGGGTAGAGCACAGTCGTCAGGTAGGGTGCTCCCGTTATAAAGGCCGCTTCGAAGACGCCCAGGAAGAACCTGATGGCGTACATTCCCTGCGGACTCCCGGCCACCGCTTGAAGCGCTGCAAAACCTCCCCAGATGATCTGGAAAGGACCGTCAGTACACATTGTTACCACGCCCGCGGCTCTAGCTGTCCCGTTGTAGGTCCCAGGGGAGAAGGAAGGAAAAGCCCACCATGGCCGTGGCCAGATACAGCGAAGGGCGGATGTACCGCATGCCGATGCTAGTGAACAGGTCTGCGATGCAGGTGCCCACGAAGAACATGCTCACGGCGAGCGAGAACTGCCGGCTGGAGAAGCCGAGGTCCTCCCGGATGCCCATCAGCGCGGCGTTCCCCAGGGCCCCGCGGTCCAGCCAGGTGAACATGTAGAGCACGAGGAGGAACGGCGGGAGGCGCATGTCAATCTTGCGCCTCACCCGCCGCGCCTCCTCGGGCGTAACCGGCGGGTCGAGGTTGTTCATGCGCGCCACGATGTCATCGACGTCGTCGTCGCTGTCGGCCACCTTTGGGTTACACGGGGGCGCCTCGCTGCTTTCCTCGACCGATGGTACGTCCTTGACTCTGTCGTCAGCCGCCGGAGCTTTCCTTGGATTAGCCATGCTGCCCGGGGCTCTCGCTTTTTGGGGCTTCCGAGTCTCGTCGTTGAAGGAGGAAGGTGAGGGGGGGGTTGAATCACGATGACGGCCGATACGATGTGGATGGTGCCCCAGAGACGACCGGCCGCGGGTTGCTGAACGTGTGTGTAGAGCAACGACGAAGAAGTTCTGCGAGCGGCCGATCACGACTTATATTCGGGAACAAGTTTTCCCTTTGGTGATGGGACGAAAGTCGAAACTCTAATAAATGAGGTTCCGTCGACCGGTAGGTATTTCCCCTCCCAGTACATGAAAACAATATGCACAGTAACACGTCCCCCAACGCATTTCCCCTCAGCCATGAGTTCATTACTCGTCGATCGGTCCGATTGCAACCTGGCCCGTTCTCTCTCGCTCATCGTCAAAGAGGCCTAATTGCGTAGTAATCACATGCGAGTTCTGGCTAAACCAGGCAGGTGGGTGATACTCTTTCTTTTTCATACTTGTTTTGGGGTTACATTGACCAGTTTAGTAGGGAGTAGCTTTGCGATCTAATGAAAGCAATTGAAAGTCTCGTGCACGCATGCTGTTCGGCAACCCTTATCGAGTACGAGTTGTTATCAACTTATATATTCTGTGGCGCATATAAAGGTGTTCCGTCACGACCCAACCAGGCCAATTGGTGGGTTGCTTTTGTTGATAATTACAAAGTCGCGCCGTCGGATCTAGGTTCCTGTCTATCACTCTAACAGCACCAGCCTATCTCTGTCTCTGGTAAGGGCGGCCAAGTTGACGTAAATCAACTTCTAAGCCCCAGCAGCAACAGATAATGTATTATAGTTCGAGAGAAGTAAAAAGAGGGCGCAAAAGAATTAGAGGGGGAAAGCTACAGAATACGGCCGGGAAGCCCTTTAGCTGAATATTGTAGCTTTGATACGCCACCTAGCATATTCGCTAATCTCAGTGAGACCGACTAGTCACTGCTAAACCGACTACCTCGCTCGAGCCCCCGTTTCCTCAACCCTGGCCTCACCGTGGGTCGGCCTTATAGCAGTACTCATGTCCCAGAACTTGCTTTCATGCAGCGACATAACGCCGGGCCTACTGGGTGATCTTGCTCTCTCGCTGTTTGATGACGTTGTCCTCCGCATGCGAAGGCCGGACCAGACGTATCTCGGCATAGGCCGGCGCCGGATAGGACGGCCTCAACTGGCTGGTGATATACCATACTGTATGAGTCCGGAACGGCGTCACATGGGTTTATTGCTTGTACCTCTTCTTGAGCTCACCGCGCTCCTTAACTAGGTCTGACATCTTGCTGCCCACCTCGGACCCGAGGGCATTGAATCCTTGTACAATCCCGTCGCGGTCCCCCTCGCCTGACTCCTGGCTCATCTTGAACTTGCCCTGCAGCCTGTCTATAGTGATTTCAATACCAATGATCGCCTTTTTCATAAGCTCAATGTATTTCTCAGGAGCATCCGCCACTTCCCACGGTCCGGGGCGGCCATCTTTGCCCGTGTACCCCATAACCGACGTCTCTCCATGCTGCGAGAGCTCGTGAATCTGACGAGTCAAAAAGGCGGATGTTTCCTCTGACTTGGGTTCGTAATAGATCTTGGCGCGCCCGTATGCCTGCACTGCGGCGTAGTTCCAGGTCGGTACGACTTTTCCCGTTGTTGGCTTGGTGTCGGTGTAGAACTTCGGTGTTACATAGTGATGCGTCGGTGCCGTGAAGAGAACTAGTACTTCCTGATCAAGCACGTTACCGGTCCCGGTTCGGTTGTCGGCCGATAACGACTCGATGATTGTCTTGCTTTGGGGGTTTGCCCGCGCCATGTGTCCTCTCAGGATGCCGAGCTCAGTTTCGCTAGAGTCATCTTGCACATCCAGAACCCAGGGGATGTGGCTGGATTGGATGAAAGGTTCGGAAGTAGAGTGGATGGCCGTTGTCAGAACGCCGAGGGGGTCGTCCTTGATGAGCTGGCGAAGAGCTGGGATGCTGTTTTCTGCGTGGTCTGCGCGGAGATACATGTTTCTTTCAAGTGACAGGCGATGCTCGTTGTTGGTGTTTTATTTGTTCCTTGATTAGGTTCAAATGTTGAAGTTCTGCGACTAGCTTACGTCTGAGTCGACGGTGCGGATTGCGTCGGCCTGCCGGGTTTATAGAACCGGGTGTGACTAATGGACTAGAGATATGTATCTGGAAGGGCGCGCGATCCACTAGTGGTTCCCGATAATTACATATCAAGTCTGGAGGCAATTCCCATTATCCAAGTGCCATTTCAAATGCGTGATTTTGAATATTGATACCAATACCATAGTCGCATTCCAGGTTGGCCTTGTCATTGATTTTGTTCTATCTCGGCCAGTAATAATGCTGGCTTCTAGGCGCCCATTTACTCTAAACAAATGACATGGATTGATACATGACAGCGAACAACCCTTCAGAAGACAATGTAAGAACTCAAGTCTATTGGCAGTGGATTGAAACTACATCTTATCGTGCGAATATTGTAAGTAACAACACCTGGGCCCCATCTCGCGCATTCCCGACCCTCAGATGCTAGATCGCTAAGGACCTCATAAGAGTGGAAAATCCGGTCTTATTGTTGCTGCTGCTGGTCTGTGTCTGTGATCATTCAATGCGTAGCTAGTAGAATGAAGACTCCTGGGTCTGTCATTTTAGGCGCCAACAACTCGTCCACCCCATATTTTAATATCAATGTTCTGATACAATATCGATGGATATAGTCGCTGTTAAACCACTGTAAGTAATCTACTGCAGCTCACCTGGTATATATGAAATATCACGATGCGTCAAAATCCGATACGCAGCACCTCTGGCCTGTGCCTTTTGATACAATATTCCAAGTTGAACTTGACATATTACGGAGACTGAACGGTTCATGTCACCGTTTAGATCTTTTGTGCTTTTTCTTGTTTTATGGAGTCACAACATCTGATCCATGGTAGATCAAGGAGACAACTTGCGAGCAGTCTTCTATGAACGTCTCAAACGTCCTCTTTGAGACTTTCACTGGCTACGTCAGTCGGATTTACGGCAACGCCATTGCCCAACTGAAGTGCTCGACGAATTCGGAAGCTGTCTGCCACAACATCAGGTTCAAGAACTTTGACGTCTCTTCGCCCTATGCTGGTGACCCCGTGATGACTTGTGACGGCATCGATGCTGGCATCAACATGCCCTGTGGGTGTCGACAGCGATGGAGCCAAGACTGCCCAGGCGGCCAAATGCCGAACTTATCTTGCCCCGATCACCGAGAAACCGTAGTATAGAGCATAATATGATCTATTTTGAGTTGGAGTTTTTGTATTCGGTTAGACCCGGGCATTCATTTCTGGTTTGAAATCATTAATTAGGCATTAAACTAAGTCTATCTACGTCAAAAGAAAGGCCATGCTTGCGAGGGAACGCCATGCTAAATGTGGCAGAAAGAATTTCAAGCCACCTATTCGTCTGCCGCACAGCTTGCGTTCTTCTTGGTTCCGACAGCGGTGATGGTGTTGACTGGGAATATGATGCTCATGTTTGTAACAGGAAGAAAGTCGGTACCGGCGGTAGCGTTCCAGGTCAGGGAGTCGTCAAGATTCTTATAAATATGTGAAACACCGAGATACTGGCGATCACGATCCGCGCCTGCAGTCCATATAGAGAAGACCTGGGAGTCCTCGGAAATAGGGCTGTTGTCGGGGTTGCGGCAGGGCACCCAACCCTGCTGGATGTAAATGGGGCTGCAGACGACATTGAATCCGGGAGCGCCAGAGGTGTAGCCTTCTGGAGCGCTGATATTGAAACGAGCGCTGCACCCGCCGGGTGAGCAGCCCCAAATGTAGTTCTCTGCAGTCCATGTAACGTTGGCTTGGCGACGTTCGACGACGGCGGCATTCCTAGTTGCGCCCCACCGGATGTTAACGGCAGCGGCCGAGGTACAACAGACAACGGCGGAGATGATGGCAAGGAAGCGAGCGGCGTGCATGTTGGCGAGTTCTGGGGGTAACAATACTTTGTCAGGAAAGGTTTGGACTGTGAGTGATGCAAGGTTTACAAGAAGATGAATTGGCTTGCAGGTGCGGGCAAGCTTGCTTTTGAAGGACGAGATGGCGGAATGTTCTGTGGAACCACAAAATGTTTGCGTTTGAGTGTCGTAACCAATGCGGCTTGTCACGAAACGAAATCGTGTGAGACCCTACAAAGTGGAGAATCTCTTCCCTCGGTGTGTACACAAGCGATCTTCACCCCTAGAAAGGCCGAAGCCCAAGCATTGCGGCATCGGCACGATGAACGACGAGACGGAGATGTGGGCATGGAAGATCCCCATGCTACCATGCCGATCCTTCGGAGCACTGGCGGTGAATTACCATGTGGTCCGCGCAAACCTCGTATCCATAACAGAAAGTCTCACTAGTGATGTCACCGGCAACGTTTGCTCTCGCTAGGTTCCGGTTCACGCTAGTGCAGTAGGTAGCCCCAGTGAGCCGAAAAACGCAGATTCTCACCGGACTCGGTTCCGACTGGACTGAATTCGGGCAGATGCAATCGACCAAAGTTCTGTGTGACAAAAAGCAAGAAGAAAAAGAACACTTACGAGCGCACACATAAGCTCTAGGACACGCATAGACCAGGCGACAGTGTCACACTGGAGGCTATTAAGAGAGGCGTTTGAACGGCTGATGGCCGTGAATCAAGTGGCCGCTCCAAGTGTCCCTCGGGTAAGCAGAGACGGCCCGACTCGAGTTAGTGAGAAAACGCGCAAGCTATTTCACCTACTTGGGGTGCATTTTCGGGGCTTCTACGATGCCTGCCGACGTCTTTTACCAGTTTGCAGTGTTTGCAATGTTTGATGGCGTTTCAAGTAAGACTCCATGTAATATCACTTGGTAGGCCGAGAACTGAAGTACCAAAACCGGAAGGGAGTACAAGTGGCGTAAAGTCGTTGCGAATCAATGGTCATGTTGCCTATCTATCAGGGGCTGAGCACTCTCCACGACCTGTAAGAGGAGGCAGACTTCCGACCTAGAGAGAACAGTGTAGCAATGGTTCGACGAGCATCTATTTGAAGTCTTCCTTGCTTCGGTATGTCTGTCGGAAGTTGTTCCGGATGATGATTTCTGCAAACGGTGTTATCTAGCGAAATCGACACGGCAAGTATCCCATTGAGTGCCAGGTGACCTCACATATCCTCTGGCCAATAAGAGTACCACAATCCAGGCTGACTGTCCAATAGCTATCAGTAATTACTTGTGGAGACCCACTTTTTGGTTATGTGAGGTCACTTGGCACTCAATGGGATATCTCATTTGCCGGTCAAAATTGCCTGATTCGGCCCCGTGGGGCCGGTTCTCGGGCAGTCCACTCGGAATTGCACCGGATTACACGTTCCAACTCCAATGCGCCGAACTAGTCTGCTTGTCACAACTGCCACTCAGGATTCATTTGGCCAAATCTGATTTACATACCTAATTTCCATCAACGGTACAAATTGGTGCAGGTCGTCTTCGCTCTGCAAGCACATCATCTTCCTATTTGAATCCTATGACTGTAATACTATCACAAGTTAGAGCGCATAGCAGGGCATATAAGAATAGTAGTAAGAAAGATTTGTTCCTCTAGAAGAAGTAACATAAAGACAGGATTCTATGTATACATAAGCAATACAAGTAATAAAACACTGTATAATATAGCACATAATATGCTACCCAGCAGGTGCTATATGAAGCTTTGGTAACAGATTCGTAGTGACCTGATTTCTGTAGCTTAATAACTTTATTCTTAGTCCGCTTATACCATGTTCTCTTTTTGTCTATAGGTCTTTGGCTTCAGACGTTATTTCAATTAAAACCTTGCACCACCGCTCGGCATCCTCTTCACGTCCGGTTAGACGACATCCGGTTATGAGCTCCCTAAGGGCTCTTATGGATGGAAGACTCCCCGACTGAAAGTGCTTTTCTGCATGCTTGTATGCCTTGTATTAGTATTCAAGTGACTCGGCATCCCATTTAGTGCCGCACTCGGAGTGAAGATTCGCCATGAGATAGTAATAACAAAACTCCATTATGAGCCAATGGCTGCCGGAGCTCTTATCACCGTCTTGGACAAGAGCAAAAGCCCTGGTCAACGCGTATCTGGCTGGCTCGTACTGTCCTGCTGTACACTGAAACCCGGCCAGCTTCAAGAACCATTGACAGGACCTCAGCGAGTCTCCTTCTGCAAGGTATGTTTCGGCGGCAGTTGCATACTTGGATAGGACCATGCGAAACTCTTTGCCGTCCGTCTCGCGGAAGCTATAAAGAACACTGGTCATCGAGGTGACTGCCGAATAAACCGCTCCGTTCTGGATCCCCAGCCGAGTCTCGAGAAACTGCGCGCTGTCGAAGGCCACCATACTGATGGTCCGCGCGCGGCAAACCCACAACATATGCCTGAGCTTGTTCCATACGAGACTGAGGGGGTGCTGCGGACCCAACACCACCCCGTGCATCTGGGAGATGGAGACGGTCAGGAGCTTGTCCATATCGTCGTCCAGCTGCAAGGTGCAGCCGGATAACATGTAAAAGATTTCCGGGTCTTGGCTTTTGATCATGCGCCCCATTGAGTCGAGACTTTGGTTTATGATGCGGAATGCGGCCTGCAATTTGTTTTGCTTCAGGAGCGTTATCGCGTTGACTAGATCGACTTGCATCTTGTTGACGCGACTTTTGCCGCATTTCCGGTCGTAACCATGCAAGTCGTCTCCCTGTACCGTCACACAGTCTCCAACGCCCCCTGGACGTAGTTTCTGAAAATGCGCAATATTTCGTCCGGCAGCCGCATCTCTGGAGGCCCATCCAGAAAAGGAGACATGGAAGGGCCTGGTGATGGTGTTCGGCAGGTGATGTCAAGGCGAGCAGCTATCGGACCTCGAGCGAAGCCGCGGAACTTATTGCGTAAGTCGGGGCGCCGGTTCAAGTACTGCTTCAGCCTTGCCCAACAGACTTCCTGGTTGCGGATGGAAAACCTCGACTTCTTCCCTACCGCGTCCCGTTCCTGCTTGAGCCGAAGTATGTGCAAGACTCGGCCTCTTTGAACTTCTTGTCGAGCCCCCAGCTCTTGATTCGGGTCTTGAACATTCTTTCGCTTGCCATTTCATCAACCATGCGAACACCCATGTAACAAGCAGGAGGCAAGACTTACGTGGCGAACAGGTTGTAATCGCGTTCCATGATCTGCTTAACTTGCTTCAAAGACTTGTTCTTATCTCGATAGAGTCTCGTTATGATAGATCGATGGCAATTCCAAATATCATCTGTGGCGAAAGGCTTCCCTATGATGAGGGGCACGCTTATGTCGTACGAGATGTCCATGGTTGGATTAAGTTGAGCTGATGTTGGAGTTTGGATGGCCAAGTAGAGAGAAAAAAGTGATGAGAATTGGGGATTATCAGGATGCATAAGGGGTTTAATATTGCTGAGCTTGAGGCATCTCGCCGGCCCTCGTGAATGTGCAAGTTGGAGCTGCTTTCCGCGCCGCGTCAGGCAGATGTGCCTGCACATCTCATTGGCTCAGCACAGAAGTACTTCGCAGAGACCAGAAAACCAGGTACGGCGCGTCAGTGCCCAATCCGCAGTCAAGCTGCAGCTCTGGTTTCCATGACGCCGGGCTCTCTTCGCTATTGCGTGTTCGGCTCTAGGGTGGTCAGCAGGACCCCCCAGTTGGGTTATGACTTATGAGAAGGCTGGGGCCACGAAAAGACCGAGCAGCTGGGCATGGGAAGGAAGCAAGGTGAAAAAAGGATAATGGCTAATACTCCCAGCCTTTCCAGTCTTAATGTCGTCTTCCACTCCGCTGTTTTACAGCGCGTAATGTGTTGTTCCATTGAAACTAGATGGCCAAGCATTATACCGACTGTGCAAGTGGTCTGGAAAAAGTCCCCGGCAGCTACTTCACCAGTCCGTGTGCCAGCTATCAAACAAATCAGCGGGCGGGTGCCCGCCGGCGTACCCGTACGAGCTGCCGCCATCGTACCGATGCCGGAACAGGTCCGTGAACTCGGCCCACGTCATACCGGCCCCTCCACGCCGGACATCCTCCTGGTCACCGACCCCGAAACCGGTGCTGGTGCCGGTGCTGGTGCCGGTACCAAAACCGTACTGTTCTCTGCCAGAGAATTCGCCCGGCGACCCAAACACTCCTTCGAAGCTCGTACCTCTTCCGCCGCCGAAGAACCCGGGGCCGCCGGAACCCCCGGCCCCGGCCCCGAACAATCCTCCCCCTCCGGCATCCCCGCGCCTCCGACCTTCGGCGGCGCCAAAGACGCCGCCAAACAGATCGTCAAAGCGCGTTTCCTCGCCATCTCCGAGGTTCTGCGGTCCCGGCCCGCCCCCCATCCCGGGGCCCCCAGCCCAATAACCGCCGCCGCTCCTCTCCTGCCGTCTCCTCTCCTGCGCCCCTCTCAAAGCCTCTAGAAACACTCGTCCCCATTCTTCCTCGGACCAGGCGCCTCTAGCAGAGGACCCCGATTCGTCTAGCCCGCCGCCGAAAGGACTAGAAGACCAATACCCCGGCGTCCGCTGGTGGTCCCGCTGACGTTGCTGCTCGTTGCGGAGGTTCTCCTCGTAAAACCGGCCGGTGCCAAAGTACACCCCTTCAGACCCGCCTCCGCCACCGCTGGCAGGGCCGTCCCGCTCCCTGCGCCTCTGCCGACTCCCCGTCGGAGGCTGGCCCTGGTGCCCGGGGCTGTTCCGGGCCGAGCTGGCTTCCGAGTAGCCGTCGAAAGTGTATGCCATCGTGCGTATGGTACGTCTGTCTCTCGTCGTCGCTGCTGTGGTCGAATTGCTGTGTGGCGTCGCTGGTTTGTAAGCGTGCTTTGGGTCTGGTCTGCCCTGTTGTGCAAAATGAGTTCTTGTCGGCCATGGATGTTTTGTTTTATAGTGCTTGCCACAGGTAGCACGAGCAGAATGATTCACAACTCCTTCCTGGTTTAAGCAAGTGAATGTGAAAGCATGTTTTTGGCATCCGGGTTTTGATTGCTGACAGCAAACAGAGCAAATGATTCACCGAGGAGAAGGCATACGCATTACAAAATCAGTCGGCATCACTGTAACAACTGGCATTTGGCTGCAAGCGCAACGATTTGCGCTTGCTGCGCGTCTTATATACCAGCTTCAAAGCACTTTGCCCCGTCGAAATTAATCCAGCTTCTCCTTCTCCGTATCGAAACCCGTATCGAAAGGAAAGAAAGCCCGGGGCATATGTTTGTTTACCTGCTTTGATAGGTAAAGCCGGGTATAATAGAAAACATACATTACAGGTATCATAGGTCCGGTGTACGTATGGTCGCTCCCATAGACAACGCCGCGCAGAAAAAGCAAGCAAGAAAATGGGGTAATTATGTCGTGGATGTGTTTGTCTCGTTGCGCAAAGAAACGGGTCCTTGGAAGCCGGCGGATGGCCTGACGTTCTGCATCTCCATGCTCTGGGCATCGTGCTTGGGCTGGTCGCGGAAGGCGCCGAGGCGCTGGTCCCCAGCGCTGTATCTCTTCTTGAATTGATAGTACGTGGGGGGCCTCGGCCGGCATAAAACGACGACCCAGTTCTTGAGCATGCTCCCTTGGGTAAAAGCCCGGAAGCGTTCCTTCTTGATGAACTTGTGGGAGTTGATGTACTCTCGTGTCGTTTCGCCTCGCGCCATGAGGAAAATGTGATAGCCCATGAGGGCAGCAGGGTAGAGGAATGCGAGCAAGCCATAAATAACCATTGCAAAAGGCACGCGGAAGTCGTCAACGGATTGGCTGAAGGAGATGCCAGACCGGTTCTGGTGGGCAATGATCTGGCCAAGGGAGGCGCCAAAGAGATAAAGGGAGAGGAATGTGGCCGAGGACACAAAGACAAAGAAATAGCGATAGTTGCGACGTCCAACGCAGTTGTTGAGCCAGACGCAGTGGTGGTCGTGGGTCTCGATACAGTTGTCGCAGAGGCGACAGTGATGAGCACGGGGAGGTCGCCAGATGTTGCATGTCCTACAATGCTTGACCGGGACCTCCATTGCAGCTGTCGATGACTCGGCCGACTTGATCAGCGTCCAGTCGTTAGTCGGCGGGCCAAGTCGGAGAGGATCGTCGGTTGGTTCGACAGGAGGAAAGGCGTGAAGATTCCGAGGCAGAATCTAGAAACCGTTAGCAGTGATATTACCAAAGGAAGGATTTACGACTTACACCAGGGTCTGACACGGAAGCATGGAGGAAGGAAGAGATGCAAATGTAGAATAAGTAGGCGAAAGTAAGCGGAATGGCAGGGCTAACGTTGTTCCATAACCAAGGCGCAGAGAAGATGAAGAAGAGGACGGCCGGAATGACGATGAACAAGCCAGTGGCCACGTTGACAGGTCTATGTTTAGTGTTCTGGAATCGACCGCCCATGCAGAAAACCGTGTTGCCCTCGAAATACTGGAAAACATAGCCGAGGTTGGACTTGGACTTGTTCAAGCTGTTGCTGTTAGCAGGCCCGGTCGGGTGGGTCGGGTTGAGCTGAGGGGTCGAGGCAGTGGACGAGAGCTTCTCTCCACCAGGCAGGCTCCGGTTTGACTTGGTCTGGCTCTGGTCACCACGTATCGGCAAAAGAAAGCTTGAGCGGAACGATCGCGGGGACTTGGCGGAGCCGGGTTGGCTGCCCCGTTCTTTGAAGCCTCTATCAACATTGACGCTCAGGTTTCGGCTGTTACGCTGGTTTTGGTGTAACGGGGTGACGCTCTCGGACACGCTACCGGCGGCGTAGTGGCCGTGGGTTGGACTCGTATTTGCGGTGATTCGGTCGTACGTTCCCTGCTCAGTGTACTCGGTCCCGCGGGATGGGGGCGGGCGCAATTCGCTGTCCTCGGTGAGCTGCCGCTGGAGACGGGCGACAGGGTTTGAAACGGGGTTGGAGATGACGCTGTGCCGAGTGTTCGGGCCGCCGCTGGCGACAGCGGCGGCCGCTGCGTCACTCTGACGGGGTTCAGGCTCGACGTCGTCCAATTTGGGCTGCTGACGAGTTACGGGGCGAGAACCGCCACGCTGGGCCTGCAGCTTCTGGGAACTCATGGGACGAAAGAAGGCGGAAGATGTGAGAGAGGGCACATGGCTGCGGCCGGTCGAGCTCGGCGGCCGGCTGGTGACGGAGCCAGCAGTGCTGCCGGCCCCAGTGCTTCGCCTCTTGTCGTGGAGACTGGTGATGTAATTCATCCGTGAGGGTGGGCCTCGTCGGCGGCCTTCCAAGGGTCCGCTGGTCCCCGTCTTGGCGGTTCCTGGCCGAGAGATGGAGTCCATGGCGGATTTGCTTCGAGGGTTGTTCTCGGAAGGGGCCTGCGCTGCAGCTTCCCCCTCATCGTCGGATGCTATATCGGTCATTCGCGACGAGATGATACTCGGCGGGCCAGGTCGGTCGGAGCGCCCAGTAAACCGTGGTTTCGAAAAGGCGTCATTGCCGGTCGGAGCGTTGGCACCACCGGCCTGGTCTTTGGAGGTCATGATTGGGGCGCTGCTGTCGAAGAGACGGCGGCGCGATGGTTCTTTGGATATCCAGGATTTCCAGCACTATAACATGTCGCTGCTGGCGCTATAACCCAAGAACTATCGTAAGGTTGGGAGAAAAGAATTCGGTTCGGGTTCGAGGAGGTCCTGTCGAGAAATAGCGTGATCGGTCGTCCGGTCGGACGCTTTGACGATGATGTTGTGATTATGTCGCGCGGGGTGCGATGGGGGCTCGGGCGAGTCGGCAAGTCGGCTGGTGAAGGAAGGTTTTGAAAAAGCTGAAGCGCAAAGGTCGGTGGTGAGAGTCGGTATCGGAAGGTCGAGTGGAGGAATAAGGAAAAGGGCCCGTGGATTAAGGCAGAGGGAGCGGATGGGTGGGTGGATGGACGGATGATTATTCGTATGGTAATGAAGTCGTACTGAGTAGAGAGAGAGACGGAGAAATGAAGGCTGACTGGGATGGGCGGACAAGCCGTAAGTGACAATGAACGAAGAGAAGAGAAAAGGCTGACCAAAAGTGAGGATCCTGTCTTTCTTGCCTTGGTGTTCCTTTTGCGAGAACCAAAAGTGACCTAGGGAAAAGGCATGGGGGTGGTCTGCGACGGGGGCGAGGATTGGAGCGCAGGATTACAGTTGCAAGAGTGGGCAATCTGGACGACTTGCCTGAGAGGGGGCAGGGGCGACCATTGACGACCTAACCCAACTGTCTGTGCATTGTGCATAATTTGGGGTAAGAATGTGCATAATCTTCTGAAAGAAGCTAGCTCCCTCGCTTAGCATTCTAGATGCCGTCGACTCACTGCTAACAGATTTCCACCCAGCATGCACATATACAAGTTAGTGAGTGCGCTCGAGCCCCTCTTCTAGTGGCATGGCCGGCCTTTTTATGCAGTACGGAACCGGCTAGACCGGGTTTGTTTGATTAATTTACCAGATTGGGGGGCCTTGACTTGGAATTGGCACGGCAGCAACGGGCAGCAACAGACCAACAACGCGCCGCGCCCACGGTTGGCTGCAATGAATGCCATGCAAGATGAAGGGGAGAAGAAGATTTTCTCTCCTGGACGCCGCCAGACGAGTCGTCCAGCTAAACATAATTCTGGTTACAAAGCACAAAAGGGCGCACAGACTGGCAGTCCTCCTAGCCTCCGATGCGACTCAGCACGCGGTAGCCTCACGATGTTTGTTGACCTTCATGGTCAACGACATACAAAGAATGCTCAACCGCTGTTTTTGTCTCGCTGGGGCTACCTATCTAGGTAGCTTAGGCGGTTTATGTTCAGTGTAGGAACGCGTCGTGTGCCCTGGTCCAGCCGCAACGCTTCGTGGTTCCCGCAATGATGCTGGGTTGGTCCTTCCTCGCTCCTATCCATGCCACACTAATTTTACCATGGAATGCTTGTACCGGCAGCACCGGTTGACGAATCATCCATCATCTGGATTATGCCAAAAAAAAAAAAAAAAAAAAAAGAAAAAAAAAAGTATAGACGCCAACATCCCATAGATTCGCGCTATCTGTCTCCTCTTTATGCCATACCTTTTACTGCATGGTCTATCCTGTTCGTGTTCTTCCCATAACAAACCCCTGATAATAACGACATCTGCACGTCTCGAAGACTGCCCCGCGCTCGCGAATCTCTTGATATATTTTGAACAAATCTCAACGGCACGTATAGTTTAATTCAAGAACACACAGCCACACAATGCGTTGATGGGATCTTCGCCGGAAAAATGCATCTACTAGTTTGTTCATAACGCCATCCATGAGAGCATGAGCGGGATAGACTCGAGGGTGCACCCTCCTTCATTCCAAGGCGTCAGGGGTTTGCTAACCAGTCTTGAACTTGCTGCTGCTCCTGACGTGCCTTCCATTTATGTAGGCACTGGCATCAAGATGTGCTGCTGATCCCGACATGTGATCCCCAGCACCTACGCCAACCATGAAGTGCAGCATTGTCACTTCCTTGAGGCCTTGAGGTTCTTGTCGTCGTAATACGCGCCAGAAGGGCAAGTTACAACTCAAGTCGTAGCAAAGCTGTGCCATTCTTAAAACCTCTGTTTGTTGAAAGGTACAATTACAGACCGTAGCCATGGGTACACACATTTTATTCATATCCAGGACCTGAGACTACGCATCATCAGGACTTATCACCGTAGACCTAACGATACTCGCCCGAAAAGATGCCGCCATTAACTTGGAACCCCTAGACTGCGAAATCGTCCCGGCAATGCGCCGTAGCCAATTGAAGACCAAAGCTGCGGGAATCCTACGTGTCGAATCATTATACGGAGATCTTTCGACACAGCCAGGGCAATCGTCCAGATGCTAGAAGACGCACGGATGAAGATAGATACGCCGGGTAGCTTCCCAAGACCGCTTAGCCACATAAAAATGCAACAAAACGCTGCAGTATGAGGTAATGCCCACATCACTGCGGATTGACCAATCACAGATGCCCGTCAGACCGGCCAATCGTTTCTCCCGCTTTTCGACCTTGATCCTGTGTCCGACCGAACGAACCTGAAGCTCCGAAATCATACGACAGCCCGAACCTCACATCACAACATCCGCTTCCCACCCCGTCAAAACCACCGCAACAATGGCCTCCTTCGTCACCCGCCGCGCCTTCTCTACCACGGTTCGCCGCTTGGCCCAGGTTGATGCTCAGTCCAAGCAGCAGCTCACCCAGGAGTCCAAGCGCAACCCCGAACTCATCGTGCGTGATATCCCGTCTCTCCTCCCATTCAGCCGAAACCCGGGTGTCATCGCCAACAGCCCTCCGTCCACCCACGGGTTCCTCTCTCTCACTGCGTAGCCGGGATTCGGAGCCAGCCGAGATTCAGACATGCGACTGGCCTACGAAATACCGATTTGCGCAACAAGATGGACAATTGGAGGAACTGTGGCGGCCTTTTGCGCAAGAGGGTTGAAAACAACAGGAGGCTAATTGAATTTTCATCATACAGATCCTCGGCGGTGTCATGGTTGCTGCCCTCGGCGGCGCCGGCCTCTACTTCGGTACGTCTTGACGAATCCCATCGGCGGCCCTCCCCCAACCCAACGCAGGCTAATGTCTTTTTTCCTCTCCCGCGCAGGCCGCTCCCCCACCTCCGCCACCTCTGAGAGCCCCGTCCTGAAGGCCGGTATGCCCTGGGAGACCGAAGGCGAGGGCAAGTACAAGTACCACCCCGGTGGTAACCCCAAGAACGAGCCTAAGGACGCTCCTAGCGCCGTCAACACCGTCATCATCCCTGATGTCACCCTCCCCAAGGTACGTTCACGATTCCTCTCTTCTACGCTCTTGGCTCCCCTGTTGGGATGCCGTCCGTGTTGGTCCAGCAACACGAGCAACATATCCCTCGGGATCTGCGGCAGAAGAGCGCTTTCCAGGCTGACCATGACACAGGAACTGCACGACAAGTACAACAAGTGGGGCAAGGAAGGCTACCCTTAAAGAACTAACGATACCTGTGTGTTGAGAAAGTGTTTTGGTGCGAGCAGCGCATCGGGCGAAAGGGTGGTTTTCATGTGTAGATAGAGGGAGAATTAAGAGTTTACCACAATTGCCACCTTTTGACGCCAGCCACCACAACTATCATGCCGGCGTCCAATTAATTGTCTAGCGGTCGTCAAACTTGGAAGTGTCCGACGGCCATTGAGAGGGAATGACGAGAGCAGTTGCTTTGCGTCGGTTTCATTGGCATGCAGTTAAATCATGAGGTTGCAAAAGGTACTCCCAAAAAATAAGAAAAAAAGACTGCAATGATTCCAGCATTGCCCACAACTCCACAACACCTCAGAGCCCGCGCCTCGCCATCTCTCTCCCTCTCTCTCTCTCTCTCTCTCGCGTCTCCATGCAAGGCTTACGAGGCGAGCTGCTCGATCTCATCCCCAGTGAAACCGAAAAGGTACAGCAGGTCCAGGAGGCTCTCACTGTTCAGCCTCGTGTCGGCCTCCATCTGCACCATCGGCTTCGCGTTCCAGGCAACGCCCAACCCTGCCGCCCCCATCATCAGGAGATCGTTGGCGCCGTCTCCGACGGCGACGACTTGCGACAGGTCGATGCCCTCCTTGCCGGCGATCTCGATCAGCAGGTCCCGCTTCCTCTCCTTACCTACGATGAGACCCTTGACCTCGCCCGTGAGCCTGCCGGCGTCGTCGACGACGACCTCATTGGCATGCGCGTAGTCGATGCCGAGCTCGCCGGCCAGCCAGCTCGTAAGAGGGAGGAAGCCACCGGACAGTACGGCGGTCTTGACGCCGAGGCGCTTCAGAGCCTTGATCAGGCGGGGCACACCCTTGGTCACGTCGAGGACGGGCCTCAGCTGCTCGAAGAAGGAGGCCGGGAGGCCCTTGAGGAGCTGCACGCGCTCACGGAAGGCGGCATCGAACTCGAGCTCGCCGAGCATGGCGCGGTGGGTAATGTCGGCGACGCGGGCGGCCAAGTCGGGCGGGTCCTTGATGGTGGCGGCGAGAAGGTCGATGACCTCCTGCGTGATGAGGGTGCTGTCCATGTCGAAGACGACCAGCCTCGGGTGGTGGCGCCACAGGGTGTCGGGCTGCAGGGCGACATCGACGCTCCACTCCCTCTCGAAGCGGTAGATGAGCTCGTGCCGCCGCAGGTCGGTCAGACTGAGGTAGGTCTGGCAGGGAGACGGGTCGAGGGTCAGCTCGACGACGCGCGGGTTGTCCTGGCTATCGAGGCAGCGGTGCGACGAGCTGTAGTCGGACTCGCCTTCGGGCAGAGGGAAGGTCGACATCAGGTGCAGGAACGAGGTCACGCACATGGGCGAGACGTAGGAGCCATACAGGTGGTCGAGCTTCTCGGGCTCCTGCGTCGGCGGCTCGAGCGGGAAGGACTCGGGGTCCTGCGTCGGCGCGAAGTTAGCCGGGAGGGACTCCTTGCCGCCGGAGTGCTCCGAGGTCGGCTTGGGGGGGGACGCGACGCGGCCGCCGCTCCGGGTAGCCGCCGCCGCCGCCGTGGCGCTCTCGCCGTTCGGTTTATAGAACAGCGTCGCGACCAGGCGGGACTGCTTCTTGCCCCCGGCGGGAGCGCAATTGGGGTGCGAGTAGCTGTGGTTCAGGCCGTGACGGATGGTGGGCGGGTTGTCTTCAGAAGGGATGCCATTGAACCCGGCATACTGCTTATAGCTATGAGCTTGCTGAGACGGCGAGACAGCCACTTTGCCGAGGTCCTCGACGACGGTGTCGATGCCAAAGCGACTCTCGGGGAGCTGCGGGGGCCGGTACTGCTGGTGCTCGCGCAGGAACGAGCTGGACCTCATGGACGAGGACAACTGAGGTCGCGGCGACGTCGCCGACCTGGCGGGGCTTGCGTCGGCCATGGCAGATACAATGTTTTGCGGCGCGGGAGAGGGGGGGAGGGGTCTCAAGCTAGGTGTGGACGGAGCAGGCTTAGGTCAGGGCGACGGGCGCAACAGGGACACGAGCAAGAGTCAGACAATGAGGGAGGGCGGGGGAGTAAGCCTGCAGCAGCAACACAGCTGTCAGCGACGGTAGCTGCGTCTTGGAAGGAGGGATGGCGCGGAGAGGTGAGGAAAGGTGAGGGGAAGGTGAAGAGGGAAAGGAGAGAAGAGAGGAACAGAAAGCTCGGAGCTGAGTCCTGGTGAAGGAAAGCTTAAAGACTTGGCGAGCCTGCAATCATGTTTCGTAGGCAAAAACATCGTTGAGGCACACGCACACTGGACGCGGCAGAGGCTGGTGCAGCAGCGCCCGCCCGCATTGAGAGCACTGTGAGTCTAACTGTGTAGGTAGTGCATCCCACCCCACTTGTCCGTCACTGGCCCGGAGCCGATTGTTGCCCACAGCCCCCCGTGTCCGTGTGGCTGCGCCGCGTTCCATTGGCTGTCGCTGGATCTGTCCAGCGGAAAGGTGGACTTCAAAGTCACGTGGTTACCCCTCTGAAAAAAATTTGATATGACGAGCTAAGGTGCTCATTACATCACTCTCGGAGCCCCGAACACGTGAGACGTTGGCGAACATGAGATGTCACTCTCCCCCGGGGCGGGATCTGCGGGGACACACACCATCAGCCTCGTCCGAAGTTGCCGACGTCAGTTACCAGGGGTGACGTTGGCGGCACAGCCTTATCACCGTAGGTAGTGTACTAGCGTACGCAGAACGCACACTGACCTCAGCCTCTTTTGTCAAGCCAGCCTGACCCGACACCTGGCGACCGAATGGAAGAAGTGATTGCAGTAGTGAGAGGTAAGCTGCCCTGCCCACCAGTCGCCACGGCAGCCGCCGACTAATCGTTGCTTCGGATCCAGAGAGGGGGCTCCGCTGACAGAGAAACGGATCACAACCGAGCGCGTACTACCCACCCAGACGCAAGGACGGATGCCAGATCGTGATGTATCTGGAGTGGCCGGTGGCCCCCTTCTCGTCTAGGCGTCCGTCATTGGGGTTCTGGCCTGCGTTGTTTGTTGATAACAAGGCACCTAAGATGAATGAGTCGTCAACCCAGAGCGGCCGCTCAGGCTTGTCTTGTCGGGCTTCTGGTCAAGTGAACCTTGACTTTGCCTATGATTTGCCGAAAGTTGTCCAAAGAAACGCAAGTTTCCAAGAAGTCTTTGCTCTACTGTGTTTCGGAGAAAACAGGTTTCGGGTAAGAGTCATGGAACGTGCTGAAGAAGCCAGGCTTCCTTCAAACAAAGATGGTTCTCCCTTCTTGTTCTCTGGAGACGCCAAGCAAATGTACTCGGGACAGACGTCAGCAAGCGAGGCCTCGGGCGGTGTTAAAAGCTCGAAGCACATATCTCTCGCTGAAACCCCCCAAGGCGGATTGATTTGTCAGAAACTTCCACAGCGGGCGGTCATGGATGATACTCAGGTTTCTCAAATGCTGACTGGCTAAGGGCGTCGGGATGAAGATACGCAGTTCAGCGCGGGATGCTGACGCCCATTTTCAAGTTGACAGTCCTCCGACACCCTCGACGCCGACGGCCGGGTGGGTCGCCGATTACCGTGCCGGCCGACCGCCGAGTGCCGTCACCGCACCCACTAGGCCAAGCCGCTTGGTGGCCCATGCGGGATCACGCCTTCTTGCATCACCATGGCGAATCGCGCGAGTGTTTCTGCACAAGCAAGAGGTCCTTCTTCCCCCTTTGTTTCCAGCACCTTCGCTCATGATGAGCATCGATTCAGAGGGCCTCTTTTGATGATGATCGATACGGCAGAACCGGGCCCCAATATCTTATACTCATGGAGTTGCGGCTCCCGGCTGCCGGGGCCGGTTGTAGGGCCAGCTTTCGCCATGAAATCCACTTCCGGCTCCCGGGGCGATGGCGCAATTGCGGGATGTCCACGGTACGGAGCCAACCGTGAGTCCTGTAACCAATCATGTTTTGTTTCATTCATCACGAATGGCTTAGCGTCGATGTCGTGATTGCTCCCAGACCACCGCCTCGTCCTTGGAGATGCAAATTCCGCGGCGCTTGTTCAATGCTGATAGCCCAAATGCTCCGGACAAGCTGCGATTGCGCAATACTTGGGGCGGACTCTTGTGGTCCGTCGGCCTCTTGGTTCGATCGGGGTGCTTCTCGAGGAAAGGGGCGGAACCCGAATTAGTAATGCTGCTTGGTGATGGCATGGCCCTTGTGCCCAACAATATGATACACCTCCCGCCTCCCTTCTCGCGGTGTAAGGATTCCTAGCTTGCCCGCCTCTCTGTCCTCACAAAACAACACCTCTCTTGCCTCCTCTTCCCAAAACTGAACTCTGCCCCAGATCTATCTCGTGCGTCATCTGTATTTCAGTACATCCCTCTCGACCAAGTGAACCTATCCCGGGTTTTCAACACACCCTCTTACAAAATACACTCGTCATATATACCCGGTGCACCCTAACCGCACGCCTCTTCACCCAAACCCTTCTGCCAAATTCTTGGACGCTTCGAAAGAATGTCGTCTGCTATCGAGTCCGCGACCCGGACGTCCTCAGCGGCGTCGTCGCCTCGGCTAAACGCCGTCGAGTCCGCAAAGCTGGACCGCGCCGAGGTTGAGTCCGGATACGGTTCCGCCACAGATGCGTCGTCGACAGCGTCGTCCGTCCCCGCGCTCCCCCTCGTCTCCCTCACCCTGCCGCACCTCAAGCACCTCAACGACCAGCTCGAGCACATGCACCCCCTCGACATCCTCCGCTTCGCCAAGGTCATGTTCCCCAACCTCTTCCAGTCAACAGCCTTTGGCCTGACGGGCCTCGTGACCCTCGACATGCTTTCCAAGATCCAGAAGGAGAATCCCGCCGCCGCCAATGTCGACCTCATCTTCCTCGACACCCTCTACCACTTCAAGGAGACCCACACCCTGGTCGACCGCATCCGGGAGCGCTACCCCAACGTGAAGCTGCACGTCTTCAAGCCCTACGGCGTCGAGTCCGTCGAGGAGTTCGAGGCCATGTACGGCCCCAAGCTGTGGGAGACCGAGTCGGAGATGTACGACTGGGTCGCAAAGGTTGAGCCCCTCCAGCGCGCCTACCAGGAGCTCGGCGTCGCCGCCGTCTTGACCGGCCGCCGTCGCTCGCAGGGCGGCGCCCGTGACAAGATCCCCGTCATCGAGGTCGACGACGAGCGCGGCGTCATCAAGATCAACCCAATGGTCAAATGGTCCTTCAAGCAGGTGCAGGAGTACATCAAAACCCACAACGTGCCGTACAACGACCTCCTCGACCAGGGGTACAAGTCCGTCGGCGACTGGCACTCGACCGTACCCGTCAAGGAAGGCGAGGATGAGCGCGCTGGCCGCTGGAAGGGCCAGCAGAAGACCGAGTGCGGCATCCACAACAAGAAGTCGCGGTACGCCCAGTACCTCGAGGAGATGGAGCGCAAGGCCGCCGAGGACAAGAAGGCCGCGCCGTCGTCGTCTGCCGAGGCAGAGAAGCAGGGCGAGGCCGCTGTCGCGCCCGTCGTCAAGGCCGAGAAGGAAGAGCAGGCCGTTGCATCAGTGTAAAGCGTTTGGCGGTCTTGTTTTTTTGCATTTTGCTTTTTTCATAATGACCTGTAGGCATGATGCATGACGGCGTTTGGGGGACTCAAAAACGAAAGGACGGTATGGGACAGCATGCTGGCGCTCCGGCATGAGTTAGGCCATTAAGGCCAGTATAAATCTAGCGTTTCGCAGATACTTGATCCTACCTTGCAGATAGGAGAATTGAAACACAATGAACCAACATGACGTTACTTCGGGAGGATGATATGAGGTGTGAAGAGTGAAAGTAAAGAGGACGTTGCGAGGCCCCAACTTTGTCCCGCCGAGACCCCGCATCCGGGGCAATAAGTGGGAACGCCAGACTTCGTCCCATAGTGTCCTAACGCTTCATCATGCGACTTTGCAGCTGGTCTGCTAGAGCGCTGACATGTTCTCCCAAAGCAGATGGTGTGGCGGACACCTCTTGACCACTTTCGACAATGCGAACTTCGGTGGAGGTTGCCTGCCATCACCGCCATGTGCTTTTGATAACGGTTGCACACGAGCTTCAGTGTTTTGTTCGCCCACTTCGACCACCGACAACGAAACAGCGACTCTCGTTCTTGAACCATCCCGCTGATTTTTAATGCTGCTTCAAAGTTCAATTAAATAGCCTGCAAGGCACACGTTCCATAACGAGACTATCTTTTGAAATAGCTCCGAGTTTGCTTCGGTTTGTACCCGACTACCTTAACTCAAAATTCACGTCCTACGAAAATAGGTTATTGTTGTGGAGGAGCAACGATATCGCCATGGATAGTGGTGGTATTGGTGATGTGTAACTAGGAGGAAAAAGGGCTGCTGGCTGGCAAGGTGAAGAAGCTGGTGAACCTGGTGGCCAGAGGTCACGTGAGTGGACCTCACCACCAACAATTGTAGTGCCTGGGAGTGGCAGCAAATAACCAATCTGAGTCCTCAACAGGCCCGACAACCCATGGCAGAAAATAGCAAGAAGGACATGAGAATCTAGGCAGGGTTGTGGTACAAAGGTAAACCCACATAAATCGACCGACGACCGCCGTCTCGGGGATGTCATTAAATCGAATACCAAAGAATATTACATTACATGGAGAGTTCTGAATAATGTTGCTAATTATTCTGGGCGGCAATATGTGACAAATGAATGACAATGTATAGATGTTGGCCGGAAAGACTCGGAAAGAATGAGTAAAAGCCCAAGACTGTCGTTAGTAGTGCCTACACTTCAACTATACACTGCCAATCTGAGAGAATTGTGTTCAAGAGCTTACACAGTCCTGCAGAGTATGCGATGAACTTTTAAAGAATTATGAAAGGCGGTTCATTGTCATGAAAATAATTCAAAACAATCATTTGACAAAGGCCTGAATTCTGACTCAGTCATTCCTGTGTTTCGTAATACCGCTAAATGGCGAGATACTTCGACTACTTCATAACGCTGCCGGCCTCCCGAGACTTCTTGGGTTGTTACTGGCAAGCTGACATCATGCGATGTGCGTCGAAGTGGAATAAAAAAAATCAGATCCAGGCCGTTCAAGGCCACCGCTCGTCTCGCCCGGCTCAAACGAAGCGATAAGCTCACCACAGCCAGGGAACATACAATCCACAAAGTCTTGGAATAATCTAAAGCTGCTTGGCAACCTGGCCTGGTGTCTATGGTCCCAAGTGGGAGGCTCTATCAGGCGAATCAACAGCCTCAACCAGCAATGTGGACAACAGATGGCCGCCAACTTAGCCGAGTCACACTTTATATTAAAGCCGCAACACCACTGCGCGGCTTCACCGCCGGGTAGCCTAATTCAGCCGAAGTCATGCTTGAGCTCACTTGGTCCTGCGAGGTGGCACTGAGAGGGTTGCCTACTATGAAAATAAGCTTGGTTCGTCGGCTCGCTTCCCGACGGGACACCGTGCATATGTCTCTGGAGAGGCACTGTGAGAGTACCTCACAGATTCCTGCAACCACTCACACATTTCTTTTTTATTCCATCGTGAGTCGACCTCACTTACACGCCAGCCACGTCCCCAGAAGCAAGGCAGCCCGAACGCCCGACGCAACCCCCCCTCCCTGTCGCCAACAGACGGAAAAACAGGGCGAGAGACGCAGAAACTCACTCAGGCCTACATTTCCTCCCTTGAAGATTTCTTAGTCCAACCCGACCCCCGTCTACCCCCACTAAATTACGGAAACCATGGCGCCGCCGCACCAGCGGGCGAGGCAACAATTGCCCTCCCCGCCGGCATCCTTTGCAACCCGCAAGCACAGGATCCTGGAGCAGCTTAGCGTACCCGACGCAGAGTACACCGACGCCTCGCCCAAGGGGTCCGTGGACGTCGGCATCCGCGAGCTCATCAACGAGCTCAACGCCCTTGACGGCTTCGTCACGACGAGCAGCTGCGCAGGGCGGGTGAGCGTCTTCCTAGAAGGCCGCAGGGCGCCGGCCTCTGCTCCCGCTGGGCCGGCCACCCACGCCGAGACTCGTTCTGAGCCTGCAGCCCAGACAGGGGACGGCGATGATGACGAAGACGTCGACAGCATCATCAACAGCGGCAGCGCCGCCACGACGATAGCTGGCCCCGGGGGTAAGGGAGGCGGCGGCACGTGGTTGTTCGTATCGCACGACCCCGTCCCCGAATCGCACGATGGGGATGACGGGATGTTGCGTCGTCTGGGTCTCGTGGACGAGAAGGAGGTAGCCAGCCACCGCTTCGCCGGAGAGTCGGGCAGCGCTCAGCCTGGGCGACGGAGGAAACGACTCATTCACTTCAAGTTCGAGCCCATGGTATGCAGCCCCCCCCCGTCACCTCATGCACACACCCGCGCCCTACTACTCATCCATCCCCTCCCTAGCCCGCTCCTCCCAGACTCCCTGTCGTCGAGGCCCATGTCGCCTTGGAAACCTCACATACCGCGTCCTGCATACACAGCGCTCACATGACCAACTAACCAAAAAATCTCACCCCACACTATAGATTCTCCATGTTCTGACGGCTTCCCTGGCCCACGCCCAGCTCCTGCTCAAGTGCGCGTTCGCGGCCGGTTTTCGGGAGAGCGGCGCCCTGAACCTGCTCCCCGCCGTCGCCCCTATCACACCGCAAGACGGCTCCTCATTGTCGTCCTCGCCGCCAGTGACGCCCATGGTGGGGGTCAGGACGATGGGCCTGGCGCTCGAGTCCCTGGTCGGCTACGTCGACGATGACGACAGCGACGAGGCCCGACACTGCACCGTCTCGGTGAGCTACCTGCGAGACCTAATGCAGATCGCCAACGAGCGCTTCGCGGAGAACGCGGCGAGGATCGAGAGGTTCCGGGCCGCGCTGCACGCGGCCCTAGCGGGGCCTCCGCCCAAGCTGGGCGAGGGGGGCGCCGAATGGGAGGACGCTGCTGCCAGGCGGGAGCGCAAGAAGGCCGAAGGCCTGCGTCGCAAGGAGGAGGTGTTGGCTGCTAGACAGAAGACGCAGCCTCAGCCTCCAGCTGAGGGTCGGGAAACTCTCACAGAAGACCCGGCTGGGCTACCTGAATACGAACTCCATGGGCTGTGATGTGACCAAATCCATTCGCCATCTATACACTTTTGTCTTTATCCCACCAGTAGCATGGTTGTTGTACACTTTGACATTCCGCCCCCTTAATCGCCCTACTGCTGCGCCTCTGTTTCTCTCCGCTGGCATGTCATCCATCCATCCATCCATGACCGCCATCACTCCTTGCCATGAACCACAAGAACGCAGAAATCAGATGCCAAAAGCCCTTGACAAAGTCTCACCCCTCCACCGCCCCCGGCGCTGTCCTCTCACGAGACAACCTTCTCGACCCAGCCCTTCTCTAACCGCTTCACCTCATCCTTGAACGCCTCGACCTCCTTCCAGCAATCAAGCGGCCGGCGGTCGTGCTCGAGCAGGCAGCGGACGACGTTGCCGCGTGCCGTCTCCACGCTCTCGGGCAGGCTGCGCACCTTCTTGCGCTCCGACAGCTTGGCGCGCAGGGCCTCGATCTCCTTCTTGACGGCGTCGTGGCTGCGCTGTCCCTCGGGCGCCGGCTTGTCCTCGGCGGCGATCTTCTCGTGCGCGAGCTTCAGGGCCTCGGACTCCTTGGCCTGCAGGCGCTTCAGCTCCTCGGCGACGCGGGCCTGGATCTGGAGCTCGGTGAGTTGGGAGCGGGAGAGGTCGGTCTGCGGTCCGGGTTGGCCGGTCACTGGTTAGCTTTCAAGTTCTCTCTTTTGTCCGAGGTAAAGAGCGCAGATGGGGGGGAGGGCGTTCGATGGCAGGACGCCAAGGCGGAGGGTGAAAGTGCGATTGGGCCAGCGAGAAGTCCAAAAGACAAATGCTCTCGGGGTGGGAAGGAGCTTACCTCAGGGCTGGTCTGCAGAGACTCGACGAGATCGTGTGAGATGCCGCTGGGCGTGGTGCTGCGTGCGTGATCTTGGTCAGCCGACGATGCCCTCGGCGGACGCAGGAGGACGAGACAATCGGGTAAGGGCAGGACTTACGCCTTCCACAGGTGTGGGGGCGTGTTGGACGACGGCTTAGACTCGCTAGCACCCATGATTGCGGCCTCAATGGCTGGAGAGGTGATTTGAATGTTTGGCCGTGTTGATATGGAATTTTCCGGACCGTGGACAGCGGTCGTCAAGCTGCGAGCTCCCATGGGCCCGGCACAGGTGCACGTGATGGAACGGTAATCCGACGGAACGCTTAGTCATCTTTGGGCGATGTCCACAGCTCCTACCGACGTTTCCCCGATGACGTCTTGCTGAGTCATCCAACAAACGTTGCCTAACGTTTACAAGTTTCCACAAACAAAGAGGTTTGTCCTCCAGTTGATACTAGCTGCGGGACCTTGCCGTTCATGATCCACAGCCTACGAGCACGTTTTGGAAGTTTATGATGCCGCGGACCATCTCTCAGACCGTCGTCTGCCCGCTGCAAGGAAATCCCAAGCATGCCTTGGATCTAGGCTATTTATGATCTTCACTGTTTCAAGGATCGCGAGTGATAATCAGGGCAGGTATCTGGACCTGGGAAGAAGAAGGTCCATCCCCATCGGTTCATGGTCCACTAAAATGAGCAGCCAGGCTATCTAGCCGAGATCTCCGAGGCTTCAAAGTCTGGGATAGCATGTGCTTAGCGCCAAGAGAGGCCGTAGCCTGCGAGATATGGCAGTAGATATGGTGACAGAGCCAGGTGCATCAAGAAGAGACAGAGCCCAAGACTCAAGATCGAATGACGCGGCCTTGGGCAAACCGTCACGAGCCATTCGCATCTCTCGGCTTCATCTGCACACATTTGTCTGGTGCTGCATGCCACCGTTCACCTGAAGCGTGAGGGGCGGGCAATATCGTTGAAACGACAGGTCGCGGAAGAGCAAATGACTTCATGGGGACTGTTCCGCCTTCTCATCCACCGCATCTTCAGTCTTCCAGGCTCTTCCCCGGGCACGCTGTCGGGCCACTGGCCTCTCAGGCTCTCACCCCCTCGCAGAAGCCCGCTGTCCACCTCGGCCCCTCTGGTGCAGGCAGTGGTACTGTAGTTTGTACCGCGGCCCATCTGGACGACCCAGCCAGGCGGTTGTGACGGTAATCAAGAGAAAAAAACTGAGTGCGCTTTTCGGATTCCAGCCCCGAGGTGAGCTCGGGGTGGTTAATATGTTTGCAACAGCGCTTGACAGGGGCTTCCCGCTGACCAGCGCAGGGGCCCCGGCGCAGTTTCGGTTACACCGTCACATCCCGCAATTTATGCGCGGCTGGCCAAGTAATAAGAGCCAAAGACGCCGTGGGGAAATCAGCGGGCGATATGAAGGAGTAGTGCGTATGGAGGTATTTCCTCTCTGGGGGAGCATTCTGCGAATGCCTTCTACCTTTAGGACCCAGCAAGAGACCAGGGAACCCCTACGTCAATGGAGCCGCATGCGCTCGGCGACACGCAAAGCTTTGACGTTATTTAACGGAACTGGACAAGCTCGGCGAGCTGCAGGCGTGGCCGGACTGAAGCTAGAGGTCGTCGGCAGAAGTGTGAGTCTATTTTACGCAAGCGGGCTAGATAGCGGCCATCGAACGAGCGGCTGGCTGATTAATGATTATCGTAGCACCATGAACCGAGTGTTATTCATCTCTGGATCACAGGTCCGCATGGGGGGGCATGGAGTGGGTGGCGTCTTCACGAGAAGGGGGCAGAGGAGGTGAGTAAGCAGGAGACGTTAGGCTGCTGTCGTCAGATGTCATCAAATGTCGTTAAATGAATGCCATGGCACGATCGGCTGAGAGGGACGGCAGAACATTACGACGGAGATAGAGGATTGCGCGCGGGGGGCTGATTCGCATGACCCGAGAGTTCGGCCAAGAGCGATGATGATAGGCAGGTTTTTTTTTTTTTCCAATATGCCGTACTTCCCATGATTCTTCCCGTTCGTCATGACCCAAGCGCCAGGTGCTGGTTTTTCCAGCCCTCCAAGGAGGGTAAGGCGCATGGTGCAAAATGGATACCGCAATAATTGCACATCATATGACCCGGTTCGTGCATCATGCCTGGGTTGCTGTTCCACAGCATATCAGTATTCGGATGGTATGGATGGGATACCCTTACACTACCTACTGCGTAGAGTACTAAGGTATAAGATGGATCTTGGCGCTCGACGAGGGGTTCCGTGCTCTGGGTACGATGGGGTAGAGCCCAAAAGTCGGGTAGGCGATAGAACTCAACGGGAATCTAAACAAAAGAGGGAATAACACCACCATAATGTCTTTGGCCCTTCTTTGGCCCATCGGCTGGCTGGACTGTTCGACGAGAACTGTATGACCATTAGGGCTCAAACGATGAGACTAGTGGCAACAAACACAGGGTCATGGGCGGGAATGGCGGCGGCCCAGCCAATGGTTGGAATTTCTTTTCGAAGCTTTCGTTCATCTGAACATGCTCCATGGCGGCTGGGCAGAGCAGGGCCTTGTAAGATTAGAGGAGACCTGAAGTTCTCGTCTCTTGTCGGTCATTTCGGTGGATGCAGTCCACGGCCAGCGTGCAAGGCGCCGAGTTTTGCAGCTTTCGCCATGCAGCGAGCCATGTGCGAGGGCGAAGAGAAGGAAGGGGATGACGGGTCCAGTTCTCCATCGACCAGAAAGCGACAAATCACCCTCGGTCGAGAAGGGTTGCCAGCTTTTGCTTGGCATCTTTGGATAGATGGATCAAGTGCGGGCTGGTGTGGTTGGCAAGCCGCAGTGTCGCCAAATGATAGGTCGAGCGCCAGAGCTCGCTTTTGCCTCCCCGGCCCTTGTTCGTCCGGTCTTTCCCCTGTCATTTCCACGCCTGTGGGCTGTGGTCGTCCGTTCGCCCCCCTGGATGAAGACCCCGGTTGGCTGTCAAGCCCTCTCGCAGGGATGCAGTCGTGTCCAAACGTACAAACAAACGCTGCCACACCTGGCACACCATGAGTTAAGCGTAGCCAGTCAAACCAGTGGGCAGCCAAGAAGATGGCGGGGGACTGAGAAACACTGGTCCATTGAGGTAGCGCCTTTGGCTAGATAAGACGGTCAGGTGAAATCGCTCAGCATAAGCCACAGCAACCCCACGGCCGGCCTGTCGACTGGGGCGGGGGGGTTCCTGGGATGCACACCGTTTCTGCAAAGCACAGATTTTGAAACTACTCGCTGGGCTGTTGCTTCTAGTCAAAGAAGCCTACCGGTAGGAGAGGAGGTCGTTGGAATGCGGACCCTTTAGCTCATGGTCAGCTCCGTGACTCCCGAGTCAAAGGGATCGAGTGAGACGACTTGCGACGTTGGATTCGAATGCGACAAAGGGACCATCTGCTTCATCTCATTCCAGCCGTCGATATTGTGACGTCGCCGTCCCGCAATAACGCACTCGACGATGGGCAGTTGTTAGAAGAGCAATTAAGAATTAAAGGAAGCGAGTGGAAATCACAGCAATCAGGGAATCCATGCACCCAGGAGCCATGTCATCCCTTCAGCCTCAGCTAATAGTACGTTGGTCCTTGTTGATTGGCTTCGAGGGATCGGCTCCCTCAAAGCCTGTCCCTGTGTGTCCAGAGTAGAGTGACTGTGCGCGCGTTGTGGGCATCGCCCATCAGCGTCATCCCTGCAGCTACTTTGGGTGACTTGTCTGTTCTTCATGGGTGTCTTGACCCCTCGTTGGCCCCATTCCTCCCTTTCGAGTCTTGAACAAAGTGTGAAGTCGCTTTTTGGCTTGAGTATGACCCTGTTCCTGTATCTCTGGCTTGCTTAACTTGCTCTATCTGCCATCTTCATCGCGGCATTCGGATGGTTATGGCATGAGTAGCGCTGGCGTATGGGCTGATAAGCAAAGTGGGTGATTCCACTCCAGCACCCAAAATATGAGGATAGGGCAAGACAGACAGACTGGTGAGCAGATTTGGCCTCAACATACCGGAAGTTAACCCTCTTCCCGCCCATCAACTGAGCAGTAGCTCAGCTGTATCTGTACGATTCAGGTGAGCACCTGGGCACTATGCTGTATGTACGTAAGCGCGCAAAAGAAAACAAGAAGAAGAAGAAAGGGGTACATACCTACGTGTATTGCTGGATTCACCACGTGTGTGTGTGTGTGTGGGCAACGCACGCAGGTACCAAGGCACGCCATGCCCGACCTTGTCCTGCTTCGTCCAATCGCTGGCTCGCCATGATCATTGGCGTAGGCATGCCCGTATCGGTGTGTGTTGTATGTAGGTAGACTCACCGGCTTTGGCTGGTTCTCTCGTCTTGGACGCGGATATACTTGCTGAGACCAGCTAGAAGTGCTGCAAACCCCAGGTACCAGTTAATGAGAGAAAGAGAGGTAGGATGGTGAATGCTGTCAAGCGTGGCCCGGTCGATCCCAGTCATTACCGTTTGCCCTTGCACGCCACCATCGTCAGGGGGAATGCCATGTTGCCTTTCCCAGTTAGCAACATCGTACCCGGAAGAGGGGCCAGAGGGGCCAGAGGGGGCCAGAGGATCCTCTCCGCAGCGGTGCCGTGGGCCCTCCCCCCCGGCCTTCTCATGGCTCGCAGGAATTCGTTCATGGCCCGTCCTAGCCGGTCTCTTAAAAGTACATTGATCGCCCTTTCCGCGCCCTGTGATCCCTCCCAACCACTGTCTGTTTCCCTTGCTTGTTGTCACGCTGACTGACCATCTCTTCAATATCCATTCTGTGAGACGATTTGTCTTTGCTGGAATTTTGGAATTTGACTTATTCACTTCTTTTGAAAAAGAGGCTGGACAACTTCTTTTACTTCTTCCGCTTCAGGGTCATTGTTGTTTGACGAACAAAGGAACCAGGATAACCAGAAACACAAGCTAGACTTCTGAGGTCACTGGAACCAAACAGCGGGTCGAAGAAACGGAAACAACGACCGCGACCCCGAACCACGGACCTGCCAACCTCACCCTGGAATTTACACGCATCAACCACCACCACCACCACCACACTCTTTTCCCTTCTTTGCACCTTCCCAAGGAAGACCTCCCATTCATTCAAACCACGTGAGATTCGCTAGTTGAATCATCCACACCACTCTTTTTTTTCTTTCTCCATCCGGCACATCTGCGCTCGACTCCTCAATCAGAGGGATAGGCCCACGCTCGTTCTTTCCAACTCCGTCGGTGGCGGTGTACCCTCATTTTGATTCCAAGACAAATCCAACGTCTCCGTTGTCTTGTTCCACTTCTACGTCTTACGACAAACTCGGCCTTTTAGCTTTGGAGTCTTTTCTGATCTCATCGTTCGACTCCTACCCGCTCTTTCCCCACACCATCAATAGAAGGGATTCCGGCTCCTCGATTCCGAAAAGGACGCGGCACGAGACCTTGCCAAGGGCCACCTACGAGACGCACAATATATTGACGTTGCTTCGTCTCCCGTCTCCCATACGCCAACCTCACAGCCCTCTCGCGCACACCACACCACCTGCTCACGCCTCTTTTATTTCACTCCCGTCGAGCCGGCTCCTTTTGGGCCAGATTCAGATCGACCTAGCCCCCTTGGGATCGCTAATACACGAGCCGCCCTCGCTTCCACACAATTAGTGGAGACCAAGATCAGCACGAGGATTCCGACCATCTGCATCTCGACGACTCCCCGACTTGACTTGACATCCGTCACTCTTGTGCTCCCACCACTGACTGCGACGTTGAGCGCATTCTTCGGTGGCCAGATCTACTGCAACGACATCCATCCACTCCACGTCATCCCTGGCACTGTGTCGGTACTTACAAAGGCCCGGTTATCCCAGAACAGGCTTGCTGCTACCTGTCATATCTACCTTGTCACTTGTGCATCGTGCAACACAATGACATTGTAGCTCGATCGTCACTCACAATAACAGTACGCCTCTTCTCACACTCGACTCTGTGGACATTTCCAGCAATCTCTTCCAGAACCTGTCTGTTCACCGCTCGACGTCCTCTCCAACCGGAAGCCTAAGTCAAACCTCGACAACTCAAGTCACCCCTGGCCGATCGCAATTTGCTCTCACTTTCCCCCTTGGGAAACCCACCAAAGCTCACTCACATTTCAAACTCGACTTTTCAGCTTCACGGCAATCACGACAACAATAACAAACACTGCAAGAGAATCAAATGGACTCTCACCGGCGCAGGCTCGTCGGCCTGGTGGCGGATCTCGTCCCCACCAAAGTGCTTCAACAGCGTGCTCATGCCGCTGAGGGCACAGGGGCGGCTACGGCCACCTCAACCATCTCTCCCTACTCCTCCAACCTAGATGGCGTGAACCAGCCTGTCAACATGCTGTTCAAGGACATGCTCTGGGCCAGCTTTGGCGGCATGGCCGCCATCGTCCTCATCATCACTATCAGTCGTATCCTCTGGGCCCAGCTCCGTCATGTGTCAGCCATGTCCGTCGAGGGCGAGAGACAGAACTACTGGAAGACGGCTCAGTGGATTTGGATGCCTAGCTTGAAGAAGCATCTCATCTACGCTCCCCTCTGGAACAAACGCCACAACAAGGAGATCAAGCTCTCCAACGCCATTGGTATCGGCACTTTGCCCTCGCGCATGCACACCTTCATCCTGGGTTTCTATCTGGCCAGCAACATGGTCTACATGTTCTTCTTGAACTGGCAAAATGCCAACATATACGCCTTCTGCGCCGAACTCCGGGGCCGATCTGGCACACTCTCCGTCGTCAACATGGTACCTCTCATCATCCTTGCCGGTCGCAACAACCCGCTCATCGGCATGCTCCACGTGAGCTTCGACACTTACAATCTCCTCCACCGGTGGATCGGCCGCATGTCTGTCATCGAGGCTGTCCTCCACACCATTGCGTGGTTGATTGTTCAGGTTGCCGACGGTGGATGGGACAGTGTTTGGCATAGAATGTCCAACCAGCTCTTCATCGGCTCAGGCATGGCTGGTACTATCGCCCTCGTCGTCATCATGATCCTCTCCTTCTCGCCAGTCCGCCACGCCTTCTACGAGACCTTCCTCAACGTCCACATCATCCTGGCCTTCTTCATCTTCCTGATGACGTACATCCACTGCGCCGTCGCTGGAATGCCTGGTGGCCTTCCTCAGCTGCCCTGGATGATTGCCATCTTCACCTTGTGGTTTCTCGAGCGCATGGCGCGTATCGTCCGCGTCGCCTACATGAACTGGTCTGACCGTGGTGTCACTGACGCTATCGTCGAGGCGGTCCCTGGCGAGTGCACCCGTGTCACGATGAACCTTCCGCGCTACGTTGACGTCAAGCCTGGCACTCATGCCTACCTGCGCTTCAAGGACATCCGACCCTGGGACTGTCACCCTTTCTCCATCGGCTGGGTTGAGCACATTCCCGACCACCGCGCGGTACATCTGGACGAGGAGAAGGCTCAGTCTGCCTGCATCGACAAGAAGAACACGACAACCTCGATCTCGTTCATCATTGGTGCCCACACCGGCTTCACCCGCGATCTTTACAATGTCGCCCGCCAAAGCGGTGACCGCGCTATCCGTATGAAGGCTGTGGTTGAGGGACCCTACTCTGGCCACCATTCGCTCGACTCGTACGGCCATGCCGTTCTCTTCGCCGGTGCCACTGGTATCACCCACGCTATTTCCTACCTGAAGCCCCTCATCGATGGCTACAACAACGGCAGTGTGGCAACGAGACGCATCACCCTTGTATGGATCGTTCGCGACTACGAGGCCCTCGAGTGGGTTCGCCCGTGGATGGACACCGTCCTCCGCCTGCCCAACCGCAAGGACATCCTGCGCATCCAACTCTACATCACGCGCCCTCAGAATTCCCAGCAGATTGTCTCGGCTTCCAACACAGTTCAGATGTTCCCAGGACGCCCGAACATTCCTTTGTTGATGAAGCGCGAGGTCTCAGAGCAGCAGGGTGCCATGTGTGTACACATCTGTGGACCTGGAGCCTTGGCCGATGATGTGAGAGCGGCAGTGAGGGAGGTACAGGACGAAGGCACTGTGGTCGACTTTGTGGAAGAGAGTTTCACATGGTAAGGGAGTGGGCATGAAGATCAGCCACAAACGAACCATCCGCAAATGAACGAGGCGGGCAACAATATCGATCCTTTGGGCGTCAACGGTACCAAGCGGGGAAAAGCGAATTGTTCTTTTTCTTTTTCTTGTCTCTTTTCTTTTTTTCTCTTGTTGTGGATCATCAGGATCAGATCAAGGCGACAGCTAGATCGAGTTAGCATTGGGGGCATGGTTTTAACGGCCGATGCCTTGTCCTTAATGGCTCGTTTTCTTTTCATGTGTACATATTTCTCACACCAACACGCTGGGGTAGACATGATGGATGGGAGTGGTGGGGCTTTCTACACTTCCTTTTTCCTTCTTTCACGTCTTCCTCAACGGCACCCTTTTTCTACTCTCCTCCGTGGGGGTTCCCTAGGAGAGATGTATTTTTCAATTGTTGGACGTATATACCACGCCTGCAACCTCTCTACATCTTTCGCTGCGAGACAAAGCAGAGGGTTTGATGTACCCAGTTGTTGTACATAGCACCCACCCATTACGAAGATAGACAGACGAAGACGTCTAAATCAGATTTCAGAAACCAAACAGTCGATATCCACCTTGCTTCTAGTGACCAACAGAACAGTTCCCAGATCGCAAAGACGAACGTGATGGAAATATAGGTGGCGAGGTCAGGGTGGCCTGAAAAGAAGGTCGTGATAGTCACACATGCCAAAGAGGACCTCTGGACCTCGAGTTCTGAGGGTCAGCTCACAGGACCTTGGAATACGGCCTGTGGAGACTTTGGAGCCCGCCCGTCAATCAACTCCACGGTCTACGCTTAAGACTTGTGCTCCTATGGGTGCAGCCGCAACAGGTGTAATGGGGTTCCTGCTATTAGCTGTCGTCTGCATGTCTCATCGATGGCGGCGGACGCGGAAAATACCCACCGCCCGGTGAAGAGGGGGATGACGGGGCCCACAGGGGAATGGCGCGATGCAAAGCGGCCGGTCATCGGGGGCTAAGCAGAGTGGGCGCACCTCTCCGGGGCACACGATTAGTCGGCCGCGGAGCCTCGTACTCGCCAAGCCGCGGGAAAGCTGGAGGCTCGCGAGCGATGATCGGATGCGGTGTCGGTTAGGGTCGGCATACCCCCCTCCCCCCCCCCCCCCCCCCGAAAAACTCTCCATCTTGCCTGTATTGTCTGGGGGATTCGGGGGACACATCACGGGCAGAGCAGACGAGGCATCGCGAAGTGGATTCTGCAAGGTCGAGTTCGGAAAAGCCGTCTGAGACGGTCCCTACGGAAGCCGTTCAGGAAACGAGTCAGGCCCAGAAGCCCGGTTCAAAGGTAGAGACAGCTCTCGGACGAAGACCGGAGCAGGCAAGGCTTCGATGTCCAGAACTAGAGCCAAACGGGAGTGGTTGAAGCGCCATTGGTCGTCAGAACATATTTTCGATTGGCGGTTTGAGGGCGGAGGGTGGGCAGGAAAGCATACCCGCCCGTGGAATCGACCGGCACTCGCGGAATTCTATAAGCAGGGACGCTTGCAGAGTGGAAAACAGAAACAGCTGACGTTGGTGTAGTGACTGCTGCTGCGGAAGAGCAAAGCAACCCCGCCATGCACAATCGGTCAAGTTGGGGCTGGGTGGGAAAGGGGGTGACCAATGGGGGCAGCCGGGTACCGCTTTAAAGGGCATGGTGTGGAGAAGAGGGGGGCTCGAATGTGGGCCCCCACTCCAATGACATTGAGTTTGGAGCAATAACCTACATTCATAGGATGAGAAGGTGTAAAGAAAAAGAGAGAGAAAAATTGAATAGGAAAAAAAAGAAAAGAAAAAAAAAGTCTGCCGCGTTGTCACTGCAGCGTCCACAGCCGCTTCAACTAGACCAATGTGTAGGAGCTGGCGACTGCGGGCGATATGCACTGCGGGAGAGCACAGAGACGGCCAGGCACTTTGACAGTGGAAGTCCGTCCAACCGCTCTCTTTCTGTCTGCGTGGTGCCTGTAGACCGAGTCCTTACTGACCTGACTGCATGCACAAGGCAGTAAAAGACGTTGGAGGACAAGGACTAGGACTAGGCCTGCTGCACCAAGCCGGTTTGACAGACGCTGTGATCCAATCCAACATCAGGAATATCTAGGGGAAGTAGAAATTAGTAAAGATAGTCAAAATAAAGGCGTGCTGAACCTGCATTGCAGCCCATCAAGTCAGCAAGTCTAAGTCGATGCATCAGTCACAAAAGATACAAAAGTGTACGTACCCTTGTCCCTTACAGCCTCTTTGGTGGAGGGGCGTGTCGAAAAATGGAGACTGGGTTTGGTCGACGTCCCCGTCCTCCATCCTCGTACCTAGTTCCCGACGCTCTGCGACGGACGAACGTTATGACTCAAAATCTTTCCCTCCTCCCTCTGTGTCTGTGATTTCCAACTCTCGAACCGTTCGCGATACTTTGTCTACAAATACCCTCTGCGACCTCTCTCCCTCGTTCTAGAGACCAAGCTACTCCTTTTCCCCAGACGCTTTATTGTGTGACGCCACTCCCCCCCCGGAAAAGATCCGCCCTGGTGTTTTTTTTAGTTGTTTTTTTAGTTTACTTACACCTCCCCGCGAGATCTGCCCCGCACTCGCCCAAGATGCCCATGTAGGTGACTCGATGGATGCCCAAAGAACCAGAACCCCAAAGCCACAACAGACGGAGGATTCGCCTGGAGAGAAGGACCATAGACTAACTACCTCTTCTATTACAGGCTCAAGGAACCGTGGAAGAAGTACAAGCCCTTCCCTCCTCTCAACCTTCCCGACCGCCAATGGCCCTCCAAGACCATCACAAAAGCCCCGCGATGGCTCTCGACCGATTTGCGCGATGGAAACCAGAGCTTGGTTGACCCAATGGCACGTCTTCTACCTCCCCACGGATTGCCCCCTACCGTGCTGTACATCTCGTCCTCATGGCGCTAACACCAGCTCCCGCGTGCAGAACGGCGATGAGAAGTGGCGCTACTTCAAGATGCTGTGCGACCTGGGCTATAAGGAGATCGAGGTCTCCTTCCCATCGGCCTCGCAAACCGACTTCGACTTCACCCGCCGCCTCATCGAGACCCCCGGCGCCGTCCCCGACGACGTATACCTCCAGGTCCTCTCTCCCTGCCGCGAGGACCTCATTAAGCGCACAGTAGAGTCCCTCAAGGGCGCCAAGAACGCCATCGTCCACATCTACCTCGCCACGAGCGAGTGCTTCCGGAGGATCGTCTTCGGCTTCACCGAGGACGAGAGCGTCGAGCTGGCCGTCAAGTGCGCCAAGCTGGTACGCTCCCTGACCAAGGACGACCCCTCCCAGTCCGGGACCAACTGGCAGTTCGAGTTCAGCCCCGAGACCTTCTCCGACACCTCCCCCGAGTTCGTCATCCGCATCTGCGAGGCCGTCAAGGCCGCCTGGGAGCCCACCACTGAGGTGCCCATCATCTTCAACCTGCCTGCCACCGTCGAGATGGCCACCCCCAACGTCTACGCCGACCAGATCGAGTACTTCTGCAGGAACATCACCGAGCGCGAAAAGATCGCCGTCTCCCTCCATCCCCACAACGACAGGGGCTGCGCCGTCGCCGCCGCCGAGCTGGCCCAGATGGCCGGCGCCGACCGCGTCGAGGGTTGCCTCTTCGGCAACGGCGAGCGCACCGGCAACGTCGACCTCGTCACCCTTGGCCTGAACCTCTACACCCAGGGCGTCTACCCCAACGTCGACTTTTCCGACCTGAACCGCGTCATCGACATGGTCGAGGTCTGCAACAAGATCCCCGTCCACCCCCGCGCCCCCTACGGCGGCTCTCTCGTCGTCTGCGCCTTCTCCGGCTCCCACCAGGACGCCATCAAGAAGGGCTTCCAGGTCCGCGAGCAGACGGTCAAGTCCAACGACGAGCATTGGCAGCTCCCCTACCTGCCCCTCGACCCCACCGACATCGGCCGCACCTACGAGGCCATCATCCGCGTCAACTCCCAGAGCGGCAAGGGCGGTGCAGCCTGGATCATCCTTCGCAAGCTCCAGCTCGACCTCCCCCGCGGCCTGCAGGTTGCCTTCTCCAAGGTCGTGCAGGACAAGGCCGACCAGCTCGGCCGCGAGCTCCTCTCGGACGAAATCACTGAGCTCTTCGAGTCGACATACTACCTCCGCGACAACCCACGCTTCACCCTCGTCGACTACAGCATCGCCCCGGACCGCTCGCGGTCCCCCGCGCCGCCTCAGCCCGGCAAGACCCAGGACACCAAGAACCTTCAGCGTGTGTTCGAAGGCGTCGTCGCCATCGACGGCAAGGAGTACAGGCTACGCGGTCACGGCAACGGTCCCATCTCAAGCTTGGCCAACGCCCTCAAGAGCGTCGGCGTTACCCTCGACGTCGAGGACTACAAGGAGCACGCCATCGGCGCCGGCCGCGACGTCAAGGCCGCCACCTACATCGAGTGCACAGCCACGGGCACCAAGCAGAGGTACTGGGGTATCGGCATCCACGAGGACGTGGTGCAGAGTTCCCTCATTGCCCTGCTGAGCGCCGCCAGCAACGTGAGTGCTCTTTTTCTCTCCCCGACCCCCTCCTCCCCACCTTGGCCGTGACGAATGTCCGTCCGCCTGTTGCTAACGCGGAGCGCTACAGTTCATCGGCAGCCGCCCCGGGAGCCCCGTCTTCCACAAGCCCGTGCCCACACGGCCCATGAGCCAAGAGCTGAACCTCGAGTCGGCGAACGGAACAAACGGAACAAACGGCGCGCCCCACGAGGCACCGGGCTTGGTATCGGTCCTCGAAGACAAGGCGAACGGCATGTAAAAAAGGTGGCAGTCAAGAATGAGGCGTGGCGTGGGACGGTCTTTTTTCTTCTTCTTCTTTTATACGCATTCACGGGAATGAAACAAAAAGTTGGGGTTCAGACATGCATATCGTGAGGAGGAGGTTGAGAATCAAAAAGCAGATGGATGACTGACTGGGCATGGCCGACGAGGTTTTTTTGTCGTCACCTGTCGGCGGCGTAGTAGCATAGCCACGTAAGGCATTTTTTTTTTGTATTTTCTTGTTGGAGCAGTTTTCTTGCCAATGCATGAATGGGAATCTAGTCAAGATGATCTCGTCCCGCCCCCTGTGGAGCGAAGACGAAAGAAGGAGCCACCACCGCCCCCCAAGCTAACAGAAGTCTGGAAGAGGAAGTCGAACATGGACCGGCACCAGAGGTGGTGTGTTGGTATGTTTTGATGGGACGTGACCCCCTCCCTTTTGAAGGCTGCCAAGATGCGAGACTATGACTGCAAACGGTTTTCGATGTGGCTACGGCATGGAGGACTAACCACCCGTGTCCCTCCAACCCTTCGTGTTTCCCGCTGCCGGGCTTGCCGTTAATGACCTTCACACCCAACATACCCCTTTACATGCATATCAAGCAGTAAGTTCACAACTTCAGGAAACGGCAGTAGCTACAGCAGCAGCTCCTCCTTCAGCGATTGCGGCTGCGCCCCCCCCCCCCCCCCGCCCCCGCCACGTCCACGTCGTGAGGGTGCCTCGCGTCAGGAGCCCAGGTCGAAAATCCCTGATGATACTAGCGAGAGGGGAACGACGGCGACAATTCCCGCCGTGCGGTCCAGAGAGGCCTCTGGGATGACGGGTCGGCGGACTACCAACCGGCCGACTGCCAAACCCGCGCAACCTAGCGGCCAACTGGTAAATGCCTTGGCAGGGTGGTTCTAAAGTTGCGGCATCGAGCTACACGAAAGCTCAATGAGCTCAGGGAGGCGTATCTTGACTTCCGGGGTGATGAGCCCCCCCCCCCCCCTTTGGTCCATTCGGGACGACTGGACCTGCTACGCTCAGAACGTTTGGTGTTGCTAGACCGCCCCGAGAGGTATAAATTTTGGCACGATACAGCGCACGCAGCATTACATGATGTAGCGCCATGTAACATCCCTTCAGTTGATGGCTCGCCGTGTCGGGCTGACATCTCCAGGCGACCACGTTGAGGGATTGGAGGTTGTATATTCGGTAGCCGAATCTTGCATAAGTGCCCGTGCCGAGGCGATATCAGCAGATATGCCCGGAGACAAGTCCCGGCCGTGGGACTGTGGTGAGGAGGGAGAGGGAGAGAGAGCATGTTCTCTCCCCCGCAGCCATCCCGTCGTCCTCCTCCTCGTAACTTTCAGGGGGGGCCTCATCGGCACGTTCAAATCGCCCCGGGGGTGGCCAGAAACCATTGCACATCTAGCTGGATAGAACCCGACGCAGTATGCAAACCTCGCGAGGGGGATGCCTCATGAGGATGGATCTGTCTGCGTTATGGGCTTAAACCCGAGCCCTAACGTGAGCGATGAATGCTCTGTTTCGACCAAGGCTTCACGCGCTACGCGTTTCTAACCAGGTATCTTCTCTTAGCACGAGAGACGTCGTCTGATGGCATCTATGGGGACCACTTCTGAGCCACACCAGGTCCTTTGCCATTGCCGATACTAGCCATTTGCAGCTATTCATTGGGTTGACAAGAAGCAAAGAAAGTGACCTTCAACGCCTTGCAAGAGGCTCATGTAGAGAATCCAACTTCGGTTCCATTGGCTTCAGAAGACCAAGTTGGGAGGTTTGGCCACAGCCCTTCCACGCTAGATATCGACCCGCGTGGTATATAGAAACATCGAGATTATAAAATACATAACAATAGACACGCAACTCTATTAGAGAACAATTATATTTTCACCGTCTAGTCTAAGGACGACAACGAGGTTCATACTTAGGGGCTTATGTTTATTTAGTAGCTTGCGTTTAGACTACACTAACCGTCTAGGGCTGCTAACGTTAACCTTTATGCTTCTTAGGACTAAGACGATAGCAGAGCACCGGTTGCCTGAGTGATCTAGGTGACGCGTGAAGTAATAGAGAGGTGATTGCAGAGAGGCTGGGATTGGATCTAGACGAGCGCTGGGCTAATCCTTGAGGCCCTTACTACGTGCTACCTAATATTCCCTGATTACACGCCGACTAGGAGATTGACAATTGCAAGAAGGAGGGTCCTGTGGAGAACAAGGCTGAGAAGAAGCAGGAGACAGAGGGCAGCGAGGAGGATAAGAGTCCCGGAAGCTCTGTAGGTACACTTCAACGTGGCTGAACGCGTATCGACGATACTAGGCTTGTTGCCCAATCCAGCAGGGACGTCGCGCCTGGCGATCTACTCCGCCGCCACCTGCCTGGGAATGTCGTCCCCTCAGTTTCGCGATGTTCAGGCTTCGTACTCTCCCCGCCCACGACTGTCTGGCCTGCGCAACGTTGGCACGATGATTGGTCCCCCCCTGGTGGGAAGCGGTTCGCAGACGCAAGCCTCTTGAGGTTGGGATACGGGCCCGAACGAGGAGACCAGGCGAGAAGGTTCCTGCGAGCTGTGTGATGCAGGACGTTGACCAAGTCAGCAGTCTCGATCACAGGCACTAGACTCACATGAGCGGCGTAAGAAAATGGGCATAAAAGGTTGTTTCATTCCCGAATGTGTCGGCCTCCGTACGTCCAGAACGGCACATTAATACTCGCGAGATACATCCCACCTGCGAGACGGTCCAATGTAGCCTTGGAAGACGATACCGCAGCCAATGTTTCAAAATTACCTTCCAGAGTCCAGAACAAGGCTTGGCATATATATGCATGATGCCGTTGGAGGTAGGTAGCTACCGGCCACGCTCTAGAGCTATGTATGTAATGTAAAAGAGGTGCGTCTGGTGGGCACATGGCAGAAAATGCGAGAGGAACCATGGTATCAGATAATCGGTCCCGTTCCTCAGTTTCCCAAATCTGCGTCAGCGGTGGGGCATGGTGTTGGTGGTTTCCCTCAGACGGTGAAACTACATCAGACGGGCTGTCTTCCAAAGCAAGAGGGAAGGGACTTCTTCTCGCCAAACAAAGACGGGCGCCGGCCGCCCGCTCAGTAATGCAACAGCATCGTGTTCCCATGTGACGGCAGTCGGCCGCGGACGGCAAGCAGGCAGACGGGCGGGCGCTCGGATGCCAGGAACCCAAGATGACGTCTGAGGCATGACTCGAGGGGGGGAGGGAGAGGAGTGCGCTCGGGTGCTGTCACGCCCCCCTCCCCCCCTCAAACCCCTCTGCATAGAAGACCGAATCAAGGTGAGTAGAGTAGATTCTTATAGATAGCCTTACGTGCGCACTTGCAAAAATTGGGTTCGGTAAGAAAAACCCAAGCTGTCGTCTCAAGCTTGGCCGGGCGGGGGAACGTAGCGTGAGCCGATGGAGGAAAGTGCGTGAGTTGGTTCGCGGCCCGTTCTGCTTCTAGCCACAGAGGGTAGTAGGTAGGGCTTTCTAGTGCGCAGATTGCGTATTTCTTGGAAGAGAAGGGTTTTTTTTTGGGGGGGGGGCGCATTTTGTGTTATTTTGTGCATGGCATGGCAAGGCAAGGCATGCACCATTTCCCGCTTCTGCATTTCTGACGAGAGAGAGAGAGAGAGAGAGAGAGAGAGGCAAATAAAATAACAAAGCAGGCAAGGCAGCCCGGGCAACGCAGGCGCAAGCTGCAGCCCTGGGCCATCCAATGCAAGTCTCCTTTTTCTCGTGTGGGGGGGTTTGCCCGTGACTGTGGGCGGGGAGGGGCAGGTACTGAGCCCGAAATAGGGGGGAACCTCGAGGTACTTAGACACCGGGCACCAGTGAGCTTGGATCTCAAGTACTTCGTGACGGCTGCCTAACGGACGCACGGTCTCAGGCAGCAATCGGAGTACGTGCCTAGGCAGTGGACGACGCCGCATTAGGAAAGGGAAAAAACATGCTCCCGCATCCAGTATTTTGATTTAGTTTCCCCACCCTCGGTTGGTTCACGTCTCAGTCAGTCCGGTTAACATAGTAGTAGTAGTAGTAGTAGTAGTACGTCGTTCCGATTGAATTAGAGATCACAGTCTCAAGCAGATAAAGGGGAGATGTACATATATAGAGAGAGAAGGTGAGTGACAGAGAGAGAGAGAGAGAGAGAGCAAACGGGCGTCTCGCATAGCTTCATTCTTGGAGCATCCCATCTACCTCAACCCAGGGTCTCCCAGAGGGCGTCCCCTATGGAGTGCAGGAGGGAGTCCAGGCTAGAAGCACGCGGAAACAACCCCTCCTCGGGGTTTTTTTTTTTTATCAGGCACTCTCTTTGCTTCCCCACACTCATTAAACGCCCTTTTTCTTACCTCTCTGGTAGCTTAGGTAACCCACTTCCAAAGTGGCGGTTTGCGTCAAAACCCAAAGTGACTCAGGCGTACGTACCTCTTCCGCCAAAACAAAGGCAGGAATACCTGGCATACTCAGCACTGCCCAGCCTGCCGGACAACCCCCCCAACTGATGACTGCCCCTTCCACTGTTCCAGTGTTCCCAGCATTTACTGCCCCGCCTGGAGAAGTCGGATACCACTGCCACTGTCTCTGTCTGTCTCTGGCGTTCCCCCCGTGTGTATCTTCTACGGCTACCGGGCACACATACACACAGCATAATAGTGTCCCGTCCATGTTTAGGTAGTACACACACCTCTCTCTTCTGCACTTTGATCGTCAACAACCTCGCCAGGTCCCGCTCCTGTTTCCTTCTCTCCCTTCACCAAACCACCCAAAAGGGACGAGAGAGAGAAAATAAAAATAAAAATAAAAATCCTCACCTTCCTCCGACCCATCCACACAACTCTGTCGCACACACACAACACATACACTGCTACCGTCTGTTGTCATCCCGACTGAATTTTCTTTACGGTACGCCCTCTAATTCTCTACAGACTTTCCCCCCCAAGACCTTGTCTTTGGCACATCATTTTAATACGGATTCCAGACTGGTCCTATCTCTCTCACTCTCACTCAGTCACTCTACCTTTTTTCCTACTCTCCAACCGCACTCGCTCACTGCCGACTGCCGACTGCTGACACACACACACACCCCTGACACCCCCGTCTCGTCTCTCTCTCTCTCTCTCTCTCTCTCTCTCTCTCTCTCTCTCTCTCTCTCTCTCTCACCGCGCCAATCTACGAGCGCCTGTCGTCTAGACCGCCGTCGCCGCACAAAGCAACTGTTCCCCCCGCGTCGCCTGCCTTACTGCTTGCCGCTGTTGCTGCTCAGACCCAAGGTGCCTTGAACCCTTACCTCCCACCTGACACGTGCAACCTGTCAACGAGCCCCCCTCCGAATAACACGTCCAAACATCGGCACTGGCTCAGCCTTACCTTCTACATACCACCACCACATTTTGAGCGGCAAACATGTCGGGCTCAGAGATCAACCAGGTTTTGGCCAATTCGCTGTCGCCTGGTAAGTTTGGCTTCCTCGTCCCTTTGCCCTTGGCTTCATAGCATATCATCAACGAACCTCTTCCCCCTCCCTCTCCTGTCCCTCCCTCTACAGGACAATGTATCCGGCTCTGCCCTTCCTTGCCTCCTGTCCACCTCCCCCCCAACGCGCATCGCCAAGCACAACTCGATGGATGAAGACGAGGCTAATACTCTGACCAGACGCGAACTTGCGCAACGCTGCCGAGCAGCAACTCACACAAGCCGCCGACAACAACTTTGTACGTGCCCGCCCACTTTTGGACGCCGAGTCCCCCCCCACCGCTGCAGGCAAATTTGCTAACCAACTTTTCCCAACAGCCCTTATACCTCGCAACTCTCGTCCAAGAGCTTGCAAACGACAGCGCCGATGGCTCCATCCGTGCCGCCGCCGGTCTCGCTCTCAAGAACGCCTTCACCGCCCGTGATTTCAGCCGCCACCAGGAGCTCCAGGCAAAATGGCTCCAGCAAACCGATGACGAGACCAAGACCCGGGTCAAGGACCTGACCCTGCAGACCCTCTCCTCGTCCAACGCACAGGCTGGCCAGGCCGCCGCCCAGGTCATCTCCTCCATTGCTTCCATCGAGCTGCCGAGAGGCCAGTGGCAGGAACTCATGGGCATCCTCGTCAAGAACGTCAGCGAGGGTGGCGAGCACCAGAAGCAGGCCTCGCTGACCACCATCGGTTACATCTGCGAGAGCCAAGACCCTGAACTGCGCACTGCCTTGATCGCTCACTCCAACGCCATCCTCACCGCCGTCGTCCAGGGCGCTCGCAAGGAGGAGACGAGCCTCGAGGTCCGCCTGGCCGCCATCACCGCCCTCGGCGACTCCCTCGAGTTTGTTGGTAACAACTTCAAGCACGAGGGCGAGCGCAACTACATCATGCAGGTTGTCTGCGAGGCCACCCAGGCCGATGACTCCAGGATACAGCAGGGCGCCTTTGGATGCTTGAACCGCATCATGGGTCTCTACTACGACAACATGCGCTTCTACATGGAGAAGGCCCTGTTCGGCCTGACCATTCTGGGTATGAAGTCTGAGGACGAGGACGTTGCCAAGCTCGCTGTCGAGTTCTGGAGCACCGTTTGCGAGGAGGAGATTGGCATCGAGGACGACAACGCTCAGGTATGGCTCGCCGCAGCCGCAGTCCCGAATAACTCTTCTTCTTCTTCTTTTGCTAACCTTTCTTATTTCAGGTTGAGAGTGCCGACCAGATGCGTCCCTTCTACAACTTCGCTCGCGTAGCTGCCAACGAAGTTGTGCCCGTTCTCCTAATGCTCCTCACCAAGCAGGACGAGGATGCCGCCGATGACGAGTACAACCTGGCCCGCGCCGCCTACCAGTGTCTCGCTCTCTACGCCCAGGCCATTGGTGCCGCCATCATCAGCCCCGTCCTCCAGTTCGTCGAGGGCAACCTGCGTGCCGAAGACTGGCACCACCGTGATGCCGCCGTTTCTGCTTTCGGCGCCATCATGGACGGCCCCGATGAGAAGGTCCTCGACCCCATCGTCAAGCAGGCTCTTCCTATCCTTATCGGCATGATGGACGACAGCTCCCTGCAAGTCAAGGACTCGACCGCCTATGCGCTTGGCCGCATCACCGAGAGCGTTTCCGACAGCATTGACCCCAACCAGCACCTGGACCCTCTTATTCGTTCCCTGTTCAATGGCCTGATGAGCAACGCCAAGATAGCATCTTCGTGCTGCTGGGCCCTAATGAACTTGGCCGAGCGCTTCGCAGGCGACATCAGCGACGCCCAAAACCCTCTGACCCCCCACTTCAACCAGAGCGTCACCAACCTGCTCGCCCTGACGGCCCGCCCCGACTGCGATTCCTACGTTCGTACCGCCGCCTACGAGGTTCTCAACGTCTTCGTGCAGAACGCTGCCAGCGAGAGCATGGCGCCCATCGCTTCCCTGTCTGGTGTTATTATCGAGCGTCTCGAGGGCACTGTCCCCATGCAGAGCCAGGTTGTCAGCGTCGAGGATAAGATCATGCTTGAGGAGATGCAGACCAGCCTGTGCACAGTCCTCCAGGCCATCATCCAAAGACTGGACAAGGAGATCATCCCCCAGGGCGACCGGATCATGCAGACTCTTCTTCAGATCCTCAGCACCGTTGGCAACAAGTCCAGCGTGCCGGATGGAGTCTTCGCCGCCATCAGCGCCCTCGCCAACGCCATGGAGGAGGACTTCTCAAAGTACATGGAGGCCTTCACCCCCTTCCTGTACAACGCCCTCTCCAATCAGGAGGAGCCCGGTCTGTGTGCCATGGCCATTGGTCTCGTCAGCGACCTTACGCGTTCCCTCGGTGAGCGCAGCCAGCCGTACTGCGACAACTTCATGAACCACCTGCTGCACAACCTCAAGGTCAGTTGCGCCGCCCAAGCCCGTCCTTCCCTCATACTGACAATCCTTGCAGAGCACTGCCCTGAGCAACCAGTTCAAGCCGGCCATCCTGCAATGCTTCGGTGATATTGCTGGTGCCATTGGCGGTCACTTCGAGACCTACCTCTCCGTCATTGCCCAGGTATTGCAGCAGGCGGCGACGGTCAACGCCGGTCCCGAGGGTCCCTACGAGATGTACGACTATGTCATTTCTCTTCGCGAGGGAATCATGGACGCCTGGGGTGGCATTATTGGTGCCATGAAGTCCGGCAACAAGAGTATGTGCACCGATCCCGGTTACGGAATCCCCGCTAACACTCTTACAGCCCCTGCTCTTCAGCAATACGTGCCTTCGATCTTCCAGCTGTTGAACATGATCGCCAGCGACATGAACCGCAGCGAGGCCCTCATGAGGGCTTCAATGGGTGTCATTGGTGATCTCGCCGATGCTTACCCTAACGGCGAGCTCGTCGACATCTTCCGTCAGGAGTGGCTCACCGCTCTCATCAAGGAGACGAAGACCAACCGCGAGTTCCAGCCCAGAACGATCGAGACTGCCCGCTGGGCCCGTGAGCAGGTCAAGCGTCAGCTTGGTGGCTCCGCCAACGTCATGTCGCAGACTTGAGTGCCTCAAGAACACGATGCTGCTTTTCGACTTGTTTGATTATCTACACCCATCCCCCGAGCCTAGCACCATATCCTGGAGCAGCCGGCTTCAACCCGTCGAAGCCCGGATCTGCGTCAAACTGAGGAGAGAGAGAACAGCCAACCACCCAACTCTTGCCACAACACAGCATCGATCGACACAGAGTCCTCTCTTGTGTATATAGACACCTTTGCACCATCACCCCAGGACTAATTTCACATCAAATACCCCTTGCCAGCACACACATCACATCACATCATGACACTACACCTGATTTCAACACCCCTACCCCCACCCCCCAACCACACAACAACCCCCTACCCCCTTGGCTGTATCTTCTGGACTTTGATTTTTCGCGACGGATGGCTGGTTTAGAGAGAGAAGGCGGGGAGTCCTCATTGTCATGTACGCCTCGCATAGAAAGCGCGGTGGCGACCCAAAAATCATGTAGAAGGAGTTTCCCTCAGAAGGAACGGGAGTTTGCTATTTCATCTTTCCGATGGGGAAATGAGAACAATGAGAGACGGGAACACGAACAACGTCAATACACACACATTTCGGAGTCGGCCGTGTCCTTTCTTGGGAGAAGCGAGACTGGTCAAGTGATCAGGCTCATCAGGAAAGGAGGAGTCTTAGTCTCTCTCGATCAGGAGACATTTCTCTAGGCCATACTTGGGTGCGATTTCGTCGGGGTGTCCTTTATCGGATCGACGCTTCTGCGCACTGTGGATGGGTCGGAGAAGAACAGGCCTTGCGAAATGGGCCGATCAGGAGAGTGTAGGCGCAGCGAGGGAGAGACGAAAGAAACCAGCAGAGGAAGACAGGCGACGCATATCAAAGCACTGTGACGGGGCCAAGTGGTCTCTTATCCAGCACAGCTTGATGGCCGTAGGAGAGAAAGCGCTTAAATGAAATTCTGCCCCCTTCATCGTGTTAACTGAGTGACTCTTGTGCTTGTCGCCATGCGAGGTTGCCGTGACGCCCAGGCAATTCGCGTGCCCCATGCCCCACCTCCCCAGCCAATACCTCGTTTTGGTCTGATTCACATTGCAGTCTATGACGGCTTTTCATAAATAACTAGTCCGCTGCCCACCCGGTGTTCTGACGGTTCACCGGGGCTTCTCATCAAAATCACAACAATAGGGTTTTGGTCCCCCCCCCCCCCCCTCGAAAAAGGCAAAGAAAGAAAAGGGGGAACAAAACGACTATGCTATGGTATCTCGATCTCTAATAGGAACGCTGGGCTATACAAAACCGAGATGGAAGGAGAAAATAAATTGTGAGAGGTTGAGGGGGTCGGGGGAAGATCCCAGTGGGCATCGCACCCCCTTGAGTCCTGCCAGGGGAAAAAAATCAAAACAAACGAAAGAGTAAGATAAAAGATAAAAAAAAAGATGGTTGACCAACACCCTGCCTGACCTGCCTTGCTTACACCGGTCTTTTGCCTATTTATAAATTCCCGCTCGAGAAAGATGCAGTAGGTGATAGCGTAAATCACCTCGATCCCTTTTTTTCCCCAGCCCTGCCTTGCCTGCCTGCCCCTACCTGATTTTAGTCTCCATCAAGAGCATAAATTTATCTATGAAGAAAAGAGCAGAAAGGAAAATGGAAAATGAAAAACAAGGTGAAACCGCTCTGCTCGTAGAAGCCGCTGAGAAATGTTATACGCCGTCGTCTTCTCCCGTAATAAGAATAAAGCATATGCCTTCCTACCCTGACCGGTAAGATGGAGTTATGACTGCGTGTTAGACCCGAACCACCCGAGACCGGCGGCGCCGTTGCCGGTCCAGCTTGTCGCCTGGACGGGGGCTGTGCCGTCGAACCAGCTCTGCAGCTCGCATTCGAAGCCATCGGTACCTGGGCCGAGGACGATGGACGCGGCCCCCGGCGAGCTGTAGAAGGCGGCCACGGCGGCCGCGGCCGTCGGGTCGTACGGGTTCGTTGACGACGGGGCGCCCATCATGGGTGGGCTCGCCGTGTCGAAAGCGGCGGCCTGCACGAGCATGCCCATGCCGTTGTTCGGGCTGTACGGCGGGGGGGCCTGGGAGTACAGGGGTGGAGAGAAGTGTGTTTGCATCTCGGGGGGTATCTGTTGCATTTGAGGTTGGGGTGTTGGAGCCTGTTGCGGGTGTTGCTGGTGCTGGTGCTGGTGCTGCTGGTGCTGCTGGTGCTGCTGCCGCTGATGTTGGCGGTGGTGCTGGTTTTGTGGATGATACAGTTGCTGGTGCTGCTGTTGGTGGAATTGGTGTTGCTCGTGCGGCTGCTGGTGATGCTGCTGATGGAGAAGTTGTGGCTGCTGGTGCACGTTCGTGAGCGGCGGGAGCGGAAATGGGGCGTTGTTTTGCTGGTGCTGTATGCTCGGCGATGGACTCGGGGGAGGGAGAATATTGGATGCTGTGCCGCTGCTGATGCTGTTATTCCGTAGTGATGGCGGCAGCGGCTTCTTCTCGTCCAAAGGCGTTGCCGGTGGGCCGGGGAGCTGATACTTGGGTGTCTCTGAACGCGGGAGCGGGAAGTTGGAAGACGACGGATGCAACGGGCGGAGCGTGCGGTCATTCTGGAGACGATGGTTAGCAACTCCGGGCACGTTGCGGACATGGGCGAGCTGAGCAGACGTACGCCGTCGGCCATGCTGCCTTCAAGGCTAAAGGCAGCTGCTTTGGGATCGCGGGAGAAACGCTCTAGTGACTCGAGCCAGCGCGAGGCCAAGGGCCAGGTCTGCTTAGACTCGATGAGGATAGACATGCAGCGCTGAAGCATGTTGGGGGCTTGTCTGACGATGGACTTGTCCGAGCAGACTGGGGTTTGTCAGATGAGGTTCCATACTAGTCTGACTATCGGGTTCTTACTGTTCTTGTACTTGACCAGATAGGTGGCGAAGAGGCCACAACTGTAGACGCAGAATGATGCCATCTGTGCCCCGACTCCTTCTTCTGGGGACCGCACGCTGAACTGGGCGTCGACCTGCTCGTATAGTTCCCGTACGTTGCGGAAAAGCTCATCCGACATGCGGGCGAAGAAGTTTCGGCGCCGGGGGTCTTTTTCGTCCGTTTTGATGATGCTGCTTCGGTTAGTTTTCGCCTCGAGTCATGTAACAAGTGGCACACGGACTTATCAAGATATGCTCTTCTCACCACGATGTTGCAGAGCTTCGTAACCATCGTGACTCCCAGGTAAGCCTATGATCGTTAGCCTGCTCCAGTCCAGCCCCGAGCCTCAAACCTACCAAATCTTCGCCAACCGACTTGTGCCCCTTGAGCAGGACCATGCTCCACCTGTGGTCTTGCGGAAGCCGCTGTTCCCAGTTCGTCAACTGTTTCGCCATGATGGCGTACTCGCTCGTCGGGTCCCACGGCTCGGCGCTCTTCATGGTGGCCATTGCCCTACGGGCAATCTTGCCCCAATAGTAGTGTGCCTGCATCAGGGTCGCAAACAGAGACCGGGACGGTTGGTGGATCAGAGACGGATTCTCGCGCGCTGGGGGCGTATCTTCGAGAGCTGCGCGGGAGAGCGGCTCGCGGCCGCAGGCGAAGTCCTCCTCATTGCTAGGAAGCAGCGCCGTTATGTCGTTGGCTGCGAGAGAGACGGGCGACAGAGCGCCGCAGTGAAGGTTGTCTTGGCCTGTAATGCTTGTCAGCAGGAGCCTCGCATATGTGACGCTGGTTACGGACTGTGCAACATCCACTGCGAGTTGTTAGCATGTGCTTTCTTTTCCCTCGTTTCTGGTACCCCTCCCCAGCTTACCAAAGTTCGCCTTGCGGATTCAGCCCTGATAATCATTTCTCTAGTAGGATTTTTCATCTTATAAAACTCTTCACGATGCAGGTGCATCAACACAGCCATTCGAGTAGCAATGCCGATATTGATCTGCCAACAATCAGCCCGGGTTCTGATATTCACCGTCTCAGATAACCTACATAGCTTCGATTCTTCCAACCGCCCCCTTGCTGTGCAAGGCTCAGTAAATAAAAGGCCTGACAGCGCTCCAGGGTAGGTTCCTGGTATAACTCGTTCAAAGCCATGATACTGGCTCGCTCCATGAAGTAGTCCACGGCCTTCATTTCCCCTTGGTACCTCTGGGCCAGCGCTGGCGAGAAGCGGGCAGAGACGCTGAGGATGCCGAGCAGGAGGAACACGCTGACGGAACGGTGGTCTCGCTCTAGCTGCAGTGGGAATAGCTCCTTCGGGATGAAGCCTAGCTGGAAGTAATTCCGCGTGAATATACGCACGGCATCGATGATCTCGGGGAGTGGCGGGAGAAAGTCCCATTCGTCTACGGATTTTCCAAGCCCTGGCAAGGGCAGCCCCTGCGAGACGGACGCAACGGACGCGCTGCGCTTCGCCTTTTCTGCTTCTCGCTTGGCGGTCTTCTCTGCCCTCAAGCGAGGGTGCCGATACTCGCGATCTAGATCCGGCTGGCCGCGTTGAGGGAAGACGCTGCGGTCAATTAGCTTGGAGACTCGGCTGGGAGGATCGATTGGCAGTGTCGGTACGGTACCATTCATTGGCCGGTATGCCGGCTTCCGCGCAAGATTTACATGGTGGTTGTGCCTTGTCGTGCATGCATTTGCTCCTCATGCGACGACATCTGGACCTCGTTTAGCTCGTCGGGTCGTGAATCGCCAGGTGGGTGGATGGAACAAACCTTCTGCAGGCGATCGGAGCTCTCCTCTTAATGGGCGGCTTCGGACCGTTCTGCTGGGTGATGGGATCAAATGCGCCGAGGGAGTCGCTCCTCACGCTTCCGGTGGCGCTCATGCTGGCGTTCATTTCCAGATCCATCATGATCGGTTTGGTGTCTTCATCGTGGTTCATGGTGCATCGGGATGGCTGACTGGGCCCAGCTTCACAGTCTGCCGGCGAGCTCTTGCGTGCTGATGATGCAGGGCAAAAAAAGGGAGAAAAAAACAGAGTCGGCGGGGGAGGGGGCGACGTGGAACTGGTTCTGCCGTCGGTGGGAACGGTAACGGCAGCCTGGGTGTTGGCAGCAGTTTGAGCAGAGTAGACCGATCGCAGTTCCGGGGGCCGGGACACGGCGACGGCGCGTGGGGCGAGGTGGTTGAGGACTATAGATAGGGACGCCGCGTAGTAGACGAGTGCGTCGTTGGTGGAGGGAGTTTCCTTTGATGACTGACCTATAACGAGAGCCCAAAGCGACGGTTAGGCCCCCGTCTTACTGCCGACCTATTGATGCTTGGGATTGGAGTTTATCGGCTGCGGACCCAAGGCGCGCTTTAGTGATCGGCATTCGAGTCTGTCGCGAATTTGATGGCGTCCAACAGACCCCAACTCTAGAAGGTTACGTTGCGTTGCGCCTCGACGGGATTGCTCTAATGAGCAGCAGGGTCAACGGAGTCTGCCGATACACTAGATACGGATCCGGTAGCCGGCAGAGTTTCCAGAGCTGGAAAAGGGTAAAAGGGTAGCTGAGGTTGGGCTGGCACCCACGTGTAATATCGAGGAGGGGTGGGTGCAAAGCTCAAAAGGAGGTGGGCTATGCGTCCCGCTACCTAGTCGATTATTTGCATGAATACATGACAAGTAAGCAAGCACGTAGGTAGGTAGGTTGATACCTTGGTACTGAGGTAACGTACCTTCCTGTGCTTTGAGGCTACCGACCGGTATGTAGCACAGACCAACAGAGTAGTACCTATCTGGGGGTAGTGGCGGAACCGGGGAAGGAGGGGGACGCGGGAGAGAGAGTGGGATGGATGGCATGGGATGGGATGAGAGCCTTGTTGCACGTTCCAAGCCACCAGGAAGCAGTGCGGGCGAGACTACGGCAGTGGGGGATTTTGCTTCCGGAGACGCATCCCATGTTGAGCGAGCGGGAGTTGAGGCGGTCATGGGTTTGGCCTGTTGCCTCGTGTCTGACGCAAGGACTAGCTAGGATGGGGCGTAACAGGCGTAACGATAGTGGGGGAGAGAGAGAAAAGAGAGCAGCGGCTCGGCATCTGCCGCGAGTCAGTTTTAATGAGGCTTGGATTAAGGTCATGCGGACACAACTCTAGTTGGAGCAACCATCGCCGAATCGCACCCTCGATTCCGATTCCGCGGTATAATAAACGTGGCGTCGGTTGGGGGCCATAACCGGGGCGTGAGAGATGACAGGTCCGGGCCCCAAATAGTCGATCAAGATTGTGAACATTGACCAAATAGGCGGCTGTCCTGTTGGCGTTTCTTCATGTTGAATTGTTATGCGCGCAAGGTGGCCGGCGTCACCCCAAAAAATACCCGCAGGCGCCACAGGGTCCTCGTGAGCACCCCCCTGTAGGAATCGTATAGTCACAAGCCAAAACAAATATCCTTTTGGTGGTAGCTGTCGAACCGTTGCGCGTGTCTTGGAATAGAATCGGTCAGGGCTGGCTTGGTCACAAGGCGGTCGCTGCCAATGTCAGATCTGTTGTCTCAGTCTTAGGGAGGCAAGTGTTGTTTTGCCGCCAAGAGGTTGGCCATCTTGGCTTGTGTGGGTCCTGGCGCGGGATCTGTCCGATCCAGCTGGCTGGTTGTGTAACTATGAGACACCAGGGTCACTTAATCAGTAAAGAAAGCTTAGACGCTTAGGAAGACATTATGTAATATAATAGCACAAGGGTCGTCTTTTGCGACCGTTGTGGTGTTGAGTAAGTATTGGGCATGATGCGAATCGTTGTGTACCTGTGGCGACCTTGAGAGGGATCGATCACCTTAGTTAGGTATACCGTATACCGACGCACCTCACCTCAGTCTAAGCTTGATTAAATGTGTTGATCAAATTAACCCGCTCGCTCTTTGATAGCGTCGATGGTGGCGCTGCGCTATGTGGGCAAGTGAGATACGCTAAGCAGCTAGCGACGGGCATGCAAATGATCGGGATCTTGCGTGAGGAGCGTAAACCCGATTCAACTCTGCATCGTGAAAAGGGGAAGAAATAATTGAATAAAACCCAGTTGATCCACCTGCGGACTCGATGCCTTCGTCGCCAAGGAAGATCAATCAAACCTATTTACGAGCATGGCTATATCCTCCACGCACTGTTTATTTTGTGTTCCTTCCTTAGCTTCTTCCTTCCTTCCCTACTCCTTCATTCCCCTACGCCTTCCATCCTCTGCTTTTCCCCTCCTTCTGCGGCATCTCCCGTCCGTTTCCCATCCATTCGCCACTGCCTTTTCTCCTCAAGATGCAACCGGTGTCCGAGCACTAGTTCCATCCCGATCGTAGTTTCCTAAAAGAAAAAGAAAAAAAAAGCAACAGCAATAACAAAGGTTTCAACCCAGATCCCTGTCTGTTGGGATGGCTACTGTCCCACTTAGTCCGCTTCCCGTTGAACCCCTTTTTCAATGCGTCATGGGTGATTGTGGCAGTAACGGCAATCACCGGAGCCCAAGTGATTCCCCTCCGGTTCTCGAGTTGGAATCGTGTCAGTCTTTCTTCATCCACTTCGCATCCTTGTTTGGTGTTAACAGAACCAGAAGCTTCCAGCTTTGCCACACCAAGAGTCTTACGCATAACAAAGGGTACACGTGTACCAATTCGACACCACCCGCCCTTTGTCTGTCTGCCTTTCTGTCATCCCGCTACAATGCAAAAGGTTGAGACATAGTCTCCGCATCCCTCCCTTTCCAACTCAACCGACTACCGGTAGTCGAGATGATAACTAGCGACAATTGCATCATGCAGACCAAAAACCAAATAGCGCATCTGTCCCATTTCTCGGTACTTGGCATTCCCAAGTCTAGGGGCAGTCCATGGCCTCCAAGTCTAGCGTTCCCAGACCTTGGGGTTTGCGTGGCGGTCTGGAAGAGTTAGAAACGCTCTATTCATCACCCAAGTCCCCCACTCGCTCCATTGTAGACAGCGGGGTGGTTCCCTGCTCGCCGTCCGCGTCGCTGTTGGCAACTAGTATAATTAACGCCCGTATCCCTTCATAAAAGGCTAACACCAGCTTGTCTCATCGTCACGTGGGAGAGCTCGACGAACGACGAGACGTAAGTGAGGAGAAGGAAGGCGTTTACATGCCGATTGCCTGGCTCAATACTCATCCATGCGTGGCTCTAGTACGGTTGCCCATCTCAACTGACGTACCCCCCTCCCCCCCCCCCTGGCTGGCCTGACCTAGGCCCACCCAAAGATGTAGATTAATCCAGGATCAATCCATAACCGTAACCCTTACACCCTTCTATCTAGGTAACACTAAAAGAATAAACATATACTATACGCTAAACTAACCACTGACCCTAGCCACTGGCCATAACCACAAACCCTAACCTGTATCTATGAATTTTAGAAGAATTAACTATACCTCACCTGATGTACCCTGCTTCTTAATAGGGTTAGGGTTAGAGTGGGCCTAGGTCAGGTCAGCCAAGGGGGGGGGAGGTACACGGCCCCGCATATAATCATTGTAGAGTGGGGTCAAGTAGCAGTTGTTGCTGTTCTCTAAGCCTGATTGTACATATACATCTAACCGACGGGGCTGCTTAGAAAGGTATAGCCGCAATGGTAGATAGAAGTCCCCCTGGCGTTAGCGCTCTTCGCGTAAGACATGGTCAGCCAGGACAGATACGGACCTGCATCAACATGCTGAACCAACGAGCTGCATCCTGCTCTAGTACGGGGGCCTCGTATCAAACGGCGTTACTGTGCCCAGCCAAGCAGAGCCTTTCCTCGCCCGAGTCAACATCCGGATGTGGATCATTGGCAACGGTGCCTGGAACGGGGCCGGTACAAGGCCCGCAGTAGGGCGCGAAGCTACTCTGCAAAGACCACGATCTCGTCGGGAACGCCGTCGGCCACTTAATGAGCTTCAGTACGGGACCGCCCACACCAAGCTACGTCTGGGGCTTCTGTCCACTGGCGACCACATAGGAACCCATGAGGGCACGCCCTATGTCGACGTCAAATTCGCCCCGGCTGACGGCGATCTCCACCTGAGCCATTCTTCAGGGGGGGACTCGCCGACGCCCACTGGTACTTCGTCAACCGCGGCCTCACCCCCGCTGGGCCAGCTCCCGCGCCCTTTGGTCCCTCAACAATGCGGTCTTTCCCCAACGGTAAGACAGACCTCTACGACAGGCCGCCACCGCCGCGGCTGCTCAGCGACTACCTCCCAGAGAATAATTTCCCGGACGAGGACCTGGCGGATGTTTGACTGAGGTAAACGGCGTCTCCGGCGACGCGGTGAGCAAGTCAGTACGTCCACACCGGGCAGGAACTACCGACCTACAACGGCAACTACCTGAATCAGGAACCCATGACACGATTCCTGAGCCTCTTGTTCCGCGCCAACCTGAGACCATTGCCGCCGACACGCCCGCACCGTTTGGGACCGCCGCGAGAGCGCGACATGTGAACGCCGTTCCAGCTCAACATGACCATGGCACTCACTTCCAGATCTCTGCCATCGGCGCCTTCCTAGAAGGCAAAGAGGTTGGGTCCCTTACCTCCCAGAACTACAGCTCCCGATCCGACGCTGAGTCCCGGCGCCGCCGCCGCCATCGCGTGCCCCGACCGACCGACTGTGTGTCGCGTGCAGACGCACCGCTGCGGCATCTATGCTGTCAGCTTCTACATCGACGCGCTCCTTCCGGACCAGGCGGTCCCGCCAAGGCGAACCTGGTCGTCTCGTCAGCTGGGGGTACTCGGGCCGGCGCGAGCAGTCTCGCCCTCGCCAACAGGCAACCGCTCGGGAACCCCACGAACGGGCGCCGCGTTCGAGTTGAGGTTGGTCCAGTTCCTTGTGTCCGTGGTGCTGTTCAGGCAGGGCGAGAACTAAGATATTGCCCCGTCTGAGTCGGAACACAACTCGGAGTATTCATCTGGGACAGTATCATTCTGGAGTGGTAAGTCCGGGAGGGAGGAGGGATAGGGTGCGTGAACAGAAGTTCCAAATGTGAATTGTATATCTGTACATTGACGGTATAAAACCATAAACATATACGAACAAAAAGTGCGCTCACACACAGGATAGGACCCGCTGTGTGTGACGCAGGATGCAAGTGACCAACCAACGTGAACCAACAAGCCGTCAATGACGGACATTCCATGCGCGGGATCATACATCCTATAGTATTCCATACACGTGCACTCTAATAGACTCCATGCGCTTTCAAGCACTGACAACCCCAAACACCGTCGTACCAGTATGGCCATCGATAAAGGCCCCAGAGGCTGCCCTAGCTAGGCGTCAGCCGCGGCGGGCGCGGGTGCATCGGCCGTCGTCTGTTCATTCTTCTTCTCCGCCTCGTCATCGGGCACCGTGCTTGCGGGAGCCTCGGCCGTTGACGCCGGGTCTGCGGCCTCGGTCGGCGCGGGAGCGGAAACAGGTCCGGGTTCGGGAGTTGTTGCAATGGGTGCGTCTGTGGCCTGCCCCGTCGGCTCCTCCTTTGGTTCCAACATCGGCTCGTCATTAGGCTTCTCCGGCTCGATTGCCGGGACCTCGGGCAGCGGCACGGGGTTCGCGATTTCAGGCAGCTCAGCCGGTTCCGGATGCGGAGCCGCGGGGGGCTCGGGACGCGGAGACTTGCCCATCTCCGCTTGGCGGTCCAGCTCCGTCTCCAAGCCGGCGAGCAGATCCGGGCCATCGTCCTCGGGCATCACGGGGGCTGCAACAAGCGACGGCTGGTTCATCTCAGGCTCGGCGGTGGGGATTTCTATCGGGGCTTGCGCTGGGGCGTCGGTTGGCGCCTCAGCCGCGGTCTCGACCGCGGTCTCGACCGCAGAGTCAACCAGAGCCTCGACAGGCGCTTCAACCGGAACATCGGGGAGTGTTGCCGGCGCGTCAATAGCCATCTCAGCTGATGTTTCGACGGGAATTTCCACTGGGATTTCGGGCGGAACATCGGCCGGCTCCACCACAGAGGGCTCAATGGGAGCTGGCGGCTCTAACAGGGAGGCTGCGGGTGACTTTGGAGAAACTTTCGCCGGCGACTTAATCGCCTCTGCAGGTTCTCCAGGCGCGAGTGGCATATCCTCGACTATCGGAGCGATGGGCTCCGGCTCGGGCGCTGGGGCAGGGGGCTCTTCGGCGCTCGCTGGTGGAGCCGGAGAAGAGGCCGCCTTCTTTTCCGTAACATCATCAACAGCAGGTGCTGGTGGTTCATCGGCGGGCGCGGCCTCCGAGGTCGTGATGACCTCTGGAATCTCGGGAACGTCAGCAGCATTAGATGCGTCAGAGGCCTCCGGAACATCCAGGACCATGGCGTCTTGAGATGCCTGATTCGAGGCCACCGTCTGATCTCCGCTTTCAAGCCTAACACCTGATGCCTCGGTCTCGGCTGTGGTTGCCAACGAGAAGGTGGATCTAGTCTCTGCCATTGGCGACACAATGTCCCCGACTTTGTCGGCGGGAGGCAGGGATGATACACCTTGAGCATCTTCTGTTGCGGTATCGATAGAAGGGAGCTTGTCGGGCACAGCGGTGTTCAATGGTTCGGTGGGGGCTCCTGTGACGGTTTCGGAACCATCGGTCATGGGCACATCTGCTTTGACATCTGCTTGTGCATCTTCCTGCTGAGGCTCGCTCCGAGACTCGGCCTGTGGCTCAATTTTCGGAGCCAAGGCCTCTGAGATGAGAGAGAATTCCAGTGATGGCTCTGTCGGGGAAGGCACAACGACATTTTTGAGAGGGCTGCCCTTGGGCGACGAATTCACCAAATGCATAGCCGGAAGAGGGGGGAGACTGATAGGGTTTGCGGGAGGCGCGGCCCGCTTCGGTACGGGGGATTCGGGGTCGGCCAGCTCGGTCGTGGCGTCAGCTGTTGGCGTGGGCACGGCAGGAGAGACATCGGTCATCTCTTGGTCTTGACTGTCGGTGTTGTCGCCGTCGCGCTGCTCGTCATCGCCATCATCATCGCCTTCGTCGCCGTCATCATCGCCCTCGTCGTCGTCGTTGTCGGCCATCTCGCTGTCGGGATTGTTCGAGTCCTCACCATCCTGCTTGACGGGCTATGATCCAATCAGTCACGACATTCGGAAATGCAGGTACTGTCAACTCACTGTCTCTGCGCCTTCAGCTCCCTCCACCTTGGGGGCAACGGGGGCTACGTCCACTGGACCCACAGCACCCGGTGCTCCAGGTGCCGGCGCAGGCAAAGGCAGGACCTTCTTCTTGCGCCCGCGGCCCGGACCGGGCTTGTTCTTCTTCTTGGGTGGCGGCGGCCGTCGCACGCGCTGGGGAGCCACTTGCATAGGGTCAACAGCTGCGACCGGCACGACCGTCGTCGAGATGATCTCCCCCTCAACCGCCTGGCCCTCCTGCAGCGTGATCTCCTGCGTGTACGGGTTGCCAGCGGCGTCTACCCTCCGCACTGTGGCCTTGGTCACAGTCGCTCCGGGCATGTGACTGCTGACTGTCTTGGACGAGATCGTGACGGTGCCTTTCCTCCGCTTCGCCAGGTGAGAGACGGAAGAGCCCTCCGAGTTGCGGTTGATCTGCTTCCACACCTTGATCTGGAAGCCCTTGGTGCTGGCATCGTCCTCCTTCTTCTCCGGCTTCTCTGTCAGTGCGTCTGCGTCGGTCTCCTCCTCCTCGACGGGCGCAGGTCTCTTGTAGAGGGCGCCCGACCTCGCCGCGCGCAGTAAATCTTGACTATGTTGGGGTAGGAGGCCCACGTCTTTCGGCATGCCCCACGGGAGCTCGACATCCCAGATGCCGTTCTTTTGTGTCGTTTCAACGGGCGCGGGGGGCTCAACATTCACCCACTCGTGGCGCCATTGGCGCACAGGAAGGCCTTCGAAGTCGTCGTGTTCAGCATATCCGCTGCGGTTCGCGCGTCGAGTCTGTCCACGTTAGACTCTACTGCCTTGCGTCGCAATTCACAGCACAGGCGCGCAATGATTGTTCAAGAGGGAACTTACACCTGGCGCCATGTTTCTTTTTCTAAAAACAACAACTAGTAGTCACGATATCCAAAGGTAGCCAAAAAATCGAGGTCGTCGCGAGAATGCGCGACGAGGGTCAAGTGGACTTGGCAAATCCGAGCTTGGAAGCGGTCGTCACAAGAGCCAAGAAAGTCTGCCTCGACTCGGGAGAGTCACGGTGAAAACGATGTAATCAGCCACGTCAATTGAGTGGAAGCAGTGCGGCGCGCGCGGGTGCTCTAGAGTGTTTCAACGATGGACACGCTCAGCTGCAGCCAGAATGCCTGGATTTGGCTCCACTAGGAGACCTAGCCTTGTCGCGAACTCTAAGCGCGCCGACGTCACGGGACTAGTCACATGACCATGACATTAACGAGTTCCGGTAAGGCCTCGGTCTGCCTTGGTAAGCTAGTTCTTCAGTTGATACGTCTTCTGCTGAGTATGTACAGCTTATGAGTCTTGATACTTTCCTTCCCAAGATACTAGTTTACCAATAAAGGCTGCCACGGATTTCCTAGTTTGAGCAACCTACAGCGGCGCTTCTGGATTCTCTACATCAGAAAAACAGAAGACGCTTGCCTATATCATAAACATATGTACAGATAACCCAGCGTTTTGGTACTGTACTGGCAGATGCTGGAGATCCCCAATTAATTATCCGACATAAGGTCTTTGTCCTATCCACCAATCGCGTCTTCCAGCCGCATCTTTCCCGCATCTCGCCAGCTCCTTGAGGGCTCTGTGTTTGTTGCGAAGCCATCAAAGAAAAAGGGGGGGGTAATCCAGTTCTCGTAACACTACTTAACCAGCCTCGAAAGCTTCTCAGCCATCCCGTCACCGTCATCACGCGGCCATGTATCTTGGCGCAACTCACAACAAGGCCCAACACCCATAGAAAACTCCATTACTATATTTAGAAGTCGCAACTCGCCGGTCAAATAAATGAGAAACTCCTGGAGTGGAGGCTTTTTATGTTTTGAGAATCTTGCTCTTTTCTCCCTGTCTCTCGTCGTCAGACAGACCCAACGTCTGCCCATCACTCCTTCTTCGGTTTCGCCTAGCATGATTGTGGTGTGTACATTCCTCCCCTTGTGCCTCGTCTTCTCCGCAGCATGATATAATACAACGTCCAACTCTCGGTTCCACTCGGCGCGCATAGAGACGACACCTCCGACGGCATTTTTCGGTTCCCTCTCTAGTCCCAGCTGCGTCTACCGTCAGTGTGTATGCTCGAGGTGATGGAAGGTGTCCCCCGGGAGGGATTCGAGAAGACGTACCCCTGATCCTTTTGTCTGACAATATCGCCCTTGTTTCCCTTTTGCTTGCCCTGCTCTCAACCATCAGCATCGCTTCCTGCATCAATTCCCGGAGCATTACTTACCGCGGCACCGCCCTCGACCACTAACCGGTCAAACTGGAAGAACTGGCTGACAACCGTTTGTCTCTGCGTTGTGCGAACGTTAGCCCCCAGACTCGCCCCCCATACACACGCACTCTTTGTTTCTCTCGCATTCCGACAGCACCCTCCCACCCTTCTATGCTCCGCTCGCCACTCCCGTCCTTCTCCTCTCTGCGAAGCTCCCCCTACACCCAAGATCGGAGGGGGGGGGGGGGGGGGGGGAGGATAAGGAGGAAGATACCAACCTTCACGACCTGGAGCTCCTTCAGCCCCTGCTGGATCAGCTCCTGCACCCGCCGGGGGTCCTCGACGTTCTGGTTCTCGCGGAAGGCGTCCCTCGTCCGGCGCTTGGCGTACTCGCGGAAGTTGTAGGCCGCAAACTGGTCGCCCGACTTCAGGAGCTGGCGGTACTGCGCACAGGTTTACTCGTCAGCAATCTAATCGTCCCCTCTCTTTACATCTCTCTTGCGTTTTTCTTTTCTCTTCTTTTCTTCCCAGACTGTTCATTTGCCTGTATCGGCAGCTTTGCGACGGCGTGGAGAACGGGGGAGAGAGAAGAACACAACAACAAAAAAAAAGGAACCCGTGCATCATGCATGGGCGGGATCCGGGAGTGAAAGGCGCCACGAAATTTTGCCCAGACGTACCAGAGACCGCACCTGCTGCGGCGCATCGCCCTTGAGAGCTTGTATCGCCGTCGCCATCGTGCGCACTGGGGTTTGATGTAATCCGTTCGACTGCTCGCGAGGTAGTGGGGTGTTGTTTGCCGCTTTCAATGGGTCGGGGATGGAGATGGGGGTTGGGTGGTGAGTGAATCGGGTTGCTTTTGGTGGTTGAGTAATGAAGAACACAGCTGGGAATAATTTCTAGAGGGATCGGAGACGGCGATGATGCAAACACTGTCCCTCTCTACCACCTAGCTACCTACCTACTACCTAGCGTGTGTCTCCCCCAAAACTCATACCTCTCTCGGCGTTTAGTGGAGCGGACGGTGCTCGGCATTTTACTAATCCGCCACCACGACGGGGTGTCACCCGGAGCAGCCCGACCCCCGAACCTCTGGTTTTTGTCACCTTGGAGTGTTTTTTTTTCTTCTCTTTTTTCCCCCCTTTCGAGGAGGGCGGATTCTTGGATGGATATACCACTCGCATCGCCAGTGTTACGAAGAGACTTGACAATTGAGGCCCCAAGAAATTAGACAAAGCCAAACTAGATATACAGATAAATGCCTCCACATAAGACCAAAACGAAACAAAAGAAAATAAGAACCGACCTTGGCTTCGGAGATATCGGACGTGCATTACTCAATCAAGGTCTGCGTTCACGCGTCCTATGCAGAATGGCACGAAAGAGGGGGTAACAGCCTGGTCTCTGGGTAATTTTATGTACCGAATTTCAAGGTTGCAACGCGTCTTCATGTTTTAGGTACTTCTATTGATGCTTAATTATCTACAAATGTCATCCCTTGTTATAATATCGAGGCTCCGCACCTGGCAGACCTCCGCGATTGAGCCAAGGGCCAACGCCACATGCTACGTTATGTATGCTGCCCTCCAATTATGTATGTGGTGGATATATGTTCATGTGCCGAATGCCGCGGGATGTGGCGAGTATCCGGTCATCAAGGCAAGCTCAGGAACAATTTCTCCATCTCGGGATAATTGGGTGTGCTGGGGGACCGGTATTAGTGTCCTAGTAATGCAATCATTGGGAGCCGGAGGCCACTTACCCCAAGCCCGTAACGGGATCCCAGCCTGCTACTGCAGAAAACCCTTGGGTGCCGCAGCCCGGGTTGTTGCCGTTGGTCACGTCGTTGAGAATCTCCGGGTGCGCGTAGAGCGTTGGGTTGATGAAGCCGACCGGCTGCTTGCCTGCGGCGATGCGCTTCTCGTTGATCAGGTTGATAATGCTGGCGGCGACAGGTGCAGATGCTATTGCGGGTGTCAATGGCCATCTCCCGTGTGCGAGGAGTGGGTCAGGAAACTTACCAGAGGTGCCAAAAGATAAGGTAAATTTGCCGTCGACGGCCGTCACGTAGTTGGCGCCATTGGCCGAGATATCCGGGAAGCCGCGAACGGTCCTGGAGTTGTTGAATCGGTCCGCGCCGTACGGCGGCGCGTTCTGGCTATAATAGTCCTCCATCGTCTTCTTCTGGTAGTCCGGGAGGGGGAAAACGTTGGAAAAGCCTCCGCCGGAGAAGATGACCTTCTCGCACGCGCTCTCTGGAGTGTGAACTGTAGAACCCTCCAGAATCTGCGTGGCGCCAACGGACGTGACCCATGGGCAGCCTCCGGGGAACGAAGGGTTGAAGATGCCGGACTTGCCGTCGTTGTAGGCGCCCGTCACGCTGTCAATGCATTGCTGACCGTTGCCTGCAACACCTGAGTCGCCAGACGAGTACAGGACTGTAATGCCCTGGAGCCCGAGTTTCATGTACTCGGCACACTGGCGCTCGACGTACTTGTGGCCGAGATCTGCCTCATTGAAACCGTAGCTGGTGGAGATGACGTTCGTTGGCGAGGCCGATCCGCAGATTTGTGTGCCGTACTGTCCGTCGATGTTGGGGTCCTTGGAATCGCCTCCCTCAAACGTGCAGTAGCTTCCGTCAATGGCGTCGAGGAAGTTATTGAAGCTGGCACCTTGGTTCAGGTCTCCGACCTGGTAGAGCGTCGCCTGCTGGGGAAAGATCATGGCCATGGCGAACTCTAGGTCCAGCGCAGACTCTCCGTTGAAGTCGAAGCTCTGGTTCTGGGTCTGCACCACGGCATTGCCTATCAGGGTGACGATAGGACTTGTGCCCTTGAGGCGGGGCTCGAACTCGTCAAAGTACAGGTCCAAGTCCGACTGCAGAAAGGCCTGCGGCGTGTATTCGACGATGCCGAGAGTATTGTTGGACGCCTTCAGGTCGCCCGGAGGCGTAGCGTAGAGCGCGCGTAAGCAGGCCGGAGTTATCATGGTATCGCACTGGGCGAGATCCATGAGGGCGTTCGTGACGGATGCGCCCTGCTTTGGCCCGAAGCTGCTATCGGGAGAACCCTGGATGGCGGCAGACTTGCCGTCGCCATGAATGCCCAGCCCCTCAAAGACCTGCCTCTTGTTGTAGCGCTTCTTCAGCTCTTGGACTTGGTGTTCTTGGAGCTCGTGCTTGTTGTTTTTCCTTTGCTGGCCGACGCGTTGGTCGAAGTGTACCGACGGAGTGATCATGTCGATATGCTCGACCAGGTGCTCCGGAACGTGATACTTTTCGCAGGCAACGTGCCTATGTCCTTGCTCGTGCTTGTAGGCGTAGTACTCGGTCTTCAAGAGCCGTTCGACCTCGCCGACAGTGCCGTTGAATTGAACCCAGTTACGTCCTTTTGAGAGCCCAATGCGGCTTCTCTTGATGCCCTCGCTCTCTAGCCACTCCATGACGAGAGCAATGGCCTCCTGGCTCGGGGCGAACGTGTTGACGATGTCCTCATGGGTCCAGTGCTTCCCGTAGTTGGGAGAGTCCGGGTGCGCTACATCGTTCATGAATTCATTTGCACGGTGAAGATTCGACTGGGTGAGACCAATGCGAACTGGCAGCCTGGCCATTGCGTGCAATCTGTGGCTCTTGACCCATTCTCTTCTCGACGGGTGCCTTTCCTCGTGCACGACGTGCTTGTGCGACCGTGTCACCGGGTTTGCAAAGGTTACCGCCGCAAGGGCGGTGAACAAAGTGGCCACGGCGCTTAGCTTCATCGTGTCTTCTCCTTTTCGTTGGCTTGGTCGAATTTCTTCCTCACTCTCACATCGAGTTGTTCCCAAGCCAAAGGAAGCGAGCGACAGGCCTGGCTATTTGATCATGTTCTACTGGCTATCGTTCAGTCATGAAGGGGCCCATTGGTGCGACTATGAGCTCCGTACATGACGAATGCGAAACCGCTTTCGATACCATCCCGCGGGCTGGTTGTCCGGGGGTGGGGAATCCAAAACGAACATTTGGGTGAACCACAGCCTGAGCGCAGGGAATCCCCTGCGGCAAAGAAAGGAGCGCATCTTACGGTTGCATTTTGAAGGGTCCGGACGAGGTGCCCACGACACGTTCTATAAGGCTCGCCTCGAAGCCATGTCAGAGAATATCTGTAGGCCGATAGCCGAAGGCTAAGCTTTGGGCGCGCCTCCAAACAATCTTGGCATACAAGGGCTGACCGACCGTCTTGGGATCCTTGGCGTTTGTCAAGCAAAGCGATTCGAGGCTGTTTCGTGCCACCCATGCGAGACGGACGATCAGGCGGTCACATTTTTTTGTCCGAGTAATTAAAAGATGTAATATATGAGGGTTCTGACGACAGTCGGCAAATGAATCGAGAGGCGAGAAGAAAGCGAAGAAGAAGAAAACAATGTTTGAATAAGGTCAATTGAAGGCTCGAGCCGCCGTCTGGAATTTTGGTTGCATGAGATGAAACGCTTTCAGGTATGTGACGGTTTGGCTTCGACACATGGCTGCATGGCCAGCTTCTGCAGCATCCTTTGCTCATTGATTATCTCCCACAACTCGTCAGTCTGCCTTTGTGTCCTGTCGTCGTCGTCGTCGTCGTCCGTGATAGCTGGGGGCTGGGCGTCTTCGAATGCGACAATAGCGGAGTCCAACAGATCGCTCGGCAAACCGAACCTATCGAGCATCGTCCCGAACCTCGTCTCTTGTCCGAGGCTCGTGTTTATTTGAGACGTGAATGCGTACTGCCGCTCAGCCTGGGTGGGCTTGATGACTGCAGTAGGTTTTGTGGACCGGGGCGCTCGGAGCAATGGCGGAAAGACCAGATTTGTTACGGAAGCATTGAGGTCCGTCAACTCTGTAGGATGGCCGCACTCGGTCAATTGCCATTGTAGGATCTTGCCTTTGGTGTGGCCGGACAAAACCGCGGTGCCTTCATAGTTCAATGCTAAACATAAGGCCGGGCCTGCATCTTCATCAGCGGCGCCAATTGGTGAGCTAACCTGAACGACGGTCGACGACGATTCAGCGCTGCTTGGGCCAATCAGTGGCTTGTCCCCGAGCAGCTCTACGAGGTAGAGGGACTTGTCCTCGGATGAAACGAAGAGGGCGCGAGCGCAGGGATCCATGGAAATGCAGAGCGGAGCCGTCGGGAACAACAAGGTGCGCAGGACTTGGCCCGTCTGGTAGTTCCAGATGATGCATGTCTTGTCTTTGCTGGACGAGGCGCAGATGCTGGTTTCGGGATTGACACTGGGGCTGACGGCGAGCGAGGTGACGGCAGCCCGGTGGTTGGAGAGGGTGCGGTCCGGCTCGGGGTCGATGGAGGCGTTCAGCTCCAAGAGACGGGACAACGTCCAGACGTGGATGTTGGAATCTTCGGAGCCGGTGAGGATGTGGTGAGGCGTGACGGCCAGGCACGAAACGGCCTGGACATGGCACGGGGGTGTGATTAGCTGGCGACCAGTGCAGGTCTGTTTGTTTCGTTAGCGACTGGCGTTTCTTGGTTTCCCTATGGCCTTCCAGGGAGGAGGGCGCTGTTCGCTTACCTCCCACAAGATGAGTCTGCCTTCAGAGGTACCCAACGCCAAGACATCGCCGATCAGTGCCAAGCTGCGGATGCGCTCAGGGAAGGTGACCGTTGTTTCTTGGATGCCGCGCGACCTCGTGTAAACATGGACCTGGGACTTTTCGTGCTGGGCGGCGAAGACGTGCGAGTCACTAACAGCCAGGCAGTTGGCCGGGGTTGCGCTTCTCTTGAGCGTCGACTTGACGGTGTAGCTGGGGCTGAGAGTGTGGGCGTAGATGCCGACATCCTTGGAGACGGCTGTATTTGCCTTGATGGGCGGGCCGCAGATGGACGAGTAGAAGTCCTCGGACAACATAGTGTGTAGCGAGTAGACGATGCAGGACGCTCCGGAACGCGGTTCGGGCCGGACAGTCGCGTTCCTACTCAGACGGTGCTACGACGGCTGTCCTAGAGCCGTTCCAACCCCGGATGCTCGGGTAAAAGGCACGCAGGGGATGTGTCAGGAGGATGAGCGGACGAATCGCGACAAGATGTGCGAGGGGCCACGAGGTGGACAAGACGGGTTAGTTGCCCTTAGAATTGACTCAATGCCACAAGATGTTTCTTGGTTAGTGCGACGGTGATCGGTCTAGCTGGCTCGCCTGAATCTTCGAGGCCACGTTTGGGGTTTGATGCCAAAGTCGTGTCTCCCGCTTTCTCTCTTTTTCTCTCTGGCAATGGGCCGAAAAAGTGAGAGAGGTTGGACGAGGAGTGCAGGCAGGCAATGGTGTGCGTGCGGATGCCCGACGGTGGTTGCTTATTCGAGTTTGTTGGGGAGACGCCGACGTTCTCGTGGCTTCAATATAGCAGATGCGGACCTTCGAGCAACGACGGCTACCAGGCAATGAGCGTGAAGGCTTGAAGGCGTTTATTTGGTGAGATGAGGCAGTGAGGCTTGCATGTCACAGCTAGCGACGATGGAAAAAATTCCCTTATCGATAAGTGAACGGAGCGAGCGGGTCGCCGCCACGGGACACTGGAGTTCGGGGGGGGAAGGAGCGCCCCACGATGCCGGATGGGACCTTTCCTCTTGTGTCGGCGTGCATTAGTGTAGGTACATACACTAGTTAGGCATCTGGTTATGTACCTAGATAGGTAAGTGCCTGCGCTACGTGGGTAAGTACCTACATACCTCACTGTCTGCTTAGGTAAGTACATTGGGATACGCACATCGCCTAGGTAGATTCCTACTTACCCATCTTACAACACACACACAGTGCTGTTAGCCACCCGAGCTGAGCGCCTGCTCGCTGTGGCATCTCTCCCGCACCAGTCGCGGAGGCTCCCTTACAGCGGTCAAGCAGCTAGGTATCTCAAGGACGCTCTACCTCACCGCCCTGGCCGCGCTAACAGGCCGTCCCAAGCGGAGGACTTGACTTGCCTTGGAACGGCGCTGCTGCACCTGCTAAAGTCTCAGCTCCTCCCTCCCCTTGGATGCAACGTCCACTTTCAGACTCGCATAGTCAACATCCAATCAATCAATCCAACGGCGCCTTCATCAACAGCTTTCGAATACACTGTCTACACTACGGATACGTACACTCCAATCACTGCCATCGCCAACTCTCTCTGCCGTGTTTTCCAGAAAGACGTGTCTTGTCTGCTGCCGCATTAGCCCACGCCACCAGATGCACCGATATGCCTCGTCAACACTCACCGCCCGTTCGACCTCTTCCTCCTCCTCCAACAACTATTCCTTCTGCTATCTTTTGGACCTTTGCCTCCAACATCGTACTACACGTACGTTATCTAGCCAGCTGTGGGGCAACACACCTCAAGATGGCGCTTGTCTTACGTCCTCGAGCACGCTTTCCTTTCGGCCTCCTCTATTAATGTTTGTATCATGTCGCCGCCAAAGACGAGCCCTTTTCTCTTCGTTTTACCCTTGATGCTAAGATCGCCAGCTACCATGCCATCATATGTGCTAAGGTAGCAGCTTCGGGGGTGGCCACACGTGTAGTGTGCATAATACGGGATGATTACTGTCACATCTCACCTGCAGCTCGCCTCGCCAACCAAGGGCCCACGGCCTTCCTCGTCTTGCCAAATGCGGGCAAACTCTACTGTGTGTTTTTTTTTTTTCTTTTCTTCCCAGCTGCTCACCTTGTGGCCCATGTGCTTGTCCTTGTGGTCACGATTCAATATGCTGGCCACCACGACGTTATTGCTTAATCGATGATATGCACCGCGCCTCTTTCAAACATCCGAGACAAGACGTGGGTAAGTCTGTCACTCCCCGCTGTCGACGAGACGCACAGATGGCTGACGAGAGCGCCAAACCAATACAGGCCATGAGGCCCGTCAACACCGCCTCTCCGTCGCGAGTGTCCCGGTATCGACGACGCGCAGTCACGGGCAACATCACGTCGAGCAATCCCTCTTTGGGTCTTCAATTTCGCCAAAACACGGTTTGCTGAACTGCATAGCCCTGGTAAACGCAGGGGGCATTCCCTGCTCATTGCCGCCGGCCCCCCTGGCCTTGTGGTAGCCGTCAAACCGTCGTCGCATTTGTCTGGTCCAGTAAGGCCTCGCTCGCCTCTATAATACATACCTGTAGTACGAACACTCCGCACAACAGAAGCCCCCCCCCCCCCCCCCGCCCCTGTCTGGTCAAGAGCCGTTGAAAGCAGCAGGCAATTCTTTCGGATGCGCCGATAGTTTTGCGTCATGGCGCGGACACATAGAGCTGCATCTGATGGGGCGTGATGTAGCACGCACTTCAATCTCATACTGCTATTACTGACACTATTCTCAAGGAGAGACGAATGCGTAGGCTGGTTGGCCGGCAGCCGGTCGGTCAATTAAGCGATCGGTTGAGGATCCAGGGTGGGCGGAGAAAGAGAGTCACGCCGACATTTGGATTGGCGATTTGCGCAAACTCTCTCCCAGACATACAAACAAGCGACGTACTCACGTAGTACTCTGTTCTGTTTTCGTACACTTATACCAAGTGCGGTTGTCCGCTCGGAATACTCCCGGTTCTACCGAGTATGAAGTACGGTGCGCCCACGCATTACACGCCACGGGGCCACCCAGATCGCCATCTCAGGCATGCTGCCAGGGTTGCGTCCCCTCTCACCATCCTGTCACGACCTGCTCCTCGTCTCGTTAGGCTGCGCCACCATCAATCTCCTGCTGAGCCCTGGACCCTGGCAGGGGCCTTCGATTTGGAAGGGGACAACAAAAAGGCAGAGAGTCGAGAGACAACCCCTCCATTAGTCGGTCCACACCCTCCTGGCCAGGAAGTGCCGAGACGAAGGGCTGCCATCACTCGGGAACACGCTCGCCCTCCAGCAATCTCCTTCTCCCCAACAGGAAAAGGCAGACTGGACCTGGACTGGACTGAGTGGCCGTTTTGCACAGATGCTTGTGCCACATTTTGCATTACAAGCCGCTGGATCTGCGACGTTTGTAGGTAGTCAACGACCTGGAGGCTCCGGGGGACTGCCAAACACAATAACACCAGACCACACTAGGTAGCGCAGGTATACGCACGCGCCTCGGCCGTGCTCAGATACCTTGCACAAATATGGAATAGGCGATTACATGATAGTGGGCAGGCCTTTGATACCATGGAACCGTTCGAGTCCGTTCTCGCGACCCCTCGATCTTCTACGAATATCCCCCGGGAGCCGGGCTCGATTGTCCTCTTTCGCCCGTCACTTCATCGATGACGGTTCCGGTTCCGCGCTCGGCCGATGCGAGATTTCGAATCGTGTCCGGTAGGGTCAACGACATGTTTGGTTCGGGAGGAAGCCCCTTCGAATGTTCCATCTGTCACCACATGGTACGGAGCCGTACTACCGACCGATCTTCCTATGGGCACAGCCGTATGGCAAGGGCGCTCTTTCATTGGCATTGGGTTTGCGACTCGGTAGGACAGAGAGCCGAATAAGCTTTGATTACAGCCCACCGCACCGAAGCTCTCTGGCGAATGGTGTCGTCGTTTCTTTTGTCCCCGTATGGCCCGCGAAGTGCCGGATGCAGAGCAGATGTGCACCGGGAACCCGCTGCTAGTGTAGCATTATTGAACGCCGAACTGGAGCCCATTTATTTTTGCTTCTGCTTGCTCTCTGACTGACCTGACTGATGTGGACCGAAAAAATCGGGGATGGATGCTTGCTCGATGATGATTTTCATTCCACCACAACGCTATGTAGTTTATCGACGTTTAGAAAGGGTGAGAGAGAGCGAGAGAAAGGCCAGATGATGGAGCCGTCCCCCCTGACCCGGCCCGCCCTACCCATCCGCGAACTCCGACTGTCAGGACAGGGATTCCTTGCTCCTATCATCATCTCTCTCTCTCTCTCTCTCTCTCTCTCTCTCTCTCTCTCTCTCTCTCCTCCCTCTCCCTCTTTCTGTTTCTCTATGGAAGGAATGCAGGTCGGCTCGACTCGGGAGGGCCGCATAAGAGAGAAACATGAAAAAGAAAGCTTGCAGCTAAAGGGGAGAAGGGGGGCGGGGGAGGGCAAGCGGTTGGCTACTGCTGCAATGTAAGAGGACCGACGAGGCAGGCAAGGACAAATAGGATGGCGGTGGCCAAGCCCATACTGTCTTACACCGAACAATGAGCAGCAAGCCATTTCATTCGGCGTGTCCCTGTTATTATTTTGTTGTTGTGCTTCTCTCTTGAGGTGTCACGACATAACGCAGCTCCCCCCCCCCCCCCCCCCCCCCACAAGTTTTTGTTCGGTTCGCGTAAGTGCTCTGCCGTTATTAACCGACGGGACCACAACCATGTCCCTTTGGTCATACGCAAAAATTTTCGACACGGCAAAACTCGAGACAAAAAATGATTGGTCTCCCTGATTGGCGCACATTACAAGCATAGCAGGGATTGACTAACCACTCGTGGTGCGGTTGCCGGCGCGAACGATCGGTGAATAAACGTCCAGTTCGGAACAGCCACTGTGTTTTGATAAAAAAAAAAAAGGAGGTGCCAGTTTAGTCCAGCCATAGTATACATTTCCGCAGGATGATTTGCCACTTTGTGACACCATATGTGTAATAACCCTCCGATACCGGTTCAAAAAGTGATTCGGGTAAACCGCCGGGAGGATTCCGGTGGCCGGCCGGGCTTTTGCTATGGGGCTCTTCATGTCTGGATGCTACTGCCCATATACTTGTGCGTAGGTTGTCTAGTCAACACTTTAGAACATATAATTTCGGTTGCGATTCCCGAGTATCACGTTCACAACGACACGTGCCCCCCCCCCCCCCCCCCCCGTCAGGCAACGCAGCACAACTCTCGTTTATCTCACTCTTGGACGTCACCTTCAAGGCGGAACCCATTTCCTCTCAGCCTGCCTTTCTGATCTGTCTACGGAGTAATCCGATCCCATCCAACCTCTCTCTCTCTCTCTCTCTCTCTCTCTCTCTCTCTCTCTCTCTCTCTCTCTCTCTCTCTCTCTCTCTCTCCACCCCCTTCCCCGAGAACCCCTTCTTCCGTTTCCCAGATTGGGGAGCCGCCGGGCCGGAACACACACAAAAACAGATTTATCTAATTTTTCGGATTCCTCGCACTCAGCACTCAACAACGAGACGGCGGACTTGGACCATTGGTCCCTGGTAGCGAGCTAGGCTCCTGCTCTGCCCTATTGCTCAGTATTGTGCCCACCGCCCACGGGCTCTGGGTGTCCATTCACACTGGAGCATTGTGTTGCACATACATGGTATCCGAGTGTGTACACCAACCAGCACACTGCGACGCTGCCTCCCTTCTCCCCCATCTCCATCTCCATCCCATCCCCATCTCTTTCCCTGTCGTCTCTGCCCTGGCCATCCCAACAGGCCCCGGCCAGGCGAGGTCGATAGCAGCGCACCCTCCCTGGTTTGAACCTTCTCCCCTTTTCTCCAACAAGGTCGTCCAATGGCATGAGCGTCAACCCATGTGGTATGCACCCCATGTTCGCGTTAGACGTTCCAGCTCCCTTCCCTGACCCACACAAAAAAGAGAAAGAGGCGCCCCCTGCAAGGATCATCTCTCCAACTAGCTTTAAAGCATCCCGTTCGCTGGCCCTGAGACGAGTACGCTCCGTCCGGAGCATGAAAAACCTCTTGCCACTGACCCTGCCCTCCAGCTCCGGCTCCAGCTCCAGCTCCAGCTCCAGCTCCAGCTCCAGTCCTTGCTCCCGCTCCAGCTTCAGCTTCAGCTCCAGCCCAAGTCCTTGCTCCAGTTACAGTTGCAGTTCCGCCTCGCAGCCGACCGCCAACCATCATCATACTGTCCTTTCTTCGCCGTCGCCGCGAGCTGAGTCTCGACCTGAGCACCACCACCAGTACCTTCACCGCCGCCATCATCACAACCTCTCCTATTACCGACGCCATCGTCGGTCCTTGTCGCAGGCCGATATCTTCATCTCCTCCGCCACCTCCCCGAGATATCAGGCCGACCGTTTTCGCCTCCGAGCCGGCGCCATGGCCGAAGCTACGGAACCGACCATGGACTGCAACCTGCCGGAGTTGCTGGCCCAGGACCTCGAGTTTTCGAGCCTCATCTTTGCCGCCAAGAACATGACGGCCGGTGCGCCCTCTCCCGCCCTCGCGTCCGACGAAGATGACTGGCCCGGCGGTGCCGAGCCCCCGACCGTCCTCGGCGCGCCCTGCCACCCCAACAGCGTGCCACAGTTCCAACCACTGGGCGCCATCGACGAGAAGAGCTCCGCCAGCGGGGCGAGCGAGCACGACATATCCGACGACGCCTCGAGTTCGAGCGGCGACTCCTTCAGCATGGCCGGCAACGACGTCGAAGACGACGCTGCCGAGTCGCCGCACATCCGCCAGCAGTCCGTCCTGACCGCCGACACCACCCTGTCCGTCTCGAGCCAGCCCCCACCGACGGCCTCCTCTCAGAAGCGTGTCGTCTCCTTTGGGGCCGGTGTCGAGGGCAGCCCAAGGAGCTGGATGGACTTTGAGCCCGAGGCCCCCGCCGATCACCCCGAACTCGGCAAGAGCCTGGCGCAATCGCCCGTCACAACGCCTCTGAAGCCGGTGCGGCCACTATCCCGATTGGGAGACCGTTCGATTAACGAATCATCGCCGCAACGGGCCAGAAGCGCTAACGCCGCCGTCACCTCCCGCGAGCTGTCTAACCCGTTTGAGGGCTACACGCGGCCCGCCAGCCGTGCGCGGAGTCTGCATGGGAACCCGACGACGGCGGCCGGCAAGGCGCCGTACTCGCACCAAAACCACTCGCTGCACTCTTTCAACCCCGTCGACATTGCCGTCCCCACCCGCTGCTCGTCCCTGAACCATCGCGTCTCCTTCACGGACGACGCCCGCAAGGTCATCGCCACCAACCGCCGTCGTGCGCGTTCGCACGCCTCAGATCAGTTCGTCGTCCCGGCGGCGGACCGCAGCTCCATCATCTCCGATCTCAAGGAGGAACTTGAGCCGTGGTTCCGCTACCTCGACGCAGATGATGACATTGTTCCCCCCCCGGGCCTGGCCCCTCCTCTGCTTGTGACGCCGCGTTCGGGCTCCCGCTCCGGCGTCTCGCGTGCGGTCACTACCCCGACGCGGCGGTCCCGTTCCAGTTCCCAGACCCAGACCCGATCCCGGCCGAGGTCCTCCGTGAGCACCTCGTACACATGGCTCGAGGACCCCATCGACATCCCGCCGCCTCCCTCCGACGACCAGAGCCGCCGCATTCCCCTACCTCCCAACGTCATGGAGTCCATCCGGGTCTCCGTGACGTGCTTCCCCGAGACCATGCTCCTCTGCTCCAGCCTCTCTATTGAGACGATACGCAGCTACTCCCGCAAGGTCCGCCAGCCGCCGCTCGGGTCACTCCGCCCGGATACCCCCCCGACTTCGCCCAAACGCTGGCGTTGGCTGTCCTCCCGCAAGGCGTCGAATCACGGCAACAGCGGTGGCGGCGACAACGTGGGTGGTAGCAGCGACAACTTGGGGGGTGGCAACAGCAGCGGGGGCAACAACAACTACAACAACAACGCTAGCCGCCGCTGCTGCTCCCGCAACTCCTCGAACGTCGACCTCCCTGCCACCATGGCCCCCTCGACCACGACACTCGCCCCGCCCCAGTGGTCCCGCATTCGCAGCATCTTCCCCCACGGCTCCGACTACCTCTGCGACGCGCTCTACGCGCACATTATCGTGTACAACTACCTCGCACCTATGGTTATGAACCTTCGTCACGGCGCCGCAGCGATAGCGAGGCCCCTGAGCCCCGGGAGCCCTGCTAGCACGGAGGAACCAATCCCCAGGAAGGCCGCGACGCTGCTCGGGCTAGAGGGCGGCAGGCACGAAGCCATCCCTCTGCCGGCGCCTCCGAGGCCGCTGCGGAAGCGGTCGAGCATGTTCCTCGGTCTGCGCGCGGCCTCGCGGCAATCGACCCATCCCGCGCCGTCTCTGCCGCCTCTGCCCCCGCTCCCATCCTTACCACGCGCCACGTCCGCCGCAACGACGTCGGCGCAGTCGGCGCCAGACGTGTCGCTGCGGGAGCTGCAGCTCGGCCTGCACCAGTGCATCGCGCGGCTCGTCACGACGCTGCGCGCCGAGGGGACGGCCGAGGGCCCTATTGCGGGAGACGCGACCAGCGACGTGGACCCGCTCGTGCTACGGTCCCTCTGCGAGATTGTCCGGTGCTGCGAGGAGGCGCTGACGAGTGACCGGTCCATGTAATAACATCAGTATTTTCCCCCCTCCATTATACCACTACAGCATGGCCGGTCTTTTTTTCTTCTTGTTCCTGTACTTTTGTTATAACTTTTATATCGTATTACAAGCGTTGTTTTTGTAGAGGGAGGACATACGGGAAGCCTTTATGAGAAAGGGAAAAGGGGGGAGGGCGAATAGCGCGCGACGTGTCTGGTTTTTTGGTATATATACCCTCTTTGGATTTTTTTTCATCCTCGACTTATTGTACAAGTCTCTGGCGGCATGGAGTAGAGGAGTGGATGGGAAGCAGGTCAGAGGCGCGGGATTCTCATGGAAGAAAGGAAAACTTGATGAATGCCTTTTCGGTTTAGAGGTTACTGCCTGAGCGTAATGTGGTCTAGGTAGAGAAGGAAACCCCCTCCCTGAGGGCCCAGTGCCGCACCGTATTCTTGTCTCTGATCCATGTCGGTTGCTGCCGCTGTCCTCCGTCCGTCGATGAACTGATATGACAGCCACCAACACGGCAACGAGGGCGCGGGCACCCGTCTACTGCGTCTTGTTGTTTCCCCCTACCCGGCTGCTCAAGCCTCTCATGGGGATCTTTTGACTCGGGGCGCTCGAATCTCTCTCACCGACAAACATCAAGCGTGCCCAGAAAGGTCTTTGCAGAAAAACCCTCATACCCGCCGCACCCGTTCGCTGCCTACCGCGACGACGCGGGACCGAGAAACTCTGACGATAATCCAACGTCGTCCACCCGGAGCCCCGGACAAGGGCAAAATCCACTAGAGGGTCCTCCGAAAACGACGGGGTAAATGGACCGAAACAAGAGTCGGGGTTCGCGCCCCGGAACGGCTAGTTCTCCGGCAAGTCGAAAGGCTTCCCCTCCTCACCAGGACTATTTTACGACCGCGCAGCTAGTCCAGATTTGCCCGTCTCCCTCCAGGAAGAGATGGTCGCTTTGGTGGTGATGTATCATTCCATGGTGACATGCATACATACCACGGGGGCAACGTCCACATTTCAGGGAGTGACATGCATTCCATGCGGGTGACATGCATACCACTGAGGTAACGTAAACATTCCGTGGCGGTGAAACACGTCACGTCCACCGCTCGGTTCGTGCCCCAGTCGCGGTCCCTTCGCGACATTTCCTCCCCCCACCATTCCGGCGGCCGGACCGGAGATGAATTGGCATTGTTGCAGGTCGGCGCCACCGCCGACGCCGCCATCGTGGTCGTTGTGGCAACGTGTGCTGGGAATGACAGGGACGGCGGCGGCGGAGGATAGGGGTTGACTGGAGATGCCATTGCAGGACCAGCTGCGTTCGGTCCCGGTCGACGGACGCGGGTCCATGTCCTGTTAGGAGGTCGACTTCGTGTGCAGTCCCTTGTGACTTTGAGGAGCAGGCGCCAGGGCAACGCGCAGGTTCTGGAGGAGCTTGTCGGGTTCGATGAGCACCTCAACAGGCGGGCGTGCCGCGGTGGTGAACTGCGTGTGTTTGCTGGATCACCCCCTCGGCTGTTTTCCTTCCTCATCAACCACAACGCCGCTGTTTCCAGTGCCTTGTTGCTATGATGACGAACTTGGCCTAACGCCTAGCCCAGGCTCCCTTCCTCATGCTACGAATACTCGACGCCTCTCTCGAAAGGATAGGGATCCCTGATGATCCTCCCCACCTGCGCGTCCCAATCCACCGCGCCGGCCCCGTTCCCCTCGTCCTGTCGATTGCCTACCCCGGGTCCCCCGGGGCTCGCGGCCGGTCCGTGCCCGTCCCCGTTCCATACCCTGGCGACGCGCCCCCGGGCCCGGACGCCGGTGACGAACCCGTTGCTCAGCCCGAGCAGGCCGGCGCTGGCCAGCAGCAGCACCAGCAGCACGAGGTTCCCGGCCTGCGAGACGTTGCCGCTGAAGACGGCCACCATGTACACGACCAGCTTCGCCGCGGCCTCGAGGTAGCCCTGCACGGCCGTCTTGGAGAGGAGCCAGGCATCGGTCGTCAGGGCGGCGAGGTCGGCGGCCGGGCCGCGCATGCGCACCTTGAGCGTCGGCGAGAGCGGGACGATAAACTCGGAGAGCTTGGCGGCGGACGACGACGACACAGTCGTCGGCGGCGGAGGGGGAGGGGGCGGGGGCGTGCGCTGTTTGATGACGTAGATGTTGAGGACGCGGGAGGCGATGAGAGCCAGGATCAAGGAGAGACCCCACCCTGGTTTACGACGTTTAGCACAAAAGAGTCCCCTTCCGGAGGCTGGAGGAGGGTTTTTAAGGGGGAAGGGGGGGATGAGAAATTCCTCGTCAAGAGGATGATCGGAGCACTCACAGTCCGCTAGCAAGACCATGATTGTCAGAGCCGCGAAGGTAAGGGCCGGGGTCGTGAGGTAGAGCAGGTGGCTGGCGCGCTCAAACTCCCAGTCGGCGTCGTGCGCGAAGGCCCGGCCGCGCCTCCGGCCCCGGCTGCCGAGGGTGCCGACGTCGAGGGTGATGATCCTCCTTTTCCAGGTTGTTAGCACGTAAGACGCATGTCCGGGAGTTTCACTATCACATGTTCGGACAAGGCTTAGCTCCTGGTCAAGAACAAAAGTTCGGTATCCCGGACCCCGAGCCGCGACAGGAAGAGAAGCATCCCCGGGTTCGTGACCCGGACGTCTATCCTCCGCCCGCCGGGGAGCGCCTGCGTGCCGAAGATGCCGGGGGTCCCCGAGGAGGTCTCGGCGGTGACGGCGCTCCCTGCGACGCCGTCGGCCGCCTGCTGGTAGTGCAGGCCCGGGGCGAGGACCAGGGCGTCGAACCAGGAGGACGTCCCCGTGAGCGCGGTGCGGTTGGCGATGGTCTGGAGGTCGGCGAGGGCGACGAGGCCCGCCGCCGAGAGGGAGAGTTGGGGAAACGGTTCTTTGGAGAGGACCGGGAAGGGCATCGTTTATTGTTTTTTTGGTTCGCCTTTCCCGACTCTTGTCTCGAGAAGGACTTGGAGGGACAACAGACCTCGGCGGCGGACAAGAAGGGAGGCGGCGCCCCTCTATTTGTGCAGGATCCGGCACTGGGATCTGGAGGAAGAGAGGGGCCCTTCGGTCTCGCCCGCCGATGACGTGGCCGAGTTCGTGAAAAAAGAAAAAAAGATAAGGCTGTCACGGGATGAACATGGTCGTCGATTCGTTTTCTTCTTCCTCTTTTTTTCCCCCCTCCCCCGCTGGCAAAGCGACAAAGAAATTGGAAGCCGTCCAACTCGAGGCTTTATCTCGAGACCTTTTTACCGGTATCTTGAACAAACCAGCGACAACCAAGCAACTACGAGTCCGAATGACCCCCGGAACAGGGTTGTATCCTGCTGCATGCAGGGCTGACTGACCCTCCCACGCGGATCAACGTCAACGTCCAACTCAGCGCGCCCATGTGAATGAAAGTTGGAGCCAAAAAAAAGGTTCCAGACCGTTGCGGAAACGGCGCCTCCCATGACCGATGCTACTCCCCCACAACCCACACACGCCTGCGCGCTAGACGACGCCGTCGACGTCGACTCTGCACCTTCACCTTTGTACCCCCTCCCCTGGTCCCCGATTCTACCGAAGCTGCCGATGCCGGCCGCCGCCGGGTGGGGCCCGTTAGAGCTAGACTCGATTGGTCGGTACGCATATACGCACTCGAGTGGGAAGTCTCCATGGAACCCCCGCACGAGGGCTCCGGTTCACCAAAGGAACATGAATTCTTTTCAGCAACAAAAAGGACGCGCGCGTGACCTCGGCGCAGAGCAAGCCACATTGAAAGGTTTTCTTTTTTTCTTTCAGTTTTTTTTTTTTTTTTTTTTTAGTTTTTTTCCCTCTTTTTCTTGGGGTACTGTTGACTGCAAGTATTACAGGGCGAACTCTAGCTGTTCACACCATCCTGCGCGTGTTGAGGCGAAAGTCATGCCAGAGGTCTCGGGGGGCATGTTTTTTGTGGACAACAAAGGCCAGAAGTGAATGTTGCTAAGTAGGCTCTATCAGACAGAGGACAGAGAAGTGTGCTAGACGATGCCTCCCTTTTCCTCGACCTCACTTCCCCCTTATATACCAATCGTGGATACGCGTCGGCCGGCGTGAAGCCTCAACTTCGCCAACTCCCTTTCCAAAGACCCCTCCATACTACCCCCCTCCCCCCTCCTCGACTTCTTCCCATATCGCCTTCTCCGTCTGGCCTGCTCCGGATTGGGCGCCATCCAAAACTGCTCAGTCCACCAGCGACCCGCTGCCTGCCGCCCGCCGCCGTACCCCGTAGCGCTGCGAAGAGCTTGACGACCTCTCCGAGCATTTACCTTCTCACCGTCTCGCCAAATGTCTCCTATTCTCCTTCTATTCGCTCGTCCCGGGGATCATTCGGCGGTGGTGGCCGTAGCAGGGGGGTTAATGACTGCGAGTTGGACGACTGTTCGAACGAAATACCCAGATGGAGGTAATCTGTCGAATTCACCGGGGATGGACGTCTTTTAGCCACCTTCCCGAGCCCCCCCCCCCCCAAAGCGCCTTTCCGGAAGACACACCATTCGTCGCCGAGACAAAGTACTAAACCTCCTCGGTTCCCACCTCACCGGGCCCTTCGGCGCCGAAGAAAAGCAGGACCAGCTGTCTGGCTGAGCCCATCCCTCACATCCACACGCCCACGTGCCCACACACACAGACACACACAGCCTTCCTGTCACCCAGTAACCTTAAAACCTTACTATAAAGCCCTCTCGACGCCAGCCCGGCCGCTCCGTTTAGGCAATCATACAATGGACGGAAGAGCGGGGCTACCCTGTGAGTTTAAGCGTTGGAGAGTGATTTGCGCACAACCCGGCGGCGCGTGAACACCGACCACCTCCCCCTCCTTCCTCACATCTCAGTTCCGAAACCTTGCACCGAGGACGATGAGGAGGAGAGAGCGCGAAAGCCAGTCTGGCCCCGGCTATGGTGCGAGAGGAAATTCAGGCGTATGATGGCAGGCCGATTCAGGGAGGCCATAAAACCCACCCCGTCATAACAGTCGTCCAAATCTACCGCCGCTGTTACTGAGTATATATATATATATATATATATATATATATATGTGTGTGTGTGTGTGTGTGTGTGTATTCAAAAGGCCGACCCTTCAAAGCAAAGAGAGAGCCAGGAACGCGCAGCGTCTCCCGAAAGGTGAGCGTTTTGTCTTACACCCCACGCATGAGACACCGTACAGGTCGTCGTTCGTCACAGGACGAGAGAGCGCCGCGTAAGCTCTGTCAGTCTGTGTGCGTGCCTTATAAGTACCCTTTTAGAAGAAAAGAAAAATACGGAATCAATAACGCCAAGAACCAAGTCCCAACGTCATGCCCACCCCTCACGCCTCGGCTGTCTGCCGAACCGACCGACTCGAGATGCCCTCGGGACAGAAATTGGACGGACGGCTGGGATATGACGGTGCGGCGGTGTGTACGAGCACGTGTATGCGTGCGTGAGTGTCTCGTATGGCGTGCCCTGTGCCGCCACGACTCGCGGTTCTCTTCCTCCCTCACCCCCCCCCTCTCTCTCTATTACCATGCCACTTCCCTGCCGCTACCCTGCCGGCAACGACTCAGACGTGTGTTTTCCAAAGCGAGGAAGAGAGCAGGAGGGGTCGGGCATGGGGGCGGCCTCTCCCTGTCCCTATCTCTCTTTTCTCCGTGCCCCACGACAGAAGACGGGAAAACCGCCAAGCCCACGGGACCTTCGTGGGCGCATACTACCCGTGCCCCGGAGAATTTTTAGAAGAGAAGAAAAGAGAGAAAAAAGAAAGAAAGAAAAGAATGTCTTGGTTTCCTACACGACTAATAAGGCGAGACAAGAGGGAGGAGGGGTATTGGGGGGGGGGGGGGGGGAGAACGCATTCATCCCGCTGCTATTTCCGTGGCCTTGGGATATCTTGGCTAAACGATGCCGTTTCGGGAGGGAAGCCTCATCGCGGCTGCATATTCGGGAAGTTGATTCCCATCTTCTTTGGAACCCCCCCAATATCTCGGCACTTTCTTTTTTTTTTTTTTTTTTTTTTTTTTTTTCATTTTTCCACCTCAGACTGTCGCCTCCAAATCGACATGTACTACGTCGACCGCCGCTCTGGGTTCTTCAAAAGCGTTGCAAGATGATTTTTGCGCTGTTGATTCCCCGAGGGCCAGGTGATTGGGCACAGACGAACAAACTCTTCTCCTTGATCCGATCATTACTATTTTATTTGACTCATTGAACTATGGTGCATCGGGACTCTGGAACCCCGTGGTATCTCTCCCACCACGGACTGGCATCTGCCCTCCGTCCACAACTGTTTTGCTAACCGACTTCATTATTCCCTCGCCTGAGAGGTCTGGAACATCAGTCATCTTGCCGGATTTGCAAGACCAGGCGTTAAAAGGCAATCATTGATAGGTCCATGTCACCCCCTGGTGGCTAATAGGCGCAAACAAAGAATAGAGATATGCCCAGGTACAAACTTTGCTCGTAGATTAGGCCAATTTGTAGTGCCTGACGACATAGTAGTAGCCTTGTTTTCACCGTACATGCTGCACCTGGGTTCTTTCTGGCGGGGAGCCCCCCCTCTTCGCCCATCATCATGACATTAGATTACAGTTGAAATCAGAACAGGTATCAATGATCGTCATATGTCCTGGTTCGTTTTGTTGTGCTGGGAGCCTCAAAGCCCCATCCGGACGCTGACTCCTTCGCTAGCGATCGTCGTCGGTAGCGCTTGGTGATCTAAGCATGGCCGGCAGCGGGTGCAGCCTTGGGAGCCTCAGCGGCGGGTGCCTCAACGGCAGGGGCCTCGGTGGCAGGTGCCTCGGCGGCGGGGACCTCGGCGGCAGGTGCCTCAGCGGCGGGGACCTTGGCGGCAGGTGCCGCGGCGACAGGCGCAGCAACAACGGGGTTGGCAATGTTGGCACCGGCGATGGTCTTCTGGGCAACCTGAAGGATGTTCTCCTGGCCAAGGGTGTTCTGAGGGAACCGGGAGTTGAAGCCAATGACATCGCGGACGGCGATGAAAGTCTCGGGCTTGACCATGAGACGCTGGGTCGAGACAAGCCACTGGACACCCTCACTGCAGGGGGGAGTGGTGAGGGAACCCATGTAGCTTGAAGCACGGTTAGTGACAGAGCACATAGGAAAGGGGTCAAACACGGCATCTTACCTCTGGAAGCTGCCGGCAGAGAGCAGGCTGACAACCTCCTGCATGTTCAGGGCGCCAGTCTGGGTGACGGTTCCGGGCTCCTTGATGGCGTCGAGGGAAGAGAAAACGGTCTCGAGCAGGTTGGAAGAAGCGGCAGCCTCGGCCTCGACCTTGAGAGGGGTGGTGCCCATCAGGGGGATGGCCTTGGGGGCACCAGCGGCGGCACCAGCGGCGGCACGGCGTGACAGCTTGCTGCGGCGCTCGACGGTGGCATTTCCTCCAGCAGCACCCTCGGTGACGGGGGCCTCTGCGACAGGAGCGGCAGCGGCGGCACCCCGCTCCAGGTCGATGTAAGTGCCAATGACGGCAATCTCTTGGTTGGCGCCCTCGAAGACCATGTGCATCTCCATGGCCATGCTCTTTCCAGAATCGAGATGCTCGCTAGGCAAGTGGAAGTGAAACTGCTGCAGGGTGAAGTTGCTGCCGGCGACCTGCATCGATCCGCCCTTGGCGATAACCTCGACGGTGGTTCCAAGGTTCTCGAACTCGGTTCCCTCGGCCATATCGGGGATCTCGAGGTTGATGGAGCTGCCGGGGATAACATTGAAGGCGCCGGCGACCATGTCGATGGGGGACTGGGTGGTTCCGGTGGCGCAGAGGGCGTTGGCGGTGGCGTCCAGAGCGACCCAGTTCAGGGGACCCTATCAAATGCTGTTAGTCTTTGGGGGGGGGAGGGCGCCTGGCGAGGCGTAGAGGGTGTTGGTACTCACGGTGCTACCGGTGTAAGCAAAGTTGTTGACCTTGACCTTGCCACCCTCGGCACGGGGGTCAATGTGCGTTCCGTAGGCGCACGAGGCGAGCACCTGGGAGACGGAGGCGGCGAAGAGGCCGGCGGTAAAGATACGGGAAGCCATTGTAATGAAGGTAGGTTACGGGACCAGCGCGTGAGAGGCCTACAAGGGGTTGAAATAAGGAAGGAAGGAATGGAAGCGGGTCTGAGGGGGAAAAGTAAAATGGATTATCGAGACAAAGAGGTATGAACCAGCCCTCTAGGGGAAGAAACGAAACGAACGGTAAAGAAATAAAGGGTGGTGAAGAAAGGACAGGCGGTTTGATGATGGAAGGGAACGGGATGAGGCGAGAAAAAAGAAGTAGTGTCACGATGGCATGATGTCTATATAGTCGACAAGCGACTGAGAGCAGTCAAGAGATATGATGAGGATTAAGCTGGACAATCCAAGAATAGCATCAGTCCCGTTGAACCCATGCGGAAACGAACGAAGAGGACAAGCGGCGAATAAGAAAATTGTGGTGAGGATCTTGGCGGGCGCTTCATCCAGGGTGTCGAGGAGCACGGAGAGGTTCAAAAAGCAAAGTGAGGATGCAGCAGGCGAGTGAAACTGAGGGTTCCCTGTGTTTGGGGATGAGCGGTCCCGTTTCCCACAGTATCACAGGCGTGTTTCTGGCTAACAGAGCAGGGGCGCTTTCGAGCTTCCCAATCCAACCAATGTGACGGTACCCCGTATGTCATCCGGACTATGGGCTGAAGGAGGGTCGGGCATCTGAGCGAAAGAGAGCAGAAGTCCGGGGCGTTTGTCGACCCTTGTCGCGCGATGACAGGAAGGGTGAAACTGCCAGGCTCCGGAGGGCTCAAGGAAGTGTGGGGAATATGGCCATTTTGTCGGTCCAGTGCTTGGCCACGGCGGCGAGCGATGAGAAGATCCTTGCGGGCGAGAGTTGCATGAGTCTCAGTGTGGGGGAGCTGGAGGGAGAAGTGAACGAAGTCTCGGTACTGGTGGTTCGGACGGAGTGGATGCCCCGTCCCAAATTCGCCTATTGGTGATGTCCTTGTTGAGACGACCAGCAGCCGCTTTCAGCATCGACACGGGAAGATGGCTCTTCCTAAACGATGGCGATGGTAATTTCCAACAGAGGCGGCATGACGAAGGAACTAAAAATAGGGTTTTCGGAACGATGCACTAGCGTTCTTGGACGTGAGGTCGGAGAATAGGCGTCCAAGAAGGAACAAGAAATGAGGCTCTGGGAGGTTCCAAGAAGCCGAGAGATGCACCCAAGACTTTGACATAACTGCTCGTGTGGAAGGGCCAAGATGGAGGAGGCCACGGTACCTCTGGACGGTGCGGATGGTGGGCGAGAGGGGATGTACCTCGAACCACACACGTGACTTGCCATGTCTCATTGTTCCTTCCACTAATGGGTGAGTGCAATTACACGTCCCCAGTAGCCTGGGCACGTGTGTGTACAAGAGGTGAAAGGTGCGATGCCCACAGACAGTGGAGTGGAGACGAGTTACTGGACAGGTCAGGAACCACCGGATGGCAGGTGCAAGTCAGGGGGAGAGTCTGCTGGGCAAGAACCAAACCTTATCGCTCATTGGCAACACCTTAAACCTTAACCCCCTTTAAAGCATGCATAACCACGAACCATGGACCATCACCAAGGATCTGGGTCTGCACCCCGTACCCCCGTGTGTCGTCTGCCAGTCTGTTCCTCCCTTCCTCCCTCTTCTTCAAAGGCGACGAGAGAGAGAGAGACTGTGTTCGGACGACACAGGGGCTCCTTTGGCCTAAATCCTGTAGCCAACGTCGCGTGCTGAGACGGCGCACCAAAGGCGAAAGCAGCCAGTTCCAGACCGTGACCAAAGAGAAGGGGGTCGCAAAGTCGAGTTCGCCCCGTAGAGCTTGCGCGCATGCTCGTCACCGCAGGCACGACCCATGATCGAGCTTAATCAAAGGCTTGAGGGACGCGCCAGGACTGAGGAGGCATTGGGTTACGCGGGGTTGAATGGGATACCTATGAGAAGGGGTGACAGGGAGAAGTAGTCGGGGGTGGGGAACAGCTGATTTTTGCAGGGCCAAGAGCTTCAATGGTCGCCAAGTCAAACCGTTGGGGGCACCGAGAAAAAGGTGCTAGTGAGAAATGGAATGCGAACCACAACCTGCTCATGACGACCCCGGGGAATGAGGACGGAGAACAGCGAGATGAGAAATGACTAAGCGAAGCCGGTCGTGTGGCTGAGCCAATGGAACGAACTCGCCATGTGAGAGGAAGAAGAGCAGAGCTGGTCGGTGCGCTCCGTGGCATACGCGTCGACAGTGTACGGATACTACACTAGGTATGTAGGTACTACCTAGGTACGCAACTACGTACCGGTAGTGTAGCGTGCCATCCAGGCGGGACGATGCTGGAGGCCCCTTCCCTGTCCTTAGCGCCTTTCTCTGTCGTGCCCTCGCTGTACGTACCGTTTCGAGTAGTGTAGATACCTACCTACACCCACCCAGGTAGGTTGATCGTACAGTACCTATCCGCCGGCCGCGCGCCTCGCTCGCCAAGTCTTTCACCTCCTAACTTCGTCTGGGCATGTCTCACGCTTTCCCCAAGCAAGCAAGTCGGGAACCTGCAACAAGCCTTTGCCCTCCCTCCGCTTCTCGACCTTCACCCAATCTTCGTCGTTGCAAAGTACATCGACGCCCCATTCGCCGTCTGTCGCCTCTTCTCTCGTACCCGCCTCCTCCCATCGGCACCGCCTGCCCTCATCTCGAGCTCCTTGGCGCGCCCCAAACGTCAGACGCACCTCATCACGCCAAGTCCCAGCGCCTACCGGAACCGCATCTGATGTTGCGACGACTACGGTACACGGACAATGTATCCGTACAGTGACAGCTCGAGAGGCCTTCCTCAACGCCTGCCTGCCGGCTGGTCCTCCCGCCCAAGTTCCGATTGAGATGGCCACGCAGACGAATGCGACGTTGCCCACCTTACCAACCAATGTTTTTTGCCCGGTATACCCCTGGCGACCTCCGAATGCCGTCTTGGAAACCAAGCATTCGTCACCTCTTGCCGGTTCTCGGGTTTCCAATCGTCCTTCTGCGACGCATAAACCACGCCGATGGCAGCCAGCGACCGCGAGCCAAGTCAAACTTCTGCTCCTACTTCGTCAGCGCTGCCCGTCCTGTTGGCTTGTCAGTCGGTTCCTCCAGCTTCCGCAACATCATCGGCGTCTACGCTGTCAGTCAGCCAAACGCCAATGACGTAGAGGAGGTGACGCGGCCATTGAGCAACGCAGACGGTTGCCTCTCGTGATACTGCTATGGCCGCTCTCAACTTGGAACCAGACTCTTGAAAGGGGCTCTAGCGGGCGTTCCTCAAACGTGCCTGCGATAAGCAACGGACAAATAAAAGAAACGGCAACTTGCACCTCTGGATGAGAACCCCCAGCAACATCGTCTTCGGATCACATATGTAATGGTTGGCTTCTCCTGACCAAAGGCTTTGGCATGTCTTCTCCGCATCAGACTCGCCCAGCATGTTTTAGCCCTTGCGGATACGCCACCAAGGCTGAAACCTGGCCATTAGCCCCTTTCTAGGTTGCATTTGTGGCCATCGAATCCTGCAGTACTTGGCACTTGCCTCCTCAGCGCCCTACTGCGAGCCTCTGACTGTCTGCCGAGACAGACAAGCAACACAAGCTTCTGGTTGCCCAGCCCCTAACCAAGCCAAAGTGAAATCTCAGAAAACCGCCCAAGACAAACACAGCCAGATATTGGCAACCCTCCTTTATCATGACTGAAAACTTCTTGTCCCCAACTCATAGCATTTGTTTTGGTTTAGTATCGCTTAACATACCCGATTGAGGACAGTTGTCTTCACCAACGTTCTTCTCGACCGATGATCGACGGATTGAAACGCCCACCCCTAACGGTGCAGAACAGCAGCGCCATTTAGCCCCGTATCACGAAACATTGATTCTCTGGCTAGTGAATTTGGTTGGTCGGGTAAGGAGAGTAATAAGACTACGGTTAAATCTCGCTTGATTGCTATGCCCATGAGAAAGTTATAGATTCAAAAGTCCTCGGTCGGCTTATTAGTTCCCCCGAATGTCTGGTTTGTTCGCTGCTCGCAACCCTTTGAAGCCATTAACACCAATCCCCACCAGCCATGTTTAAGTGGAGATCATCGGCCGAAAGCCCGGCCTAGCGTGGGACCTTCGCAAACCGAATTCGGAATGCGAGAGTCCACAAAACGGCAATCATCGTGTCCCCTCCCGAGTAGAGTTGCCTGCGTAATATGGCTCAACGGACCCGAGCACGGCTGAAAACGATGAAGTAATGATAAGTGACGCTGCGATTACACCGGGCAAGCCAAAGGATTTTCGTTCTCGCTAGCGCGCTCGTGGCAGTCTTGTCGTCCAACCTAACCGTTCCGGGAATCCGAAGCTATGCGAGGCACGATACCCCAATGTCTATAAAGCGATTGCATATTGAAGCCGGTGAATTGCTCATGCTTCCATCACCAATCCATCAACGTGCAACAGCAAAGATATCGACAGCTCAGTTCTACCTATTCTACGTTTTCACTATATTAAAGCCTCGTGGGAAATAAAACAAACAAATATGGTTACCATCGCCCAAGTACGGCAGTCCAACGCCCAGCTCACAGCGGACACCGTTCCGCGGACAGCTGTGTTCGTTGGCGGGACGTCGGGCATCGGCAAACTCACCCTCATCGAGCTCGTCTCTCTCGGCTTTCCCGTGAAGGCGTACGTCGTCGGCCGCAAGGCCACCGAAGCCGCTACGAGGCCGCTGCTCGAGGACCTGCGCCGGAGGAACCCGTCTGCCGAGCTCGTCTGGGTCGAGGGCGAGGTCTCGCTCCTCTCCGAGACGAGCAGGATCTGCGAGTGGATCAAGGCGAGGGAGTCGCGGCTCGACTTCCTTTGCCTGACGGCAGGGTATGCCCCCTTTGGCGGGAGAAACAGTAAGAACCACCACCGACTACCAAACCTCCACTGCCCCATTCCCCCCTTCGCTCACCTCTATCACACCCCTTTTGATACCGGAAGCCGCTGACGCGTCGGAACAAAAAAACAGACACGGCGGAGGGGCTGGATGTGACGCACGCGCTCGAGTACTACGGCCGCATGCTCTTCACGCTGCACCTGCTCCCGCTCCTGCGCGCTGCACCGGCGGCGCGCGTGCTCACCGTCCTCGCGGGCAGCATGCTCCGCGGTGGCGGCGCGGGTGGCCTCCTCCTTGACGACCTCAACCTCGAGGGGCCGGGGGCCTTCGGCGGCGCGCGGACGCAGACGCACATGGCCGTCATGAACACGCTCTTCCTCGACCGGCTGTCGGCGGAGCCGGGCAACGAGGGCGCCGTCACCTTCGTGCACAACTGGCCCGGGGCCGTGAACACGGGCAACATGGCGCGGTACCACGCGCCGAGCCTCTGGTCGCCAATACCGCTGACGGCCCTGCTGCGGCCGCTGTTCCTGGTGGTGGGCTTCAGCGAGAAGGAGGCCGGGGAGAGGCATCTCTACGTCGCGACGAGCCGGGAGATCGGCGGCGGCGGCGGCGACGGGCTGCGGGCCACAGACGGTGGTGAAGCGAAGGGAGGGGGGAGGAGGAACACGAGGGGGCAGGAGGGGCGGCGGGGGCTGTTTCTGGTGAACCACAAGTGTGAGGCGGTCGATAAGAGCGAGATCATGACGGAGTTGAGGGGCGAGGCGCAGGGGAAGGTGTGGGACAAGACCATGGAGATTCTGGGGCCGTATCTGTGACGACGTTTCTGCGGGAGGCGGCTCCGGACTAGTAATACTTTTTTCCCTTTGTTTGAACTCGCGATTCCCTCATGTTTACCCTGGCTTCATACACCAACTCGCTGATCGAATACTCGGCTCTGTTCCGGTGTCAGCAAAGCGCGCTCCAAGTTAGGCTCGGCTCGTCTTCGAAATTCGTATCGTCTTAGGAACACCTCGATTTTCGGCCTATTCTATCGGCTCGATGTGAAAATCTGCCCATCGGCCTCGTGCTTCGCCCAAAGTCCGTGCAGGGCATTGACTCGATCGTGGTTGGATGGGGTGAGAAGATTGAACCGCTCCACGTCAGCGTCCCCAACGATGCTCTGCACCCAAGAGGCAAACTCGTCTGACCGCAGCAAGCCACGGTGAAGCAGGCTACGCCAAGTCGCAATTACCTTCATATGTATCGATGAATACAGTCCCTCCAGATCCCCATAAGCGGTCCACTCTAGTTCGCCCGGTACATATATAATAGCCTGGTTGTGCATATTTCCCTCGATGGCTGCCTTTATTGCGGAAACCCAGAATGGAAAAGGTCTCCCAAGTTTCAGCCGTCTCGAAACATGGCAGAATTGAAAAGAGAAACACCGTGCGCCCTGGCATTAGACCGGCCTTCAGAGTGCGTTGATTTACCTGGGGAACTGGATCTGAGGAACTGGGGCCCTGGTTCTCAACCCTTCTCGTTGTGTTCCAAGTTCCCGATACCTGCTGGTCTTCAAATCACAGGAGAATCCCTTCGAAATTGGGAACGTGGACGTACAGCCGCTAGGAAACAGACAATGCCAGGTGCTTAATCACGTCAAACACGGCATCAAACGCCGTTACCTGCTTGTTACAATAAATAGATAGGAGGCTTCTAACGTTTATGCCGCAGTGGCGGCTACAACGTAAGTATCTAATCAAAACCAACAACTCCAACAAGTAGGCAGAAGCTTTAGAAGATGTAAGTGTTCAATCATTTCACGCTTTCTATCCCCAGTGTTAAGGCCAATGAAGCGCTTCCAGGCTGTTCAGAGCATCTACAACGTCTAGCTTCTCACTGGTCTCAGCATCCTCCTAAGCGGCTATTTCAGACTTAGTAGCTCCTGTTAAATATTAGTATATTACTAGTATCTTGTTGCCTATCCAGATTCATTTTCCTGTCTTACCTATATTGCCTGCCTAGCAGTTTCTTCAAGGGATCTGCATTAAAACCAAGCCAAACAGCAATTAAGTCCATCCTCTATAGCAATCTTGTAGATCAGCCTCCTCACAGCCCTCTGCCTAACTAAGTAGTCTAAATAAATGACTATTTAGGAAGTAGCGAGCATGATAGTATGAACTACCTACTGTCTTTTCCGTCTATATATAACAGATGGCTTGCATAATAAATATAGCTGTCAATTTGCGCGGCACCAGGACCTAGCAGCCTTGCTAACATATAACCGCAAAGGTAGCAAGGAGCCTAACACAACGAACTTTAGTGACACTCAAGCCTTTCAATCTGCTCTTTTACCCATACCGGTTACTGTCTTGAATTTCTTCACACGATCGGTCAAGCTCATTACCACAGAAGAGAGGTTCTACACATGAGTCCGTCAGGCCAGACTCGGAAACATCTCCAACACATCAAGAAAATTATATCAATCAATAGGAGGCAAAGGAGAAGGGCCCACGAAGGATCCTTATATAACTATTCTTAGTAAGGGGTCACAGTTTATAGTAAGTAGATACAACAAGTTAGAGCACACAGCAGGGCACATAAGAGTAGGGTCAAGAGAGGCTTGTTCCTATAGAAGTTGAAATGTAAAGACAGAAACCTATATACACATAAGTAATATAAGTAACAAGTGAAATACCACGTGAGGTAATAGTCACACCGCCCAAACTAAATCCTCGAAGGGCCCCCTATGTTACACCAAGCCCCTATCCGCATAATCCAAACGCCAATTCATCAAGGCTATATATGAATCAGTCGACTAATCCGTTGTTCTATAGTAATCATGGAAAATCTTGGTTTTGGCAAAGAACACATTACAAAACGAGAACACTTTCCCGTGCTGACAATCGTTTGGGATCTCATGAGACTTACTATATTTCTCAGTGGGGTCTGGGGAAAAACGTGCTGTGTTGATCATGGCGGTGGTCGTTGAGAACTTGATGCGGATAACAGATTCTTTTTTTGGCTTATGAGTGTAACCTTCAAAGGTTGTTTAACGCAAAGTCACATGCAGCAATGGCAACGAAACTTTCAACGCAGTCTGACTAGTTTCATGAGGAATGGTCTGAAAGGCATACCGTATATAGATCAAAAGCACGGCCCTTGTCGTGGAATCGTGAGGTAGGACAAGAAACAATTATTGTTATTATAACCCATTGCGCGGGCTTCATAATCTGCTAATTTCCACAGCAAAACTAACTACCCCAAAGAAGATTATTGAAGAAAGAAATATGTAAATGGGAGCTTGAGCCCCAACTTTGTACAAGATGCGCCGCAAGTCGCAAGCGAGGATGTGAATATGGGCATTCCTACAATCCGCTGGGGCACCGAGAGCCTCCTCGATTAAATTTAACGGAACTCGCCGGATCCCTGGCAGCGGGTCAGAGGAATGCTCCTCTGTGCCTTGAGGCAAGCAGTGATAGCACCGCCAACCCAAGAGACACCCTCGTAGGAGCCTTCCTCGTGGGAGTCAGCCATGAAGGTACCAGTCTGGCGGAGGTTGCCGGGGCATCCCTGGTAGGTGCGTCCGTAGCGGCGGTTGGTCCAAGGACGGCTGACGACAACGCCAGTGTAGCCGTCGTCGACGGTTCCACGGATGAGGTAGCCCTGCTGGGTGGTCCAGGTCTTGCTGTAGTTGATGCCGAGGGTGGACTTGAGACGGTCCTTGACCAAGCCGAAGTCAAGGCCGGCGCTGACGGCGATGCTGTTGGAGACGGACCAGTACTTGGCGATGGTGATGTCAATACCCTTGCTGCCGGCGCCGATGACAACGGGGGACATCTGCACGTCCCAGTCGACGAAGCGCTGGTTATTGTCGATGATCATCTGAATGTCGCCGCTGCAGTCGCGCTTGTTGAGCTCGGTGGTGGTGTTGTGGGAGACCTCGTCCACCTCAGTGGGCTTGAAGTTGAGCCACTCCTCGTCGATGGCAGGAGGCTCAGGCAAGATGTTCATGGTCTTGAGGAGCAGGTTCCAGGTGTCCTCGGTGACGACGTGGGCTGAGGCGATGTCGCCATGTTAGTGAGCTGAAACATGCAGAAGGAGTTGGGGGGATTTCGGCCTACTGCGACCCGAGGCTCCGAAGACGACAAGCTCGCCGTTGCGAAGGCTGCGGTCGGCCTCCTCAGTGATGTTGGAGGGCAGCGCGGTGACCTCGGCGGGGACATCGGCGGGTGCAACCGGGGCGGCGCTGACAGCGGCGGCCGCGGCCGTCAGGAGGGTAACGAAGCGGGTGGAAACCATTGTGCTGGAGATGAGACTACGAGCGTAGTAGTTGCAAAGCCAAGACTGAGAGTGAGGAGGGCCGGAGAAGGAAAGGGGTGAAGGCTGAGGAGACGGAGGGATGAGGGGTGAGGAGTGATTGCTAAAGTGTGGAAGTTCACGAGGACTTTATACATGGCGACATGTTCGAGGACATTGCAGTTTTTCGCCTTCGATCTAACAAGACTCATCCACCCCATCACGATATAAGGTTAGTGAGTCGTATCGCCAACGGGACAGGTAAAGCTCACCCCAGAAAGACGAACCTATCACAGACGTACCCATGCGAATGGGTCCAGCGTCGACGTTGCGAGTCATGGTGGGATGTGCAGACAAGCTCAAGTTCTGCCCGTTTTCGGAGGCAGGGGTAGCTCCCAGCCGGGGTCCTAGGCCTGTTTACTGGAACAGCTAGAGTCTTGTGATATGGCTTCCTGGCCACTCGACTAGGTGAGGGATAGCCACTCGACCGCCCGCAAAGATTATGAAAACGATATTGGATTGGACACCTTCTTCATCGAGTATAGGCAGTACCAAAGCACGCGATTCAGAATCCACCGAGCGGTCCCATCGAGCGGTTGGGCCAAGAAGTACCTGTTGTTAACCAACGCTCTGTGCTGTCGCGGTCTGCTGCGGCATCGTCCACAGTCGAGATGAGTGATGGACATTAACATTGCGCAAAGCTAAAGATTAACGAAATCGACCTTGGCAGGGGACGAGTAATGCGTCCCGATAGTCTGGGTGTAATTTATTATCACCCAACTTTACACGGAACTACGGCATCAGAGGTGAGGGTCATGAGATGTGATATCCCTGAGATGGTGTAAGCGGCTGACAGCCTACATTTCTATATATGAGCATCTAGCCGACCCTGCCTTTGAGAGGGAAGGGTATCCGTACAGCAGCCTCAGATCACCCGAGTCCTTCAGTTTTCCAATTCCTGTCTTGTCCTCACAAGTATACTCGACATCAACTCGAAGCCAAAATGCAGCTCACTACCCTCTTCACTTTTGCGTCTTTGACCGCCGTGTACGTTTCTCCCTGTCGGCGCCATGAGAAATCGCGGTGATAAAGGATTGGCCATATGCTGATGAGTGATAACAGTGCCGTTGCCAAACTGCACAGCGCTGCTGTCTGCGTCAAGAACAGACAATATGGCAGCACGGGCAACGGAACGCCCGCCGGTATCACCTACGGGTCCTACACTTCATACGAGATCGCCACCGACGCAACCCAATGTGCCTGCACCCACTACAAGAACCGTCACACCGGCAGCCACCAGTGGGACTCTTGCCCCGACTGCCACTTTGTGAGTTCCACCAACCGGATCCCCCGAGCCCAAAGAACACGTCGATCTAACTCTTGGCTCCTAGGATGGTATCCAATGTCTCTCGGACGGCTGGCACATTGGTGGCGACGAGGTATGTTCATCTCATCTCAGCGCTTGGATGCCGGAAGTGGCGTGCTAACCTGCTACTGTTTCCAGATGACCTACTACTGCGAGAACCTGTGCGGCTCCGAGGGTGCTGAAGCCAACTAAGCCCCATAGTTGATGAACTCAACTTCGTGGCGATTAACGCTGGGGATATTGAGAGTGTGGTAATATGGAAGGAACTCTTCGCTTCTGATATCATTCCGATAACAATTTTGTAATACCTAGTCACATGTACATAGATTCTGTGACAATATTTACTTATATACACCACACTGCTTTGCGTAATTGCTTGCTCATGATCTTGGTGGCACGAGCCGATGTTATCGCCCAACGTTTTCCCATTGCAAACCCGGTCTTTTGTCTATTGAGGTAACTAAGGTTACAAGAATTTTCAAAACCGACGATGTTGTGTTTCTTTTCATCTCGGGCATAGATTTTCGTCGCCTAGATTTCAATTGATTGTGTTTCCCTCAACGTTGACGTACACTTTGGTCGTCCGGTGTAATTCGAACTCGCGCAATGATCACCTGCGTCCCTGGTGGCTTGTCGTCGAGAATCCAAGCCGGGATGGCATCAGTACCCCACAGTCGTCACTTGGCACTATTAACCTGCAGAATCCGTGGGGCAAGGCGCCGCAGGGTCGGGATCCTTCCGTGGCCAACGATACATACCACTTGGGGGCCTTTTTTCGTCCGCGCGAGTGACCATATGCGACCTCGTAGATCAGGTTCATATCATTTGCGGTATAAGATAAGGACCGGGTCCGGTATACGAAGCGAAAATACACTACGTAGTAGTGTGGTATTCGACAAGATATTATTGATCGGTTGAAAGTTACTAGTCATTCAACTCGGAACCAGGCGAAAATCCACCGCATGCAGGACCCTGCATCCCACCGGAATACCGCCCGACCCCGACGAACAAGGGGCCCTTGGTATTTGCGCCTACTCTCAGCCGCTTGCGACAGTTGGTTCCGCCTGGTCTACTTAGGGGTAACGTGACATCCCTTCGGTGTAACTTTAATCTTATATTTCCCTGGGAGCCGAAGGGTTGGGTCGTGCACAGTACCCAAGCTACCACAGTACCTATGCCCATTGCCATAACGACCTTAGTTTTCCCCCGACTGCTATTGCTGTAACGACCGTGGCATGGCCGAGTCTGCTACTCTTAGTTTGGATAGCGAGGTGATGGATGCTCTGGGCACGGGTCGAAGATTACCATTACATTCATTCGTACGAAGCACGTGGGTAAAGAGTGCCTTCGGCGGTGAAGAGGTAATGAAATACAGCCGCTCGCCTAAAAACTGGGCATGCTCGAGAGCAAGGGGTGATCGACTCGCGGTAATGTATAAGGACCTGATACCCGCCCTTATCGGGCGGGTTATTAGTCTTGTTAAGTCCACCATCATTCAAATCTAGTTTAGCCTAATAGGATGAGGCTCACGGTTTCGGATGGCTTGATCCACTGAACAGGCAAGGAGGCATGGGGTAACCCGGGCCAACTCATAATCACGGGATGGTCAGGCTTCTCTGAGGCGAACATGCCATGACATGCCCAATGACAATATGGTACTGCACAATTACACAACACCAGATGTACCTTGCAATAACACGGTTGTGGAGTGCAATTTAGCTCACCAGTCGGCCGATCCTAAACTGCGTTGCGTCCGTGCCCACTAAACAAAGTCCAACAAGATCGACGAAGGAAGGCTACTAGAAGCTGATCCGAAAGCCGAACTCTGGGCACTCTGCTACGGTGGCAGCGCGTTAGCTGCAGATTGATCATCAAGTGAAGAGTTCCGTTCTTTCTGGCCAAGGCTTAGGACTGATACACGGTCCAAGATGAGTTAATCCACCCAGTATCAAAAGCGACAGAATGCATTCTTTGAGCGTTTAGGTAAATGGCAACCATGTCAGCGACGCTAGCTGTATTTGACCAACTCACCAAATAATCAGAGCTGTCGAGTCAGGCGGCCCAGACCAGGTGTGGGAACGGTGTGATAACATTGCCCGGTTTCCCGATGATATCACTCGAGAAGCACAAGTCGGTCAGACTCCGAGCCGTGTTTCTGACCCATACGACGCCACTCCAATTCGAAGTGAATATTATCTTCTGATCTGGTCCCGCAAGACGTTGAGTGTCCTAGAACATTCGTACACGTGCAGACATCAGTGAATGAGGCGAAAACCTGCTCTTCGAATACGAGAGAGCCAGCTTCCCCCCCCCTGGACACCAGTCTTAACTTGAGTCAGTTATTACGTAGATACCACTGAATCACCACAGGCTTTGCCAAAAGCGTAGAGCAAACAAAGCTGAAACCACCAAAAACATCAGTCGCTCTAGCTACCACTCTTTGCATAATTGGTTCACTATGACGCCCCACACCATACTATTGGATTTGGGACGTGCACCCTAGTTGAACTTGTGTATAAGCTTGTTTCTGTATTGGAATCCCTTCAGCAACATCGTCCTCGAAGTGGATAGCCGCATTGCAATCCTGGATGCTTGTATAACCGAGGCGTTGGTTGACACCCATACAAGATAAGATTGGCTTAGTGACGGTTCGAATCCCACGAAATCAGTCGATCAGAAAGCTCAAATTGGCACCGCCTCTGTGGCTACCGGAAGTAGGTCGAAGCGGGTTGACCCTGCGAGCCAGAAAGATCTTATCGCATGGGTTATGTTCCACAGTTTTGTACGTGAGGTTATTGGATGGCTGCTTGCAATGGCCACACCGACTAATCGTGCCATCGATTGTGGGTTATTGATTGTTGCCCAGCTGACAGCTGCCCAAGTCAGGATACAGGGTTCTAGGGGGCAGGCCATTCGGAAAACGAACTTCTGTCTCATTATACACATCAGTTGATATACCTGAACTCTGGATGGAGATGACCAAGTGTAGCAACCCTGTTTGCGGGGGCCTCCAGTCTATAGTCACGTCCGCCTTGAGCACGCTTTTCATTCTCCCATTTCTGATAGACTGCTAGACCTAGGGATGCAACGATAACAGATGCTGCAGTAGCCGTATTCAGACTATTGCCGATGTGATAGCCTGTCTTCGCATCGGTGTTGATGTAACTCCAGGTGGCGGTGATCGACCCTTCACTTGTGTTAGGCGGTTCTCGTGGCCATTCACGTGCGATGCAGACTTACCGATGTTGGCCAGGCCAGAAACAGCGCCATTTGCTACGTTTCGCATTGTATCAGGGGCTGCATTGGCCAGAGTCCAGCTGAGAATCTGCATATAACTTGGTAAGCTGGAGGTCCGCTGCGTTGCTGTACCCATCGCGTGTCAACCAACCAGTGTGCCAAAACTGTACCCTCCCGCGGTGTTGAGGAAAATCGCGGCATATCTCGCTTGCACATTTTTTGAGGCCAGCCATATGGAATATCCGATGACATTCAGGGTCGCGCACACGGCAATGGCGACTCCGTGCATGCGCGTTTTCATAGTGATATATGCGACGACGAGGCCAAAGATCATTCCGACGATGGGCGGAGGCACCGACAACAGCTGAATTTCCACAGTCGAGCGGCCTGGATAGTTGAGTTTGAGAATCGTGACCGTGAAGATTGACAGGCCTTGCACCGTGATTTGGTCACAGATGTATATCCAGGCCCCGACAAGAACGTTGACGTTGACCACGCCGCGTTTGATAAGCCCCCAAGTTATCTTCTCTTTGTGCTCGCGGATTGCAGGCTGGTCGTGGTAAATGCGGGCCATTGCAAGGGCTCTGTCGGGATATTCAACTGTTCAATGGTGGAGCCAATCCATGGTCACGTGATTTACCATCACGTGACTCACCTCAGCGGCTCACTTACACCACCACAAATATCCACAGTAATAACTTCTTCTTCTTTTTCCTATTATCTATCTTAATAAGTAACTAGTAGTTAATTAAACTATTACTACTTTATAATTATAATCCTTATAATACTAATATTAATTAGTAGTTAACTTTATAGTTACTACTACTATAAATTAGTAAGGATTATTAGAAGAGGCTATAATACTTTACTTATTATAGTAGTTTAAATTAAAGTATTAAAGTGCTAACTAGCCTAAAGATTATTAGTACTTAGGATCTTATAATACCTAGTAAATAACCTTTTAAGCCTTATGTTTACTATATAATAACTACTATTACTACTATTAACTTTATTACTTTTAGAGAAGTCTTTTTCTTTATATATTACTTACTTACTAATAACCTTTATAGTATTTAGTATAATTATCTTTTTTTTATACCTAAGTTTTTTTAAGTTTTTTTTTTTTTTTTTTTTTTATCCTTTAACCTTTTTTTTCTTTAATTATTAAGATTTTTATCTTATTAAGTTTTTATTTTACTATAGTAGTAATAGCTTATATAAGATTATAAGTAAATAGACTCCTATAAGTTCTTATTTAAATAAGATCTTACTAGTAGGACTAGCTATAAAGTAGTTAAGTAAGAACTACCTAAGTAATTTACTTTTAATATAGTATTTATAAGTAAATAGCTTTTACTAATCTTACTCCTATATACTTCTAATATTATATTATTAGCTAGGTATAGCTTATAGTAATTATAACTTCTTCTCTTAACTAGATAATTAGTAGCTAAGTGTTACCTTTAGTAAGTACGCTTTTTTTTATTTTTTAAGTAAGGTAAAAAAGGCAGAAGTTACTTATATTACCTTAATTTACTTACTTTTTTTATCCTTTAAAATACTTATTAATAACTATACTATCCTCCTTACTTTTTTTTCTTTTTTAAGTAAGGTATAGTTATTAATAACTAATATAACTTTTACTTAACTTTACTATCCTAATTAATTTAAGAAGACTACTTATTATTTACCCTTAAGTAAGGTATATAACCTTAACTCCTTACCTTTTTTTCTTTAAAAATCTTTAACTATAGTATCTTACTTACTAAAAAGTAAGGTCTATATATGTCTCCTTTTGTTCTTTAAGTAAGATCTAGCGTAAGGCCTCCCTAGAGCTATCTCTTTACGTTACTAAAGCGTAAGGCCTCCCTAAAGCTATCTCTTTATGTTACTAAAGCATAAGGCCTCCCTAGAGCTATCTCTTTATGTTACTAAAGTAAAAGGCCTCCCTAGAGCTATCTCTTTATGTTACTAAAGCGTAAGGCCTCCCTAAAGCTATTTATTACTATCTATTTATTTATTATTTTATCTTTTTATTTACCTTATCTCTTACTTATACCTCTTTATATTATATTATTTATTTACTTATCTTATTATTATTTATACTAATAGTAGTAATTTCTCTAATATATAGATTTACCTTTAACCTTATAAGTAAGAAGTAAGTGCCTATATTTAAGAGGTTAGTAAGGCTAATAAAGGGTAATAATAGTAAAGAAAGAACTAAGTAAAAGGTAAAGTAAACTATAGGCACTAGCTAAAGTAAAGAAGTATATCTATCTATAGGATATTAAGGATCTATATCTTATCCTAGAGCGCAGCTAGCCTTTTATTATTATATAACTATAAGATATAACTAATTTAGCTAATATTCCTAACAGCTTTACTTAAGTTAAGTAATATAACACCTTAAGTATTATTATTATACTTTAAATAATATAATATAGCTTTATATAGCTATATAGTTAATAGCTATAAAGATATACTACTAAAGACTTTAAAAAATAGTTACTTAATACTTTTAAAGGTACTACCTATAAAACTATTATTAAATTTAGAGACTACCTAATACGTAAGGGTATATAGGTATTAATAGTAAAGTTACTAACTATTACTAAATAAATCTACTATACCCTTAAGGCTAATAATCTAAAAGCGTAAACACTTAAGGATATTAAAGAAGAGAAGAAAAAGAGTAAGGATTTTTACTTAAAGATTAATAAACCTAACTTTATATAAGATATTATAGACCTACTACTAAAAATAATATTAATATAAGATTAACTAGGCCCCTCTTATATTATTACCCCTTTAGTATAAGTTACTTAAGTCTAGAAAGGTTAATAAAGGCCTATTAATCTAGCCTTATTATATAATAACCTAAATTTTATTCTTTTACTATTTAAGTAGGTAAGTAACGCTTACCCCTACCTATTAGTTACACTAGTTACTACTACCTTACTTATAACTTACTAACTTACTAACCTTATTAAATTATACCCTAATAAGATAAAGTATAGTAAAAAGGTATATAAGTTACTTAAATTAAAGCTTATAATCTTTTATAACTACTATATAAAGGCTAGGATTTAGTAAGAGCACTTTATAAGCGTCTTCTTTATTATACTTAAAGGTAAGGCTATAAAGTACTATACTAACTATTTTTATAACTAGACTAACTTTATTACTATAGTTATATAAATAAGAAGTAATTTTAAGAATAAAGAGACCTTTTAGGCCTACCTTACTAAGCTATAAAGAACTAATTTAATAAGGACTATTTTAGATAATCTAAACAAAAGTAAGGCTAAATACCTAAAGTTACTTATTAAGAGAGTAACTACCCTTATAAAAATAGTTATAAGAATTAGTACCCTATCTAATATAGCCCTCTATAACTAATTACTTAACTTCTACTATAAGATAAAAAAGTGCTTTTTTACCTTTTTTAATTTATCTTTAACGTTTACTAGTATATATAGCTAGCTTTAATTAGTAATTAGTAACGTAATATAATTTAAATAACCTATATATTAATACCTAACTAAAAAAGTAAATAATTAATACTAAACTAACTATACTTATAACAGCTAGTAAAGTTACTAGTAATTTAGCTAACGTAACTATAGCTATAGTAACTTTACACTATAGCGCCCTTTTAATAGTAATCTATAGTAATAAGCACCTTTTTTACCCTTATTATTATTCTTAAAGAAGTACTATATATATAGTAAGGCTAACTATTAGTTAATAAGGTACTTAAAAGACAAAAGGTAATAAGCCTACTATAAGTATAAAAAGTAGTATCTAATAGACTTTTTACTTAAAGCCTTTAACTACTTTATAACTAACTTTAAGGGATATAAGCTATTTACTTTAGATAAAGAAGGTAACTATATAAAAAGTAATAAAGATAAAGAATTAGGCACTACGTTTTATATATTAATAATATTCTTTAACTTATTTACTATTAATAAGCTTACTCTTTTTTTATTACTATATAACTAATCTATAACCTATTTTCTTATAAAAAATAACTCCTTATATAAGAATCTATATAATAATAAGCTACTTAATATAGACGTCTTTACCTTTAATAAGTAATATTTATTTATCTTATTCTATAGTATTATACCTAACTTTAGTGTAGCTAAATATTTAATAGCTAAATATAAGTAGTATCTAGCCCTTTACTACTAAATAAAAGGAAATCTAGCTATAGATAAGTTATAAGTAGGTAAAGTAAAAATCCGCTTTAGTAGTAGTAACTACTTTAAATTATAAAAGGTAATTAATATACTAACCCCCTTTAGTATGCTAACCTTCTATATAATACTATTAAATACCTTATTTCTATTTTACCTTATAAATATAGATTAGTATAGTATTAAATTTAATAACCTTACTAATAAGCTAATTTAAGATAACACTATTATGCCTACTATTTATAAATAGGGCTATATATAGATACTACTTAATTAATATAAGTAAAGTATTACTTACTATTATCTTATAGATATTAAGTTATAATAAATTTACTATTACTTTAGCTACCTATTAGTTAAAAGGCTTTATTACGTCCTCTAATAATCTAGTAATAAAGTTAAGATTACAGCCTTAAAGAAATTAACTAAGGTCTACTACTACTACTAAATAAATATAAAGGCGCCTAGTTACTTTAAATTTACTTTATATAATAATAAATATAACTTTAACTATAAGATTATTATTAATATTATCTACCTTAATAGTAACTACCTAGCCTTATATATAGTTAATACTATAATATCCTTTTAAGTAGCCTATTTACTTAAAAATATTACTATAAAGTATATATAGGAGGCACTTTAGATATACTAAATTAATATCTACTTTAGCCTACCTAACTAGATTATTACTAATACTAGCTTAAACTTTTATACTAGTAAATTTAAGTAGTTAGTAAGGTTACTTTATATTAATATTAAAGAAATACTAATTAAAGCCTATAATAGTATTAGTAAAGTTAAAAGATACTATACGCCCCTCTAACGTATATATAATATCCTCTATAATAAGGGCTATACACCTAAGGTTACTTTTTAGCTAGCTATTAAAGTAATTAATAATATAGCTAGCCTAAATAGCCTAGTACTTACACTACTAGTCTTTAGCGCCTACTTATAAATCTCTAACTTATTACTACTTTTACTAACCCTACTTAAAAAGGCTAAAGTAGTAAAAAAAGTAATAAAGGCTATTTACTAGATCTATATAAAAAAGTAAGTTAATAAGGTAGTAACTATATATAATAGCCTAAATACTACTATAATAGTAGCCTTTCTGCTTTAATCTATAGTCTATATTTAGTATAAGAAAAAAGGCTAGTAAGGCCTTTTTTACCTTATTACTAGTAATAAGACTACTTATACTATTAACCTCCCTTAAGGCCTATAAACTTTTTATTTAACTATTATTAAACTATACCTTAAAGATACCTATAATAAGTAATAATAGCTACTCTCTAAGGTAGGTAGGTAGGGTAATAAGGAGAATAATAATAATAGTATAGTAGCCTTATTACCTGCTAATATCCTTATACTTACTAAAGAAATATATAATAGTATTATTATTACTATACACCTATAGCTAAAGTAAAAAGCTAGCTACCTATAAAGGTATATTAATTTCTTTAATAAAACTAGCTTTACTATTAGGCCTACTACCTTCTTTACTACTATAAGTATAGTATATATCTTAATAAAGAAAAAAGCTAACTAACTATTATTAATTAAGCTATAAAAAAAAGGTATTATTACTACCTTAGGGAAGCCCTTTAAGTAAGTAACTACTACTAAGATTAAAGGGCTTATTACCTATAAGGTATTTTACTTTATTTAATATAATAAGAATAAGTATACTAAAGTATAAATATTTAAATTATAGATTATTAATAAGGTAAAAGGCTAGAATAAAAAACTATATAAAAAATCCTACCTTATTATTTAAGGATATACTAATAATAGTAAAAAAGTAATTCTTACCTAGTTACTTATAATCTAGTAAGCTAGCTAGCGCCTTATTTTTACCTTTACCTTATCCCTTATTTATAATAATAATAATTTCTTACTTTAGTTATATAATATTACTTAGGCGTATATATAGTTAACTACCTTATTAAATTATATAATTCTTATATACTTTTTATTATAAATATAAGACCTCTATCTAAAAGGCACTATTATATAAGTAGTAAAGCTATTATATAGTATTATAAAGGTAGGCACTTACTAGTAAGTAATATATAGTTACTACTATAAAGAAAAGCTCTAGATAAAGACTTTAACCTTTAATTTATACCTACTAATTACTAATATAAAGAGCCTAGACTTTAGAATTATTAGTATATAGACTAATAATACTATTACTTTTTTAAATAAATCCTTCTCTACCTATAAGGCTAATAAGCTTACTAAGGCTATATTTACTACTAAGGAGAAGTAAATCCTTACTATTAATAACCTACTTACCTTTAATAGTAGTATAGTATCTCTAACTACTAAAGGGAAGCTCTTTCTCTAGTAAAAAGGCTAAAGTAAAAGACTTTAACCTATTAATAAAGAATCTCTATAAGCACTTAAGCAGTACGTTAAGTAATAGGCCTATAGTATATATATTACGTTAGTCTACTAGCCTAAAGTATACTTTAACTACTTTATTATAGTATAACACTAATTACTTAATATAAATAAAATTAAGGCACTTAACTATTATATTATATAGTAGATAAATAACCTTAACTATAGTTTATTATTTTACTTACTTAACCTTAAATTTATAAAGCTTTTTATCTTTATAAATAGATTATTTATAAATAATAAGGACTTTACTTTATAGCTAGGATTTATTATTATTCTTACTAATAAGGCACCTATAAGTACTACTATAAGTAATAGATTTACTATAACTAGTAATATTATTTACTTTAGCTTAATAAAGTATAAGTAAGTTACCTAAAGTATACTAGCCTTTAAGATCTATAGTATAGTTACTAGCACTAATATTACTTATACACTTAGTATAACTATTATAATAATTACTAACTACCTTAAGCTACTATATATACTAATAATCTTTTATACTAACTTATACTTACTTTATAAGTACCTTATTAAGCTTAAGACTATAAAAAAAAAAAGGCTTATAATTAATATTATAGCCCTCTAGTAGTTATATAAGTAATATAAGGTCTATAAGGTATAATAAATATAAAGTAATAATAATCTTACTAATAGATTTACTAAATTATTACCTAATAAGGCGCTAAAATAACTAGTTAGAAATAGGATAGTTTAGATTAGTATAAAGGGATAGGTTTTTTAAGCTATATAATAGATTATATAGACAAAAAGTATTAAATACTTTTAGGCTTTTAACTTTTATTACGTTTTTAAGCTTTTTAGCTGCTAGGTAGTATCTAGGCTATTTATAGTAATTTTCCTTTACTTTAGAAAGTTACTAGTGTTAAGATATTTAACTATTTAATAGTAGAGCTAATCTATAGTTATATAATTTACTATTACGTAACTTACCTTAGCGGCTTACTTACACCACTATAAATATCCACAGTAACAACTTCTTCTTCTTTTTCCTATCATCCATCTTAACAAGCAACTAGTAGTCAATCAAACTATTACTGCTTTACAATCGCGATCCCTGTGATACCAACAGGCTCGTTCTTCGTCGTTGAAAATGCGCGTCTTGGAAGGATCCGCTGGGAACAGGTATAGCGAAAGGATTCCAACGCCAATGGTGATTATCCTTGACTGGGCCGTTAACGATGCATTTCAAGACGCAGCCTAAAGAAAGGAGAATACGTGCCCCTCAACCAAGAAGATGTTCCTCCACGAAGAGACGGACCCAATGCTTCCGAGGGATAGCAGCCCCGAAGCGAGAAGACCACCAAAAGCACTCGACAAGCCTGCAGCGGCGAGCATGAAGAAAGACACCCGAGTCGTCACCTCGCTGCGGCGATAGAAACGAGAAATCACATAGCTAAGTCCTGGGAACTGGAAAGATTCGCTGAGCCCGAGAAGCAGCCGAATTGCGTAGAAGCTGCCTTCGTTATGGATGAAAGCGGTGCAGAGAGTGACGATGCCAAAGGCAATGCAACTGATGGGCAGCATGATGAACCCAAACTTCTTGACGCTCAACGACGCGGGAATATCGGCGAAGAAATAGATGCCATAGTAGAGGCAGGCGCCGACGTTGAAGCCATATGCTCCCAGCCCTAGGTCGGCTTCTATGCCTGCTACTTTTGCGTTTCCGAGGTTCGTTCGGTCGAGGAAAGTGAAGAAGTACATGAGGAAGACCATCGGGAGCACTCGCAGGTCCTGCTTGCGGACCAGTCTCGCCTCGGCCGCGGGGTCGATGACATAGTGACGCGCAGCTTCCGCGTCGATGCTGTTGTCTGGGCCTGGGAAGACTGGCGCCGACAACAAATTGCCAGTGTGCTTCTCGGATTGGGTGGCGGTGTCACACATCGTGAAGGACAACCACAGCGGGTTCGCGATTGGGTATAGAGATGTTTACGGATTTGGCATCGAGGTCGAGATGGTTTCTGTCGTTGTTGCCCTCTCTTATCCCTGCGGCCAGGAATCTAGTGCATATCAGGCGCTACGTGGTGGCACCGCGTACAAAAGATAAGGACGCATGGCCAATGAGGCGGCTCAAGATAGAATCGCCAAGTCCTCTCTTCCCAATGTTCTAGTGGAGAACGGCTACATACGTGTGAAAGATACTACCCTGGTCTCAATATGCCTTATTTATGAAACAAACAGCCGACTTGGATACTCAACTGTGTTCGAAAGAGCAGAGAAAGGCCATGAATCTTATGGCTCAGGCGCCAAACAACATATGTGCGGGGAGAAACCGTTAGGGAAATGATGACCACAGTTGTTGAATGGGCTTTGCACCTGCATGTACTCAAACGTAGTGGTAAATTGAAGTTGATTCTATGAGCACTCTTTTCTAACTACAAGTTATGGCTGACGTACAATAGTCATTATGTACTCAGTCATATGTGGTTCAGTCAGTTCGGTCCATTCGTACAATGATTCCTACCGAGGTCCGAGAATCCAATCCCATCACCTTTTCCTCTTCTGAATGATGGGATGTCGTACAGTCAGGTGAAATTGAAGCTCCAACAACAGGAGAGTTTGTTCACATCAATCCGTGATACTGTTAACGTTACAGAACTTGCTTAACGGCATCAAGGGTCCTGGGTCAGTCAGTGCTATTAGCAGAAATGTGTAGGGTTACTTGCCACGTGTAGTGGATGGGTGATCTGCGCTACAGCCTGCCACAAGCGCTTTATAACGGAGTTCTGGTAAGAAGCCTTGAGACTAAAACAAGGCGATCTTCCGACCTGGTCAATTTCTCAGTGAATCTGGTATGCCCATCGTCCTGCAAAACTTAAGACCTCGTTGACTTGTGATCCTTACGCCACTGCAGATGACACCATTACTAGAAAGAGATAATGAAACCGTTATTGTCTTCGCCTCTTTCTCTTGCGGGATTTCGTCAGTTGCACTCGATCACTTTTTCTTCCTGTGTTTTTATTCAAACCTCAAAATGGGTCTGACCGTTTGAGGGGCCAATCTGTGTGAGTTGGAAAAGAATTTGAAAACTCCTGTCAAGTATTAGAACTATATAAAAGCTGTTGAATGAAACCATTTCTCTATCTTCAATATCTTGTTGTCTTGCTGTGCATCTTAATCCATTTCCTGAAGTCCGCCAGGGCCGACTCGCTCCTTTATGGTTGCACGCCTTCTTCGCTTGGATTTCTTGACAGTACGTCTTCTGCAGGAATACCCTATTAGGTGGCATCTAAGACGTATGATATGGAGGCAACAGTGCTCAATATAACTGGCATAGCCAGCAAAAACGCAGACGCCATGTCGTTGATGAGAATCATTGTCAAATATGTGCCCGCTGCTGTTGCTATAAAGACCCACATCAAATGCCTCTGTCCGAAACTTGTGTGCCATAGCAATCTGATAATTTTGATCCAGAAGAGGACTTGGAGAAGGGCAAGCTGGACGATTTGATACTCGCACGATCGATCGTGAAAGGAGAATCTCCAATGATGGGGAGGTGTGCTTCGCCAATCTGTCGGGTCGCAAACCTGTATACTAGAGATCAGAATGAACACAACCGCATTCAGCATACTGGCTTGTCTTACGGGGAATTTGGACGCCCAATCTTCCAGCCCTGTGGGAGAAAAGTTTCTAGTGGTGATCAGAACACCGAATGTCGTTAGCCAGGCGAAGAGAAGCTGACGAACAATCGACGTTTCTTCCAACAGGATAAGCTGTCTTATGGACCTGCTATACCGGCCAACCCTCCCACTCTGGTGGCTACAGGCTTCGCGGTGATACTTTAATGTGCCCTTTTCCATCTGTAGTTGAGCAAGATCCTCACTTGTTGATAGATAGACAGTATTTTCATGCATGACAAGTCACACCGGCCAATTGATGGAGTACGGATGTCGCCAATTTAGCTTCTAGGTTGAAAGCTGTGATTGTTTTTGAAGGTGTAGTAAGGTTCTTGGTGATGCAAAATTCGCAGTGGTATTGCGAGAGGACATGGAAGATAGTGGGTTGGGCGAGGGTTGACGGAGGAGAGATTTGAAGCTTGGTAGGCTGTTTCGACCCCTCACAGATTAGCTCAATGGATCGTAGCCAACCTATTGGACGCCTCATTTACTTATGCTGCCAGAACAGAATCAACCATTGATAGATCAAGGATTACCACTCGAGAAATTGCACTTGTCTTCGATTCGCCCATAGAGTCTCTGGAGGCCTCCATGCAGACCGATGTTATGTCATGATACATTAAGTGAGGCAAGGCGTCCGAGTCATCCGTGTTGAGATTTACCATTTACCATACGAACCATGCGAACCATGCGAACCATACAGCTCCATGCGATTACAACTGCGCTGTCATGCCCAACCCCCGGCGGCTCTCCCACACGCAACAGACATAGCAGATCGCCGCGGAACCTACCGGTACAAATCTTCATCCGTTTTCTACCGCTTGTTGTTTAAACTGTTACAAAATCCGAATGAAACTCAATAATAACAACTAATCCATTGACGACCCCTCTACTCTCCTCCCGAAAGACCACGCCTTCGAAGACACCTCGTGATTCATCAATCAGGAGGTCCGCCTATACGAAACCAATGAGTTCAAGTATTGGCGGAGTGGTCTTTCATATGAAGACGGTTATCGCTGTTGTCACCGCTACATTCACGACACAAGAAGAAAGACACTCTTGGACTTTGACTGCATCTTTTATGTAGGTTGTCATATGACTTGTGTAGAAGCGCAACTGTACTGATTTGGCTATACAACTAGTTGCCTCTTGCTCTGGATTTCGATCACGACTGGGCTGTCTTTCTACTACCACGTGTTCTTGCTCAGGTATCATGCGCACAAAATGTGGAAACCATTCCTCCAAACGATAACTGACTTTCCATGTACTACAGGCAACGCTTTTGGTGCTCCGTATCGGTTATCTTGCCCACTATTGCTTGGGCCGTACTCGTTTGTACGAAAAACTTCGACGTGGGCCACGCCTTCCACTTTCTGCCCGTCTGCATCGAGTTCGGCTTGATTCCACTCGCGATATCCTACCATGAAGAGCCTACAAAGCCAGTTGCAGATGACGACAACCAAAACTCGGCAGGATACACCTTTTCAGACCAACAATTGTTCCGGGGAGCGGGAACGGGATCTTTCACGCCGCCACGAAGCGGATCAACAACGTTGCACAATCAACGGCAGTACGAGGCCGCTCAAGCGGAGCAGGACACGGCATTCCATACACGAAGGAGCGATATCCCAAGCTTTTCAGGACCAGTTTCATCGAGGTACAACACCGAAAGCAGGTCGGCTATGGACCCCCGATGAGGATCGCAGCAAGGCCCGCGAAGCCCCTCTCTCTCTCCACCAAAGGACATCATTCGAATCTCGTAACGTGGCTGACAACACCGAGAGCATGATCAAGCAACCTGAGACACGTCCCATCAGCCAAGAGCAACTTGTTGCCGAGGTAAAAGGCATCTATGCTGGTCTTGTCATGACCGAGAGCAAGTGTATCGAAGTTGACAATGCCCAAAACTCTGCCAGTGAGAGTGAATCGGATCCCATACTCAACGACGAGAAGTGGCAAGCTCTTATTTCCATTCATCGCACATTGCTTCATGAACACCACGACTTTTTCTTAGCCAGCCAGCATCCGTCAGCAAGCCCAGCCCTTCAACGGCTTGCGAGCAAATACGCCATGCCTGCACGCTTATGGCGCCATGGCATTCATTCATTCCTGGAATTGTTACGTCATCGAATACCAGAAAGTCATGAGCATATGCTTACCTCTTTATATCTTGCCTACTCCATGATGACACTCTTGTATGAGACAGTGCCAGCCTCCGAAGAGACATGGATTCAGTGTTTAAAAGACCTAGGTCGTAATCGGTGAGCGGTATTTTTTCCATTATATATTTTTGCAAATTTAACAGTGATTCGTATCCAGCATGGCCATAGAAGAAGACAGCCTCAAAGACCGCGAGATGTTGACCTCTGTCTCTCGTCGTTGGTACTCCAAGGCACGCGATAAAGCCCCAACAACAGGAAGCCTGTACCACCACCTCTCTATCTTGGCGCACCCAAACACTCTCCAGCAGTCGTACAAGTACATGGAGACCCTTCTTGTTCATTTACCTCCCTCTCTACCAGAGAATTTGTTGAGAAACTCTGAGTCACAATTACCATTACACAGTGATGGGTTTACGGAAGCCAGCGCTGCCTTCGACAGATTCAATGTTGTCATTTTCAACAGAAAACACACACATGCATATACACAAGATCTTTTAGACAGCCAAATCGGTCCAATCACGGGCCAATGGACGGAATTTGGTGACTACATTGGTACGGCAGCCAGCAAAGTGTTGTTAGAATCGAAAGGTTACATATACGATAACGACGTAGACAGACTTTGGTCTTGTCGACTTCGGATCGACAATATGGAGTCCTGGCGCCAACTATTCCTTCGGATTGGACCATACTGTTTATTCGATATCCGCGGCGAAGTGCTCATAGCCTGGGCAGAACCATATTCCGCAAGAGTTCTCGTCCCACCAGTGTTGATTGCCTCTGCAGGGTTTGGCAGAGGCAACTCAGATACTGGATCTGTCTTCCTTCAGCTCAACAAGGAAGGCAGACCTTTTACGCTCCCGGAAGAACATGTAACCCACCGTCTGCTACCGAGAGAGAGCTCCATCATCGAAAAGTGGCATTTGCTGCTTCATCGTTTTGATAGAAGCCTCGGCTACCTAAAGTACAGTAGTCCTGTCATCTACTCGAGGATGGATCGAATTACGCTGCATGAAGATCTGGCTTTGCGCGGTCTAATATGGGCAGACAAGCCATCTCCTGTCGAGTGGTTCAAAGGAATTACCTGTGACAACGGGAAGCTGCATCATGGGTGTTTTGGTTCTCTGCCACGTCAACTGAACTCCATACTCTTGAAAAACGGGGAAGGGTCTCGAGATCGGAAGATCGAAGCTATGAAGGCTCCGGCAATCCGACGACCGCACTCAACGGACTATGTTCCTCGTCCGTTGCCCAGACCCACTTCACTTCAACGATGCACTTGGCAAGTGCTTTTCGACAAGCTTTGTCAACCATTTCTGATGAGGGCGTCTCTCACTCGAAGAGACGCACCATTCGACATCATGTACGGCTACTGGCCCCGACGTATGTGAGGAAAGGTAACCTCACACCAGCAAGTCACCAAGCAAACTATTTGTGCTCTCCTTTCATTGTTACGTCACTTACGAGCTGGAGTCACCGAGTATCAGGGGCGTCTATCTTGATTATTTCCTAGGTCTCATGAAAACTATCTTGGTGGCAAGTTTTTGTTGAACAAGATCACAAGATGTGATGCGTAAAATAAAACTGCGGAGTTCGGGAGCGATTTGTGGCAGAGGTTAGCCCCGATGTCACGAGTTAGAGCCCACAGCAGGACATATTATAAGAATAGAAGTAAAAAAGGCATATTCTCTAGACGTAGAGATATGAATAAATATTACTATATATACATGAGTGATACAAGTAATGCTTGAAACACTACGTAATATGACACCTAACAGACCACCTGACAGATGCTGTATGAAGCTATCGTGACACCCGACTACGAAGGGGTGCTGCTAGCAGCCGTAGCCCCCTCTATAGTCACCTGCTAAAAGCCGTGCAGAACACACAAACGACCTGTTTTCTAGTACACTATAACTAAAGAAGATATTTAGGAATTATAAAAGGTAGTCGTTGCAATCTATTCTTCTGTTGGGCGCAGATGACGTTCGATTTGAATATTTTTCAGTCCACCGTTGCCTTCTTGTTTCAACACCTAATCGATGGAGTTGCGGACCAAGGAATACCCTGACTCAAGGTTTCTTTAAACACTACGAATCTAATTGCAAGTCTAGTAGCTGTAACGGACGTGAGTGACAGGCCCAGTGTCGAAAGAGAACCGGCATCCAACCCTTCAATATCTATACGTCACGCTGTCGTTCGTATGCCACTTGTCGCTACAATACGGCAACAATGGGCTATGGCGAGTCTGACATGTCCTAGAAGCTCATTTACTTGAAAACAGTACATCTCTCTTGAAATGAATCTCTTGGTAGATAGATTTGTCAGAAAATGTTGGAACGCGTCTGGTACCTGGCTGGATGTTGACGGGAATAAGGACTAAGCATAGCCCCATGTTTCGCCGCGACTGGTGTTGGATCATCGATATAGAACAGCCTGCGACGACTCAGGTTGAAACACTTCCATGTCGGAAGCCTGAGTCCTGCTCAGCTTCAGTATTCAAGTCCGTGCCATTCAACCGTGTCGTAAAAAGGGAGGGGTTTCAGAGGAACAAGGATAGACGATAGCCTACCATGATTATGGCAGGATACAATTCTCAGGAAGAAGAGAAAGTGGTATGTCACGGACTCCTTGTGGCAATGGACGAAGAACCAACCATCTTGGCTCCCAAATTAAGCTTGGACCAAGGTAACCCATGTAACTAAGTAGTTTTGTATCATGTCTATTGCCAAGAACGACGCTTTCCAACCCGCCCGATGCATCTAAATTAGATAACGTTCTTCAGCGACTGACCAGCGCGGTACCGTCTCAAGTTGTATGCGATCAACGCCTCGGCGCCCTGTGGCCGTCCGCCAGCTGCATGTGGAGAGACGATGGTGTTCGGGGTCTTCCAGAAACGGCTTGACTCGGGAAGAGGCTCTTTGACAAAGACGTCCAACGCGGCGCCACCGATCTCGCCCTTGTCTAGCGCGTCGGCCAGCGCATCCTCGTCGATCGCGGTACCACGGCCGACGTTGACGATCCAAGCGTGCTTGGGCAGCTGCTTGAGGCGCTCGGCGTTCAGCGCGTTGTTGGTGGAGTCGGAGCCCGGGAGGATCATGACAAGCGCGTCGGTTTCGGGCAGCAGCTCGGCCAGCTTGTCCTCGCCGTAGACCTCAACGCCGTCGCGGACACCGGCGTTGCGCGCAACGCCCTTGACCTGCGCCCCGAGGCCGCGCAGGTGCGGGGTGAGCGCCTTGGCGATGTTGCCGAAGCCCCAGATCAGCACGCGGGCATCGCGCAGCGTCGTGAAGGCCCCCGCGGGACGGTCGGGTTGGGCGCCGCCGAGGTGGCCGGGCCACTTGCCCTGGAGCTGGTAGTCGCGCATCTCGTAGAAGCGGCGTGCGGCGTTGAGGAGCAGGCCGAGGGCGTGCTCGGCAACGGTGTGGTCGTGCAGGCCGGAGCCGGTTGTCACGATGATCTTTGAGGTGTCGAAGCCGGCGCTCAGGACGTCGTTAGGGCCGGCAGCGAGTGACTGGATCCATTTGAGGTTCTTGAGGCGGGAGGCGGCGTCCTTGAGGTTGTCGGCCGTGTTGGTCCAGGTGACAAGAGCCTCGGCGTCGGTGTGCTCCTCGGGAATAGCAGTCTTGACGTCGTAGGGGACGAGCTGGACGGAGAAGCCCTGAAGGCTGTCCACGTCAAGCTTGAGGGAGGTGGGGTAGAGAAGCTTCATGATGATAACGCGAAGGTTTGGGTTCTAGAGCGTTGTGTTAACAGATTGTCATGTGAGTTGTGAATGTTCAGACGCGTTGGAAGCCATACAATTTCCGAAAGATTATGAGGGGTTTACGCGACAGTAGAAGATTGTAAACACGAGAGAAGAAATCGTCCCAACGGGAACGGGAAAAACAACGGGAAAAATGAGCGAGTTGTGTCTTGTTTGACCAACCTCGGGGGAAGTATCACCGATGACGGAGGGTGGGGGATGGTGGAGCCGCCCTCGCATCCACAAAGAGGGGCGCGGGGGAGGCGGTTAGGCCAAGGTCTGTCGAATAACAATTGGGAATTAGCAATTTGTGTGCAAACTTGATCCGGGTTGAGGCTTGTATGATGGGTTCATGCAATGTAGGGATTGGGGATGACTCGTCCAAAGAAGCAAATCACGCGTGTGCAAAGTTGGAGAATTCGGACAACGCTACGTTCATTGGACGATACTTGGGCTTAACGGCTATTGAATCGGCAAGATCCCCGAGCTATGTGAGTTGCGGCTATCCAACTTCCGCCCCGTCGGGTTTTGCTGTGAGCACAGTAGGAGGCATCGATCGACCACATCATCGGTCGCTCCATGTCTACGTGACGGGCGCCAGCGTTGAAACGGCTCTCCATCTGATCGTGCTCGTCGAATGCGAAGTTGGACAGCGGTTGATGAATCACCTCCTCCAAACTTTGTGAATTGCAGCTAATCACCCTCCCGGCAATTCTTTGCGAGCCCAAAACACGGTTGCAACCCGATAACCTACTAGAGTTCAGCATCAGTGCAAACTCGGCTATTAAGCTTCAAGACCAGCCGCCGAACAGAGACTTCTGTTCGAAGCGGCCTATCCATGGTTGAAGTGTATGTGGCATGAGATAGAGATGATGTAACGTGTACTGAAGATTGCAATCAATTACCCATTGATACACAACACGCCGCCATCAAACTTGTAAGTCAAGTACCTTAGCTTGGGCACGTGAACAGAGACGGCTTTGACTTTGAACAACGATCCAAATAGATTACAGTTTGGTGCCCGGGAAAAGATGAGCCAACGTTGTAGCATCTTCGTTGTGCCCGGGCGGTCAAGCAAACGAAAGAAGTAAGAAATAAATATTGCATCCAAAAGCAGTGGTATGGAACAATTTCCATGCGACGCGATTGGTCTGGTTAGGGACAATAATGATAATTACACGGCTTTAGCTCTACCGTTGTGGACGATTGCTTTGTGTGCACTTTTTCAATCCAATACAGAATCATGTTTCCATTAAATCTGAACAATACAATGTAATGCACATACTCCCTCGGTGGCAAGATAACCTTGGATCAAGCCGGCAATAATACTATCGTGGCATTCTTTGCCAACCAGTCTTCAAGGGCCCCCTTGGTGTAAACCTCGGAAACGGATGTGCTTCCGTGTTAAAGACAACCTCGGTTAATGGCATGTAGTCCGTTGGAGAAAACAACAAGTATAAGTACTTGAGAGTCTCGGCCTATATACCCAATGTTAGTAATTCATTATGGATTGTCATTTACTTTGAAGAAGTAAGTTCAATTGCAGCTGAGACTTACCAGCCAAAAGCTTTCCATGTTGTCTCGAGTTGCTGGCGGAACCGTCCGTACATCGTTGAGGCTGGTGTATCCGTCTCCATCGTGTACCAGCGTGTGCTTTTGAAAAGATTGAAAGATCTTCCAGCCCCACTCGCGATACATAGAATTTCCCGTGATGCGATACATCATGAAGAGGCTTTCAACAGTCTCTGGTCTTTGGAGGTTGTGTGCATCCAGGGGCTTAATTATGTAGTCCTGCTTCCACTTTGACAATGCTGAGTGGGTGTTGTATTAGTTGACAGCTCCTTCGTGCGAGTTAGCTCTCATGAGAACATACCGCTGCTTTCTCTACGCAAGTATCTATCACCGGGCTGAGGTTGCAGGTCTGCGTCGGTAGCATTGAACCAGGCGATCTCGGGTGCGAGGCCAGTATCGGTGACAGCGTACATTCCCCAACAGGTTTTCATGAGATCTGTTGCGAGTTGAATGTCTTTTTCATGATGTGTAGTCCAACCAGGGTCGCGACGTGCTTCAGCTAAGGTACGCCCCTCCGTGGCCTGTCGCACAAACATCAGATAAGCTAGCGAAGAATTGGGTTCGTAGACTTACCGCCATGGCGATTGTACCGGGAAGGAAGCAGACAAGGTGATCCATCTTTGGTGAGAGAGACCCCCCAATTCCCGTGGGGAGCTCTGCGATGAACTTGAGAGCGGCGTTGCGAGTGGTCGTGACAAGATGCTTCTCGATGCCAGCCAGGGAGTCTTCCCACATGTCACGGTAGATAGTCTCGCCCGTTTGTAGGTATTGTTTGATAAGGTACTCTGCTGAAGATCAGCGTCACCGACGTTTTACAATTGGATAAGTTCTTACCATAGTATGAATCACCTCGACTTCCTAGTCGAATCTCCCTCGTTGTGAAGCGTCCATGGTTGGGGTGCACAAATATTGGTACCAGGCCGCCTTCCATCTTCTGATCATCAAGAACTTTCATGACGCGCTCTGCCTTTTGCCAGTATATCTCGTTCCCTGTCAAATGCGACAAGTACTTCATTTCAAGCTGGATGGTGGCAGCCTCTGCCGTCGAGGAGGCGCCGCCGTCAGCATGCGAGACGATCCCCTCCTTCTTCCCAATGTTGACACTGGCGTATGGTATACCCGAGTTGGACTCAAATGCAACCAAAAGCCGGTCTGCAAGATCGATGGCTTTGGAAAGATATACCGAGTCTCTTCGGGAGGCGACATGCGGTAGTCGTGTCGATAGGTAGTGTGCCGAGAGCAGTCCACCCATCATGCGAATTGTCGTCTCAAAAGTGTTGATGTCCTGGTCTTGATTCCAGGTGAGGCTACGATGCAGCCACTTTCGTGCGTCAGCAAGAGGCTCGGTCAGGTTCATGAGCATCATTGTGTCCAAACTGTCCACAATGATCCACCCAAGACCCTTAGGAGACATGTTTCCGCCTTTCTTCGATAGGGGATGAAACACGTCGTTTCCTATGGTTCGATTTCATTAGCATATACCTACGAACGCCTTTATTACAATCAAGTGACTTACCCCACGCATATTTCTTATACGCGTCCCAACTTGTCACAAATGCATCTTTCACTTCGTCCCTCCGTTCATCCCAGTCAGCATATTGAGACTGAGGGGTGTAATGAGTGTGCCCAAGGGCATTGTCTGCGAAGTATCCTGTGAGGGACATGCCTGCAAGTCCCGTGATACACAACATGATGAAAAGGTTGCGGAGTCTTCGCCTCAAAGTGGGTTTTGCAGTGTGGGAAGCGCGTATAGCCTTCTTCACGTCGCCATTGCCTAGACCAGCATGTTTGGGCATTGTGGGAGAATTCCGCTCTCGCAAGTTGGGAAAGAAACTAAAAGTCGTGTTACGTTGTGGTGTGCTCAAGAGGAGACAAAGTCGTGATTGTAATCAAGGTCTAGTTCTGATTTTCGGGGAGGGAAACCCATTGATGAAAAGAAGAGGCAACAAGAACATTTTCCAGTACCACCATCCAACCATGTTTCATAGCGCCCACAAGGAGGACGCTCAGCAATGTTGCCAGCGGGGCAATGCCTATGGCGGCAAATGCCAACGTCGTTGCAACCTTCGTTGTCTCCTATTTTCTCATTGACTTAGCACCGGATATGGACAGGGAGCCCTGTTGGGTTGCATCTTCCGCGACATGTTGGAGCGACGGTGATAAGGACGAGCATTCGTATGCGACTGCTTCTGTGTAATTGGTTACCGACGGCTTGGAAGCGGTATCAGAGCCTTGCTCTCCAGGACATGCAACATGTTATTCGTCAGAGTTCCACAAATAAAGAGGCAAGAACTGTTTGTTTGCCTCTATTCCGTTATCCCGCGCGCTACGCTTGGAATTACGCCCGTATGCGGCCTTGGCACGACCTGATAGGAAAACAACTCGCCCAAATTACCAGGGGGAGGACATGTGCCTCGAGAACCGGACCCTAGTCGGCACGCATTGCAAAGCGCTGCGGGCAAATGATAATAATAACCAACACAAACCTGTCGACGGGTGACGGAACCAACAGAGTAACAGGAAGCGTAGCAAATTACAAGGACTAACGCCATACACACAGTGTTGCCGACATACTGCAGATTGACCCAACCGCCCAACTTGTTTGTCTTCAAGTCGTGGCAGTCAACAGGAAGTCAGACAAGACCGTTAGTTAGCCTTCAGTTCCTCTCGAGTCTTTTCAGAGAAATCTCGCATCAATCTTCTCTCTTTTGTGTTTTCAACCCTTTTTTTTTTGCGTGCTGGGAGGAAATATCAGAGACTCCGGTCAAAATGACTGAAGCGTACCCTCCCGAGACTGATGAAGCCGGTACAGTCACATCTTTCATAGCCCTTCCCACAATCTTTACGCCCCCATCAAGCTGCTCTTCTATTTATCGACTGAATGGATTCAGTCTCGTTGCGTACGATCCAGGTTTTGGCCTCGACATCGACTCAAGAGTACGATGTGCTCCGGCAGCCGTCACAACATGGTGGGAACAGGGTCGTCTAGGAATCAACGGCGGCGAAGGGCATACAGCCGTCAGTATTGGGCCCCTGACCTGTCCTGATCGGTGGAGCACGGTTGCAACGTCTGCTAAGGACGAAAAAAGTACGCTCGCGATGTGTTGTCCACCGTATGTGCCAATCCGAACTCCGAGAACATCTTGATGACCATTTTTCTGATATGGACTTCACCTGTCTAGTGACTATACTCTTGCGAATAGCATATCCGGCTCAATCGCAGGCGACTGCCGGTCCAATATTCTGACTGGCGCCATCGTCACCTACGCATCAACATCGGTCACCAACACGCGAGACTGGACTATGGTAACGACAACCGTCGCAAGACCAACCTATGTCGGAGCAATAGCGATTGTTGGGTGGACTTTCGATATTACAGCATCCGAGACTGCGTCAACTTCGACACTAGGCCTTGGCGAAACTGCAGCAGAAACAACTCGGCCAGAGCAACCCAACACTACCAGCGTTTCCCCCCAAGGAACCACAGCGTCAGAAGCCTTCACAACCACAACCTCCCCAGCCCTGGCTACGACTGCACCGCCCGCTCTTTCGGGACTGCCGCTGCCTACCACCATAGGCGTTGGTGTTGGTGCTGGAGCAGGGGTTATAATTCTGACTGCACTTGCGTTCTTTCTATGGCGAAGGAAGCGTAAACAGCAACGTCGGTGCGAGCCACCGCCTGCCGACGACTTTCAACCCCCGATGCCGGTGAAGCCGGACAAGTTCTCGTACGTTGCAAGACACCATGAACTGTATGGGCAGCAACCCGAGAGACATATGGGGGCGGCTGAGATGCCCGTCCCACAGTACTTTGCGGAGCTGGACGCGAGTGGTCGTGAGAGGATGTAGGCAAACTATCAGCATGATAGCCATATATCAAGTTGCCAAATAATTCCTACAAAATAACGCGGGATGCGACTGTATCAATTTAGGGGAGTCTTATGAGTAGCATTGTTGAGCGTGTATTTTCTTTTGTCGCTAATTGTCTTTGACATGACAAGAGCACATCCAAATCATAGGCCATGATCTGAACTTGGACTAAATCACCCTTAGCTTTTAAACTTCATGTTTCCAAGTTGATTGAAGTTCATGTCCAGGGCTTAAACGGCACGTTGTCTTGGGGTTATTGGATTCTCGGGGCTCTAGCTATGGCGGGTGCGACGTCAGCTGGTTGGATTTCTGTGACGAACCTCGGCTCTCCCGACTAGGTAACGATTATCCAAAATATAATACCGCCTACAAAATATTTGGATACTCCTTGGGTCGTCAAGTTTCATTCATGTATCTGTTGGCCTCAGTTCCTGATCCAGCCTGTGTTCACTGCTGCCATCCAATTACTTTATGACAAAATCAGACGTGATAGTTCAAAACACCCACAATTCGTCATAGATTACGGTTTGATATCATATCTGTACGTTCTTCCTTCCCCTTAGTCTATATTGTCATGATTTTTCATGTCTTTTCTTGCTAGCTCTTAGGGAACCAATTGCCTTTCTTCATCAGCTCAATATGAAAGGCAGGGACAGATATCACTTCCATTGATTGCGATTAACTCCCCCACCCTATATCCGAACCACCCCCGCATCCGAACCACCCGAAATTCCCGTATTTCCCCTCCTTTATTAACACTACTACCTTTTTTAAACTATCATAACAATTGCTATTTATCGCTAAATAACGCTATTTTTTTAGGATACCTTCTTTAAACTATTATGAAGTAATATTCTGAAGATAAGCTCTAACGGGCCCTCCTAGATGTGCAGTCTAGGCAGTATAGCCTCTAGGCTGTTACTTACAGATAGGGTATACTATATGTAACACTTTAGTATTAATACTTTAGTAGGTAAAGTAGGAATACTGCCTTTAAAGATAGGTAGCACTTATCCTAGGCCTAAGAGGATAATCTAGCTGCCTATATTACCCTTTAATAGTCCCTTAGTAGATATATTAACTATTAATAAGTAAAGGGCCTAGTAAAGCGTATAATAGGTAATAGGTATCCTCTTATAGGGAGGAAATAGATAGCCTAATTTATATAGTAAAATCTATTTATTAGAACCCTCTAATCTAGAGTAATTAATACCTAGTAATAAGCAGCCTATTCCCTTAAGGTTATTTAGGATTTCTTCTATTACCTTAGTAGTATCCCTACTATCTAAGGGATCTATCTATCTAATAAATAGAATATAGATAAGACTAGTATTATAGAGGGTAAAGGGGGTAATAAGCTAGTGCTAGGCTTTAAGGCATTATAATATATCTAGAAAAAGCAGCTAGGATCCTAGGTATAAGTATTTATTATTAAGTGTATATCTACTACTAGTAGCTCTTTACCCCCCTTAGTTATATATAAGAGTAAATTACTTTAGGCCTAGTAGTTCCTATCTAACCTTAATATATATAAGTTATAGTAATTTATAGTAACTAATAATAGCTAAATAACTAATAATATTACCCTTAAATAGCTAGAGAAGGTCTTTATCTTATACACTAAGCCTACCTAGCTAAAGGAGGCTAGACTACTAGTTCTTAATAAGTATTATAGCTATATAACTATTAATTTTATATAGTAATACTAGTAGTATAATATATATCTACTATTTTTACTACTATATACCTTTACTATCCTCTAGCCTCTAGATATAGCTGTCTTTAGCCTATTAAAGTAGGCCTATTATAAGGAGGTTAGATATCTAGATAACTAGGTTATAGATTTAACTATTACTAGTAAAAAGGTATTCTTAGAGTGTTATTTTAAGGCCTATAAGGTATTTATTATATTTATTAATATTAGTAGTAGCTAGAGGTTATCTAGATTATAGCCTATATATATAAGACGCCCTCTATCTAACTTAATAGTAACTAGGGCCTAATAAAGCTAGCCTAGCTAGCAGACTAGTAGCTAATAGTAAGATAAAGCTAAATTTATTATCTTATAGTTAACGCCTTATTAATCTACTAATTTATAGTATTAACTACACTAGTTAACCTAGCTAGCTAAGGATAAGCTAGATACCTATACTATTTATTACTTATCTAGAAAGATACAAAAAGGCTATAATAAGCAGGCATCTAGAGCAGCCCTTCTAAAAAGGCAGGTTAACTTATTATAGGCCTAGTTAGATAATATACAGTTATATAAAAGGAAAAAGGTCTGCCTATCGCCTAACAGCACCTTTACTACTATAGAGGATATAATCTAGGCCTAAAGTCTAGATCCTAGTAATATAGATAGTCTGGATAAATCTAGGGCATCTAAATTACCTAGCGAGGCCGAAAGATGTATATGGGTGGGCGGCAGAGATGGTAAAATAAGTGGTGATAGTGGTGGTAATAGTGGTAATAATAGTGGTTTGGATGTGGGGGTGGTTCGGATATAGGGTGGGGGAGTTAGTACTTAAAAATGCAAAGAATTCCAATAGAAATACTCCATCCATCATCAGCAAATCACCCGGACTCACCTTCGGGGTCGAACCACGTGAAACTGTGGGTATATAACGGCAGACTATTTGTTCGATTCAGATAGTTGATCGCATATCATAATGAGCTGATTTGTGCTGCCATGATCCATGACCTATTGGGTGTCGCGGTGGTATCTCGCCATACTTAAAACAGTTCGTCCTGATCCTTGTCATGCATCGTCCTATTCGCATAGCAGCGTCTTCCTCTTCGACTCACGGGTTGATAATAACGTCACCCGCAGAAGAATATGCAGGATTTCTTCAACGTTGCGCGAATCCCCTCTTTCCAGCTTTGGTCCGACCAATAGCGAAACTTCTTAGGACATCCGGAGTTTCGTTGATGAGCTTGGAGACCTTGCGAATATTGCATGTGGCAGGATGCAGGTGTAAAAAGGGGTTGAATGTACGGACAAGTCAACCAGCCTGACCAGATTATTCTATCTACGTTGATGGCAAGCTCTTCTGTGAGCTACATATCCTGTCAAACCCTGTTCCTTTATATCAAGAATAACAAGTTAATAACACGGATTTCGGATAAAAGGGAGGTTGAGCACGCCTTCCACTGTTCTGCAACAAATTTACATAAGTCATTTCATATCTGGTATGCTCGTAGAAGCAGGGCTGTCGACTTGCATTTTCTGGAGGAGAAGCCTTGAAAACGTGGCCACGCTGCTAGGCACGCTGCTGCCTGGAGCTACATGCATACCTATCTCCTGCGCTGCAGCACACCACTGAAAGTGGTGTGCTTCGATAGCTTGTATTTTTACCGCACACCAGCCCCCACGACGTTCTTGGCTAGTCTGCATTTGCTGGTGTACTTGATCTATCATTTGGGATCTCTTCGAGAACCGGGTGTATCTTTCTGTAAGAAGCCTGCGGTGCTGACGACTAGGGTATGCTATCAGGGTATGATTTTTCACAAGGAATCCTGCCACTTCCAGTCTTGCTGGTATTGTACGAGGTGGCTTCTGCACCCCGTATTCGCATATTCGTTGACATCTGACAATGGAGTAAGATAATAGTCGGCGTCATTGACGAAACCCGTATGCTTGGAAGCATGTGTAAGAGTAAAACGTGATTTCCAGGCGCCTACACACTTACTTGACTGCAAGTAGCGACATGGCACCTCACTACATGTATTATCTATGGGCACAATGTGAAGACCTCTGGAGACGCTACAGGTGCCGTGGAACTGTCTACGATAACAGAAATTTGAGTAGCTCTGGTTTGAGAAGCTCAAAACCTGTTGGTCTAGGTCAGACCAGTGGGTGTGGCAGCGTGAGGCAAACGAGCCATTTGAACGAGCGTGGGTCACACATGAAGCCTTTCGGTGAGAAATCTGCACGTCTCATTGGATTTGATGATGGCATGATCTCTACCTGCACTGTGATTGGGGCAGAATGGTGAGGCCAGGCCACGAATGTGACAAAGTAATTACACCCCATTCTTGAAACCGGTGCTTGTGATCGGAGTACGGAAGGTTCGCCGAAGATCAACGTTCTTCTGAGTGCGTCGTATCTTCCTCAAACAGGTGTTATTAGGTGTCAGCATCCTTGTGATGGTGGGGTCCCATACATGTGGGTCATAGTAGGCACCGTTTTGTTACCATGCATCAGTCGCCTTGAACGACGACGTCCAAACTATGGCTCGTGAACAGGCAGTAATCAATATTGTGACAGCTAAGTGGAGGCTATTCCTTGGGAGGAGCTTCACGCAAGGCATCCATGCTAATGAACCGAATAGCCAGGGGACGACGCCTTAATGCCTCAAGTTGCCCGTAGATTTATTACCCCGCCATTTACCTTTTGGCTTCATTAGCTTCCTATTCGTCCGTATAATACGACGGAAAGTCGAGACACAGCCACCGTATTGCCAAGTAACTGTTGATCCTCATAACTAATAGGTAAAAACAAAACCTAACAGGTCGTGGATATCCCCGCTCATCCCGAACTAACAGGCCCGAGCGTAAAAGGATTGATGGACCCCGAATGCCGGGATTCGTGGCCTAGTCAAGGAAGGCGTCCAGGGGAGATTTTGTTGTGTTTATCGTCCATGTCAAAATGCCGGGACCACTGCCATGTCAACAATACGGTGCGCCGGGTTCCGTCCTTCTAGGCTATCGGTTTATCTTTTGATCGAATATAGTAGAGGTATGGCAAGAAAGGACCCCTTGTATGGGACAAGGGATGGAACAATTGATAGGATGTGCCGTGGTGATGTTGGCTGGTTACAAGCATCTAGCAGCACAAGACCTTCACTCTCTTCGATCCAAGTTTCAAGACTTTCTAGAAACTGCCACGGTTCCTTATCAAAGTTGTGTGTCTGTCGCATCAGGAGAATATTTGGCAGCTCATAGAATCCTTCTGAGCGCCAGTGGGAGGTGTCGTCGAAGTCGCCGCAGCTCCTCCTCGATAACAATATGAGATGAGTTAGGGCCTCTGGGGCGCTGAAATCGCCAAGGTGGGAAAGCATTTCGCGCTTCCTCTCTGGACGCAAGAGGAATTCCTCTACCGAACGATGACTGAATTGCAAAAAAAGGCCTGCGACTTCCCTGGGGGATGGCAAGAAAAAGTCGGAACATTCCACGAGTCCCTTGCAAATGCCGCTTAGGGTTTTCTTTATCCACCGGTAGGGTTGGCGTTCGTCATCGCTTCGGTATTTAATAGCATGCGTCAGGCCAAAGTCGGGACGAGGGTCCTTTTCGTAATCGTCCAGGAAAGAATAACCCAATACAGGGACTTCAAGATCCCAACGAGGCACCTCCAGCATCATGGAATAGGTCCTATACGCTTTCCGCTTTCTCCATGTGTCCAAGGAGTCCAGTATATAGGCGAAAAGATCGTTGATCTCCGGTGGAAGATTATCAATCTGCTCAATCACGTTGATATCGACATCGAAGCCGCCTTCTAGACGCCTTCGTACGCTGGTAACTACTAGGGTTACCCAGAAAAATATCCCCTGGGCTTTTTCGACAATTTTGTAGACGATCTCGTCCCGTACTTGAGAGCTTTGGATCCCGTTGAGCTTGTCTTTGGAGAAGCGCTCCAAGTCCCATCTCGTAATTTCGTGTAAACAAATTCGTTGGGAAGTTGAGAACCCATCAACGAACACGTTGTGTTCCCGGCTGGAGACGACCAGTTTGACGTGTCCTGAGCTGCGTCTGTGCCAGTCGTTTAACAAACTAACCAAATCACCATGGGAAAATTCGGAAGTGTTTTCGAGCTCGTCCAAGCCGTCAATGAAGAAACAGAATCCGAGTTTGTCGTCGGTCTTGCTGCTTTCAACGATATAATCAAAGGCTTTACGAACGTCTCGGTCGGAAACGTGTACCTCTTTTCCGACTTGCCAAGGCGTTCCCCGGGCTTTGGTCCAAAGGTTTGGCAGAGCTGAGCGCGTCAAGTCTGGGCAGGATTCCAAGATACCATGGAGCAATGTACGATACATGCCCGGCAGGGACTTCTGGTGACCGGTCCCGATATTGAAGAAGAAGTGCTTCGCGAATACAAGCTGACGATTGCCTTTTTCTCGGTTAGAAATGTGATCAAAATGCGCCTATGTGATTCCCAGGGTTAGGAGTCGGAATAGCTACTCACAAGTTCTCGCCCATGCTTCGAGCAAAGATTGCACGTGCTCGTGGGAGCACATTTGCTTCATCAAGGTTGGCTTTCCTGCACCAAGCTTCCCGGAAAAGTGGAAACCCCCTTCCCCCGAAAAGAGCCATTCCAAAGATAATTTTCGGGCAGAGAGCTTCGTATCAACGTCCTTGCTCACGTCTGAGGCACCGACAGGTTTGTGGCGTGGTGACTCCAGCTGTATATCATGATATTTTTTCCAGTCTCCAAACTCTGCCAAGATGTCGTCTTCGTCCAATCAATTCGTCACCATCGACTTCAAGCAAAGGGTTCGAGTGTTGGTGGGGAAGCGCGTTGTAATCAGCCGTTAGATGAAATAAGCTGAAGTTTGTGTGAAATGCTTCGGCTAGTTCATTGTATTCTTCTGTTTCGGACACCAGCCATTCGAAGGTTCGTGAATGGGCTTCACAGATCGTATCATGTCGCTCGCTCAATACCTTTATGCCATGGGACTTGATACCATTGAGTATACGCTCTTGGGCCATAACGTCAATCATGTCTTCCGGGATGCGGCACAGTTGCTGCATCGGACCTTTGGCGACGTTGTCGAAACCGGCGGTATCTATGACATTGCGGAGGTGGGTAACTGAGTTCCAAACCTCCTGAAGCCGACGAGTATTGTTTTCTGACGCTTGCAGTATGTTTTGAAGTTTTACCCTGTTCTCCTGGCTGCTTGGGACTCAGTGGTTGCGATCATGTATGGATGCATGCTTGGGGGCATCTCACCTTGAAAGATAGTTGAGTTGTATTTCTAATTGACTGCAGCAAGAGCCTAGCCTTACCTTGAGGCTCTTCTTTTCCTCGTCATATTTCATGTTCTTGATCACAGACCATATGGCCTGTCTTTTCGATGCGGGATCTTTTGCTCTGATCTTCTCGAGTAACTTACTGTAACTCCAAGAGATCGCCAGCCACGTCCCTACACTTGGCAGCCAGCTCGGCCAAGCCCAAGTCAGTGCCGGTCAGATTGGTCTGGGCCGGCGCCAGTAGCTTCACGGTGAAGGTCTGCATCTGACGAGCGACGCTGTCGAGGGTGTCGTTATCCTCCAGAGCCCCTGCATCCTGGACTCTCTTCGCCCCGCGAATCACTGTGGTGCCAAAGTCTATGAAGGATATCACGTTGGATACTAAACTAATGGCTGTGATTGGATCCATCTCGTCGGAAGGCAGCGACGTAGCTAATACAGAATCAAGGACGAGGGCCGGGGAAAACGAGAGAGGTCACAAACACTCACGTTGTTAGTGTTTACGCGAAGTAGACCGGACCCCTCTTCAGAACGGCCCCTGGTCGGTCCTACCAAGTCAGGAACATTACGTAATACTTACTGTACGTGGGCTAAGGCGGTTAAGCAAGCAGCTGCAGCCCGCTTCACTGCATCTAATTTTATGACAAATGGACTATCACGGGTTGTTGGCTACTCTCAGGGCTATTCTTGCTACATTCGCATGAATTGTCGGAAAAAAAAACATAAACATTAGTGGTCAGCCTTCTGTTCTTAATCTTCCCCTCATTACATGTTGACTTATCAGTGCGGCGGCTAGATGGTTGCCTCACAGATCAACGGTTCCTCGACTCTATTATTTGTCCGGTCTTCCGACCGAACCTTCACGGCAATATTAGTTCGTTGTAAGCTGTCAATTCCAGGCAACTCCAGGCGGCCTCCCTAGTTCTCGACCCCGCTTGTACTCCCGCTCGCTCGCTCATCCCTGCTTTTTCCAACAATTGTTTCGGTCGATCGCGAAGTGCAATAACGAGGTAATAGGTAATTGCAGCTGATATACCATTCCGTTCTCATGACCATTTCTGTCTCAACAGATCCTGTTTAACTGATCCAGGACCTTTCAATTCATCGCAGAAGCGACAAGACGATCCAAAACACCTGTCGTGGTGTGAGACGATAGGTCTGTGGCAGCTAAGTCGCTCACCGAACACATGCGTGGCGTTACGGTGGAGTAATGCGTGTGTATTACCGATGGCCGCATCAAGGGGACGTGGGTGGCATATCAGGCACAGCAAGCTCCTCTCGGAGGCACCCGCCACCGAGTTCCGATTGGCACTATCGCATATGCCCCTCAATGCAGCCTGATTTGAAAGCTTTAAATGAGGAGGAAGGAAGGGAAGGGGGAAATGTTGCAATCGCCTGTTTTTTCCACGTTGTTCCGCTTTCCCGAGGAATCACTCGTGGGTTGGGATCGGGAGACACAGTGTCCACGAGGGTAACGCATGGAATGGTTCAGGAGTTGGTAGCCGGTAAGACATTACCACCAAAGGGATACACGGCATCCGAGGGGGAGGCTCAACCATCATCGCCTGACACTGCTATGCACCGAAGGGGCGGGAAGTTGCGCATTGGGGGCAGGGGGATGAAAATAGGCAGAAGGCAACCGAAAGATAGCCTAATAATAAAAGTTATCTGATCTCTGATCACATCAGCAAAGGGCTAGCCAGTAGGAGGACGCACCATCAATGTGGGTGTAGACCGGGAGGAGCAGCAGGTCATCCCGCAAAAAAGCATGCAACCCTGGGAGGCTGTCGCCTTGCGCTAATATAAGCCAGGAGGCTCCGTCCCCCAAAGCTCCCTTCCGTCTCGCCCTAGGTAGAATTGTCTCAGGGCGATTCGCCGATATCTTAACAACCCGGTGTTAAGGATCTCTCCATGGCAATGTGCGCTTACACGCAGGAGGAACTAAGCTTCAGGCTGCAAGTCATGCTAGCATGCTACCCCCTTCAACTACCTCGGCTGTCATCCTCCTTCCTGGCCTGATGGTCCCGTGGTCCAGCGACCTCAGACCTGACCGCTGAGCCATTGACGCTACAAATACCCGCCTCAGCCACTCAATTCCTTTGGTCCAAGACATTTCCGTGTCCGACAGCTTCTCTGTCCTTCCCACGGAAGAGCTAGGTCATCCGGTCGTCCTTCAGACTCCGACGAAGGATTGGCCACGGTCTCCTTCCAACTGAGGCAAGGCAACCAGGCACCAGGCGAGGAGGCAGCAGCGTCTCCCGAGCGCGACGCTGGGCCTGTTTCGTATTTTGCGGAGAAGAAGAAAGGACGAGGCTGCGGCTTTGATTCTCTTCTGAACCCCTGCGTGCCACGGTGCCCCCTTGTGACTTGGCCTCGTCATTTGCAAATTTCCGCGGCTTTCGGGCTAGGGACTATGCGGACCTGTGACCTCCGTAGGCCAGGGGGCACCGGATCTGGAAGCCCGCTTCCCCGCCCCCCACCCTCCCTTTTCCCCGGGAACCTCGGATCCGGGTTGCGAGCAGCCTGGGGAATTCGTACAATGACCTTGTACAGTTGGTTTTTTTTTTTTTTTCCCGGTGATGGATGAACGTGATTCAGGGCGCACAGGTCGTCATTACGCCCGTCCTAGTCATGGCGTGCTGCGGCTCTCGGGGGAGCGGGCGGTTATGGCTCTCGGAGAGGGTGTGCAAACCCGGCGTTTCTGCCGTTTGCCTTTCCACTTGCGCCCGCTAGAATGACGATAATTTTCCCTCGGCGGAAGCGCACTGCCCAAAAACGTCGGTACTTCGGGTCGCCTTATTTCGCCAAGGGATAGGAGAGTAAGCGACCACTCTGGATTCTTTATTCTTGAAGCTTGTTTGGACAAGGCAACTGTATGCATTCGTAAGTTCGGGTGGCTGGGACATCCAGAGAGGGGGAAAGGCATATGGAGTTCCGCCCGATCAGCAAGTCGCAGTGGCTGGCCAACCACCTAACCACATGCATGCGGGTGAGTTTATTGGTAACCATAACGAGCGTGGGTATTTATTCTTGGGAACAATATTACCAATGCCGTGAAGGATTTCCCATATCACGTCAGACAGTCCTCTGCTTCCTCAGCTTTCGCAATGGGGCGCGGGAGGTGTCGATAAGGCATCTCAAGTCGGGAACATGGTCAACCCAAAGAGGTGCTCGCCTTTCCACAAGTTCTGCCTGCTGGCGGTGCCCCCTACCCGGCACGGTCGGTGTAAAACGGTGGTGCCGATCGACAAATCGTCAAACGCACCCGGAAAGAAGCCGGCACCTGCCGACTGCAACGTCGATCGCCCCGGGCCGGGCCGGACTGCGTCCCGGTGTGACAACGGGGACCACGAGAGAGTGGAATTGCTTTTGGGCTGTATATGCGTATAATATATGAGATTGGCTGTCTAGGCAATGTGTGGTCAATGTGTGATCTACGACCGACAGTGCATGAAGAAATACATCAAATCCTTCTTTGTGGCTTAAGTTCTACCCTTGTCATAATAGCTTCATATATAAACCGGCACTTGGTATCGGCTTCATCACATAGTATTCCACACATTACTTACATGTCGCAAAAACAACGCTGTTAATCACAAGCAGTAATTAACGCCTTATGTACTACAACACAACCCCCCTAGATTACAGAGATCTATCTTTGTAATCTATCTGCCTACATGATCACTGGGTTGACAGGAAAGCTATTATAGCCCCCCTAGGTTGACGTCCCTAGGGTAGGTACTTGTTACAACGCTTCTTAGTTGCCGCCTGACTTATCTAGTGGAGTTAATGCGACCTGTCTATAGGCTTTCGCAGGAATTAAATCTATAGGGTCTCTATAACGCTTAGACGCTAAACTCTAGGGCTATTGTTGCGATGTTGACCATCGCCTGGATATCGGCGGTATGGATTAACGCCGAATGGCCGGAATAACTACGGCCAATTCGCCGTGGATCCACCGGATCCACGGGGATATTACGCGGTGGATTCGCCGCGTAATCCTACGATAGTTCTTTTTCCTTTACGCGTAATTCAGAACCGGTATTTACCCCTATTATTCGTCACTGCCTATTGATACGTACGGTTAACCGTATCACCAACCTGGTGAAACCAACAGCTATACTATTATAGCACACTAGAGCAAACTGGGCTTATAACTATTATAAAAATAACGCTATTAATTATAAGTAGTAATTAATGCCTTATGAACTATAGTATTAGATTACTTTAAATATGTATAGGAGTGTTCTTTTTGTATCTTTCCTTTTATATAACTAAGTATTATCTACTCTAATTCTTATATGCCCTGTTGTGTGGTCTCACTTGCGACATCCTTTTCCTGGATATCCTGATGTGTGTGCATTGGATTACTATATGCTAGCACAACAAATCAATTGTTCTAGAACCACTAGGGAGCAGTCAAACTCCAGAACAAGATTAGACAACTTACCTATTGTTTAAGAGAGCAACTAGAACCAAGGCTGGAAAGTTCTCTACCCACACAAACATAATACTCAGATTGAACTAGACCAATTCAAATTGCCAAGGGGTTATTTGTATACCTTACTACCTATAGCCTTAGTACCAAGTTGTAATAGACATTATTATATAGAAGAAGGTTAATTATACTCCCTATAATAGCCATAATAGCTTCACATTATTGTATTGTGATGTGCTTTACCACGTGGCATCCCCCTCATTACTCAGACAGTTTGCCTATAATACATCGGACCTTTCTTTTCACATCTCTACTTTCATAGATTTAAGCCTTTCTTATCCTTATTTTTATTCGCCCTGCTGTATGTTCTTGCTCGTGACAGTAATGCCGATCTAAGAGACAAACTTTAGCACGTATCTGGCTAGCATTAGTGAATGACAAGACATGGCATGCATGGAGAAGGATCATGTTGGCGTGTCCGAACGCATAATCACAAATGTATCTTCGAAGTCTTTCCCTACAGCTAATAAAGCGAGCTTTACACACTAATCTAGAACTCTGAACATATAGTGATGATACGTACTTGGCGATGTATCTGCCCTCAGCTTAGTAGTCGGTATAGAGCTAAACGTGAGTTCTATTGGTTGATATAGTCGCTCTTGGCCCCCGTAAGCGGTCTAGTCCACGCGGTACATATGTCGTGTTACAATACGTAGAAAAGCCCGATATGCAGCACCTCCAGGCTCTGACAGATGAATGTTTATTTGGATATGTAATACTATGTAGTGCGGTCTCCAAGAGATTTGCTATCTGACTAGACAAATCTACTACTCTTAAGAGACACAATGATAGAGACCACCGCAAACGCCCCGGCCATGCAGTCGTTTTCCATGCCCTTGGAGTAACGCCTAACCCATGCGCAGCCCTCAACACCTGTTTGTACACCAAAAACCCAGAACGCCACCCTGGACACAAAGACAGCTCGCCCGTCCACAACCGTCAGGGAGCTCCATCGGAGATATCTGGGATGACTACGTCACCGTCGTCACCCGCCTGCGGCTCCGCCTCGGAACCATTGCTGATGCCGGGAATTTCCAAATCGTATTGCGGCGGCACGCCGAATTGTCTTGTCGACTTATCGTATGTAAGCCAGTTGCCCGACGCCGCGATGCGGCAACCGAGCCAAAGGCACCTCTCCCGACGCTCCTCTGTCATTGATGCCACCTCAAAGTATTTCTCGTCGTCGTCAAGCTTGGAAGCAAACCAGTCTTCGGGGTAATAATTATCGACCCAAAGCAGCCCGCGTTGAGCAAAGTCCTCGGGCAGAGGTCTAGGCATCTCATCGTAGGACCGGGGGAAGTCTTCCGACTCAATTCTGCCCACTGATACGCACTTTTTCAAGAGCGAGTTTAGCATCAACGAGATGAGCTTCCATGGCATCTTTGACTCGATGTACCCCATTGCTGTTGCAAAATATGACATGTGGTAGAGGAACGAAAGAGTAACGTGAAGGTAGGGGTCAACGTTCGGGTCCGCAAAACGGAGAAAGACCACATTGTGGGTGCGGACGGCAAAGTCGAGGGCGTCCAGAAACTTGGCCGTTACCGGGGTCTTGTGGTCTTCCATCTGAACGTCGGCATCCTCCGTGCGGCTCGTCTTGATAGCCATCATGATAGGGTTCGACTCGCTGCCGTATTCGAGCATGGCGCATCCTAAAGCAACAGCAATAAAGTATCCGCAGTCCATCCACCCCTTTGTATTCCGTGCAATGTGCCCGTCAAGACTACCAATGAACTCTTCTACAGAGGGAGTAAACAGCTCGCTGCTCTTGCCAGAGAACAGAACGCCGTGAGCGCGGACGAAGGCAGCATCGATTTCCTGCAACCGCGTGGGAGTGCCGTTCAGGTGCGGGTCAAAGAGGGTCATGATACTTTCCCGAGCACTGAGAAAGGGGATGGGGACGCAGAGACTTTTCGCATAGTAGAACAGCTGCTGCAGAGCGTTGGGGCGCGCCAGGATAGCGAGATGGTGGTATAAGCGTCCTGTCGTTGGGGCTTTATCGCTCGCCTTTGAGTACCAATGACGAGAGACAGAAGTCCACACCTCACGGTCCTTGAGGTTATCGTCCTCAATAGCCATTCTAGACCTGTTAGCAAGAAGCCGGGACGGGACTCTAGAGCCATGCAAAGGTTGCAATATCTCACCGGTAGCGTCCCAGGTCGCCGAGGCACTCAATCCAGGTATCCTCAAATGTCGGCACCGTCTCATATAACAAGGCCATCATAGAATATGCAAGGTAAATAAATGTCAACATATGCTCCAGCGATGCGGGAAGACGGTGGCGTAATAGCTCGAGGAAGGAGTGGATTCCGTGCCTCCACATGCGCGCTGGCATAGCGTATTTGCTTGCTAAGCGGCGTAAAGCTGGGCTAGCAGAAGGATGCTGCGATGCCAAGAAAAAATCGTGATGCTCATGTAGCAAAGTGCGGTGCAGAGCAATCAGAGCCTGCCACTGCTCGTTGTTCAGTATTGGGCTTGTATCCTTACTCGACGACTGAGCGTTGTCAACCTCGATGCATTTGCTCTCCACCATAACAAGCCCAGCATATATACCCTTGACTTCGGCCACAAGCTGTTCTTGGCTAATGGGGCGAGTTTCGGGCTGTTTGATCAGGACTTCTGTATTGTCTTCCACGGAAGATTGGTCAAAATTGCGACTCAGCGTTGTAGGTTCGCGGTCTCTTGACCGTCCCGTGTCAGCTTTGCGAGGCTGAGATTCTTCAGGGGTCCATAACCTTCCCGGCTTAATGCTGTGCTCTCTCTGAAAATCAATATCGTTGACTACCGCTTGGGGGTGGCGGGCGCGAGAACGCTTATTTAGACTTGATCTGTGTTCGCTATCCTTTCTTTTGTTCTTTTCAGAGACGGCGGAAGGACTATCGGCGCGGGCCGTGTCTGGCGCATTACGCAAAGGACGGGGGTTTGCGTCGGCATTGTTTGTACGGTTTGGTTCGTCGGCCGTGGCTGGTTGTGATTGTTGTTGTGGTAGCGGGGTTGCCTGAGGCTTGCCTTTTATTCTAAGGCGGCACAGGTTAGAAACTGGGAGGTCAAGCGATTATTGCAAATGGCCTACTGTAAATGTGTTTGGGCTATCAAATCGTTGCCAACCTCGTCGGTTGTCTTATGGCCGAGGTCTTGAAAATGCCTAGAGACAGCTTCTAATGTGGATGCTGACGGGAAAACGTGTACGCAGTCGTCAATAGGACATGTCCGGTTTCTCCTATCAATTGCTCGCTTACGACCAGTTATGCGATCGTCCAAGGTCGGGATGCCCTCTTGCGGCTTGGTACACATAATTTCATAGATGTAGTGACTGGCAGGCGGTTGATGGTCGAGGTCGTCGAGAGAAGCGGGAGAAAAGTATAGTTAAGTTGGGGGTGCCCTCTTGCGGCTTGGTACACATAATTTCGTAGATGGAGTGACTGTCAGGCGGTACTGATGGTCGAAGTCGTCGAGAGAAGCTGGAAAAAAGTACAGATGTGCGCTCAGTAGAAATACCTTCATAGCTTGAAATGGCGCACCATTACCTACATAGTTGGCGAACCACCAACAGGCTGGGCAAATACAGAACCTACGGTACGTACCGCAAAAGCGTGCGGTACGTATCTCTTGTTTCAAGGCAACCACTCCACTCAGAGCCGCATGCGGACCATGCGAACCATGCGACCTATTTCTTTCAGGGACAGCGTCCCCCCCGCCTCAAGCTACCTGTGTATCCGTCGTTTTCATGCCCTCCGTCGTTCTTCAAACTCTCAACTCCAAACAAACAAAACAAAAACACACCCTCGTTTGGCAGCGATGTTGTCCTGAGCCCAGGCCGACATGACAATTCTTCCAGTTCCAGTCAGGTTCCTTTCTCGGGCGGACAAAGGAATACCGTCGTGCCCGCACTGCGAATGACGCCATTCGTGTTGGCGGTGATGGGGCTTCGGCCACGTGTAGTTTTTGCCCAACGACAGAAACTCACATTTGGGTGTTGTCAATGCCATACACACATGACATCCATCACCTGGTCCTCATAATCCAGCCATCTATGGGTATATCACTTAATCTCCGAGACGACGGCGCATGTCATCCATCGTCTTACTATCCGGCACACTACCAGTGTACGCCAGTTTCCCGTCGCAGTCCTATGAGCTCGGATTCGATGCGCCGACGACTCCAAAGGTCCGCCGCCCGGCCGTTCCGCTCTGAGGGCTGAAGAAGCCAGCTCGTATGCCGTGCACGCCATCGGGCAAGCTGAACGGGGAAGGCGAAGCTGACACCTTGGAAGAAGCATATACGACTTCTGGAAACACAAGGGTTTTGGCGGGATTGTTTCCTGGCCAGGGCCATCGATTTTCCTCCGATTTCTTTTCTCTCTTTACCTCCCCTTCATGCTGTGCATCACTATGTATACGGCAAGTCCGGTTCCATTAGCATCGGACCCGGGTTTTATGCCGATAGGTATTAGTCGGACATGCACAGCCACACGCCATATCTCGGCGATGCCGGCGTTCTCCGTCAAAAAGCACAACGACCCAATAGCATTCGCCACAGTCCACCAAATTTTTTTCTTCTCCTAACGGCATCGCCAAATCAACGAACTCACCATGCAATGAAGATGAGTCAGGAGGCAAAGTGGCCAATACACCAAGAGCAGATCGTCGTATATTATTTGATTTAGGCAAGTGCCTCCGCAACCGCCACAAGCTGAAAGCTGAAGAAGAGAGCTCTTAGGCGCTTAGCAGCGGCAAAAGCCAGCCAGCTTGCCTTGCAAACATCTCAACAGACATTGGACGTTCGTAAATTGCCTCCCTCGTATCGAGGGAAGAAAACACGGCCACTCCACGGCCGACTCGAACCTGATCTTTGCATTCATTCGTGCCCTGCCTCCTGACCAACTCGGCAAATCATTGAGGCGTCCGCCATCAGCTGCCTCGGTGACTCGGCCCGTTTGTATGACCCATCGACTGTGCGTCATCAGCTCGTGTCAGATTGAAACAGGCAGCCCGTCGTCCAATATTGTCTTTAGTTCGGATGCCTATCAGAGAAAGTCCCGGAGAGGAGATGTCACCGAAACACTCAAGGGCCTCGCCTGGTCCAAGAGATGGATCTCCGCGGCTCCTGTCTAATATTATGCATTTGAGGCTCTTGGGGCTCAGGGGTTGGCATCCATACATCGATATCTCACCTGGGTAACCGCGAGGCAACTGAACAACAAGTTGGTAACAGTCAGCCGTGTTCAGGGATCCATACCGCAGAAGGAACAGTTACGAGAATGCGACGGGTCGGCTGCGCCTGTCGGTGGCGGAAAAGATGAGCCTCCTGAGGCAGTCTTACATCTCACCGGGCCAAGTTAACGACGCTACAGGCGACGACACTCCATGTTGCACCTTGGCGAGTGTAGAAATGTTCAACCCCCCGTGAATCTCGCCGGGCTTCAGGCAGAATAGCACTCGTCATCGGACGGGTGGACTTGGGAGGCCTCAAACCCTCTTGTGGAATCGTGGGGCGAAAAGTTCCCCATTGTTTCTGCCTGGGGACTTGCGTCGACCAGAGGCAACGTATTTCAGCTTCCTTCTTTCCTTTCCCTAATCTCCCTCACTTTGGTGTATGGTTTTGGTTTCTGTTGCTTGCTAGACGTTTCAGCGCGATCAAGAGTTTTTTTTAGTTTTTTTTTTTCCGGGTATTTTTGATACTTTGAAAAAGAAAAGCCAGGCCGAGGATGTCCTGTTCATTGTCATCTCAAACCCGTATATTTACTTTCCCCGTATATAATCACGCATACCAACATCTTCGCGTCGATATAGATTTTAGATAAAACCCTGGCCCAGATACTGAATCTATACAATCAACAGCACATCAAGTCGCGAAGTGATTTTGGTGGTTTGCTAAATTGCACTGTTGGCAACGCATCGCTGATGCATTTAGCCTCTGTCCTGAAATACAAACGATTGCTGATGCCCAATTTTGCGTATATGTCAAGCATATGCTACACGGGTAACATCCCTTGGAATGAACGCCAGTTTACGGAGTAGCATGACTTAAATTCAATTCTTGGGACAGCTATGGGAGTGATGAGGGTGTCTGATTGCACTTGATGGAATGTTACCAATCGGTATTGGACCCTGGTGATGCTGTCGTCACCTCTACTACACAACGGGTCTATGATTGTGGCATTTTCAGTCATTTGCTTCTAGAACATGGGCAATTTTTGAGTGAGACACGTAGCCAAGACGGGTACTCTTTCTTGGCAGGGTCGTACAGTTACATAACAATAGAAGCCCGCTAGTCTATGGTACAGACCTGACTTATATGGAAGCTGTCGTAGACAAAAAGTGGATCCACCATAGCCGAGCAGCAATTGTGGCTTAAATCACCTTGCGACAGAAGCCAAGTAAAGGCCGGAACTGGTGGGAAGGTTGTTTTGAATCTGTCGATATGTATCGGAAGAAGAAAATGGCAATAATAAGAAAGAGCAAGCAGACATATTCCGAATTCCAAATAACACAAGCTGTCGTGATATAAGCCGTAATTGCGCAGTGGCGATTACGGATCTGGTTTTGTCATGACACAAGCGGTTTCTCTCGGAATCAATGCCTATCAATTTGCATTCGTCTAAGGTTATGAAGATGTGATGAATGCATTCCTCGCTGTATAGGAGTAGGCACATGCTGGTAATGAGAAGGCAATAATATCCCATGGCATACCTTCCGCATTCGGTGACTAAAATGGTCTTCGGTGAGGTCGGTGGCCGGGAGGAGAAAGTGGATACCTGACGAGGATGCCTTGTTGTGCATACCTATCTGTGGACCCATACTCCGTACTATGTTTCCCCCCAATTGTCTCACTTTACCAACTTTGATCTGACAATCCAAGTTCCAACCATCATCATACCACTTGTTCAGCATCCGGTTCGCCTCTCAATCTTAAAGCATGTATGGTACAGAATTTTCCTGTTAAATGACCGAACCTGTTTTACGGGCCAACATTCATTCTTCCTTCGTGTCTGCCTAGCTCGTCTCGCCCCGGGCTACCGATGAAGAAAAATTTACGACCATGTCAGTGGCCCCACGGATATCGACAATATCCAGCCTGGGCTGTTTGCCTTTTTTACCTATCATCTACGGTGTCACCTTACGCACATCTCACCACCATCACCTGGTTTCTGGTTCCAGGCTACGACACGCAACCTGTGGAAGTCTCGCGCTTGTCACGCAGCAATCTCCCGATCGTGGCTAACGACCGGCTTGTCCTAGGAGGCAACGAGAGGCAACCCCACGGCGCGTGCCCCGAGCCGACGCCTCTTCGTGTTGGATCATGGCCTTGCGGAGATGCGCAGCTACCCGTCAAGTTGGGACCGCTGGCTCGTAGTCGTTGGTGAGCCTATCCCGAAACCGGAAGCCATTTTTTCGAGAGCAACACACGCGCCCGGCGGGCACATGCTCATCTCCGCTGAAAGGGAAAAAAAGGCAGCAATACGCCCGCCACGCGCTTTGTTAAGAGAGTCCGGTGATATGTAGCCAAGCCCTGGTGCAATCACCGGCTGGGACGCCAGCAAGTTGCGACCAGGCGCTAGCAAACGACAAACCCCCCAGACAAGGCGTCCCGCGGCTAGCCAGTGTGGCCTGCGGAAGCGCGACTGTTCTCACTTTTCTCATTCAGTCTCGTGTGCGCGCCCTCGCCGGATAGCCGTTGATCGACAAGTGTCTTTCGAGTTTCCGCCTGATGATGCAGCCTCCTCGGCAGGCTGCCGTCTCAGGGGGGGCAACACCGAAACCGGCACGGGGGTAGCTGCCTCTGGTCGTATGGGCAAGGCGTCACCGGCTTTTTTTCAAAATTGATTGACTGGCCTTTGCCCTACAGGCCCACCAACAACTCGGTCTCGATCTGGACATCCCTTCCATCGAAGTTCCAATTGGATGTCAATAGGAGGTTGCCCAGCCAAGGCTATTGTGTTGGGCTGCCTCGATCATTCAGCAGGGGAAGAAGGGGGGGCGGGGGGTATCGTGGACCGCTGCTTGGTCTATCAAAAAGGGGGCGGCGGCGGTCGCTTCTCCTTACGGTCTCGGTTATGCGACCAAGACTGGAAGCAAGGCTTCGGCGCCCGTTTGTCTGCGAGTTGTTCTTTTGCGACTTGGCAACCTTGGTAAATCGAATCGTCCAGCGGCTGTTGGTCCGTCCGTCTTGTTTCTTTTCAAAAACATCATCAACCTTTGTTGGCTCTCACTCGCTTGAAGTGTGCTCCTGTCGCACCAACAACGCTCAGCTTGAAGCCACTACTTGTTTGTCTTTTTTTTTTTTTTTTTTTTTTTTTTTGTGCAATATTGGAACATTGGAGTCCCTTCCCGCACGAGCAAACGATGTTGTGTAGGCCGGTGCTCTATGCATGACAGGGGGGGTTTTACCATTGCTTTCTTTTCTCGCCCCTGACGCCCCTTGCACTGTAATAGATATGCGCCTTCTCACTGGCTCACTACGTCAGACTTGGGGGCGGGATTTGAAGTCAATCTGTTGCTTGTCTTCGGCCGTCGTTGATAGGCCAAGTCGTCAATGTAATGCTTTGCTTTGCAGGCATCAAGGAACGTCGCAGACTTCAGCCCAGCCGCCTCGTATCTTTCAGGCCCCCCAATAGGGCAGCAGCTCGCAGCCTCCCCCCCTTTTTTGTGTCGATCACATGATTTCCTTTACTTGGGACTTTACAAACGCGGTGACGTTTGAGAAAAAAGACAGCCGGCCGGTGGCGGGAGAATGACCAAGCCCTACGGCGCCGGTCGGGTGGATCACACATGACGGCCCGAGAAGACGGGGAGGTGTGGGGTTTCCGATGGTGCCGAGAGGGGGGCTTGCGGCATGCTCCGTTGCCGCCAGCAGAACCGGACGAGCCGCGACACGAGGTCTCTTCCTTTCGGGTCGTCACGTTTGACGCGCCCGTTTCCTCCAAGCGAAACTCCCCAAAGTGGGCATGCCATCCACATCGGCTTTCCCTCTTTTGGCCTGGCTTCGGTCGCACAAGAACGCCTGGCCGATGTTTCACAGTTTTAAAGCTGAGACGACATTCGAACCGCCCCCCGGTCTTGGGCAACAACGAGCCCGGTTTTCACACATCACACGCCGTTGAAGAGCATGCTGCCCGACAAGCCTTTCGTCTCTCTCAAGTTCGGGACTTTGGTCATAATGTGACTGTTACGGGTCACATCGACCCAACGCGTCACGCGAGAACGAGCCGACGGCAGAGAGCGTCTCGTCCTGCACCACCATCCAGCCTCGGAGACAACTCAGCGCCGTCATATCGTTACATTACTGCGACCCGAGAGGATACGATGGTTGCCTTGACACATGGCATGCTCCACGTACGCCCTGTGAACTTGTATTTTGGAGCGTCAACGACCCTTCATTTGGAGGCGTCCAGGGTTGGACCATATCCATCAATATCGGGCCCTGTTTCGCAGCAGTCTCTCCGTTCGCAGTCGTGGCATCCTGCCATTCGGAGCCTCACAGGTGAGGGGATCGAATAGGAGCATTGTCGTGGCCCATATCGGAGACATACCAGATACTAGGGCACCTCAAATGCGGGGGAAAAAAAAAAAAACAGGGCTGTCAAAAGCCTGAAATCTTGAGGCTGTAGGAGCTAGTCAGCTTCCTGGTTGGGTTGCTGGGCTCCCGTGATCTCTTAGCTCGAGACGGGCTGCCGCTTTACCTACGCGTTTTGCTTAGGATGCGCATCAGCGGATGCACGTCTGCTACCCGCGTCGCAAGGCCTGCTTTCTAGCGGCCCGCGCGTCTGTCATTTGTGACCAAAAGCATTCGGTCTGATGGAGGCATGTATGCCTCATACGATGTCCTATTGGACTCGGATTGCTGGAGTGCTCATGCGAAGCCATGGCTCGCCAGGGGAAGGAAGACACTAAGAGGTCTGCCGAATGAAACGCAAGAGCATTGGCGGGACCCCCGTTCTCATTGGCCGTACTGCCAGAGGCCAGCTCGAGCGGCCGATCTGGCATTTGAACGACGCCGCGGGAAACTATGTGCAGGCGCGCCGCGGGGAAGTGATCTTTAGCGGGTAGTCTAGTCCATTAGGCTCATCCAGGGTCCTACGATGGTCTTTGTTTATCCCCCGCCTCAACGGGCAGATCTGCCGTCCGGCCCACGAAATGAACACACGATGGCAGGCAGCCTCGACACTCGGGTGCTCGACGAAGACGATCGACCGAACAAGGCAACGCCTAGGATTCTACGCCTCGCACTACCTACATACCGGTCCAGCGCCTCACGACGAGACAGTGAGAAATCCTATTACCCCAACAAAAGCTGAGGCACCGGCGGGAAAGGATGCCTACGAAGGAGTCACAGGTCTCGGATCGGTGGTACCGCGAGACGGTGAGCGACACGGCGGGGAACTCTGTCTGCGGAACACGCTCCATCCAGGCAACAACTTCCTTCTTGCGGGTCCTTTTCTGCAGGTTCCACGGGTTCGTCTCCTCCTCTGTCTCTGTGCGCTCCTGGTTGAGCAGAGAAGAGGAAGAAGGAAAAAAGCGGCTGTTATCCATTCCATATCCCTACATATCAGTATGTTTCAGCCTCGCCGCCTGTGGGACATACCAAGTAAAATGCAGGTCGTGATGCACCTTCGGACCAGATTCATCGCACAGAGACCTGGTGTTGCTCGAAGAAAAGCGCGCATCCTTAATCGACGTTACGGTAAAGCGCTGAGACATGCATCGGTGACACAGCTTCGGCTACAACATGAACTTGAGGGGTCCCTTGTCATCCCCCACATAGGCAGCAGAGGCGTACAAATCTCATGAATCTGTCGCCTTTGCGGAACGCACAACGCCAAGGAGGGGGGGGTTGTTTCTTGACCAGGAACAATGAAGGCGAACACGCCATGGCAGGTGACCTTGCCGTTGTCGTACGCGCACTCCGTCTAAGCCTCCCCGAGTGCGCCGTCAGATGTAAGGCGTTGATCAAGATCAACAATCCGCAGTTCTCGGGGCTGGAGTTCCACGAGAGAAACCTTTTTTTTATCGTTTTTGTGTGCTAACCCTAAGGCATGTGTTGCTGCCCCATGATTCCAAGCGTCGTTGCCTTGTGGGACGTAACCCATGGACGGAAGCCCGAAGCCTCGGACTCCCGGGGGGTCCCATGACCAGGGTTCGGCGTCGCAAGGATCTTGGCACTTGCGCTCGGGAGCGGGGGGACGGGGCTGTCATGCGTATGTCGAGTCTATTTCACTTTACCGAGATGTCGGTGAACGTCCCTCTGAAGGGGAGCGTAGGGCTTTCGAGACAAGAGACGCGCTGTGCGGGAAAGAAAGGAAAAAAAATCCCCTGACGCCTATAATGGGGGAGCGGTGAGGAACTTGACCGTCTTCAAGCCCCGGGCGGGACGCCGGTGCGGGCGTCAGGCTACGGGGGACCCGTTGATATTCGGATTCTGCATGGTTGATGTTTGCTAGACCGCAGTCGGGTTAAACTTCCTGCAGCTGCTGCCGCTACTTACCAGCCTTCTTCCTCGAAGAGCTGGAAAGCGGGAGAAGAAAAAACGGAACTAGCAAACGAGCGGTGTGTACGCGAACATTGACCAGGGGAGACCCGACAATCTCTGCCTCCCTTCTCTTTACCCCTCCAGTTCCTCGAGATATATACAGTCCATCATCGTTCCGGTTCTCATTGTTGCAGCCTCGTTAAAAATAAGAAATGGAATATAAATACAATCCCTTGTTGGCGTCGGAGCCTCTCCCCTCTGGGAAAGGCCCATGCGTCCACCGACATGACCGAACGCATACATCCACCCTTTTCGGCTCAGAACAACAGCATAAGGCGGCTTGGCACCGCCGGTTCCGGCCTGCCCACGTGTATGTGTAATGCGCTTTGCTCGGCCTTGAAGGACAGGGCTGTCGATAAAACATGCAAGAACAGCGATACACACAAAGGACCATGCAGTAGACAAGCGGAGGGAAAGCTGCATCTCCCAAGTGCCCGCACACCGCATGTGTCTGGTCGTACCTTGGTCCTGGTCTAGTGGACGGCCGCAGTAAGGCATCCATTGAACTGCAGCATCAACGACATTGTCAAGGGTTACTAGAGTGGTCGCAGACAAAAGTGCACCCAGGGCGCCCGTTTCCCCGCCCAAAGAAGGCCGTACAGCCGCGGCAGATCGCATTCATGGGGTTCCGAATCTTTCCAAACGAAGCCTTGCCCGGGAAGAGTCTTTTTCTCTTGCAATGTTTGTGGTGGGAACCTTGACTTCGGTCAGGGCCTCGTTGTTGAACGAGGGGGGGGTTGCCTTGCCACGAGCAGGCTACACCGCAAATCCTCGCCTTTCGTCGAATATGCTGTTAGTTCCATCACCATGGATGCTGATAACAACAATAACAACAACAACAACAGCAGCAGCAGCAAAAATACCCGAAAGTGTAGGGGGCCGGGACGTGGAGTGTAGGACGCCTTCGGTGAGGGCGGCCGGACACCACACTGTCAGACTGTTAAAGGCTACTGACACATCCCTGCTATTCGACGTGACTGCTCCAACCGTCTGATGTGGATTCCCGCCCTACGTAATGCTGCGGGGGGTCGTGCCATGTTGGTCTGATGTCTTGTGGTGTAAAAGGGTGGACCGGATGGCAATAGAGTTCGGCCGGGCGACGGCCCGGTGGTTTGACAGTTGAGGACGGGCATCTAATCTGATCATGGATAGCTCTTCTCAGTCTCCACTGTGAACGAGTCCCCTATCTGTCCCAGGAAGGCAATCGTCATCAAGTGAACACACGTCTGAATACCGTTCTCTCTCTCTCTCTCTCTCTCTCTCTTTTTTTTTTTCGCATGAAGGGCTGTAACGATGGGGATTTTCTCGGTGAAAGGGCCTCGAGTCAACGACATATCGGTTGGGCCTGGAACTCGGACAGGCAGCATGTTTACAGCAACAGTCGATTCGTGGTTTTGAATCTTCATGGCGAGCCGACTTAGCCGGATAGGCTCTGTTGATGTCGAACCATGACGGCACACGATTGAAAGACTCTTGAGAGACACCTCAGCTTTGCCGGTCTCGAGTCAGTGAAGACTGTAGGAGCAGAATGGCGCCTAGCCTCTTTATGTTTTTTTTCTCCTTTTCTTTCTTTTTGTTCTTTCTTTGCTGGACGTACTGCCAACAATTTGCAAGTGACTAGCGATGACCGACACTCCCTCTCTTTACCATCGTGTAAGTTTCACTCCACACGCCCTCCGTTGTGACGTTCCCCCTCCCTCCCTCCCTCCTCCTACCCCGTCGCGACCGAGTCTACACGCCGCTGTCGATACCTTGACAGCCCAAATTCAAAGCTTTTACCAAGTTGCTTAATCGAAGAAAAAAACCTGGCCCACCCGTCTTAACCGTACTCTCTCCCTCACAACCCGCATGAACCAGCTCAAACATCAGTAACCCCCCACTCGCGTGAGGTGTCCGTAACTACCCCAAGGCATTGGTCTTCGAGACCGTGGCAGAGTAAGCTCCTTGAACTGTATCGTCAAGTCCGAGCTCGACTGGACGAAAGACACTCATCCTTATCGGCGGTGCCACGTCGAGGGCGGCGCGGCACTTGACGTGTCGAGGGACGCGGCCATGGTCGCCAATCTAAATGATTCTACCTACGACCAATGCCAACCAGGTGGACAAGATCAAGCTGGAGGGCAGTGCAGGGTCGATATCGGCCATGTTACAACGCACGCAGAGGGACAGCAACATCCCCGTTCGTTGGCAGCAGCCACGGGACTGTCTCATCCATCATTGTCCAAAACACCAACACGAGGCGCGGAACAAGGTTCCTGTCGGAGACGTTGCATAAACTCGAATTCAATTACTTCATTCCTATCATATACTCTGCTTTTCTACGCCCAACGCATGTTTGTCTGCTTCTTGCGCACCTGCAGTCGTCGTTAGTAGGAAGGTCGGCTCTCTTCAGGCCGAAGAAGAGGTACTTACAATGGGACCCAGCACCGCAACACCGGCAGTGAGCGCGAGCACGGTCGAGATGAGGCTAATCTTGTTGAAGCCTTTGCCGAGGATGTCAAAGGTGAAGCTGGGGGCGACGCGGCTGCCAAACACATCGACACCATACGCCAAGACCAAGCTGGTGCTCTCCACGATGGTGGGCGAGGTGACCATCTTCTTGACACCGATGACGTCGCGCTGGTGGGTGATGACCTGTCTAGGGTCGATCTCCAGGGCCGGGTGGTACCTGACCAGGCCTTCGGCTTCCATCTCGGCGGGTGTCGGGTCGCGCCCCACAGGCCGGCGCGGCTCGAGCAGCTGGCGCGGAAGCCCGGCAATGGCGTGGGACTGGGGCAGATAGCCGAGCACGTGACGGCTGGTGATGCCCTGGCGTGTCTGGGTGACGGCCAGAGCAGCAATGGGAGCAGAGAGAATCCAAGCTTGGCTGATCACCGACGGGAGGGGGGGGGCAGTGGGGGTATCAATGGGCTCGGTTGACGAGAAGTTTGCAGCATCCCCCAGCGGGCCTCGGTCGTCGGGGTAGTCGCTCTCGTACAGGTCGGAAACGACGATTTGGTAACCCTTGAGGGTTTGGCCGGAAAGAGGCTGACCCGCATCGTCCTTGAGGGCGTACTCGCCAAAGAATGTGCACGCGAACCAGTTCTCGGCCAGTGTGCACTCGACATTCTTGGTGCCATCAACCCCCTCGTGAGTGGCGGTGTGAAGAACCAGGCCCGAGACCGAGTCAACAACGTAGACGTTGAGGGTCGTCTCGGCGGCATTGTACGCAGAGACGACGATGGTGTTGGGGTTCAAGTACTTGTACTTGACCCTTCTGTCACCGAGAACGCGGCCGATGGACGCAATCGGGTCGTGGGCGGGCCGTGTTGCGACGTTGACGATTTCGTATCCAGTAGGGGGAGAAAACTCCCAAGCGACCTGTTCCTTTCCGGTGCCATCCTCGATGATGAAGGTGAGGCCCTTGAGTTCGCCCTTCAGGCCGCGAACGACAACGGTCTGCGTCGGCGCCCATTCGGCAGGAACATCGCCGATGGCGCCGCCGTACCCGACAGGGGCAAGCCACTGGCCGGATGCGCTATCAACGACAACGGCAGATTGCGTTTGGACCCAGGAGCCTTGGGGCATGGAATCAACCAGCTTTCCCGTGTCGGTTTTGGCAACGACATACTCTCCGAAGTAGCCTCGCACAGTGACTTGGGTCTTTGCATCCTCGACAAAGATGCCCTGGACATCCCATGCATCCCATGAGGGGATCTGAGCAGCGTGAAGCTTCCAGATGACCTTTCCGTGCTTGCCAACGTCAAGGCCAAAGAGCTTGCCACGCCGGGTGACCAGAACGGCAATCTTGTTGAAACCAAAGGCATCGCGGGCGAGACCTTCCGTCTTGGAAGACAGTTCAGCTCCCGTGATGCTGCTGACCAGACGTTGGGGGATCGAGGCGAGGTAGTCCGGCAGGTAAGCGAGGTCATCAAAGTGACGCTTGAGACGGTGAATGTAGGCGGACACGACGTTGTCGTGGGCCTCGGCCTCGAGGGTCTTGGCCAGATCCTCGCTCTCGGGGATCTCGGCGAAGGCAGCGGCAACACCGCCGGTGAGGCCCTCGGGACGGATCCAGGCCTGCTCTCCGTTGCGGACAAGGACCCAGTCGTCCAAGGTGGTGACTGCGGCACAGCGAACGGCAAAATTGTCGGCGGCCTTCTTGATGACCTCGGAAACGGCGTGGATTGCGGTGACGCTTTCTGAGCCTTCCTTGAAGGCCCACTTTCCGAGGACGGCGTGGGAGCTCGAAGCCGTCAGAATGACTTCCTCCTGGGTGATGCGAGTGAACCAAACGTTGGCGCCATCCGAGCTAGTCGAGAAGGCGCCCAGGCCCGGAAGCACGGGAAGCTCGTGGTGCTTGGCGACTGCGTTGTTCTTGATGTTGACGTGGTACACCTCGCCCTTGTGGCTGTCGGCGGATCTGCTATGGACCAGGAAGTGCGGCTCGGCGTTGAGGTGATGCGGGGCATGGATGGCGACGTCCAGCGTCTTGGCGAACGGCAGAGGGAATTCCTGCTTTGACTTTGTGCCCAAAACGTTGACCTTGAGCTTCGTATGTTCGCTGTCGAGCCAGGCGACAATGGGGGATGCCGAGTTGGCGCCGACAAACATGACGTCCTTCTTGTCTGCAACGTCGCCCTTGCTGCCGAGGTTGATGTCGTCGATGCGCTTGCCAGTGAGAGTGTCGTGGACAGACACGCGCACACCCCACATGCCTTGGGCACCGTAGAGGCTGACGACAAAGATGTTCTCGATGTTGTTGGAAACCTGTAGCGGGGTGGTGTTGCTCGGGTCCTTGAACTCCCAAACCAGGCTGCCGTCGCCCCCGTTGATCCTTCTCAGGACAGTAGTGCCGTCGGCGTCCTCAAAGAGCGCCAGAACATCCTTGCGACCGTTCTCCGTCAGCTCCATCACCTCGAGATCACGGATCTCACCCTCAAAATCGATCCACCAAGCGTTCCTTCCCGACAAGGCGTTCCAGGCATGCACCGAGTTGCCGTAAGCTGATACAACCCAGTCCTCGCCCTCGGCCGCGCGCAAGTGTCCGCCACCATAGGTAATATCTCCCGTCAGGAATTGGCGCCAAACGACAGCGCCATTACTAGGGTTGACAGCACCGAGCACGCCGACATCGCTGAGGGTATAGAGCAGAGAAGCCTTATCGTCGCGCCGGGGCTTGTGGAACAGAGTGGTTTCGACCTGGGGGACGCCGATGAGTTCGTGGTGGTAATCGATATCGCCAACCTCATCGACGAAGACGGCGCCGACGAGCGATGAAGCTGCAAGTAGCAGCGTCGTAAGGCGCATTGTGATTTGGGGTGACGGGGAGGTTTCTGAGCTTGTCGTGGAGATGGACAGCTCCGAAAGTGTGTGAAGGAAGCTCGCACGTCACTCTGAAGGTGGCAGCGCAAAGGGTGCGTTAATACCTGTACAGAGCAGAGCAGAGCACTGAGGGTACGTACCTCGGTGGGTAGGTTCCCCGTTGGAGGCGTGGGCTGATTGGGATGTGTGTGGGGGGGGTGGAAAGGGAATGGGAAAGGGAATGGGAGGTCTGTGTGTGCCCGGCGCGCAACATTAACAGCCGAAAGCTTTCTGAAGATTGCAAAAGGGCCCTGCCACCGTGCGACTTTCTACCTCCGCGGCCAAAATCGACTCTATTCCCTAGAAGCCCGACCTCTCTCTCGGTCTCTAGAGCTCTCAAAATGGTAAGTGCATGGTGGAATCGCTCTTAGGGCACCAAATCAGCTAACATGTGCAGGCGCGAAATTCGGAAAAGGCGCAGAGCATGCTCTTTCGCTTCCGCGAAGCGCAAGCAGCAGACCTGGGCATCATCGACATCGGCCGGACAAGGCGGCCGAGAGTCATCACCGAAGTCGACTCGATACCCTCTTGCGAAAAATGGCGTGGCCAGGTGCTGAAGGAGATCTCGCGCAAGGTCTCCAAGATCCAAGACACGGCACTGAGCGACTACCAGATCCGCGACCTCAACGACGAGATCAACAAGCTCATGCGAGAGAAGTACATGTGGGAGGTGCAAATACGAAACCTCGGCGGTCCAAACTACATGCGCGGGGGCGGCAAGATATACGACGAGCAAGGCCGAGAGATACCGGGAGGAGGCAAGGGGTACCGCTACTTTGGACGAGCGAGAGACCTCCCCGGCGTCAAGGAGTTATTCGAAGCCGCCAAGGCCAAGGCTACGGACGAGAAGCCTCTGGAAACGAGAGACGACTTGCGGAAACAGGTCGACGCCGCCTATTACGGCTACGCACCAGACGAGGAGGATCAGGAACTGCTTGCGTACGAGCTTGCCAAGGAAGAAGAAGCGTTCGAGCACATGTCCAAGACAGGCAAGCAGCAGCCGCCGCCCGACTGGGAGCCATTGCCAGGCGACACCGGGGATGGAAAGGGCTGGGAGTTGCCGACTCTGGAAGAGGTGCAGGAGGAGCTGATCAACAGGCGGCGGCAGAAGCTGCTGGACCAATTATAGCAGCCAAGTCGTACGCTGGCTTTCCGCGTACGATGAGAACTGCTTCAATAACTTTTTTTTGGAGGGAAAATGCTCGCTTTTGGAACGCTGCACGGCTGCTATATCATATTTCAACGTTGGGAGTTCAGTCATGGCCCTGTGATGACGGCTGGCGTTCTCGGATGGCTTACGGTTAATCGAATACCAAAAAAATGATATTTCTCGCCAATTGGAGCGGCATCATACCAGACGCATCAAATTGGTCTAATTACTCCTTGTCCCAAACTTGGACAGTGGCGGAGCTGCTTTACAATCAATGTTTGATGATATCCAGGCCTCACTCAGATGGACTAGTTGGGCCTGGTGAGCTCGGTGAGCGGGGCCGATAAGATAAGGCGGCACGTGACCGTCGCGAACTTCAATTCGAGCTTCCAAGCTCGACTTTTCGATGACACGACCAGTGACATACCCGCCCAATCCCGCCACCACCGCCGCCAAAATGTCAATGTTCCGCGCCAAGAAGCTCGACCTGGGCTGTTTCATCAACATCCGGACGATTCGTGACCACACGAAGCGCCAGGTCTTCATGGAGCACGAACCCGAGAGGTGAGCCAGCGCAGACAGAAACCACCCACGCCGCGAGACGCTGCGCAGACCAAAAAGACTGACAAAGGCAACCCACCCCGCGACAGACAAGCTCTCCGCTACATCATCCGGAACACGACGCTCCCTCCGCGTGTGCGCGCCGAGGCGCAGCTCCAGCTGGGCCAGATGCACTGCTACACCCGGCCGACGCAGATCCGCAACCGCTGCGTCATGGGCGGCAAGTCCAGGGGTGTTTTCCGCGAATTCAAGATGTCGAGGGTATGTCAACGAGGCATTTCCGTCGGGGGGCGCCAACACCGTGTTCTAACACTCGGTTATAGTTCAACTTCCGTATGCAAGCGTACGAGGGTAACCTGCCCGGTGTCAAGAAGGCCAGTTGGTAAAGGGATGTATATGGGAGGGTGGACGATACAGAGCAGTATGGCGGGCGTGGGAGTGCCACTGTACAATACAAAGTGTTTGGCACGCTCTTCCAAAGGGCGGGAGATGTCTACGTGCTCAGGCGCTCATAGATGGGTTGGGTTTGGGAGTTTGATCGCATCCACCGTAAAGATTTGTACAAATATATGACACCCAGAAAAGAATGTACAACATCTCCAATCAGCTGTAAGTTGGGTTGGAAGAGGCCCCAGTGTTCGATGTAAGGCAGGAAGAGACGAGACGACTATGCGCCCTTGCCCTGTTTGTCTTTTGATTCATGTCGTATCTTCTTCCGTCTCGTTGTGCGCCTCCCTTTCATTCGCTCATACCCGTTTGCCTGCCTGTGCCTTCATCGAGTTCTTCCTGAGGAAAGCAGGAACACATCCCTTCTCATCCATCTGCCTTCAACCTCGTACCTCTGTCAACACCATCATCTCCTTCGCAAGCCGCCATGTTCCGCCGTCGCTGGCTTGGTCTCCCCAAGGACCCCATGTTCCCATCCAACCTCAAGGATCTCGGGCAAGTCTTCCCTCTCGTCTCGTCTAGAGTTGGAGAAACTAACACTCGCAGCTACTTTGTCAACGATCAAGACGAGATCCGCAACATCGAGAACCCCAACTACTACTTCAAGTACTACCTCACCAAGAATGGCCGGGTAAACGACCGCCAGCGTTTCCACTTCAACGGTAGGAACCAATCAGTTGTCTCCCATTGTTCGTCCTTGGCTACTAACTCCCAGTAGAAGCTGTTCGCGATATCGTCCACGACCGACTCGAAAAGGAAGGCATGAAAAAGATTCTTCTTCCCATCGGCGCCCAACAAACATCTCCTCATGTGCCGATCCTCACCAGCGCGGACTTGGCCACGGCGTCGCGGGTCGTCGTCGTCTTCGGCGAGCCTAGCCAAGACCTCGGTATCTTGGCCCTCCGGGTCGCCAACGGCCCTGGCGGCATCAACAAGGGCTCCATGGTCTCCGTCGTCCAGGAGATCGCCCGTCAGACGTCGTCCGTCTCTGATCCGTCCGCGCCCAGCATCATCTTAGCTAATACGGGCGAGCTCTGGTGGTGGCCGGAGGGGAAGAAGGCCCTGAGCCCTACTTCCGCCCATGCCGTGCCGCAAAAGAGCATGGTCCACCACGGCCGCGCGTTCAACCCGAAGCTTCACTCGATCAGCAAGAACGAGAGCACGGAGGCGCATGTTCGATACATCCTGGACGAGGTTCTCCCCGCGCTCGTTCCCTCGAGCGCCCGCCTTGATATCGTCGGTATCGGCCTCGGCGCCGACCACGCAACCAGGGCCCTCGACAGCCCAGACACCTGGTCCGTCCTCGGGCACCGGATCAACACGCTCTCGCTCCTCGGCAGCACGACCGCCATCGACGAGCTCTCCCACGAGCCGCTCAAGGAGTTCCTTCCCCGCCGCGCCCGGGCGTACATAACGGACGAATCCCCCACCCTCACGCCCCTCGCCCGGCCTGGCGGCAACCCGAACACTGCCTCCTTCACGCAGCACGGCTGCACCGTCTTCAGCTCCGGCGAGGAACACTACGTCGAGCGCATGTTTATCACCAGCCGGGCCCCTATCCTCGACTGGATCCAGGAAGTTGCCCTCGCGGGTCAGGATTACCGACACCCGGCGGTTATAGCCGTCGATCCGCGCGTGCCGACCATGGAGGAGTGGGCCGCCGGTGGCTTCGACGAGACCTGGGAGAGTTTGCCCGAGTTCGCGAGGCCGAGCCTCGGATATGCCATGATATCCGATGACCATGGGCATTGCAAAGTTTCGGACGGTATTCGTGAGATTGCGAATAGTCGGGCTACAGGGCATGGTGAAGGGGATGACGAGTAGACCCTGGGAAGAGTCGGACACGGAATATCCGCGTGAGCGGTCATCTCGTACGTAGAGGTATGGTCCTGACTGGACATGGCCCGGACAGCCTGGAGAGGGATGAGACTGTAGTCATCTTTCAAAGAAATCATTCTCTTCGCCGTCGTGCATATTGTATCTCCGTGCAAGTCTCCGGGGAATATGGCGTTCCCCTTTTGCATACGATGCAGGCAAACAATCTTCAATCCGCAGTAGTAAATGGGCTTGTCGCATGTGGACGTGAGGGTATTCATCTGGTATCATTACCCCCCTGAAATATGAACAGTATTATACAAGTTCTTGCCGCTCCTACCGCAACATTGACGCCCGGGAGATACAGCAACCCCATACACCTGTTTTGTCTTTCCTTCTGTTTCTTTGATTTTCTCCTCTTTTCCTCTTTTACACCTGGAGCAGAGAGGCCAGCCCAGAGGCGGGCCGCTCGGCCTGCACCAGCAGCTCCCTCGTCCGCCGCACCCTCTCCTTGACGACCTTCTCCTCCGCCACCCACCTGCCCTCGTCGCCGTCGTCGGCGGCCGTCTTGGCCTCGCTCCAGAAGCCAAAGGCGGATTTGACGGGACCCGCCTTGGCCTTGGCCTTCTTCTCCTCCTCCTCCTCCCGGGCCAGCCTCGCGACCATGGTCGACCAGTTCTGCAGCCCCGTGCTGAGGCACTCGCGGCACGTGCGCCGGGCTTCGCCGTCGCCGCCCGACGGGCCAATGGCGCGGAGCTGCTCCTCGGCGAGGTCGACGGCGTCAGCGCCGTCCCACCGCGAAGGCCCCTCCCTCGCGGTTCGCACTGCGCCCCGCCCGTCCCTTGGGCGGCGTAAGAGGATCCTCCGCCGATGTACAGGGTTGAAGACGTGAAGACAAACAGGAGAGAGCTCGGCGGGGGGTGGCGGCCAGGAAGGGGGGGCGGGAACCGTCGAACGAGGCGTCGAAAACTCTCCCTGGGCGATCAGTGTTAAGACAGCGCCACCGGCATCCAACCCGACTATGCGTCATCTTCGAGGTGGAAGGGCTGTGAGAGTCTTAAAAGGTATTGCTGCCGTCCGACCGGGTCTTTCCAGGTCCTAAGTCTACCTACGGGCTACCCGGGAAATACCAGGGTCAATCGGAGGTCGTGTCCCATTGAGGCGACTCTCCATTCCTTGGCACACCGTATGTCTTGGCAGGCGCTCGACCACGTCGAGACGTTGACGTGGGTAACGTGGCGGGCGGGCGAGGTCCCAGACGCGCTGCCAGAGAGTGGCGGGGCGGGCGTCGGAGGGGCGCTCCTGGTCCGCGGGGGGCGTCTGCGGGAGGGCGCGGCGGGCGCGCAGGACGGAGACGAAGATGGGCAGGGCGGCGCTGACGTCTCCGGCGCGGGCCTTGTGCAGGGCGATGGAGGTGAGGACGGTCAGCAGGTTCTCGGACGGCGGCGGCGACAGCTTGTCGTTGACGAGGGTGTAGGTGCGGGGGTCGACCTGGGGCGGCGAGCCGGACGGCGCCGTGCCCTCCTCGGTCGCCAGGGATAGCGCCCACTGGTACATCCTCTCGGCGGCGTCGGGCAGGTTCTTGTAGTCGAGAAAGGAGGCGTAGCGCAGGGCGGCGTCCATCTTCTGGCGGTCCGTGAAGCCCCTGGTGGTGAGGATGCGCAGGTAGTGGTTGTCAGCCGGCTCGCAGGCGGGCTCGCAGTCCTCCTCCACGGGGGCGCTCTGGGCGCCGGGCGGGATGGGTCTCGGGCGCGGGTTCGAGGGGCCGATGACGACCTCGGGCGGGAAGACGTATTTGCTCTTCTTGTCCCTGACCCAGCCGTCGAGCTGCTCCGAGGCCTGCGCCAGGAGCATCAGCAGCTCGTAGTAGCCCCGCCTCCAGTTCTCGCTCTTGGCGGACAGGTCCTTGCCGGCGGCGCCGACGCCTTCGATGGACAGGGGCTCGTCGAGGAGCTCGCGGATGCCGGCGCCGTCGCCGGCGGGGTCCTCGAGCCTCTTGAGCATCTCCCGGCACGAGACGAGGACCTCGACCCAGTCGACGTCGTGGCCCTGGCTGTCCTTTGCGGCGTGCTTGGCGCCGCGCACGCCGACGCGGGTCAGGAGGGACCACTCGTGGGGCGTCGGGTGCTCCTTCTCCAGGGCCTCCTGGTTCAGCAGGAAGACGATGGCGAGGGCGCACAGGGCGGCGCCCCAGATGGAGACGTTGTAGCGGAGGAACAGGCGGCCCTCGTAGCGGAGCCAGCGCTTCTTCTCGGTGGTGAAGTAGCGGACGCGGGGGTAGCGCGAGGAGGCGACGGGGATCGAGAGGAAGGGGAGCTGCGGCCGGCCGCGCGAGGCGAGGGGCGTGGTGTTGCTCGTGAAGGGCCGTGTGGTCTGGAGCCGGAAGAGCCTCTGGAGGAGGATCCGGCGGAGGGCTAGGCGCTGGCGCATCGTGGCTGCGAGGGGCGGCCCGGGTTGGGGGGGGGGGTTCGATTATGTGTTTGGTGTATTCATGTATCTTCGCGGTTATTTTCGTGGGTGTGTGAACCTTCGGATCTCGAGGCTGCGGGACGCCTTCTGTTTGAAGGGGATGATGATGATGATGCAGTTTTGGGTCTGTTCGGTGAGCTCGAAGCTTGAGTACCGATCGGGGGGGGGTGAGCTGCCAATTGGTGCCACCAAAAAGAATTCCGGTGCCGCTGTGGGGATGGAATTGGCGGCGGTCGGGGCAGTCGGTGGGTGGTTGTTCCGCCCCAAGCCGGGATTCCGGCTGCTGATTGGCCACTCACCTTGTCAACTTTTTATTTTTATTTCTTTTAAACTATTTTCTTCTTTACCTTTCCTCCCCTTATGACCTTTGACCGCCGGCTATGGCGCAAACCCGATTTTGCGATTGAGACCCGGTTTTTTTTAATTGTTGGTAAGAGAGAGAGAGTCCCGTGAGTGTATATGTATATGTAAGACTGGCCAAGTTGACGGTTACTCACCATATATCTCCTGCTCTGATTTGTAGCCTCTTGATTTATCCCCCTCCCTCTCCATGATGAAAAGGCGAGGTTGAATATGTCTTCGTTCTTCTCCAAAGCGGCATCGAGTCCGCATGCACAACTAGCTGCCACGGCGGTGTTGTCAGGCGCGACGGTGGCATGTCTCATTTTCGGATACCAAGCATTCGAAAGAAAGGAACGCATCGAGCACTTGAAAAGGTCCATCCCGTCGTCTTCTATAGAAGCCGCAAATGTGCGTCAAGTTTCCTGCCCTCTCTCATCGGCGCGCCCAACTTCGACCATGGACTAAAATCATTACAGCTCACCCACTTCGGCGCCGCGTCGCCCCCTATCGACAAGGAGGATGCTCGCAACCAGGCTCTCGCGAGGAGGGCGCAGGCCGGCGACTTTGACGAGGAGCTCATCCTGGAGCAGCTGGCCCGCAACAGGGTGTTCCTGAAGGACGAGGGTCTGCAAAAGCTGCGCAACTCGTTCGTCATCGTCGTCGGCTGCGGCGGCGTCGGCTCCCACTGCACCGCCGCCCTCGCCCGCTCCGGCGTCTCCAAGCTCCGCCTCATCGATTTTGACCAGGTCACCCTCAGCTCGCTCAACCGGCACGCCGTGGCCACCCTCGCCGACGTCGGCATCCCCAAGGTCCAGTGTCTCTACCGCCGCCTCATCGCCATCGCCCCCTGGGCCAATTACGAGCTCAAGAACCAAAAGTTCGAAGGCGCCGTCGCCGAGCAGCTCCTCGCCCCCTGGGGCGGGGACGGCCAGAAGCCCGACTACGTCGTCGACGCCATCGACAACATCGACACCAAGGTCGCCCTGCTCAAGTACTGCCACGACCATGGCATTCCCGTCATCTCCAGCATGGGTGCCGGCGCCAAGGGCGACCCGACCCGTGTGAACGTGGGTGATATCGGGGCCAGCACCGACGACGGGCTGTCGAGGGCCACCCGCAGGAAGCTGAAGCTGCAAGGCGTTACCGGCGGGATCCCCGTCGTCTACTCGACCGAGGTGGCCGGCGAGGGCAAGGCCGCCCTGCTGCCGCTGTCCGAGGACGAGTTCAAGAAGGGCACCGTCGGCGATCTCAGCGTCCTGCCCACGTTCCGAGTGCGAATCCTCCCCGTCCTGGGCACCATGCCCGCCGTCTTTGGCTACGTCGCCGCGAACCACGTCATCCTCAGCATCTCCGGTGAGAAAAGCCCCCCCGCAATCAGCGTTTTGACTTCTTTTTCTTTTTCTCTCCTTCTCTCGATCAGACTGACCAACAACAACGCCCCCCTCAGGTTACCCCCACGACTACGTCCCGGCGAAGAACCGCGACAAGCTGTACACGGACGTGGTGGCGTTTGTGCAGGGCTCCGAGACGAGAATCGTGCACCACCGGTACGGCATCGAGGAGTCCAAGGGCCTCCGCATCCCCGTCTCGCTCGGCGACGCGGCGTTCCTGACCGAGGAGCTGTGGAAGGGGCGTAGCGCGGTGACGGGCCTCATCAACCGGCTCGTGCTCGTACGGTGGAGGCGGCCCTCGGGCCCGACGAAGATGCGGATCGGCGAGGGCGCCGAGGAGCAGAAGTGGTCCAACGTCCGGTTCCGCGACCTGGTCTGCATGACGCGCGACGAGGCCCTCCGCCACGAGAAGGAGTACCTCAAGAAGGACGATACCAAGCTGGAGGACCTGTACGATGCCGAGGTGATTGCGCGGGTCGAGGAGAGGCTGAAGGAGGCGGTCGAGGTGGAGAAATATAGACTATAGACGCTTGCGAGGACTAAGGACACCCGGGGTCATATTATGAGTACATGCGAACAAAAGTTATCCGAACTGATGGTTATCTTCCTTTTGGAGAAAGAAGACGGCCTCCTCAGGGAGTGGCTGCTGCTGTGGCGCGACGGATGATCGGGACGGAGGTGTGGCGGTGGATGTGAGGTGTGGCGGTGCAGGTCGCTCGTCAGAGTGGGGAATGGACACTGTACGGAGTAGGCAGTACCTACCTAGCTAGCGACCGTGTGTGCCCAAAGCTCCCGTGTCTGTCTGCGTCGCGTCTGGTCGCGCTTTCTTCCTTCCTTCATCACCTCACTGGGATTTTCTGCCAACAGACAAAACCTCGAGTTTCCGCGACAACAACGGTCGTTTCTGATCAGGCAAATTGTGCCTCGTCGGGTTCATCTCATGGTATCCATGCGGAAGGGAGACTGTGACTTTGTATTCCCAAGCGCACCACCATGAGTCGTGGCTAGAGGTGAGCCGGCCGGAATCGCTGGATGGGGACCATGTTGCTGACGATATTGCAGGGCATATTAACAAGAATAGTCTTCGTGTTCGGTCCTTTTCCCACGGATCGTGCCGAGAGTGTCAGCAGTGCGCCATTCAGGAGTTTCCTATGCAGCAGCAATCCAACGCATCAGCTCCGCGGCTCTGTATCTCAAGTGAGACGTGGCAAAGGCATGGGTGGACACTTCGGGTATCAAAGTCCCTCCCGATAACCCATTTGTCCCCAACCTCTTCTGGAGACTCTTGTTCAATTCTTGCCCCTCTCGCTTCGTTTCCGTTCAAATTTGCTTCCTCTAGGACGGGGTCGTCTCTTTTAATATCTTAACCCACCTCCAGCCTGCGGTGATGACAGCTTTCACATCAGGGTTACGGGATCATCAGTGCTGCGGTTCTGCACAGAACCCTCCACGCGATGGCAGGACCAGCACCAAAGAACAGAGATCTGAGCAGGAGACATGCTGAGGCGTTCCCCGGCATGGATGCAATCGTTGCGCCGGTGTGCGGCCGGCTCTCGTTTCTCGAGATCCCGTGCCGCAATGACGACAGTTTTTCTTCATAGCCTAGAAGCTAAGCCCCGTCGAGTCCACGGCCCTCCTCGCGGAGGGTGTACGGTTCGGCCCTGGAGCATGGCTTATGACAGGACGTATATAGTTTTCAATCGGAGCTGGCCGGTAAGTTGAGACCCACCCTCTCAATGCGCTCGCGGTTGGGGTGTCGCTGACGTGGGCGTCGCAGATGTCAGGAACTGCCGGCCAAGCGGCGGTGCAGCGACACGATACAGAATTGCCCGGTGATGACACGAAGTCCAAATAAGCCAAAGTTGCAGACAGCACGAGGGTCGATCCAGTCACTTTGGCGGAGTCCCATCGGTCGTTGTCCGTGAGAACATAAGAGAGCTAATCTGAGGGCAATTCTGCGAGTCGAGGAGAGGATGTCTGGTAGTGACAAGCCAAGCCAAGCCAAGTGGCTTGGTTCCGGGTGGAAGGGGTATCGAGCCGTGATGAGGTAGGTAGCTGTATGCAGAACATACTGGTTCAACATATTGACATTGATGTTGCAAGGCCATCAAGGAAGGTCAACCAACCTGGTCTATAGATGTAGAGCGTGGTAGGTGAAGGCATCACGAGATGAGGTGAAGCCCTCGGAGGCTTCTCGGTGCAGGGAATGGGTTGGCATCCCAGCTGTCTGCAGCATGCAGCCTGCGGGATTACCCGCCGCAAACGGTGACTCAAAGACTTTTGCGCAGCGAATCACGGCGCGTCCCCCGGGACATGGATGAGCTCATCTTGAGCTAAGCTCTGTTCCCGCATCTGATTCCATCTATATATCCCGCCTTGTTTCCAGCCCTGTTCCCCCAGACAGCGCGCGGGTCGAGCTAACATGATGAAAGACATTTAGTGTTTCAATCACCAATCATGGTTTCGTCTTCCCTTCTTTTCTCCGACATCGTGCATTACATGACATCTTGACCGCTCCAGGTGCTGACCCGAACTGAGCCGACCATCACTGCAAGCACCGAGTCTATCAGGACTCGTCGCCTTGGTACACCCACTCACTCACCCACCCACCAGAGAAAGGACACGCGGACCGTCGACGCCTTGCCGGCCATGGACCCAACCATGGCCGCCTTGCTTGAGAAGAGCGGCGCCGATGGCGTCCCCTTCCGCGCCCGCCCCGGCCACACCCATCACACGTGGGCCGGCACCTTCCACTCCCGCCCGGAGCTCTACATCCAGCCCGAGTCGCTCGAAGAGGTCGAGAAGGCCGTCAACCTCGCCCGCCAGCACCGCCGCCGCCTCGTCACCGTCGGCTGCGGCCACTCGCCCTCCCACATCACCTGTACCTCGAGCTGGCAGCTCAACCTCGACCGCTACAACCGCCTCCTCTCCGTCGACCCCGCCAGCGGCCTGGCCGTCATGCAGAGCGGCATCCGCCTCTACGACCTGTGCGACGCGCTCGACCGCCGCGGCCTGGCCATGCCCAACCTCGGCAGCATCAACCAGCAGTCCATCGCCGGCGCCATCTCCACCGGCACGCACGGCAGCAGCCTCCGCCACGGCCTCATGTCCGAGGACGTGGTCGCCCTCAAGATCACCCTGGCCAGCGGCAGGACCGAGTCGTGCTCGCGCGACGAGAACCTCCCGCTCTTCCGCGCCGCCCTGCTCTCCCTCGGCGCCCTCGGCGTCATCACCGAGGTCACCTTCCGCGCTGTGCCGGCCTTCGCCCTGCGCTGGACCCAGACCATCGACGCCGACCGCCGGATGCTCGACGCCTGGGCCGGCGACCTGTGGACCCAGAGTGAGTTCGTCCGCGTCTGGTGGTTCCCCTACACCCGCCGGGCCGTCGTCTGGAAGGCCGACAAGACGGACGAGCCGCACGCGGCGCCGCCCCGGCGCAACTACGACGGCCCGCTGGGCTACTACCTCTACCACAACCTGCTGTACCTCGCGCAGCACGTCCCACGCGTGCTCCCGTGGGTCGAGTGGCTCGTCTTCGGCATGCAGTACGGCTTCCGCGACGGGTCGGCCGTCTCCGCCGTCCAGCCGAGCCGCGAGGCCCTGCTGATGAACTGCCTGTACAGCCAGTACGTCAACGAGTGGGCCATCCCGCTGCACAGGGGCCCCGAGGCCATTGCGCGGCTGTCGTCGTGGCTGAACCGCCTCGCGCCGGGCGACGCGGGCTACGCGCCGCACGGCATCCCCTTCTCGGCCGACGGGCTAAATCCACGCGCCGGTCGAGGTGCGCGTGAGCGACACGTCGCGGGCGTCGTCGCCCTCGGCCGCCGGCGCGCGGCCGTACCTCGACCCGACGCGGCCCGACGGCCCGACGCTGTACCTCAACGCGACGCTGTACCGGCCGTACGGCGCGGACCCGCCGTGCCGGGCGCGCTACTACGAGGCGTTTGAGTGGCTGATGCGGGACCTGGGCGGGCGGCCGCACTGGGCCAAGAACTTCGGGTCGGGGGCCGAGGAGGTGGCGGCGTCGTACGACGGCGCGGACGTGCGGGCGTGGCGGGCGGTGCGGGACGGCGCGGACCCGGAGGGCATGTTCGTGGGGCCGTGGCACCGCGAGAAGGTGCTCGGCGCGGGGCCGAGGCTCGCGCTCGAGGAGGTCGAGGTCGCGAGGGTCCCGGAGAGGTTCCGGGGCGGGTTGAGGGTCGACGGCGCGGTGGGAGAGGCTCGGTGATGACGACGTCGAGTAGTAGGCGGGTCCCCTTGTCCCCAGAGACGCGCGTGTTTTGCAGGGAGCCAAACTAAAGTCAGGCAAGATGTCTGTAAGGGTCTATTAGCATTGTACTATTACGGTTGGTATATAGGTAGCAGATGGAGCTCATTGAAGCTGGACCGAGACTCGCCGATGTCAAAAGCGGCCGGACCAAGACTCGGGAAGAAATGTCTGCAAACGTGAAGTTCATCGTCACACAAGTTTAGGAGGAGATACTCCAAAATGGGGTGGATGGATAGACAGGATATGTGGATTACTCGCGCCACATTAGATGAGCATTCGCATAGTAGGCTCTTGGGTGGTCATCAGTAAGAGACAAAGTCCGGGGGTCCATGGAACGCAAGGAGGGGGAGCGGGTGGCTTCTGTTGGCCACCCCCTCCTCCGGTCGTCCGTCGCCCGTACGAGCTCATGTCGGATCAGAGGGCGCGGAGGCGCGATGATGGATCGATGAACAGGCACACACATGTAACCAACCCCTCCCCTGGCCGGATGAAGTAGCCTTTTCTGGATATCATTGTTGGTTCCAACGGCATCCTCGCCCAACGGCTGCCCGAGTGGTTCGCGGTTGCGATCGGGAGCCTCGTTCCCCCTCACCCCCCGCCCATGCCCCTCTTCCCACGACACGGTCTCGAGAAGGGAAAGCGGAGAGCATGACGGCTCGGTTTTGGGATACTCGTTTCTTATTCTCATACAGACTGAAATGGTAAAATGGTAATAGAATTTGACTGTTTTTGGTTTGTCGACGACGTTGGGCTTTCCTTTTCCCCGTTTCACTCCCAACTGACCCGAAGCCGCTCGAGAGGGGGAATAGAAAAGACCAGTAAAGGGGAAAACGTGAGCTCGTAAGGTAATGATCAAGTCAAAAGATCATGTACAGTAGTTGCCGCGAGGCTTGGAGGGGTGTGTTTTTTGCGTCTCCACGTTAACATGGAACCAAAAATAAGAATGAAAACAAGGTAATGAAGAGAGAGGAGAGGGGGTATCTTTCGGCTCCAAGAGAACTGCGCGCGGTGTCGGTCCGCCTTCTGATGGGGACCGGCGTTTCTGTTGTCTTTCTTTTTTTTATTCTTTCTTTTCTTTTCTTTTCCGTGTCATGAAACGTGAGGTGAAATAAAAAATAAAATAAAAAATATTAAAAAATAAAAAAGAAATAAAAAAAGGTAGAGGGGGAGAGCAGAAACCAACGCCTTGAAGAAGAGAGAGAGAAAAAACAACAACAGACCAACGAGCCGTGAGGCGTTTCCATCTTGTGTCCCAAGCCGCGAGGCCCCCCGATCCGTCTTATGACCGCCGTGATGCCCACATACATACACACACATAGCCGTTTCACGCCAACTTGATAAGATACACCGACAGCCTCCGTCGTCGCCGTGGCTCTCTTCACCACCCCGGCCACCTCGTGCGGTTCTGTGTGTTCCCGCCTGAGAGGAGGGGCCGTCTTCGTATCTCCTTCCGAGCTTTTTCATGTAAACTTTTTTTTCTGTCCTTGAGGGGGAGAGGGACGGTCGTGTGACTGAACATGTTTTCCCCCCTGTCCTGGCAATCCTGGTGCGGTGTAGGGTGGAATTCTCATCTACCGCTTCGTCGATGTTTTCCCTCTGGTGTGTGTGCACCTGCACGGAGATAAAAAAAAAAAACCGTATGTATATGGTCCTGGTGGATTCCCTCTATCGAAAAGGCGGCCAGGGAGCTGGTTTTTTTTTCGATTCCGAAACACCGAGAGATATAATAAAAGAATGGAAAAATAAAAATAAAAAATGATGGAAAAAAAAAAAGACACATCAGTGTCGGTGCCGGCGGGAGCTCTCGTGGCCGTGGCGGTGGGAATGGCTGTGCCTGTGCGACGAGCGATGACCCTCCCTGTGTCGCGACGAGGAGGAGGAGGAGGAGGCAGAGGCGGCGAGCTCGCGCTCCATGTCCTCGACGCGCGAGCGGTAGCCGCGGACGATGTCCTTGATGTGGCGGATGCGGTCAAAGTCGAGCTCGAGCTCGTCGAGCTGGCGGAGGAGGTCGTGGTAGCGGGCGATCTCGGCGTCGGCGCCCTCGACGAGGTTGCCGGCGCGGTCGAACTGGGCCATTGTGAACATCTGGCTCTGCTCGCTGAGGTAGACGATCTGCTGCTCGATCTGGCCCATGACGCGGTCAAAGTACCGGCCGAGGGCCGCCAGAGAGGTGCTGTCGAGGAGGAGGAGGCCCTGCTGGCTCGAGGCGCGGCTGGCGGCGCGCGACGAGCTGGATCCCGCCGCCGCCGCCGCCGGCTCCCTGGGCCAGGGCCGCCTGTCCCTGGCGCAGCAGCTGTATCTCCTCGTAGCTCAGCCCAAGCTGCGTGTCCGGCACTGCATTGACCTGGGTGGTGGACATGGCTCGGTGCAGCGCACCGTGCGCGGTTGGGAGGCGGCAGGACTAGCAGTTTTGTATGTGTGTGGGTGGTATGTATTATCTGCCTGTTCGTATGTGTCTGCGTGTTCCGTTATCTTCGGTATTGCCTCGACTCGGGCCGCGATAACGGACGGGGTGCGGCGACGGAGGTTTCGGAGGGGTCTTGTCCCCTGTCGGAGGTGGGGGGGGAGAGCTCGATGGAGGGAGGGAGGGAGGGAGGGAGAGAGAAGATGAGGGGTTTCGACGGCGGCGATCCGGGGACGGGAGGGGAGGGGAGAGAGAGGAACAGAGAGAGAGAGAGAGAGAGAGAGAGGGAGGGAGAGAGGTGTGCAGCGGCGGGCGGACGAGGGGGCGGCGGGATGCGACGAATGGCATGAGCCGCGTTGTTTGTTGTTGGAGGTCGGGAGCTGGGGGAACTCTGGAGCGGCCTTTGTTTGGGCGATGGCGGCGCGCGCAAAGTCATGATATCGTAGAGGCGGCGGGGATCATTACTGGTAGGTTTTCTGGGGTTTTGGGCGTGCGTGCGGGCTCGGCGCGAGCGAATTGGGTTCTCGGGACAGCTTTGCCGACGGCCGACGGGAGGGGGGAGACTCTCTCACTCTCTGAAAGAGAGAGAGAGAGAGAGAGAGAGAGAGAGAGGGAGGGAGAGGGGCGCGCGAGTCTCGACGTTGCAACGGGCCGCCCGGAGGGACGGGCAACGGAGTTACAGGTTGCGTGTAGGTCCACGTCGGGGCAGAGGCCGTGGCATCAGGCCGTGATGTTAGACGGGGGTGGTCCGGAAGGAATGTCGTCCAAAGAGGGGTGGGTGAGGGAGGTCGGTCGAAGACGAGAACTAGAAAGATGGATAGGGAGAGAGAGGGAGAGAGAAAAGGGGGGAAGAAAGAAAGAAAGCTGGTCTCGATGTTGGAGAAGAGGAAAAGAGGGAGAGAGAAGGACGAGCGGTGTTTGAAGTTGGGGGGGGGAAGAGGGATATTTTTTTCTTCCTCTTTTCTTTTCTGGTGATACACACATAGACTCATACACACAACACTCACGCACACACACACACACAACACAAGCTGGATGAGCTCGCACCCTCCCACCACCCACCGCTGTGATGAAAAAGGGCCCTGGTTGATTACGAGTTGGTTCGCTTGTCCGGCGCACAGGTCTCGGTTCTTGGTGACCCAGACTCAGACCCCAAAGGCTCCCCCCAGGTCTCGGCCGCTTTGACTTGTTGGGAGGAGGGGGGGGACAGGGAGCGGAGAGAGTGAGTGAGTGACGGAGCAAAAGCTCTCTCTGATGACGGCACGCGGCTGTCTCTCTTTTTGTACGGGTAAAACGAAGGGGGTCGAGATTGATATGTCCGTCCGGGCCATGGTAGGGAAAAGGGGAAAAGGGAAGAGGGAGACAGAGGAGGGACCGAGTTTGCTGTTTTGTTTCTTTTCCCCCCTCCCCTGCGCGCAGCTGACGGCGGTCAATCTCTCTCCACGCTTCTGGGACGGCGCAACCGCGAGTGACAGCGACGGAGTAGATAATAGGTAGAGTATCGACGGGGAAAGAAAAAAAAAAGCAATTTCGGCGCGAGGCTGGGGAGGGAGGGAAAATGGAGCAGAAGGAGGAAAGAGATTGACCGGTGACGGACGGCCCTGGTAGCGAGCGGCCGTGTTGGTTCTTGTGCCAGAAACGCACACGCTCACACACACATACACACCCGAGAGAGGCACGCACAGCCGCGTATCGCAGCCGAGACGAGAGCCAAAGTTGGGAAAGTGGTGAAGGGGTGGGTGGACGAATGGATGGACGGACGGGTGGATGGATGGACAGGGACGACGTGTGGCATCCTTCGGTCAGTGTCGTTCATTAAGACAAGCGCCGGGTTCCCGCCGTGGGGGTATTGCGAGATTATTGGCCTTCCTATTTAGACAGACGGCTAATGTGCTCGTGATGATGGTATCCGGGAGGGTGTGGTTGGGGATTGGGGAGGGGGGGATCGGTATCTCGAGATGCTCGCTCGCTCGCCGCTCGACGAACGCTATCGCGGTGAATGGTTCCCAAGAATTGAGGGGTCGACAGACAGGCAGACAGATGGACAGATGGACAGGTGATTGACTGACTGTTGGCTGCCGTCCAGAAAGACCAGACGGGAGGCCGATGCCGAGCCACGGCTCCAAGTGAGACAAGGCCGAGGAAGACAGACAGACAGACAGAGCCGACGATGCGCCCACATGCTCTTTTACACCTGGAGACGGATGCAGATAGAAATGGTACTTTGTACTTTATTTCTTATTACTGCCGTCGTACTTGTCCTCCTCCTCCTCCTCCTCCTCCTCCCTCCGGCGAGACGGGACAGACCGGGGATCGGCGGGCGCGAATTGAAACACGCAACACCATACGACCAGAAGGGAGGGCTCGAAACGAGACAGTCCCCCCCCCCCCCCCTTTCGACCGCCATCATCTACCGGCCTGCTGGGCGCTGCACCAGCACGTACATTATGCAGACGCAGAGGGGCAAAGCCGCTCGGTTAGGTGCTGCAACGAGATGCACATCGCCTCGCTCCTTGCAGGGCGCTTGCTCGGCCTCCTCCCAGCGCTTGGAGAACCTCAGCCTCAACTTGCACCGTTGTAGAGCAAAGCTTCGATGGGGGGCATGGCCAGCATTCGTTTTTGTTTTTATGCAGGTTGTCATTCACACCGTCCGTCTTGTCTCCCATTCTTTCCCTTGATCGGTTATACGGCCGCCGCATGTCAGCCATCCTGTGTTTCAAAACGCCGTCCTCGTAGGGCACGCGTGCATCCGGTTGCCGCCCATGCTCTTGAGGACTTGGTGTGGCGCCATGTGTTTTAGGGTCTGGCGATGGCGCTCAGCCATCATCTGTGCCTCCCCCCCTCCCCCCTCGGGCCGGCAGAGCCAACCAGACACAGTCATAAGGAACTCGATACCGCCGCTCTCTGCCCAGTCCTCCGGCCTCCCCTTTCTCCAAGTCCCGTCCGGCCGGCCGGCCCGGAGCGAACGGCGGGCAAGCCTCCCCGGTGACCCACATCCCCCGTCCTGTCGGTCACCCGCGACCCACTCCCGATACGGCTCACGGAGCCTCTTCTTCCGTCGGCCACAACAGGCAAACGGCTCTTCAAGATGATGAGAGGCCATGTCATCCTGGTCTTCGAACCGGCCACACAGCCCATTCGGTGGAGAATCTGAAAATCGTTGCTTCTTATCCATGTCCTGGACGCCCGGCGGAAGACAATGGCCAGAGTAAAAACGGCGCCCCTAGGCGGAGATGGCGGCTGAAATATCATCAGAACAGCCTCCTTTTCTACAGAAAGGTTGCTGGATTTCACAGAATCACAACCCGCATCCGAAGACAATCGGCTCGAGAGTGAGGCCAAGAGGGGCTCAAGACCCGGGTAGCCGGGACGCTCTTCCCGTCCTCCCCTCGTCTTCCATCTATCCGATCGGCGTTTTTGCGTCTCCTCGTCATCTCGGTCCATCTCTGACCGTGAAGAACCTAAGCGCTCATGCTGTCATTGAGGGGTCGACGCAACTGCAATCCGGGGCACAGTAAGCGCATCTTGCGTTTCCCCATAAGAAGCCCCTCGACCCCTACCGCTCATGTTACTACTGAACCCCCCCCCCCCCCCCCCCAAGCTGGTCCGTCAGGCCATTGACGTTGACATTGTGACCGCCGCCGTTGTCATCATCACCATCATCATGATGCTCCCTTCCCTGGCGACTGTGCTCGCTTGCGTCTCCGCCGCGACGGCCACGATCCTCGAGAACGGCCGGCCGAGAGTGGCCGACTTCGCCGACACAAAGGTCGACCTGGCCGCAGGCGACTACGAGACGTACGATGCCGACGCCCCGGAGATCTCCTACAAGGGACGTTGGGACTCCAAGAAGATATCCTGGTGGGCGTGAGTTTTCTCTCCTTGGAGCCTTTTGGGACAAAACAAAGGAGAAGGAAATACATCTCACACACACACGCGTGCGTCGGCCAGGGCCCCGGGCATCAAGTTCGGCTTCACCGGCGAGACGGTCGCCGTCACCTTCGGCCCCCACACCGTCAGCGGCACGCTGGTCGCCTACCGGATCGCCGGCCTCGACTGGATGCACACCAACGTCACGGCCGGCGCGACCCACCTGTTGGTGAGCCCGGCGACGCCCGGCGTCGGCCTCGCCGGGCCCGTCAGCCCCGCCACCTTTGAGATGCGCGTGACGAACTGGGCGCGCGGCGTCCAGGTCGACGCCGTCCACGTCGCCGCCGGCCGCCGCCTCGTCGCCGTCCCCGACTACCCGCGCCGCGTCGAGTTCGTCGGCGACAGCCTGTCGGCCGGCATGTACGCCACGTACGAGGCGCTGGCCGGCTTCGCCTACGGCGTCGGCGCCGGGCTCGGCGACACCGAGTACTCCATCACGGCGTACCCGGGCATCTGCGTCGCCGACCAGGAGTGCTGGGGCAACCCGCGCGGCCAGTCGCACCAGTGGTTCTACACGTCCGACACGGGCGGCCGCGCGGCCGAGGTATGGGGAGGTACGTGTTGTCGTCGTCGTCGTCGTCGTCATCGCGCGTACGTGCCGCCGGAGCTGCAGCTGCAGCCGGCGGACCTGGCGTATTCGAACCTGAGCCTGGCCCCCGACGAACGGGGGTCGGCGATGGCATCATCAACCGGCCGGCTGACGGCGGCTTGCGCAGATGACCCCGAGCCCTGGGACTTTTCCAGGAACCCTCCCGCCGACCTCGTCGTCATCAACCTCGGCACCAACGACGCCAACGACGCCAACAGCGTCAGCAAGGCCACCTACGTCCAACACTACAAGAAGCTCATTCAGGGCATCCACGGCAAGTGGCCCAAGGCCCAGGTCATAATCATGGTGCGAACATGCCTTCTCCTCCTCCTTTTCATCCTCATCTTCCTCATCCTCCTCCTCCCCTCCGCGGCCACTGACCGACCAACTGACCTTCGGCCGCAGCAAATGTGGCAGGGCTTCTTCCAGGACGGCAACACGTATGGGCAGAACACGGACCTCAGGGACGAGGTCTACAGCGTCTACGAGTACTTCAACTCGGACGAGTACCTCGGCAGCCCGACGACGTGGGACGCCGTCACCAACACGACCGGCAGGGCGAGCGGGCCAGCCGAGCCGTTCGTCCACTTCTTCAACACCACCGGCATCCTGCAGCACAACGACATCGGCGGCCAGTGGCACCCCACCGACGTCGGCCACATCAAGGTTGCGAGCCACCTGATACAGTTCATCACGCTGAAGCTCGGCTGGCCCTTGTTCGCCACCGGTCCCGAGTGAGTTTGCCCGCCCGCCTCCGCTGCTTTTTTTTTTTCTTTCTTTTTTCCATTTGTTTTCTTGTCCAATGGGCTCTTCTTCTCTTCGTCGGCCCGCGATTCCTACAGAGACATGCCTGCCTCTCGTCGAGGAAAGGCATAATCCACGGACTCTCTTTTGCCTGGTGTCATGTGTGCCATGTTGGCTGACACACCCTCCCTTACATCACAGGGTTTACCATGAGACTCTCTACTGGAACGATCAGTCTGCCTATTGAGACGCGCCGTTCAGGGAGAGCGGCCATACAAGTGAGGATCTGGGGGACATGCATGACTTTTGCGTAAAACCCTCCTCCCTCTCCCCCACCACCCTCTTCAACCCCCCTCCCTCCTGCGGTATTGGTTCCTGACGGCACGCCGTGTCAAGAGAGAAACGCCGTCTTGTCATCTTGTCATTATAGCCGTCATAGCCTATATACCGCCCCTCGGTGATGTATAAGCATCCTGCCGTCCGAGTTGAAACGCCCGCCACCGCAGCCTGGCAGCGCCTTTGAAACAGACCGGTGCGCCTGCCAGGCAATGTCAACCGTGATGTGACGCGTAGGGAATGCCAAGCTTTTGAGCCTCGACCGATCTTGTCCGTGCTAGCAAGGAGGGGGGGGGGGCCTTTTCCCCGGTCATTTCCTCTCTCTCCCTCTCTCTCCCTCTCTCTCCCACACACACTCACTCTCTCTCTTACTGCTTGGTTATCCGGGGAGAGTGGTACATTCTTCACCTACGAACGGGCGACCCAGCCTCCGGTACCTAATTCTCCATCACCTCCACCCCCCGCCTCACCTGGAGTTCCACAAGAGAGGCTTAACTAAAGTACTGGTCCAAGGCGGTCCCCCGTAGGGTCGCACAGGTACACGATATCGACCATACACACGGGAGGTTAATAACTGGCCTGGTGCGTTTGCCGTTTGAGATACCTCATGGGTCAAGGAGCCAGACAAGACACCTTCACACCGACCAAGAAGACAGGGAAAAAAACCTGAAGGGAGGGAAAGGGTTCGGTCCGAGAGAGAAGTCATGCCCACCTTTGCGATGACTAACCCTCTCTCTCTCTCTCTCTCGTGTGCCCATGCCAAGAGGGCGCAAGGAGAAGAAGCACGGCCGCGTACGTGGCTTGGCCACCGTCTGTCTATTCCGCCTAAACTCGCCCGCGACAAGATGGACGCGCTGCGCATGAAGGCTTGGCCGTCAGATCGCGACAGGGCTGGGGCAGAATCCGAGACTCGAGGCTTGTGGCTTTTGAAGGAATAGGCGAATTTTTTTTCCTTGCCTGCCAAAACAAAAAAAGAAAAGAAGAGAAAAATCAGCCGGCAGAGGAAAGATGGGATGCCACGACCACCCGCTCCCCCCACCCCCTCCTGTGGTAGACGACGGTAGAGTTTTGATCTGTCTGAAATGACCAGAGAAAGGGCGGCATTACGGACGAAAGCTTGAAGGCTCCGATGGCAGGTCGTGACAGACGACAGACGAGCTGATTGGAACCTGGCGGGAATACTAAAACCAGCCATAGCAGAGAGATGCCAAGTGAGTTTGGACTGAGGACCGCGTCACGAGTCGAACCACATGACCTTTTTTCTTCCTGTTCCGCGTCCCGTCTCGTTCGCCTTTCTTCTTCTTCTCTCTCTCTCTCTCTTTCTCTCTCTGACCCGGTGTTGCGAGCAAGTCTCCATCTTTCTGGCTGTTTTGTTTCTCTTTGTCGCCTCTTATTTTCGCCTGCTCTATCTCTCTGCTTCCCTCCCCTGCCTTTTGCCTGGCCTGACCCGGCCAACACCCCCTTGTGACCTTTGCCGACTCGCATAACATGCATGCCGGGCTCCTGCGTGTGTGAGAGGCATGTGGCCATCCGGTTTAGGGTTCGGGGATTTGCACACTCTATCGATGATCTTTTTCTTTTTTTCCTTCTTTTTTATTAATAATATTTTTTCCCCCTTTTCTTTTCCCATCCAGGAGGGAGGGGGTTGGAGAGGAGGGGGGGAGGGATTCTCGAAACACGTTGCTAAACTGCAAATTCCCGGTCCTCAGGGTCTCTCCATCTCTCTCTCTCTCTCCATCTTCTCGCCTCCCGTTAATCTCCCATCCCACGGAAGACTCGTTTCCGTGGCCCCCCTACGTCTCCGGAACTCAGGCACGTCACGCGGCTGAGAGGAGCCTGTCCATCACAGCTGTCAAACGACACTCCCCCCTTCTCTCCATCTCTCTCTCGGCATCTCTTTCTCTCTACATACCTAGTATCATCCTTGAGAAGAGACGGACGGCCCATGTCGACTCTTCCAACACCACCCCCCCCCTCCCCCCCGAGTAGAGTCGCTGCCACGGAGGGGGCAACGCATTGGGATTCCCTAGCTTTGCGTCGGGGGGAAAACGCCAAAGGAAGCCAGGTTGGGACGATGAAGGGCCAAGCCGCACCATGAGACGGACAGGCGCACACGTTGCGTTACACTCGAGTCGTGAGGACCCAGACGGTGGCGCAAAGAAATTGATGACGCCCTTTTCCTCTGGGGCCCTTGGGACGTCAGGAAAGGGAAGTCAAAGCCGCGTCCCAAGCCCCTCCTCCCCAGTGAAGACGGCAGCTTCTTCCGCCCACCGTTCACGTCGTCTGGTGATGGGGGTCATGTCATACCGTTCATCCGTCGACGGGCAGGGGAGGGATGCTTAAGCGAGTAACCTCCGTTGTGGACTTGTCCGTCGGTTGACCGTTCCTCCGTGTCCCCCCCCCCCCCACAGACACACCCTCCCCCTCCCCGGCTGCTGCGTTAGCGTGTGAAGATCCGCGAGCTGGAAGAAGGGCTTACGCTCAAAGTTTCGTCGATCGTCTTTGTTCCATGGGTAGGGGAGGGGGGAGTGGAGCAGAGGGGATTCTTGAGTCAATCACCCAGGACTCTGTGCTAGGTATTTTATTTATATTTTATTTATATCATGTCCGGGCCCAAAGTCTTCCTGTTCTTTCTCTCTTTTGCCTGCGGATGTAGTGAGGCAAAAGCTGAGGCAGACGTTAAAAAAAAAAGAGAGAAGAAAAAAGAAGAAGAAAACGACGAGAGACGGGTGCTGTATGCAGAAACAAAACGAAAGAAAAGGCTAAAGTCGGAGTCGGGGCGGTTGACAAAGCTGTTAGTCAACATAGATCTGCGGCGGCGTCTACCCGGGAGCTCCCAGTTGCTCAGACTTGGCTCTCGTACCCGCGATCCCGCATGCCAAGATTCAAGATTCGAAAAAGAGAAAGGAAAAAAGAAAAGAAGAAGGCGACGGTGCCGCAACCCAACCGCAATCACCTGAAACGGGAGGGTTGTCACAGACGTAGACAAGGGGGGAGGGGAGTAGGAGTTGGAGGGTTGAGCTCAATTTGGACGCCCCCCCCCCCCCCCCCCCAGTATGTACAAGTACGTACGTACACACGCATACGGAGGCGATAGCGACGTGTATCACGGTATCATGGCCCTCGTGGAGTTCTTCTCTGGTCGCAAATAGAACCATGTGTGTATGTACATAGTATGTGTGCTCCGGAAGCTGGAGAACTTGGTCACCGCAGGGTGTGTGTGGACGGCCCATCGTTGACGGTGTGTAAACCGCAAACAGCGCGTCCGTCGAATGCTGGCCGTCTCCTCTCTCTCTATCCATCTCACCGGCCTTGTTCGTCCTTGTGGAGCAGGTCTCCTCCCCCCCCCCCCCCCCGGGGGCGATCTAAACTAGAATAAATCGGGCAACGAGGTCGTCGGCGACGGATGACGATCACCGCCGTGTCTCCTCTCTTTCAGCTCCGGGGTCGCACGCGGTTGCAGCAGGTACAGTACAGTGTTATCGTTTTATTATCATCATCTTCTTCTTTCGTGTTTACTGTCTCATTTCCCCGCGTGGTTGAGACTAAGCGATCTTGGTAGCTTCGTCGCAGGTGTGGGGAGGAGGAGGAGGAGGAGGAGGAGGAGGGGAGGGACAGCGAGAAATCGGTGCCGAGCGAAATGAAGAGGATCGTTCGGCAGTTGGTTAGCCTCACAGCAAGCAAGTAGCGAGATGCATGATAACCGGGGGGGGGAGAGGGTATCGTCCATTTTTCCCGGACCCGACGGGCGCGCCAGTGCCGCCGTGCAGACAAGTTGGCAGATCACGGTGATCAGAGGTGTGGTGGCTTGGGACGGGATCGTCCAGGGCAGAAAGAGAAAAAAATAAAAAAGGAAAACGGAAAAAGAAATGGGAGATGGGAGATCCTCCTCCTCCCAGCATGCATCGCCAACATCGCAGGCGGAGTCACGACTGCGGTCAGACTTCCCCCACGCCATGTCTCTCTCGCTTTGCGAGGCTCAAACACAGCCGTCTCCGATGGCATCACAGACCGCCAGAGCAGAGCCTTGGGTTTCCTCTCAGCGCCCACCCATCTGGCCGTTTCAGCAAGGCGACTAGGGAGGCAGGGGGAGTGCCGGCCAGTTTAGCCTGGAGAGGGCCATAGGCGAGCCCAGAGTGGCTGTTCCGTCTGAACCGCTTTGATGTCGGCGCTATTCGACTGACGGGAGGCCTAACCCAGCCTTTTTTTTTCCCTTTCCCTCTCTCCCTCCCCTTCCATGCTTCGTTCCGCAACATGAAAGGATGGCAGGGCAGGGCAGACCACACCTCGATGCAAGGGCGTGAAGAGTTGCTCGATCGGACGAGAATCTTGAAACATAGCGTGTGGTGGCTTTCCCTTCCGCTCTCCTCCCCGTACGCCGAGGGAGTGAGAGAGAGAGAGAGGTGCGAATAGGTGTTGGTGGTGTTGTAGAATAGACGGTGTTCAACGCGCCAATGGGTCGTCGGGAACGACGAACCATGACGCTGTAGAACGGTAAAACATGTCGAAGGAGGGATTTCCCATACCCCCCAATCCCTTAGCCGATTCCCATCTGTGAGGAACGCGCCAACGTAGTGTAGTACCGGTATGGTAGTCGACGGACCCCCCCCCCCCCTTGGCCGTCGTGACGGGTTCAAACTCAATATCGTTCCCACCACCGCTACGCTGGGATTCCCTAGGGAACCGGTGTGGTGTAGAGAGTCGTGGGTAAATAGCGTTTACTGGGCAGCAAATCCGGAGACTGGGGTGAAGGGGGGTTAGTTGACACACGCGCGAGTCTCGATGGAGGGCGAGACAGGGTAGATCCCATCCCGTCCACGCCAACAGGGGCGCACACTCGAATCGTCTGAGTTTCTGCAGGCCATGAATGCCGGTCCTAGTCGCCCCCATCCATTGCCGACAGGCCTCCGC